AACTCTGATTCTAATATTATATCATATAACCCGAACCTTAAGCCTAGAGATGCTTGCCAAAGTTGCCGTTATAGCAGACTATTATAATTATAAGGAAGCTTTGCACTTCCTGAAAGATATGTGGATCACGAACGTATAAGAGGATATCCTACAACAGCTTCTTAGGATTTGATCTTATAGCTATGGATCGCCTGGTTTTTTTTAACTATCTACCCAATTCGGACCAACAAGGTAAATTAAAGGTGTAACATGCGAAAGCAAACGTAATTTGGAACCTTAAGGGCACAACAAGTTACCTGCGATAGGAAATAGATAAGTTTATTATTGATCCTACAATAAGTATCGCTAGAAACTAAGCTAAGTATTAGATAACAAAAAGTTATGAGAGGCTTTGAAATTATTTAGTGAGCCACGAGAATTGTTGTATCGTATATAGAGGGTTCTCCAAAGTGTATTATCGATAGGCTGTTCTAGAAAACGATCGAGGGCCTAGGATAGCTGGTAATGAGATATATCGTCGTGTAAACTTGCATCGAAATACTAAGCTATATAGGATAATTTCCGGAGCGTGTTAACACTCAGAATTTCTTTAAGTATCTTTGCCGTGGCTAACAAAATTGCGTCGTCAATAAGTATACTATCTTAGTTATATACTATTCGCAGAGCCTTGTAAGTATCTAGAACGTATATAGCGTCCTAACTAAGCCTTTTACGTGGAAGCGTCCCCCCCGGTAGTGTAGGCTAGTTTTCGAAGCTAGGACAGATTTCAAGGCTTATGCTGCCGGAACCCGGAATAAACTGCGTGGTAAAGAAGCCTTTTTATGTTAAGATAAAGAAACGGAACTAGTAGATAGACTTTCTACTGACTATATCTGTACACTAACAATAATTCTTTACGAGTAAGAGGTCACAATAAATTGTAGATATTATCTGATATTTATAAAGGATCTATATTTCCTTTTATACTATTATTAAGTTACAAAATTCTTTCTTCTATAAGTTAGGATAGTCCTGACTGAAGGCAATCACGGCCTGCATCCCCCATATTATATTTCCCCCACTACTTCTAAACTGGGTTTTATCTCTCTTTTGCCCCCCAAAGCAATTCATTACCAGCCTAGGGTACCCAGGAGGAACAAGGCAGGGATAGGGAAGAATTCCATGATACTCTCTATAACCAATACCTCAGAGCAACATACAGACCACCGCAAGCAATAGCTCCCAAAAAGTATCTATTTCGATAGATATAAAAATTGTCTCAAGGAATACTATATCATTGTCCAATCTATTCAAGGTAAGAGAAGAAATTAGGGCTTTCATTCACTGCGTTTTGATGTAGGTGACTTGTACTCTGAAAAGACTATTTTAGGTAATCATAAATATGGATCCTATACGCCTTTATCTATATATATTTATACGAAATGAATTAGTTGAGGTTCTTCATTCACTTGTTTTATATAATACCGTTTTAGCGGCATATTATCTAGGCAATTAATGAATTTCCACCCTACCAAGATACTCCCCGGTGCTGTGATAACGATGCAAAGTCGATCCGTTGCGACGAAGGATCTTTTTGGTTACGCGTTCAAACCAGGTTCAGTAGTTCCAGGAAGCGGCCCGCGAAGAAAGGAAGGCTTGAAGACGGAGGCTACTGTCCATCCCGCAATTGTACGAGATAGCTGATTGCCTCTTGATCTGTCGAAAATTGTTGAATCATCCACACTAGCTGAAATAGATCGTCGGTTGTTCCACAGCGAATCTGGTTGACCAATCTATGGAAAGCAGCTTGGGAGTCTGAAAGCCCAGCCATATAAGATTTTCGTCTTCGATCACGATTCGGCTCGTATATACAGTAGCAAGCCCTGGCTACACAGCTCGTACATGGTGTTGTTCCCGAGCACTATAGAAGATTCGTTAGTTCAATCTACCAGGTTTTGGTCTTATACTTCTGACCTTGGTCCTTTTTTTCTTGCATTCCTTGCAAGCCATAGAAGCTATGTGTCGCCGTTCATCCGATGAGCCCATGCTTAGAACCGGGGTGTTGGAAACTTCGTCTGCCGGTAAAACCCTGCGTAGGGATTGCCTCTGGGACATGGTGAGGTGATGAATACCTGAAGGATTTAAAAGGTTGCCAGAGATTCCCTGGGGTAAATCGTGAGAGGTCCGCTGGTCCTTCTTATAGAATTTGGCATTATTAGTATATTCAGCTGAAAAGGCCGCTTATAGAAGTTCTGGCTCATAATGTCGTATTCCAGCTAGCCCCTCTAGATATACTGACCTTCCAACGGATACGCCCATAAAAGAGTAACAAATAGAAATTAGAAACAAAAATTGCCTCAAACTTAAAATTATCCAGCTCAAGACAGTGGGAACGGCGGTGAGCCAGAGCTGGCAGATCTATCCTTTAAAGTATCTACTTGAATATATAATACTACTGCCGTTATGGACTGTATGGGATACGAGGTGGGTTTATGTACTTGAATTCCACTTAGCGATTGATTTGTATATTCACTATTAGAATATAAATTGGATTTGAATTTGAGATCTATACTAATATGGCTATTCGCGTATTCGATTTGGGACTTTCGAATTCGACAAAACTCCTAAAGTATTAATCGGGCACTCTTAGGTAGTATCGGGTCTTACGTTTTATTAATAGAATTTTTAACCGTGTCTATATCGAGATAGTATAGAATCTCTACTAAAATATTATATTGCTCTATAACTTATATTAATATAAACTTTATAGGGTATAATAGGAATATTATTGATCTCGTACTTAATTTTAATACTGTACTTAACTTATAGCTAATATCTAGAGGTTACTAGCTAGGCTTTGGTTTTAGTACTTCTTCTATAAGTATTTCAAGTATTTTCTAGCGGATAGTAACCTCGAGTTATTTAAACCCGTTCCTATAGTATAAATAGATATAATTAGGTTAATTGAAGAAGAATATAATAGATAGCGGTAAATATATAGTAGCCATAATTACGGATATTAAAAAAGATTAAGAGAATAATAATACTTTTATATTAGTATAGCCGAAACTAAACTATAATCTATTCTAATATCTATTTCTAGGACTAGTTTATTAGCTACACTATTTAATACTACCGGACGCGGGGGGTTATAACTAGATAGTATATTATAGATTAGCTGGTTTTATAGATATTTTTCTATTATTAGCTTTAGAGCGAAAAGGATAAGATATAGGATAATTACTATATTACTCTTAAGAATTCTTTGTCTGCTCGGAATTGTTTAACCACGCTATAAGTAGTATTTCCTTCTTTTCGACCCCGAATCTATCCTTTAAAAAGCCCTAATCTCTCTAATCAACGTACTCCTTAGCGTGACAAATCTTAATATAAAGATAAAATCGGTCCCGTATATACTTCGGTTATCTATAAACCCACTTTCCGTAACGGACAACTCTAGTAGTCCCGTTATAATATTTAACCTAGAAAAGTAAGTCCGGTCTATCGACTAGCTTATGATTGTAGATAATACCAAGATAACTCTGAAATTTTCCGATTTTAGCGAGTAGATAGATATCTAGTTGTTTTGGCTAAGATAGGGAATTATTAGATATATTTTTATTGTTAGAAACGAAGTTAAGTACGGATATACTTACTAATAGAATAGGAGACTTTTCTAGTCTATAAGGTTTTACTATGTCTACTATCTTGTTGATAGGAAAAGGGTCTTAAGAAGTTGATCGAGGCTGGCTAAAAATACTAAAAATCAGGATTCCTTGCTTCCTAGGGGCGTATCGCGGCTTTTTCAGGAGCTGAAGGAAGTCTAATAGTGTCCCTACTTTGGTAAGAATAAATTGACTCCTCTCGAGAAGCGCCTCCTATAGTATCTAGGGCCAAATAATAAAATAAGCGGTATTCCCGTGGGGAGAGGCTTACTAGGGTTGCCTTCGAATGACTGGTGAGGGTTTCTTTCTATATCGGCCTAGTAAAGACTAGATAATAGAGATTTTATATATATTAGTTTATATATAGTATCCCTATTTTGTATATCTAGTAGCACCTCTTGGCTATCCTAAAGCATGTTATTGTCTGTGGAAGGAAGAAGAGATTGAAACCACCGCGTAAGCCATATATGTAGCTTAATGGTAGGGAGATAGGCTATTAGAATAGTGGTTTTGTATAGAATACCTATTTAAAGAAAACGAATACCTCCTTATAAAATAAGCTTCGGTTCTCGTATAGAGTAAGATAATTTATACTATATATAGAAATACGAAAGAGTATTTATTACTATCTGTGTATCGGCTATCTTAAATAAAGAGTTTATGGACTTATGGTATATAGCTAAGACGTTTTCTAGCAATAGATGCTATAATACTATTAACGAAATAGTTTGCCGTGGAAAAGAAATAGAATTAGGGTCATCGGTACCTATTTATATATAATTAGCTATAGGATCCTACTAGATATATCTTGTACGTCTTACGCTAAACCCCGTTCCGGTTTCGGCCCTATATAGGATATAGCAAAATCGAAGTAGTCTATAAACTTAACAAATTGGATACTTTGTCGTATGATCTCCTGATATCAACGATAGGGTATATACCAAGCTATATTGCTATTGCACTATCGGAGGAAGAAAACGAGGCCATTAGATAGCAAGCAAGACGATATATTAAAATATCAAGTTATCAGAGATAGTTTAAGAAGAGTGATATAGTCGAGAGATTTCACGAGTATCCTTATAGAGGCAGACAGAAGGTCATTGTCTATAGTAATGTTGCCCTCGTTTTTTAGAGCCTAGCAAACCCGTAGAACCAACCTAGTATTGTTGCTAGGACATTCTAGGGTAAGCATTTCCCTATAAGGCTTAGGGTGGGCTCTCAAAGCTATTTTAAATAAACATGAAAATGTACAACGGGCCATTGTATTTGCGGGCGAGAAAAGATACACGTCTCTTTTTTATTCCTGTATGGCCTCCACAGATATTCAAGTGCTTCAGCGCCCCGATAGGATGCGCCATGGTGGAGCTCCATGCCCGTACTATTACATTTTGGTCCAATCTGTTCCGTGCGGAACAGATTGGTCTGAAATGGTATAGCGTGTGGGGTAGTTCAGATCCCGGTCAAGCCAGTGGACGACGCCGCGATGGGGACGGAAACCGGGGGTTCGGAGGATTCGAAGGCGGGACCAAAGGAGGGTTCAAAGGAGGATTCGGAGAACACAGGAGGCAATTCGAACGGCGTTTCGAAGAAGGGCCGGCCGGCGGCTCAGCAGCGGATTCATAATGCGCACTAAGGACAGAGTGACTGTATGATCAGCGGGTGCCGGGGGTTTCTTGCCAGGTCCAAGCTTATACCCTGTATTTCCAATGGCTTCAACGAACGGCTTAACCAGCCAATTATTGGATAAGCAGGTGAGGCGACTATTGATGCGAGGCCCTTAAACGAGGCAGTTGGGGACGAAGCATCGGAATGCATATAATCTGGTAGCCTTGGTGATGGCAAAGACTCGGTGATTCAAAGTGAGCAAACAGAAGTGGGGAAATGAGAATCTGATGCAGGTAAATCGAAGCAGCTTCGTGACAGAGATATCATCAATTCAAGACTACGCCTGCTTGCAGAAAGGCAGGTCCTTAGTAGATACAACTGATGTTTCAAACTTCGTCGATTCCACGAAATCAAGACCCTGCATTGCAATGCTGGTAAGATATCTCTCTTCTAGTTCCAGCGGTCTCCCGGTCCGTCGTGCCAGAGGCCATACATTCGATTCGCCATTTTCTAAATGGTCTATGACTTCAGCGCAGTGATTGTCACGAGCAAAGGAGCAAAAACAAGCCGAGCAGAGTGCGGAAGGAGAAGATAATCATTCGCAGAGTGGACGGTAACTGAAAGGGGATCGGGGTCACCTGACGGGACGCGTCCCGTGACACTTCCCTGCCGCGCTTTGGGCAGTAAAGTCATGTGATTTATCGGGCACCTTAAGAGATTAAGGCAAGCCCCCGCCTTTGCTCCTCGCGATTTCTTAAACATACCTTCGATCTTCTTAAACGCTACAACATGTAAAGCTCTACAATATTCTTGAAACTTCTGTTACTGACTTTCACGTTCTCCAGATAGGATTCTTTATAACCCCGATGGCGGGCGAACCTCTATGGGATAGCGCGAAAGAGATCGTGCTGAAGACGAGGAATATCATCCAGAACAACACTGCAGATCGCACGAGAGAGAGTCGCTTTGGGTGGCAATATGGACTTTTGACTGAGAGCAAAGCGATGAAAACGGATATGGAGGCTCAGGGTTATGAAGTTCGTCCTTTTGCTTATATTCTCTGCACATAATATCTAATAGACTTTTTATTTAGGTTCATGACTGCATCGTCTTCCATTTTTTTAAAGCTGCGAGAATCGAAAACCCCACAAAGCGACTCTTGCTTGTTCCTATACAAGGGACTTCGAGTTTGACACCAGCAGAAACTCTTTTACCGGGGTCGTTTTGGGATATCAGAGATCAGGCCGACCGAGTTCTCACGCCGGACAGCACAAGCGGTGCAGATATCATGATCATTACGCTGAAAGAAGGCAAATGATATGAGCATCGAAATAGAATCGTTTCGAACAATGAATCTGATGGGCATATGTACAAAATCAGTGACAAGTATATCACACCAGCTTTTATCTAGAACAATTTGAATGCCTAGAGTGCGGAAGGATGTATACGACACAGCTTACTCCCTCACAAAAGCTACTTTAATCTCGAGCATTAGGGGGAACATTGATTATATAATATATTAAAGATACTGGGTAATTTAGACCTGGGAAGGGGGGTTAAGTGCCAAGAACGAGGTCCGGAAAGTTCAGGGCATTTAACCTATCGGAGAGGTAAGAATCTGGGGGGAGTTGGGCGTCCAGAGCAAGATTGGGGAAGTTCAGGGCATTGAAGCCATCAAGGAGCTGAGAGCCCGGGGAGCTTTGGGCGTCCAGAGCAAGACTGGGAAAGTTCAGGGCATTGAAGCCATCAAGGAGCTGAGAGTCCGGGGAATTTTGAGTACCCTCAGCGAGATTAGGGTAATAATCCAGTGGATAAAATACACCGGTGTCGCTTATCTGCCCATGCAATGCTCTTCGGTGGGTTTCCTCAGGAAGAGACGCGGACTGTTCATTCGGCACATCATCAAATGGGATTTGTGAGGCGTTTATAGGCCGTATATTTGCGGCTGATCTTGTGTTATTTGGTGAGAACGGTGAAGTGCCGAGTGGAGCAGAGGTCACCAGATCATCATGTTGATTCTGGTCAACTGCTTCAGCAGGTAAGAGCTCAGAGGTTGCGCAATCTGTATCTAAAATTGTTAGTAGACCATAATACTCTTTAGATTCAAATGACACACTAGAAATAACACCGGAGTCTGAATTAGACTGCGGAGAGGCAGGCGGCGGGTCCTCCTCGGGGCCATTGTAGGAACCACTATTCGAAGGAGACGATGAACGATGCCGTTTTCGTGAAACTTCTTCGAGTCTCACATCTGAGTAGATCATTTCTGTGAGGATACCATCAGATGGGCTCCTATTATAGGATCACCGTGCTCACCATCATATTTTGTTTGAAATTGTTCGAACCATGGGGAAGTTTTGTCGATAACCTTCATAGCAGTGGGTTTTTGCACACCTTCGCCAAATGTTTCCAGCTGGTCCTTGGACAGTTTTACTTCCGTTTGACTTTCCAATACTAAGTCAACGAAAGAGAGTATATCCTTAAGTGGGAGAGCTTTGAATTGTTGTATCGTCAAGGCAGTCGCAGCTGAAATAGCGACTGCGTCAAGGGATAGTCCAGCGTGCCGAAGTCTTCGTTTCAGTAGTTCTTCGACAATGAGTTGTTTGATTCCAGCATTAACGGCCGCAAAAACAATGTTTTCATCCTCTGCTGCAAATGTGAGGTATTGTCTCAACCATAGACGGATAGTACCAGACCTTCCTTGGTACAAATTGCCCTTCTTTTCCTTCTTTTCAGGGGGTGGACGTAGAATTAAATAACACATTTCATCGGTTCGTCTTTTTTCCTCGCGATGATCCTGATATCTGGAATATTCAAGAGCCAGCGATCGTTGTGCGATGCCCCGCAAAAGCTTATTTTCAACAGAGCTCTTGACTCTCTGAGACTTCCCATTTTCAAATCGTAGGATATGGTCAAGCCGTTTATCGCGCTGATGGGCCCTTTTCTTTGAAATAATATCGGAAGGCTTCTTTCTCGAAAGGCTCCAAATGAGTGGTAAAGCTTCTATCACAGCTTTCAGGAGAGGAGAAGATCGATTCCGATCTGTGGCATCCTTGTTGATAGCTGGCTGTGCTTGTGTGGGTTGTTCTGGTGTGGGTTGTTCTGGCGTGGGTTGTTCTGGTGTGGGCTGTTCCGGTGTGTGTTGGTCGGAATTATGCTTCTGGTTTGAGATTCTCGCGTTATCCATAAGACGGTTAGGTTCAATGCCGGATAAGCCAGGTGCTGCAGTACTGGCTATTCTGTTGTTGTTCGACGTTCGCTTGCAGAGTCGGCAAGTTGAGGTTACTGAGGACTCCGAGCCTCTAGTGATCAAGGTTCCTAATAATTGATCCACATGCTGAATTGTCGAAAGCGTTTCACTGATTTGAAGCATGAAGGCTTCAACAGGCGCGTCTCGGAGGACCTTTAGCGCCTTCTCGATATCCATCTGGATTTCGATTTCGAGATGTTGTGTCCGAGGACAAGTTATTGGGGGGGATTTTGGAAGGAACCATAAGTATCTTATCGACGAAACTTTGAAAAGGGGCAACATGTAACCGAGGGTGAACCAATTTGAATTGAATGCAAGTGTGAGCCCAACGTACATGAGTACCCTTGTCACATCCCTGTCTATTGGATGGACTAATGCGGTTGGGCCTGTGCGGTGAGCGCGAACTGTTCGAGACTAATCATCAGTGGCCAAAAGGAAACCTTTAGCCGCTGCCAAGTCAACTGAACAACTGACCCTTAAATACGGAGTTACGGAGAAGATACTGCAACAGGCGATGAAATGTTCTATGGGCAGTCTGATAATTATTACGAGAAGAATAATCTGACCGCAGGGCCTACAAAGCGATGTATACTGTACAATCACCATGCTCTTGGCATTTACAATCAATATTCTAATACCAGCTTCAAAAGTGTCAAGGCCTGATCACATGCTACCTCACTGTTTAAACTCCTGTGCTGTCCAAAGCTCAAACACTGGATACAGAGGATAAGCAAGCGTCTTCCTCGAGACCAGACTTGGCATTAAGAAAAGTTCATTTTCCAGTAGACGGGTCTCCGCCCATCCTGACCACCAATTACGAAATGTTTCTCTGAAAGGTAATTGGCGATTTTCTGGGGTCACACTCCTGGGCCACATCATGTGGTCCGTCTCCTGGACATCGGTGAGATTGTTTGTCTTATTGCGGGTCTCCGCCCGTTAGAACCACCAATTATATTCCAGAGAAACTTTCTGCGGAAAGTTTCTCTGGAATATAATTGGTGGTCTTTATAACCCCGCTCCTGCTGGGGAAGACCCATTCACCTCCGGCGAAGCCTGATTGGTCCTATCCGCACAGCAACTTTGACGATCATCTGAAAAATACAAATCCGCCTTACGGCTTCGGTAGGTTTGAGCATTGACAGCTCATGTAGATCGGTCACTTTGTGGTAGCCATCAATAATCTGTGCTTGAAATATTCCCTCTCGGTTTTTTTTTTTTTTTTTTTTTTTTTTGCTTCATGCCAGTCAGTCCCCTACGCTTCTCCTATGCCCCTCTCAGGGGAGTCAATGTTCTTTTGGGTACCATAGAGCATAGAAGTGGAGCACTTTCAGATAATCACATAAAAGAAGCCATGTCTCCAGCTAAATCTTGTTCTAGTTTCAACGGACTCTATCAAGCTTTCACTTAACGCTTAGACTATAAACTCCAAGAGTTATGGCGACTACAGTTCACGACCTGATGACCATTTTTAGCCCTCCGTCCCTAGATGTCGACACGGAACCCACGCTCTCTAGCAAACCATGGACCAATGGCTTCGCCGAGTTTGATCGGGATTATGTCAAAATATGGCGGCCAGATATTAAATCAGTTGAACGTTTTCTGGGGTCAGCGAATGGGGTACCCTCAAACGCCGATTTTGTCGGCCTTGCAACTCCCGCCCACCGCTTGAATGCCTTACCAGAGATAATAACGAGCGAAGGCGACGTCACTAGGGACTTTGATCAGAATATTGCTCCACCTGTTGCGCTAGCTTTTTCAGGTAATTTTGCCATGACCAGTCCGTCCCCACAATTAGCGCCTCAGCCTGGCGCTCCTGCTCTCTGGTCACGTTCCCTCAACGGGCCATTGGGACCAGCGTCGTCCTCAAAGATAATTGACTATCAAATGACAATGGAGCATCCGATAAAGTCGCTCGAGCTCGCCGCTATGATAGGGGAAATGAAAGCCCCTCGGGTCATCAAGGCAAGGGAATGGCTATTTGAAAGACCTGCGAGTTCAGTAACTCGCAAACTACAGCAGGAACTCAGAGCGTATGGCAATCTTCTTTCACCTTTATTTTCTATAATCTACTGACAGAGAGAAGATATGCCTATGAATACCAATGCCCTCAAGTTTTCGTCTTTGACACGAAAAGCCTAGTCATTATACAGTTTCACGCTTCCAATTATCGCGATATTGCGAACGAGGACTGTCCCATCGATTGCTGTGTCATTCCCCGAAGAATGAACATAGAAAACCAATGCACTATGCAGTACTCGCTGTATAGACTTGCATGGCGGGGATGGATACGTTTGTCCGCAACATTAGAATCGAAAACATTGAGGGCTGGAGAGCTTGTGCCGGCGCGAAAGAGTCTATCCTTACATGGATACGAACGGAAATATGTGTACTGGTCAGGGGAGCCGGTATGGTTTGATAGGCATGGCCGCCAATATACTGATCATCCACTTGGATTCAGGCGTGAATTTGTCTACAGATTTTCTTCCCGGCGGGATGGTACTCTGAAAACAAAAGGGGTTTGGATATGGAGGTGCGGTCAGGAGACGTACGAAGATACCGCAGACTGTTTCATTAGTAACTATAACCAGCTTAGGTAAATGGTGAACAGACCCATTTACTTAACTTTCCTGAGTGCAATTCGGCGAATTTAATCGATCTATAGATATGCTTTTCTCGCGTACGGGTTTCCCCGCGTGAAGTTGTTGGCCTAAGGCAATGACGGAACTACCATTCATCCGGACCAAGGGTGCTTGGCCGCCGGCCTTCTTTTATTCAAGGGCAGACCGACAATCTCCCTTTCTTCGCTTTCGCCATCTCTCTCCAGCTTCTAAGTTATTAAAAGGTTCCCCATAGCCAAGCTTCTACATCACACATATCCACAACTCACCACTTGGCCTATATTATCATTTCAACCTTTCACTCTTCTGCTGTTCCTCAATTCCATGTCCTTCGAGCTTCAAAGGACGCACACATCCCAGGTAAGATGTTTACCCTTCACTATATAGAAGACTTCGTCCAGCTGAAATAGTATTAGGCTTTTCATCTAGATGGCCACCCTATCTCTGCGAAACATGTTAAGCGGCTACATCCTCGCCGTAATACAGTATACCGAGTAGAACTCGAGCCAGGCTCATTCCGGCACACTATTCCCCCGACAGTCACCTCGGTTATTGTTAAACAACAAAAACATGAATGGGAGAAGGAATTCCTGCTTGAGAAAGAAGCCTACGAAAGATTAAGCGAGCTTCAAGGAATATTGATCCCACAGCTTTATGGCCAAGGCTCTTTCGATGGAATTCCAGCTCTTATTCTTTCCGATGTCGAGGGAATAACTCTATACGACCACGCCCGGAATATACCCAACTTCCAAGACGAAACATTGAATGTCTTAGAAACTCACCTTACCGAAGCGCTTAAGAAATTATATGACCATGGCGCTGAATATTGGGACCAAAAACTGGATAATTTCTTGTTCTGCGACAACGAGGACCTTGACTGTAACAAAGTCAGGGTGGTCGATCTCGAACAAGTCCAGTTCCCTAATAACATTGGAAGTTGGGAAACCAACGTCAACTTGGGTGGTGTGGGTTCTCTTATGAGCGACTTGAAGGATATCAGAGACCGAAATCGTGAGCCGTCACCCGTTTGCTTCTGGAAAACAACACTGAATGATGAGCGTCCCTTGAGAACGAACTGTCAAGCAGGACTTGAACGGTCCATGAACAGTGGAGGGACCAAAGAGCTGAATTCCATCGTTCCTTCGGTGGATGCAAGTAAAAAGGAATCTATTCAGCCAATCACCAAGAGGGCCACCCGGAAAAGAAAAATTGGAGCTTCAATGGTTCGTGGAAACCAGCAAAAGAAACGATCCAGGAGCTTCCTGACACGATGTACTCCATTTTTATCTAATCGGTTTGACTCATCTGAGAAGGACCATACTCGGTGAATAGTATCTTGTGACAGTCTCCAGTAACCATCCTTCACTGTATCTTATTCTACCTTTGATCGTGTGAAAAAAAGAAAATGTAGCGTTGCGGGGCAGTTAGAGGGGTTCACGCGACATCAGGTGACTGGATAACCTCCACCCAAATATCGTCGTAGAATCTCAGCCCAATAGCGGTTCAGAAAGATATCCCCCACAGCGCCATTAGAACGAAGGGCTGAAATTTACGTGTATTTATACGCACATTGGAAAAATTAATAGACAAATATCGCAAATCATGCCGCGAGGCTCATCGGGTGTTATTAAGAATGAAAATCTTGATTTACATTAGATGAAATGTTGACTATTGTCACTGGGAATTGTGCACGCGGAGTTAGCAGACCCATCATGGGAAGGACTGATGGAGGTTTGATCCAAGAGTCGTTTTCACGGTGTCCTCGCTGCAGCTGAAGTAAGTCCCTTTAGGGAATATATAATCAGAGCTGCCCTCTGCTCGATTACCTTGTTTACCATGGGCTCTACACTTAATTAAAAGCGCAACTATAATAAGGGCTGCCATCTGCTCGATTACCTGGTGTTTCTCTAGGGAATACTGGAGTGGGATATACCTGAAGGGTTGAATTTCAGCTCATCATGGACCTACTTGATCTTCGCCCTCATTTCATTGGTCTAGAACATTGTGGGTTGATCCTACATTTTCTATGGAAAGTTACTGATTGACGATTTAGTGGTCAGAGTGGACGAGATCTCTAGCACATATATGTCTCCTCTTCAAGAGCAGATTGCTTTTGCATGTCAAGCAAAATTCGGCCTACCTCCTGGAACTAGGTTCTTTTCACCTGACCAGGTATACGTGGCAATGATGGAGCTTTGTCCACTTTTGGTCCATGGGCGCCAGCTAGGACGGAGATTGTATAGTGCTTTGTGGAAAAGGATGTTAGATCCTGTATTTGTGAACACCGAGCACGGCAATTTCACCTGGCTTGCCCTTGCCTTAAAACAAGAGGTTTATGTCTCATATTCTAAGGGTGAACTTTTTCCCATAGAATGGCGAAGCCCAACATGTTCCGCAGTTTTGGATAGCCTTTATCCAAATTGCGAAACTACCGGTTCGGTTTCCTGGGAAGCTCATTTTTGCACTGAGAATTATGAAATAATCTCAGTAATTGGACCTCCCTCATACCTTATCACGATGTTCTTAAACCCCCGTTCGATACCAGTGGAGTAGTTGGGACGCACGGTTGTGGCTGACCGTCAACTATATTCTTGCAAGTACTTATTGGTAATTTCGCTCTATATGTCATTCCTGAATTTTCATGTATGGAAGATAAACACACTTCTACCCTCTTACCAACAACACAGCGATCATCCAAACGAGACTATAAACCCTCGTGTCTGCCCATGATCCCCGATTTCCAACACTACATCTATCATGGATCTGGCCTATCTCGTCCACGGAGCCCCCAAGCCCTACTCCGATTCCCAAGCTTCGCCTTCGCCCCTGGTCGAAGAGCCCAAGTGCTCTCTGCTCGAGGGTGCCCACGGTGCTCAGCAATTAGCCAGTATGTTACTACCGTCACGCCTTCATATTCACCTTTACGTTGTTATTAATTTTATAATAGAACGCCAACCACAACAGCTACGTCCACATTCAGGGTCGGGCAATGCTCACACCCCGTCGGAGCTAAAAAACAAACCTGTGGCCGAGCAAACGCACCGCTCATCTATCTTGAGCACCGGATCAGCCCCCATCCCCCACATCGCAGGGCCCTACGCCTCGCCAGCCCCTAAAGCCACCCAGTACACATCGCCCATCGATGCATCCCAACCGCAGCAACCCTACACTCACCTGCCCTCTATTATCACCATCACTTCCGCTACATATACGCAGATGAACAAGTGGTATATTTGCGACCTCTGCCAGACGCCCTTTCCACGGAAGGCCGGGGTAGTTACACACTTACGCTCGCACACAGGCGAGAGGCCCTTCCGCTGCTCCAACACTGGCTGCGGTAAGACCTTTACCACACAAAGCAACAAGAGGCGTCACGAGCGAGACTGCCCCGCGCCAGCTGCCCCGCGCCGGCCCCGGCGGCTCTAGTCTCTTAAACACATTACCAAATGTGTTCTTTTTCCTGTATTAGTTTAGTGGATCATTAATCAGTTTTTCTGTTAAGGTGCCCCGCAAGACCTATACTATCACATGCGTAAAAGGATGTAGATGTCACTATTCCAAACCAGAATACCGAAAAGAAATAGCAGTGGTATATTTTTTAAGTTGACCTAACAATTAGACGAGTGGTAAAGTTTCATATAAGAAGGAACCCGATATAGTAGTGGTACTTTTGCCTGAAACCTCGAGAAGCATCGGGGCCGTTATCAGAAAGAGCCAAATTTCTACCACGGTTGTGTCTTCCTGTACATAACCAAAGACTAGATTCCACCGAGGCCATGCACGCCACCGTTTCTTCATCCAAAAATACTATTGGGGATTTTTAACCCAAAATCTAGACCAATTTCTGATTTCTGAGCACATATTCTGATATCCGAGTACTAAATGCTTTAAAGAGCGGTTGGAATTCCAGGGAAAGGCTTAATTATTTGCTTCATCCACTGTTTCCTACTCTCATGCCAATATCCATTAAAAATGTCTCTGAGTTCAGGCATCCATCTGTCGCTTGAGTAAGTAAGTAATATGTCCTGTTTCCTGCAATATACTAAGTATAAATTTGTGTACAGTAAACGGGGTGCATATGATACAACAGGGGTCAAGTTACCCGGCACTCCGCCGCCTCCACCAAAGTGAGGCTAAAATCGCAGCCCTGTTTCTATCAAGCTAGCGGAATGCGTCGCTCTGGGAGGTGTGATGCGCTTCAAAAATGATATTCTGTATGAAAAGTAGACTTTTCAGCAATATAAATGTATATAAAGCAGTAAGCCCCAGGCCGGATAGCTAAAGGGTGGCACCCTGAACGTTCACGACAATGGGCCACCACCAAGAGACACAATGCAGGTTGTTGGAAAAAATATTTCTCGCATCACGAAAGATCTACCTCTGTCCCTTGTGTCATATTCCATATTCCGATGCCAAGACCCTTTTCACCCATTGCCGAGAAAGAGGGAAACTAGACCAGGCAGATATCACCCACAGAGCGCTTGGAACAGTGAATACAGAGGGTGACTTTGGCAGTTTTCTAACAAAATTTGGTATTGCTATTGGATGGGAAGATATATTGGTCGAAGACCTTCCGCTGATTTGGGATAAACCCGGTCCTCGGGAATATGGGGCTTGCTTCAAAGTCTCCTTCATTGTTGACGCGAAGACTCGGTCAAATCCTTCCAATATGGGAAAGAGGTTTGCGATCATGAGAGATATAGCCAAGTGCGCCGCGATACACTATGCATGCCCATTGTGCATGAAAGGGTTTGCGAACCCTGATCGTGTCTTGAAACACTGCGGCGAAGAGAAGGACGATCACCACAAAAGCCTTCTGTCAGAGGAGCAGAGCGAATTCTTGGAGGTCTATGAGACTTCCATGGGTCAGCACACCGAGTGTGACACAATAAAGATCCAATACAACGAATACGGCAGACCTTATTTTGGTGAATGTTTTCAACTTGACGAGATCCTCAAGTACAAACGTAAGAGACTGTTTCCCAACTCTATATCATTTTGCTAATAGAGCAAGACCCAGGTCTAGAAACAAACGTCAGCTAGCGTGAGTGCTCGGGTAGTGGGTCGGTCTCCGCTTAAGCAGAGGAAAATGATGTGCATCTTTTTCATGTATTCACGAGACAAGATCCTTGGTTTCTTTTGAAAAATAATCTTGTTATATGATTGGTAGAAATAGAAGAATAGTCTTTTCATTGGACGGACGATTGAAGCCCCACAACCTTTTGTGACATCCTCTATTGACATGTAATGTAAGAGATAAAGGGGTACTGATCTACGGGCTTGGCCTATGAATCGCGAAATTGATTGGTACTCGACAAAGCATAACAGGTATTTACAAATATATGGGAGCGACTGCTGTACCGACCTAATCCGTTGGCTGGGGAGAGGACAGAATTGACCCAGCCAATGCGATCTTAGCGTAGATCCAAGTTTCTGTCACATATAACGACGCAGCTTCTCCCCTTCCCCCGCCGTTCTGGTGTACTCAAATTCTCATCAGTCTCGAATCCATCATGGCCGATGTCAAGCTGGGCGATCATCCTGATAGTGGTAAGTTTTGCTACAACAAGCCAAGGCGCTTCATGATAGTATGCGAGCATTATACTAACCACTTGTCTAGGGCGTGTCCATTCCGCCTCTTTTGTCAGCACCACTAGAGATATCGAATCTATACAAACCGACGCACGGACGGCCCAGTACGGTTTGGACCGGACCCTGCAGCCACTGAACTACAATTGGAGAGCTGATGAGGATATCAAATCAATCAGTCGCCTCGGAACTTTTGGATCTGGGAAAACCTACTATCCCGAGGGGATAGAAATACCTCTATGTGATAGCTGGGAATTCCGCCCGAAAGATATTAAAACCGAAACATGTGGCTCTGTTGCAGGGAAGTTACTGGTGGAAAGCTCGAACAAAGTCAAGAGAATCCCTTTCGGATCGATGGTACAGTATGCAGTTGAGTTTCACTCTCTAGAGCTGCAGACCGCCTTTCGGGAATACGAATGGATCCATTCCAAAATTTACTACTATTTCGTGAGAAGGCGGAAACGGGCTGAACTCTTGCTTAGTGTGAAGGAGGTATACTCTCCGACGTCGCCGACGGGACAACCGGTCACTAATACGAAATGACAGGAGCTCAACGCCAATGGTTCTGACAAATTCATCATTGCTGTCATCCAGCATGTATATGATTGTGTCCAAAAAAGGAAATTGAGCGATGTCGATCTGATCACACCACTCCGGCACTTTATAACTAGGCCCTTGGAGAATCATCTTCAAAAACCGACATCCGCCAAAGCAATATGGCACCAACTCCAGTTGCTTGAACTTCGCTTCAATAGGTACATTGATGGGGACTGGAAGATTCCACTCGATACCCGCACCGATTTCCTCGAGGATTTCCTGCCATTGTCTTACGCCGAAAACCTTACCGAGATCGATCACGATTTGTATCTGAATCTATCTATCAAGTCCTTCGAGAAAAGAGATGGAGAAGAGAAGAAAGCTTTGACAACCCTTATAGCTCGCTCAGACAGTCTAGTGTGGTTGGTTAGAGACTGTTTAAAAGTCCAAAATGATCAATGCGACTGACTGAGTGGCTTCAATGTGCTAAGGTTAGTGGATGAATAATTGTCTAGAACCTTACTCTAACTAGAGGATATAGGCACTCTCCTATCTACGCAACTTTTACTCTGTTGATGCTATCAAAACAGGAGTCATGGCTGCTATCAGCTCAGAAGTCATACCAAACAACTCGAAGCTGATCGAGCAGCTTGATGGCCTTTTTGATTTTGAAAAAGAGCTGGGTGAGACGAAACCATGCCTTCTGCCTCTCCTACGCGCAAGAAAATGTGTGGAACACGGGATATCCGGTTTTGGTGCAAGGCTTATACAATGGTCAAAGGCATATTCGCCAACCTACACAACAATGCCAAGCATTATAGCCATTCCCTGCAAAGCTGCAAGCCCCATGCGCAGCAGTTTCTTGCAGGATATTCAATGTGGCAAAACTGCTCCAGAGTTATCGAATCCTCGCGAGAATGTCCCATCATATCCACAAAAAGCAGATTCAAACCCTCAGCTGTCACAAAATGATAAGATGGTCTACAGCCCGCTAGTCCAATCAAAGGAAATCGACAATAGCCAGGCACTGAAACCTAGCCTGAACATATTTAGCTTATTCTCCTTTCCCTGGCGGTGTCTGGGGGGCTGAGCTATTTTGATGTACTATGGCTTTCTATGTATGCAGAAATATTACTCTTAATGTCGCTCGAAATATTGTAGAAACCTCTTCTAATCCGTCAACTGCAGCGGAAGTACCCAGCATCTATTCTGTCGAGTCTATCAACACAAGTCAGGACTGGCACAAGATATGAGTACCTCTCGCCCGGGTATAGCAAGTGAGCTAGTATTATCCATATTTGAGTCATATATGTGGAGATGGCGTGAAGCGGTGCAAATCATATGGCAAGCACGGTCAGGTTGCCCCGGAGCTCGGGGACTGTAAAAGAGCGGTGTCCATGTCTACACTGGTCTAGGCCCTTATTGGAGAGGGGGCATGATTTCGTGGTCCTTTGGTCCATACAAGAGAGCCCCGGGAACGCTTTGGTCGCCTGAGTGGCGATGACATATACTGGATATAAGTACGGCTTCGTCCTGCAAATGCTTATGCCTTAAGTTTCCTTTCCCCTTGTTGACTGTCCTTCTTCGATTACCAGTATTTCCCGGCGATGGACCCTATGCGCGCAGCACAAACTGAAAGGAACCAAGGCTGGCAACATTTTGACCTAATTACCACACGAGTGGACTCGAATGGAAAGATACCAGAGCAAATGTGTAGCTTTCCGGCTCCATTGTCAATTTTTCAACCGCGCAATTGCTCCCCGCCAGCCTTAAGTACCATGACATATGGCCCATCGCTCCAGGAGCCCCCGACCGGCCTGATACCTTGCGAGTATGACTTGCATTCGGGCTCCTTTAGCCAATCCGAGAAACACAAAGCAAATAGCGACGCGGCACAACGCTCCCGCCAGAGGAAAAAGCAGCTGCAGGCCGAGGTTTATCGTCTAAAGAAAGAAAATTTATCTCTACGCACAGAGTTGGCCCGTTGCATATCTGAGCGTGACTACTTTCGCAGTCATTCTTACCTATCCGGGAAATCAGATACGAGGCCGCCGCCACAGTCTAGGGATGACATGTTGGAAAACGAGCATGGCTAGAACATGTCATGAGTGACTACGTTGTTGCAGTTATGGGCCCGGGTTGAAGATCACAGGAAGGAAGAAATCAGAGACAGATTGTCGCCTCTTGGCGATGATATCTTGTGCGCATTCTACTCGCCACGAATGGTGTTTTCGGCCTCGTATATCTAGGCAGAAGTGTCTCCACATGCTTTAAAATGTAGATTTATTTGCGTTATAAGTGCCTAGTTTGAATTACCATTTTCATCAATCACAATTCTATCCATCTATTCTGTCGAGTCTATCAACACAAGTCACTTAATACGTGTCGCGATGACGGAGCTTTGTCCATTTGGACATCACCCATTGCAATCTCCTCACTAAGATGAGTGAGGATGTGAATAAGTATCCAAGATCGGATATGGGTTTGCTTATTCGAACTTCCCTTAAGCCGAAACTCGAGAAGTTGCAGCCTTCGTTTTTGGTTCTTTTTAAGGCCAAAAGTGGTATGCAGAATGGAGATCTCTGTCTGGGCCCAAATTAAAGACAGCTCACATGCTAAACAAATGACCGAGAATATCTAAGGTACAACAGGCGCAGCATATAAAGCAGCAGCATTTCTCATCTTAATGAAACAATTTTCACGGAAATTTTGACTTTAAAATGGAGCCCAGCTTTCCCCATATTGATCCAGCTTGGGCAAGCTCTCCAAATGAGACCGCCGAAAATTAGTATCATTCAGTTACTTATAGAATTTCAGGCACCTACACAATAAAACCGGTCGAAGGGGAGCCAATTGTTGAGATGGATCCATCTCCGCTACTTTCTATATGCCAGCGCTTCTTCTCGATTGGATACCAAAAGTTCCACGCCGCAGCAGTTTATGTGGTCATAAAAGAAATGTCGAGAGAATATGATTTCGACGACTCTCTGCAAAATGAACTCCGCTTCGAGATTGAATATAGACTCGATGACGATGGTGTATTTGAGAGCGAAGAGGGTTCGCTTATTTGAATTGCTCTTGCACTGCAACAACGAGTCTGGATGAAAATTCAGGATGGCCAGGTCTTTGAGATCGATTCAGCTGAGATTCCAGAGCGGGAAGTTGTTCTGGACAAGTTCCAGCCTCTGTTGGGGGCGTTTTTAAGACCAACAGGGTTATACAAAATGGAGTTCACTGTCGTTGGCTTTTCCCAGCCTATTTCGAAGTCTGGAACTATTATTGGACTTGCAAATCTGTTCCGCCTTGCCGCACCGGGAATGTGCAAATGCGGTCGGATTCACTATGAGAAATTAGACAGAGAATAAACATTATCAGGACAGTTCACAGATCATCAAAGACTTCCACTTAAGATTGACAGCTACATTAAACTTGGATATCGTCAAGGCTCCTAAAAGTTCACTATCTTCCAACAAAACTCTCTCTATGCCCTTTAAATGATTCGCTTTTGTGAACCTGGCACGAGTCTCAATCTGCACTGATCGTTTCTGTGTAGAATCAGTAACATTTTCGCAGGAACCATTATCATTCCTAATATCGAGAAATCTAAGAGGTAGGACTGAAAGCAGAACAAAGGAATCTGTGTCTGTTTCTTAGAGAGAGACGGAGATAGCTATTAAACAGGAAGGCGGAGGCAAATGCTACGCTAACACCTCAGGCACCTATATATCTTATCAATATTCGTGGGTCATAAGGATAATCTCTGATACTATGATTGGTTCGTTTATATCTCCTAAAAGAAATTACACAGGCGTGATCTCTGACGGCGAGTTACCCCTTAACAAATGTCGACACGTTTTTATCTTCTTCCCCCGATTTCCTATAACCTTAAAGCTCTTCTATAATTTCTGATCGCTCTCTAATTATACTGACTTAGTTGATTATTTAGCGTCGGCCCCCTATTATATCTACCGTGAAACTTCAAAGTTAACGCTATCTTTTATTCCTCTCTATATATATTAGTTTCCCGGCGACGATATATCGCTTCTAACTTTAGCGTGATTCGTCGCTCTTTAACTATAGAATAAAGAATAGTAGCTTCTCTCGAGACGGTGTGGAAGTTATAGAAGATGGACTAGTTTATTTAATACTCTCGAAATCCTTCTTTTATCTATAAGTTTACTTCTTTACGTTTCTCGCTTAGCTCCTAATATCTCCGTATAGATTTAAACGGACCGGTCTTTAGACCTAATACCTATTTAATGCAAGAACTTCTTTGAAGCGACTATAACCTCTATAAGGAACAAGTAGAATCTGGTAGACAAGTTGCAGATCTATAAGTGATTCGTGTAAAAAAAGGTATTGGTCGAATAGAGAGGAATGGATTACAAACCGTTGGTGCCTGAGGCTTAAAGAAGGCTGGATACTGCCAAATTTCGTGCCAAGCCCCGCTCTCAACATTGGTCTGATACTTGGTAATGCACGTGGTGCGTGTTCTCACGTGTTCTGTTCTATGCTACCGTTCCTCGCCGTTTCAGGGCAACTGCGTGCGACAGCGCGCATCCCGGAGACCGGGGGTGCCAGGGATTAGGAACTGCACGTGATCTCAGGCCAGGTGGGCAGTGGTTTGGCCAATCGTTTTTAATACACACCCTACAAGACGGGTGTGTTCAACGAGCATGGCCCTTTCTTTTTTGAGTCCACTGAGATAGGTGGGACTTTATTGCATTTCACCAGCCCTCAACTCCCTTCCCCTACTCCTATTGACTCTTGTGTTTTCATCACCATCAATTTTCTTCCTAACAACAATGTATTGCACGTTTCCATCCTCTCTATTGTAATTGTGGATACCAAGGTGGGTGGGTGGTGAAAATGGTCTTGTCTTGCCAATTCTCAACGCGTACCCTACCTCTCTACGTGTTAACCACCATGTTTCTGTGGAGTTCATTATTGTTTCACCACCCGCCGTCCCCCCAACCCTCTTGTTGACCGTTCATTTTTTTTATTCCCCACTGACTTTGTGTCTCCCCATCAACAATGTCCTATACGATATATTTACCCGGTAATTCTACTCTTTGGTGATCTAGTGGTCGTATACAGTACCCTAGCTAGCATGTATTGCTCCGTTGAATATGTACGTTCAGTCGGTTTTCAGCAGTGCGAACCTTCGCCGATAAAGATAAGCGGCGATGATAGTGACAGTGGAGTTGTAGTATTCACGTCAGAGGATTCCATTTCCGTGACACAAATTTAATAACCTTGCCTAATCATCTTGAAGCGTAGATGTTATACGGCGATCGCTATGAGGGTAAAACTTTTTTACACTTCACCACCGCCCCATTCGTTTTTGAGGGAATACTGTCACGGCAACCGTTGGCTATTAATAATCGATAGCAGTACTACATTGATCAGATTAAATGAACAGGAAGTTGAAGAATAAAAGCATTCAATTGTGCGTTCAACCAAATTGAGACGAAAAAGGAGGTGCTGAAAGAGTAACTAAAACTTCCGTTTAAAAGTGAGGCTGCAGACAAGTGGTGACAAGGTACTAGTTTAAATAACGTTCTTTTTAAATGGTAGTACTGTAGTTTGAATAATCAAATGACTGGACAGAGTCCATAATCAGAAATATTGATCTGGTGAAAGAGCACAGCACTAATAGACAAGAAGGAATGGCTGGTGTGGTTTCAACGCAAGGTCTAGTAATCCGTACATAGAGAACGATGGCGGGCGGTGAAACTGTAATCAATCTTCCTATAGCCCTCGGAAACATTAATGCTGCTTCTCTTCATCACCATCCTATTTGTTTGTGAGAGCCGAGGAGACAGTTAAGGGATTGGTATTAACATTAATTCCTAATTAATTGATAGCAGTCTGTTCTTCCTTTATCAGATTAAATGAACTGGCCCTTGAAGGTGAGTTGAAAACGTTGAGATGGTGATATGTGTAGCAATTAATTCAAGTGTTTCAATTTTTAAACATGAGGGCGGCCATAGTGGTGAGAACGTTGTTTAAACACTGTTCTCTGTATAAAGTCGGGCTGGTTGAATAGGATTGGCTAAACATCATCACCCTCTCCATATAGATTTAAGGACCGTGCATTTTCCTAATACTCTCGCGCCCCCTAGGTCTCTGGCGCGAAATTATTTTAGCCTGGTTGCAAGGACAACCGTGTGGGTGGTATTTGCTGCAGTCGTTTTTGTTTTCGCGGCCAAGGCGGGTTTAATGCCACACTAAGATTCGTGGTGTAATGGCTGATATTCTGCTACGTACAGATCTCTTTCGTTCGGCTTTCCGGTCAACGAACGAGTTGGATGAGCTCGCAATCAGGCAGCAGGCGGCCTGATTACCAGCGAAGTGCACACCCGGTACTACAAGACAAAGAGGACAACGAGAACGGTGTCCACGAGGAGGCGCGGAGAACATTCTTACCCCAGCCGAACACGCAGAGTCGGAACGACTGGGAGGTAGACTAAGTTCAAGGAACCTTCTGCCCAGCCAAGGAGAAGAAAGGTATTATCAGCTCGAATCCTTGGTGAGATTCAGCTCCGTCGCTCGGAATTATTTCTGCGGGGGCATGCCACTCTGGGTAATCAAGTACGGGCAACCCTACAAGGACATATTCAGAGTTCAGAAAGCGTTAGCTCCCAAACAAGCAATTGGACCTTTCAAAGCACAATTCTCAATTTGGAATTCGTGATATCCAAATTCAACATCGTCACTGCTAGGTATACCCAAGAAGTCAAATCCTCAATTGTAGAACATTGTGTCACGAATCTTCTCGTGGATGTTCAGTACACTTGGCTCCGCTTGACTCGAACCCACACCCTGTAATCCACCTCCTACAATACTCAATTCGGGACTGACCACGAGGGATTGGTCGAACAGTCTGCTTAGATAGCATCGTGCCCTTTCGCAGACGAGATCCGCATAGTATGCTGGGGGACGGACGCTTACGGCTTTGGTTACTCGTCTGAATAGGTAGCACTCGTACCGATATTGCTCATGCACCCTCGTTGCGGTCCCGATTGCCGTACCTCTCCCGGCACCAGCACTCCGGACATTGAAAAGAGTAATTGACATACCAAGACCTCACCGCACTTTCCCAAATTTCGGATGTCACTCCCATCTTCAGCCAGTCCTCTTTGTACGTTTTCCAGAATTGTCTTCGCCTTGTTCGATGCCTCAAGCAGTCACAGCAAAGGCCGATGCTTTTTTCGATACAGCCACTATCATCGCGAGGTGCGATTCGCCTGAAAAGAAGAAATATATCTGCACAGGTAGATGGTGGGCGGAACCTGTGCTTGGCTACTGACGGTATCCGGATTTTCACGAGTGATGAAACCTGGAGCATCCATTTACACGTCAGGGATAGACACATTCGATCTAACGAATTAGTGCAATTGAATATCTCAACTAGGACCTCTGCAAGTAAGTGCGATAGATTCCCAGTGATTTGAAGCACCGCCTTCAGGAGCTGGCACTTGTCAGACAATTAACATATTTTCACACTATGAGTGGAATGGGCGTTGCTCACGTTGGCTGGCCGATAAAATCGGCTACGACAGGAATGATATGTATCCGAAGCTTTTGCCATAGAATTCTTTTGGCTTGTTTGTGCGGATAACTCGATGACATGGGATAATGGTCCCAGAGACATCGGTTATCTCCCCCGGTTTTCAATTCGGGAACGTTACACATGAGGAAAACAGAGTTTGTTTCCAGGGCAACCAACAACGCACCCTTTGTGGAAAATGTCTGTCGAGATCAATCAATGACCAGAGCTTTCGTGATTTACCAAATATCACAACATACAACAGGAAATTCTTCCAGAAAAGAGTCAAACCTCTTCAGCGCAAGGCAAAAAAAAACCTGCGTAGGGTGAAAAGGTGTCGGGTCGCAGAGTCCTATTGCCGGTAGTGGATTGCGTTAGCTCCTTAACCAAGTCGTCACCAGGGGCGACAGCGCTAAGACCATCAAGTGAATAAGGCACTACCTTGTCCAACAAGGTCTAGCCCCTTCTTCTCTCTCCAGTCTCGATACTTTGGTTGCAATGCTACTACGTTGGTTGATTGACAAGCCACGACTCCCCTCCATGCGTATTCCTTCCTGATCTGTCCTATGTTCTAGATCACAACATTCGTCACACTCTCCTTTCTGTATCTCTCGGTCTTAGCCTGAGTGTGAGGGGATGATCTGGTTCAGCATGGCCGGCGCGACCCAATCTAATCCGATCTTATCCGAGCGTTTTGCTACTCCAAGGTGGAGAAAGGAGTAGCACCAACCAATGATATTAGTATCTCTCATCAAGAATTATGATTGGTCAAAAGACCCAAGCAATACTTGATGCCTCGGGTTACAGCTGAGGGTTGAGGACTGTGCCAAGAGGGGTGAGTAAGCCGGTAAACAACTGGACGTCTTTCGCTTTGGAGGGCCACACCTCCGCGTCAGACAGCGAACCCAAATCATGTTGACTTTGATTTGCATTATTCTACTACCCGCTGAATACTGATTTCAACAATCGATTGACGAATCCATCGTAGAGCTACGACGTCAGCTTGAAGAGGAGAGACGGGCGCGAGAAGAGGCAGGGCGCCTCCAGGAAGAGGCAGAACGACGAATTCAACCAAATACCCTACTTCGCCTCCTTGATCGCTGCCATGAATCTCTGTCTCAAGCGATCCGAGTCGAGACGGATGCTACCCTCACGACTCAGGGCGACGCGACCGACCCAGTGAACCGACTTTACCCCAAGCGCATAGTCCCTTGGCCTGACTTCCCCCAGCTCCAACAACAAGTCTGGGGCAAACTCGACCGCACCGCTGCCTTTACCTCGCGCCCACTATTCCCTTCCGATACTCAAATCGATTACGTCGCCACGAATATTCAGAACAACCCAATCTATTCAGAGACGTCGCTTCGGAACTTTGAGCGAGATACTGTGGATAACTTCGTCGAAAAGGTCATTCATCCTTTGCGAGACGATGGAGCTCTTCGCCATGAGTTTGGAATCCAAGGCCGAGTTACTTTCTACGATCGCGTGAACCCATCGGAAACTTTGTTAGAGAGCAGTCTGGGGCAAATGAATCTTCGGGATACGCGGACACCTCAAAGGCCGGCGAACACAAGGCCCAGAAGAGCCAGAGGAAGAGCGAGAGGCGCAGCGCAGGGGCAGAAAAGGGAAGGCACTGCACGAAGACGCAATCGCCGCGCCGACCAATTCTGCGTGCATATTGTGGCCAATGAACGACACATACCGGTGCATGCAGTGGAGTTCAAAGCGCCACATAAAGTGACGATCCCCGAATTAGTGGCGGGTCTACATCAGATTGATCTGGCCAGGGATGCCATTGACCAGGAGGGTGATACTTTTGAATTCTACGCTACCCGCCTCGTTGCCGCCGTGGTCACTCAGATATTCTCATACATGATCTACAGTGGAGTTCGATATGGTTACATCTGCACAGGAGAGGCTTTTGTTTTCCTCCAAATCCCGAAGGATGATCCCACCATTGTTCAATATTACTTGTGTATCCCGAATCAAGACATGCAGGCGGACGATGAATTTCGCCTTCACCGGACCGCCATCGGCCAGGTACTTGCGTTCACCCTGCAAGCGCTGACCGCCGACGCTCCTTCTCAAGAGTGGCACGATGCGGCACACGACAAGCTGATAGCCTGGGAAGTCGAATATTTGGACGTGTTGAGAGAAATTCCCGAAACCCTGCGCAAAGACCAGCCAGGCTCTAATTATCGGCCCTCGCACTGGAAGCGAGATCGGAAAATACACAACACACGCTCTCGCACTCGTTGTCAACCAGGCGTTTCTACACCGAAACACCCGTCGACTGAAGGTAACGGCAGCGAAGAGGAATCACATTCACCATCCGCAGCAGCAGCATCGCGCAGTCGATCGAGCCGCGACCGCAGCAATAAAACCCAATCAAGCAGGGAAAGCGGAAAGACGCGATCTAGCCGAGACAACAAGCAGAATTCTCGAAAAGACGGGCATTCCACGCGACCATACTGCACCATTGCCTGCATCCATGGCATAGTCAGCCGACGCCCTCTGGATAAGAAGTGCCCCAACTGGGAACTCCACGGTCGTGAGAGACACTCCATGGGACCGCGAGAGTTCACACGCCAGCTTCATCGCCAGCTTAGCCGAAATCGAGACCACGGCTTCGAACAGCTCCATATCTGTGGTCGGACAGGATATCTTATCAAAGCCACCCTTCTTTCGCGCGGATACACTGTGATCATTAAAGCCACGACTGTGGAGAAGCAGCACCGCCTTGAAGCGGAAGTGGATAATTATTACCGTCTCCGGAGCCTACAGGGACAGCACATCCCTGTTTGTCTCGGGGCTTTTATGCCTCGCATCGCATATTGGTATCATGGCGAATTAATGGCGCGGATGATGGTCTTGAGCTGGTCTGGAACGCGTCTTCAGCATGTCATCAATGAGCGGAATTCCAGCTTCTTTCACCAGGAGCGCGAGAAAGCACTGGCCGTGCTTCGGTTGCACGGAGTTGTGCACGGTGACAGTGAGTGGCGTAATATGCTGTGGGATGACCCCGGTGGCCGTTTGGTCGTCGTCGACTTGGAGGACGTGAAGTGGTTGAAGCGCCCTCAGGCCCTTGACTCAGCGTCTGGCAATGCACAACGTGGTCATCGCGTAAAGGTTGGAACTCAGGCAAAGATTCCTGACCAGCTCAACTACTATCTGCACATGACGTCCCCAGGCCCATGGCTAGGCCTCACTAGTTGATTCACGTTTGTACTATATGGTAACGAGGAGGAAGGATGTATTCTCTGAATTTGAGTCCACCAAACAGATTACTGGTGTATGTGAACTAAAAATCGCTTTGTGGGCATTCGAGACTGTCGTGTCTTCTCAAAACATATAATGAAAGCTCTCAAAAGACTAATTAATTGGTGCCCTCCAACATACTGTCACTCAGCACGACTTCCTTGCCCAATATGACCCTTCAGAGTCTACCCCTGAGATCTCACCTTAAACGCCCTACCCTCTGTTTCCCTCTCTTCTTTCTCTTCAATCATTTGTTTTCGCCACCCAGCCCTCCACGCAAGAAACAGCATCATAGGGCGACTTCTTGCGCTCCAAGAGAAATGATAAAACTTCTGCTGGACTGAAGACATGCTCGGGCATGTTGTTGGCAAAATCACGAGCAAGGCCCTCGACCATCTCCTCGTCATATTCCTCGTTACATTGCTTTTGGCTCGGCAACTGCTTGAAAACTGTGTGGAAGAACTGAGTCGAAATGTTGTGATCGGCAAGTTTGATATGAACTTTCTTGACTGAACGGCCAGGCCGAATCAATGCTTCGTCCAGATGTTCGATATAATTCGTGGTCATGATGAGGATCCGGCCCTCTTGAGATGAGACACCATCAAGCACATTCAGAAGTCCGGAGAGGGTGACTGCCGATTTTGACTCTTTTTCTTGGTCTGTGTCGACGCTGTCCCGACGCCCCACCCCAGCGGTATCCACGTCCTCTAAGAGAACAATACAACTCGGCGGAAGCTCAGCAAACAATCTCATTAAAGTGGTGTCTGAAATGTTCGACAGTTGGAGCGTATAAATATCCAGTTCGTGTTTCCCTGCAAGTGTTAGACTGAAGCTGGATTTCCCAGTTCCGGGGGGGCAAAGAGAAGGTAGCCTCGTTTGTAAAGGATACCTCGTTCTGCGTACCAGTCTTGCATATCTTGATCGAGAAACTCGTCCACGTCTCTTAATATGTCGTCCTTTAACTCGTTGTTCATGATGACTGTGGAGATAGGTCGAACTGGTCTCAACCTGGCTTTCTTCCACTCCCCTTCACGATTCTCAAAGACAGAGACCTTTCTCTGGGTGTCCTTGAGATACTTTTCTCGGCATTCTTCGATAAGACTTTTCAGAATGTTGGCATTAAGACTAATGGAGGAGATGCGGAGATCCTCTCGATGCTCTTTGACATCACAGTGAAGAATGAGCTAATGTCCTTTGTACCAAAAAGAAAATGATCCATCCCAAGGAGAAAATGTCAATGTTTTTTTTTTCGTTGAGTGGAGATTACTTGTTCGCTGTGTGGATCTCACACGAGCAATCAATGAGTGGGCACTATGGACAAATGGTTGGTCGGCGATCCAATCGACTAGCATATCTTATGCTTCGTCATAGTATGAGACACATCCCATTATAACAGGAGGCATGCAAACTGAAGTAACTTCTCACTATCTCCCAAACATAGCGAACTGCATAGCGGGCGAAGAGGACAAATATCCCGAAAGCACACAACAGTCGGGTGTAGCTGTCCAGGTTACCGGCAAGCAGCTGGTGTGCGGAGGCAGAGGCCATACTAAAACCGGGAAAGATGACATTTGAGGGGGGTTGTGGTAGGCACCAGCGCCGATGGGGTTCATTGTAGAGAATGACAAAGGTTCCCCGTGAATGATTATATGAGTGAGTTTGATGACTGGGGCTATACCGTTTTATGAGAATATCTGGAGGAAAGTGGTATACCGGCTCTAATTTATAGGGCAAGCTATCAACCCTCGTCTCCTAATCATCGCGTCAGCTTAAGTTAGGTCAAAGCCGAGCCGCAGACGTGCAGGACTCTTCTGCAAGAAGCAGCAAAACATTACTTTGATTGGTTAACATCAATCAAGAATCATACTCCAGTTCTATTCCTATGCAAAATGGCGGGAAAGCACGCAGTAGTGTGTATCTTTTGGGGGCTTTTCTTGAATGTATGAAAAATAACTCAAAGTACCAGCCAACCAGTGGTGGACATAGACCAATAGATGGTCTTTCTCATTCCCGTCGCTGATATAAACCTTTACATTGCATTGAACTTGGACCCGACAACATGAAAATTGATAGGTCAATAATTATCGAGACTTTTATATTATTTTATGGGGCCAAAGAGGGTTTACGCTAGGCTGGCCACGGCACACATTAAAGCGGGGGCATTTTCACATGACGTGGTTCTTGAGCCCGATAAAGCCAAGCTCATCCTCTGTCTAATTCATTAATGGTCAGACATTCATCGGGTTTTTATGAAACTAAGACACAATGTCGGCAGGCGCAGTTCTCTCACAATTTTCAAATTTGCTCAATCACATGGAATCTTTGGGTCCCAAGTTGAGCTCTAACATCCGTCCAACCCGCGATCAGTTGGACGAGATCCAGAAACTGAGAGAGCGACTTAAACCAGCTTTGGCAGGTATCGAGTCTCATGTGGAACTCCTGTTGAAGAAAGCAACCCCCACAGTTAAAGAGCAAAACCTTGCAAATCGAATCCGATCTTTCCATGTCGCCGACCAATTCGATCCAGCATTGTTTAGGAAAAATCTAGTGCTTATCTTTCGAGGACCAGATGAATCTGCTTTGGATACAGACAAAGTCAGAATCAGGAAAGCCAAATCTCGAACCCGATGTGAAAAACTTTGCGCCGAGTCTCCTCATTTGATTCTGAGGTGGGCAATGACACTTCAGCCATCAGCGTGGATACACCCAACAGTCATGGCAGATAGTACCTTCGATTTTCTCATTGGAGATTTGAAGGCAATCTTTGATCAAATACCTTTAGGGTCGCCGAAAGCCTACATTGCTTGAAGGACGAGGAACTCTTGAAACCTTGCGAACGGTTCCAAGAATTTGTCAAAATGATAGATCGATCAATCAGTGTGGAAGAGTAAGAGCATATGGCGCGATACAAACGGATGCGTACAAACCACAGTTCACCAACGGAAGGAAAACGTCATGCTCCACAGAGTGATGATAAACAGATGATAGAACGAAGAAGCAAAGGTAAATAAACAACGCTATGTTATGCACAGGAGAATGATGCTGAAATGATGATAGAAATCGACTACAAAATGTCATCCATGCCATCCGGCAAGCTGCCACTATTGATCAAACGACTTTCGTGGGCGATAGAAAGTAGCGAGCAATGGAAGTGGGAAAGAAGAATCTTCGCTGAGAGGCTGGGGAGCGATGCGGATACAACAGATTGCCTTAACTTTTTTGTCCCAAAAGATCGAAGTCAAGATATATCGATCACTTTAGTGGTTGGTCGTCGTGCTGGCTTTGATTTGATATACGAAGCAGAAGTTGAAATTATCCGCGTTTGAAAGTTACAGTTGCTCCGATCACAGGAGCTGCGATCACGCTCACTTGGCATCCAGCAGGCACAGTCGTAATTTCCTCCACCGAAGGGTCTTGTCCGTTTTCCCAAACGGCAGGAGACCGAGGATCAGCTTTCGGATCAAAGATGGTGATCGATTCCCCTTTTCCTGTGATTGTTCTCTCGTAGTCCGTCTCCCGAAAAAGAGCAGCCCCTTTGATTTCGTATGTGTGACCTTCCACCGCTGCGATTCCATGTTCCTCGGCCATTTCGGATAGCTTTGCTTTCTTTGTTTCAGACTTCGATTTAGACCAAGGCGGCAGGATAGTTGAGTTCGTAGGATGAATTCGCGAGGCGGGGTTTGGTGAAATATTGCGGGAAAGAGTAATTCGAGCAAAAGCCCCGCTTAAGTCAAAATTTCCAGATAATGGAGGGATGGCTAACACGTGACGGTTGCGTCCTAATTGGGTAGCACGGGAGGTCAGTCAGCAAGGACTGGAATTCAAGTCAATGGACTCTACCTCAAGACTTGAGAGCGAGAGATGTCAACTTTTCTTCGTGAGGAAATATGGAATTATTAATCTCATCAAACTTAGCATGGCTATTTCGGTCTTTTCTATGTCAGTCAGGACTCCGGATCATCCAAGGGGTCGTTCTCACAGTTGCTAGTCGTGATTGCCCAAATTTTTCAAGATATGCACTGACTGTGATGACTCCTGAAAAAAAGCAGAAGATTATGGCCGTTTAAGCTGCCGCCTTCAGAGCCCGTCGATGATTGGAGGGTTGATTCCCGAAGAAGTTCAAGCTTCGAGAAGATGTTGAATACGAACTACTTGACCGACTGCAAATTCGCCAAAGTCGAATGTACTGGATCACGAAAAACAGAGTCTCAGCTGTCGTGAGCAAAAGAAGTAATGCGTACAAAATGTGGCGTATTCTTCTCTGTATGTGGTCGAGAAAGAAACTGTTCGATTGAGTCAAGATCAGGTCGACTGAAGCCGAGAAACAAGACTTACGTTATCAGCAGCAATGATTTGGCGATAGGAAAGATGATAAAAATATGGATTGACCAGAAACTTGTGGATGTCAGCAGGATCCACATCGAATTTGGGTATTTTTACCTCGTTTATCGGTGGCAGAAGAAGTAAAAACCCCAGTTCAACAGTCAGAGCAGGCCTCGAAGAATCTCTACGTAGGGGATTTCTCCTCCCACTTCTTGGCCTTCCCTTTCCGTTTTAGTGCTCACCCCTCGCCGCTTTTTGCTCACTGAGTAGAACTGAGCACACCCCTGAGCGGCCTGACCTGATCAGTGATCGTTACATAAGCGAACTGACTTGCTCAGTGAGCATCACCTGATCCTCACCTGAGCGGTCTGATCCACTCACTGATCCTCATCTGAGCGCCCTGATTTGCTCACTGAGCACAGCCTGAGCGTAGGGTGAGTAGCGAGCAAAAGCGACCTCAATAAAATGCAACACGCTAGTCCCATTCACGTGCCACCCTCCCTCTCTAGATTGCCCCCATTGTCCCATCAAAAAAGCACTGCATCATCACTGTGACCTTTCATCCTCGTAAACTTGCTGCAATTCATTGCGCCACAATGGAGCCCCCTACCTGACCAACCAATGAATTGTACATTTCAGCCTACGTGCTCCCAGGAATACTTCGTTTACGATGTCCTAATCAGGATTTGGAGAACTACCGGTGCCAGGGCAATTGGATGAGTTTTCGGAGATCTACATGCTTGCTCTGAGCCAGGGGCCACAGTGGAGAAACGATTGTTCAGGATGTGAGACAAAGAACCACTTCTCTCACCAACGAGCGCACACATCAGAAGGCTACTAGGAGCAACAGGTCATGAAAAGGGTACTATCACCAGGTACCGTGAGGCTCCAGAGGATTTGCTCCTGGGAGCCAGCCGTACGCTCCCAAAAGCCCACCAGACCCACGAATAATTTTCAGATGTTTGCAAACTATCTTGTTCGGGCCAATGCTGATCACCTAGATTCCCAGGAACTCGAACCAGCCCCTAAGATTATTGTCTAAAGATTTGCTGGAGATAAGCGGCTACAAACAGGATATATATTTGAGCCCTCTACAATTGTTTCTTACTCGGGTCATCAACAATCTATCCAAGGACAGAAACCACCCATGTGTACTACATACAATGAGTTTACCCTTGGTATTTTCTTTTGAGAGGTGTCAACTAACCCTAATCTAGTTCTTTCGCTCACAATGACCGGGCCAACAAGTACAAGTGCTCCCACTACCCAAGCCGCAAAAGCTGCACAGTGCAGCGTCCTTGCCCCTTTGAAAGTCATCCAAGCCACTGAGCGTACCAGCGATGATTAAAAGAGCATTGTCATCAATTGTCTTCTTTCGAAAAGGCATTAGAGAGACTTTTATCAGACATTGGCCGTTCCGATCCTTGCAAGCTCAGTTCTCAAGTCCAGCGTCATCTTCGGATGGCAATTTTGAGCAACCAAGATACCTGTGCAAGATTCCAGAATAATTTCAAAGAATGGACCGATCACTCCACCAATGAATATCTTCACGAATCGGATTCAGGTGGGTTTGATGTGTTCGGGGAGATAGAATTGCGACTCTTGGGCGAACGGCTACATATGTTGGAATTTACCATATACATGGCGATGGAAGACTCCGCGTTTTATGTGAAGCTCGAATCCCCAATCTTGGGCAAACCGTCTGGCTAGGTCTCTACATCAGACTTTCTGCTTTATCTACCTCGAAGACTTTTTCTGACGGGGAGTGGAACTCGATCTTGGCCAGAGAATGAATTATTTTCGGCGGCGATTGAACCGAAGCGAATGAAATAGGAATGCAGCACCCTCGAAATGTCTTGGATGGGCTTTTGTCTGAGATTAGTCGCCTACGCCATGCACAAGAAATTTATCCCGAGGACGAAGATCAGCTTCCTGTGGATGCTGTCAATGCCATACCTGATGCTTTCGGTGGAAGGCTGATAGCTATTTCTGCAAGATGTTCACTCTCCTGGATTCTCTAATTATTCATTTTTTTCTTGCCTCAGGGACAGGTGACTGAATGCAGCCCTGGAGATTATTCAATGCCGTAGGGTTCTTTATGCAAATTCTATTATACCAGAGGCACCAAATGGATTCTCAAAGATAATCTCAAGGCTTGAAGGAGTCCGATCTTGTGCAGTATTTGTTGTACTTGGAACAGGCTGTCGGATATGTGGAATGTGGATTCTTACTAGCGGCGTGTCATGGATACAGCAGACCTGTTTCTGCAGCAGACACCTAGCTTTGCAGGCATTTACATGCTGAATCAGCACACACGCAGCTGTAAAACCCTGAAATCATGTATTTAGAACCACACATCTCAATAGCAGTTCAATTGGACCTCATTGGTCTATACTGTTACTCGTGCGGACGAATCCCTCCTGATCCGACACAGGTATCTACTCGTAAATTAATTACCACAGTGGTCACACATGCTGTACAGCCACACCTCCAATACGCTAAGCCACAACTGTAGATACTGTAGGCCGATATTTCGGCTTCCTTTTTCCCTCGAAATTGCTGCTGGCTCCAAAACAGTGTGAAGAGCAACATTCATCAAAATGCAATGAATGACTTTTCTCCCAACCCTCCCTTAACTAATTAATCACCTCAACTAAAAGATTTCATATTTATTAAATTGGCGCTCTCTTCTACTTCTTACTAATTAACCGGGTTTATTTGTTAGGTATCTGAGGTTATTTTTATTATTGTCTGATAAGCTGTTAAGTTGCATCTTGATGCAGCACGTCTACGACGTAAAATGAGCCCCCGTCGCGTTGTTGCCTTAAACTCAGCCCAAGTGGTTAAGGCGGTAAACGTCTCTTCTACAAAGGACTGGCGTTATCAACACAATGTGGCCAAAGAATATTTACCTCTGGGATGATTGGACTAGACATTGTTCAAACGCCTTATTTTCTCTTCTCCCCATAAACCACCTCTTCGTTGGTCATCCTCAATTTACCACCGCTTTAGTTAACCACCCTCTCTTAACCACCCTCTCTTAACCACCCTCTCTTAACCACCCTCTCTTAACCACCCTCTCTTAACCACCCTCTCTTAACCACCCTCTCTTAACCACCCTCTCTTAACCACCCTCTCTTAACCACCCTCTCTTAACCATCCTTGATAACCCATCAATCGCCACAATCGAATAGCTCAGCTTCTATCCGTACTGGTTCTTTCCCCCACCTCCTGCTAATTAACCGGGTCGGTTCGTTAGGCAATAGCGAAAAAAAAAGAAATCTTTCCAACATTTTCCGACAAATTTTCAGGCTTTGAATGTGGCAAACGATGGGCAACCTCTTCCCTTTTTTTGGTACTTGATCACTGGGTTTTGTACATCATTTAACAATCACCAGTTTAACGTGTCAAAGCGCTGTCATTTTTTTCGGCGAGGTTTCTCGTCAAATCGGTTAACTGCGAAGCGTAACGGCTCCTTGTCGGAAGGTGGATCCGTTGAAACGCAAAGCCCAGTCAGTCCAGCATCAATATCCCCAACTTCTTGCTTGTACTTGGATTCGCCATTCTCACAGGGCACCGACAGTCTCTTTCACATCCCACGAGGGAACGAGAAAGATAGCGTTTCGCTCTCATTTACATGTAGGCTAACCGAGGTCGGAAGAATGAGGGTGGTAAACGGAGGGTGGTGGACTGGGGCCGGTCAACCACGTGCTTAAGCCTGGTGGTTCTGATGAATGAGTCTTGCGTAGCCCGTTTGAAAATCAGCCTAAGCAAACGGAAGCCATGTCTGGGTGTGGTTATGATCATTGGTGTCATCGGAGTTGGTGACGGGATAGCGCGTGGAACGTTGAGGTTGATCACCGATAACCGTCGTTCGACAGGTGGTGATCGACATCTGAATGACCAATAATTACCACCCGTATGTGTATTCGCCAATTTGTGAGTAGAATGTACAGTGACACAGCAAAAGTTTCGACAACACCCCTATAGTGGGTCACCTTCACCGCCCTCACCGCCTACTACACGACGCGCTTGTAGGCCTACTATATCTTCTAGTTTTACGCGATTTACCCCTCTATATCGCCCTGAAGTTACTCTTTTTTATATCTACGGATGGCTCCACGCTCTGAGCTTACCCCGGCACTACGTGAACGTATTTGCGAGCTTTATAGCGCCGCTGGATAGGGCTATAGGCGAATATAGAAGCGATATCCGTGGGTTTCTATCTCTGGTATTCGATATACGATCAAAAAGGACCGTGAACGACTCGGTGGTGTTACAAAACAACGCTCTGGGCGCCCGAGAAAGCTAGACGAAGCTGATCGAGAGCGTTTATTAAATGCTATCGACGAAAATCCGAAGATTACTCGGGAGGATATACTTGCTGAAGTGTCGTATAAAGTTAAGTCTTTTTAGCTACTATAATAGGGGTTTACTAATAGATTTTTAGGTTAAATATGACTCGATCCGTCGACTATTAAATGCTGAGAATATATAGAAGTGGCGTTACTCGTGGAGGCCGTATTTGACTGAAGAAAACGCCCTGAAACGACTTCGATGGGCTTGGAGATATCGCCACTTCACACCTGAAGATTGGGCTCACGTTTTTTGGTCTGATGAATGTACAGTCGAGCGTGGGATTGGTATTCGCCGAGAATAGACTTTTGTACGCCCGAAAGATCAGCCAAAAGCTGGACAATGTCAAGGATTGCCTTAACGCGGGAAGTAAGTAAAGCAGATGTTTTGGGCTTCGTTTTTAGGCTCTGAGCGGCGTACTGGATTAATTCCTCTCTTCGGAGATCCGAGATCTGAACGAAGCGGTGTGAATCGCTTCGTTATCGAGGAGTTATATCGCCGAATCTTACCTATTTTGATAGCGAACGAGGGTAGTATTTTTTAGCATAATAACGCCCCAACACACACTGCCTACGTTGTTCGAGAAGCTCTAACTGAGATGGAGATCGAGGTTATGGAATGGCCACCTTATTCGCCTGATTTGAACCCAATTGAGAACCTCTGGGCGTTATTAAACGCCAAAATCTACGAACTTCGACCTGATCTTATTTATATAGGGAATAACGACCAAACAAAGGAGATTCTGGTGGCTACTGCGCAGCAGGTATAGGACCAACTAGAATTAAGGCATCTATAGCATCTATCGGAAACAATGCCCTATCGTGTAGAGACTATTATCGAGGCTCAAGGCTGGTACACGCCCTACTAGCTATATAGAAGCAAATTCATGGAGGTTTTTGACCGGCAGAATATTATATAATCAAGGGGTGGGGCTGGGGGTGTTGTCGAAACTTTTGCTGCGTCACTGTACACATTACCGGCGACACTGTCACTCACTAGCCGTCATTCATGAACTGTTTAAAATAGGGTGGTTGAGTGTGGTCAAATAATTATCCTGATACCGTGTTAACTAAAAAAGCTCAGTAAACACCATCGTTCATTTGCGGCTGGAGCGATGATCAACCTATGGTTTTGCCCAGCCGAAACGATTAATTAATAGAATTTTTTTTATAGATTCCAGCTCGCAAATACCTAAGGCACCCCAAATTACTGGCCGTCATAAAGGTATTTAATATTTGATTTGAACTGCTTGGTTCAAGAGCCAAGCCACGCTGCGTTATGAATAATTTTCAGTTTAGCTTTTTCTCAGGATGTTCCAATTCGTAGCATAACGGCCATCCATAGCTAGGTGTGCCATGTGGGTGCCTCTCTCGACCACTTGTCTTCTTGCAATACCAAGATGAGGTCTGCTGTCACGATGGTTCGTACAGTAAAGTATGAGGAACCACAAATGTAATTCGAAGATATTACAAAATATTTGATTGTGATCCTCGGTGTCAGTGTCAAGTTGGGTCAGGCGTATTAAGAATAGTGAGAGCAATTGCCACACACTGCGTCTCACCACCAGTGAAACATACACTTCAAACATTAGTCGAGGCCCTATTATGGCCCCGATTACTGTGGCCAGCTCACACCTGATGGAACCGGAGAAGTCTCTCAATACCAAGACCTACCCAGAACGCATTCAAAAGATCGTCTCCCGGGATCTGGTATAGGCAACTTTACTGCGAGTGAGGGAATGGTAGTAAATATGCAGCTAGGCGGGGCGTAAATTCCAGCAGACATGCACTAGCGCGCATTCCATTACCTCAGGGACTCCCGGCCCATGATGATTCCAGCGCGCTCATTGAGTAAAACGGAGAAAATACGTAAGTATAGACATTGTGTCGGATCAGGAGGGCTTCGGTCCGCACTAATAACAGCATGCACCAATTGGGCCGTTCGGACTGCTATTGAGATGTGGTTTTAAATACATGATTTCAGGGTTTTTAACCGGTGTGCACGCTGATTCAGCAGGTTCATGCCTCAGAAATAAGGATAGAAACTGGCCACTGAATACCAATACAACGCTAGTAATAACAACCTCCCAAATATCCGACACATTGTTCTATCTATATGCTCCGTCGATTCTCTGGACCAATTATACATCAATGTTTCGGTGGGACATATGATACGCCCCTGTCGGGAAATCTTTCATCCGGGAATATGTAGCCCTGCCAACCACCCCGCAGTATAAATAAGGATGGTACCCGTACATGCGTTCTTCCCTTCCAGATTAACGCAAGCGATTGTGCTTCGCCCCTGCAATACAAATTAATTAAGAACTCACATGCATCAGGTATCCAGTCCAAGTAAATAAGTCCCCTCGTCAAGTATCTCATGATTCTGATCGCTCTAGAAAAGCAAAACAATGCCGTCGTCATTCCCTCAATCACCCATCCAGCAACTCCATGTGCTAGAGATGAACGAATTTTTTGAAGAAATTGATGGAGACTTCAACTTTGCGGGAACACTCATCGTCTATGAAGACGAAAATGAAATGCACCATGCAGTGTTGGAAGACCGCTGCACATCGCCTTCGGATATCCGCCCAGATCTCCTCAAAAACGATATCCAAATTCCGAGATCTGCCTACAGCCCTGAATTTCCATCGAAATTTACGCTCGCGCCCGAGCCGCTGCCGATCAATTCTTACATAAAGAAAGCCTCGTTGATCTCTTATGATAGAATTCGCGAAGGCCCTCAACCAGACTTGATTGCGAAGTCTGTTCTGATGGAAGCAGAAACTTGTGAGGTTTTGAGAAAGCACCCGCATCCAAATATTGCTACCTACTTGGGCTGCCAGGTTTCCGATGGCAGAATCACTGGCCTTTGTTTCGCCAAATACCAACGCACGCTGATGCAAGAGGTCAATCCCGAAAATTTGACGAAGCGACAATCGAGACGCTCACATCAAATGGTCAAGGATTACAATCCTGTGCTAGCTGGAATTCGAAGTGGTCTTGGACATCTTCATTCCCTAGGGCTGGTCCATAACGACATCAACCCGAGAAACATCATGTTCGACGGTGAACAAGCAGTCATCATTGATTTCGACACTTGCCGGAAAATCGGGGAGGATCTCGGAAATGTCGGTTGCACCTATGAATGGTGTGATGAAACTACAAAGCAGTCGGTTGTTGAGAACGACCTTAATGCTTTGGAAGAAATCCGGATATGGCTATGTGACGATTCAAAGGAATTTCAATTTGATGAATAGTGGCTTGAGATACAAAAGATACTCCAACTAGCAAAGATCCCAAAAATCCATCAACATATGGCACCCGGGTGGACTAGGTACTGTTTCAAAATCGCACAATTGACCAGCACGGCTCATAGTAGGTTCCATATGCAACCGCCTGGTTGGTGACCTAGAACTCGATCTAGTCAGCATATTTGCCTATTGAAACATTGTAATGAATCACTTGCCATTCATTTAGGCTTGTAATCAGTCGAGTGTTTGCAATCGGCGCGGTGACAATCGTCTACCTTCACCCTTCTTCCGCTGGGCTTTTCGGTCTTGAACAGGCAAGTGTTCACAGGATCTTCGACTGTTTCTTGCATAATCGTTTGATATGAAATGGAACGCAATATAAATTTAAGGTGGACTGAGCGGTACTTGGAATTGAAGGAAGCCTGAATGAGATGTTTTCTCTTCTTATATGTTTCTGATGAGTGCACGGTTCGGTCCTGCTGTGCTTGGGCCCTGGATTACAATCCTGTATGTAGCAACGAATTGTAATCGAAAGACGTGCATGGCATGGCTGTTTTGATGCATGCCGAGGCATATCCTGGAAGCAGTGATGCCATGAACATAGACAGCCAAAGTCTCGTCCCAGAGCATAACTACTATTACGAAATACCCGCCTCCGCAGTCTCCGAAATGCCGTCATTTTTAGCGGCTGATGGTATACTCCATTAGAGGATAGTCAGTGGCGTGGAAAGAGTCCAAACAATGGGAAATAGCGTTGGGCAATTCTTGCGACATCTCATAGTGCTAGCCGTCCACCCTTGTATTTACGAAAGGGGAAACAGTTGAGGGAATTTTTGGTTACTTTTTTGGTTACTTTTTTGGTTGAAGCCATGCACACCCTTGTCAGATTGGAGAGATGTTGGTGCCGGCAGCAAATTAAACCGTGTACGTCAAAGCACCCAGTCTTCGCACCCTTCCCAGCTTTCCCATTATCCCCAGTCCCCCAATTTCCCAGTTTCCGTGCCTTCCCATTGGTCACAGTCTTCCCGCTCTTCCCACGCTCCCCATCCTTCTCACTCTTTAGATCCGCGACGTCGACACTTGAACAGGCAAGCCCAATACGTGATATCGGAGGAAGACTGGAAAGCATTATTGCGTAAGTATGCAGGGATGGCGGCTGTAAATTAATTCTGAGGGTCAATTAGCTTACGTATAGATACCTATTGTTTATTAAGACCTCTAGGGAACTGAACTGGTGAAATGCAAAGTGTCCTTATCTAACTAGGCATGGAAATAATTGATTATGCCCATTTTGTAACCGTAATATTCTAGTGAATCCCAAAGCTTTGTAGGGCTAGTTCCGGAGCGAGCCCTTTTCGTACCAATTTGTAAGGTCAAATAACAGCCATGTTTCCTCCCTCAGAAAATAGTGGTCCTTTGCCAAAGGGAAACCGTGGTTCTCGCGCACGTTTAAAACACCCACCCGCAAAGATAACATCCATCTGACGATTTTCAATCACCTGTTTCTATTTTATCCACGCATCCTATCCTTTCCCCTAGAATCACCTTCAAATTACCCATTTAAAACGTCTCTAAGCTTTGATCAAGGGAAGCACTCTGAATGGCTACTAAACCCCTCTCCCAAGCTTTGCCGTCGTCCACCAAGAGAAAATCAATACGCCAGAAACAACACAGTCGGAAGGCAAACTAGAGGAAAAAGGCGTAGGAATATAGTAAGATATGTTATGCCGATGTCTGTGTGGGTATTCGCCTTCGGAAAACGGGTCCTCGTCCCTCCACCCCTAATCCCCAGCCACCAACAGAATGCTGTCTGGCTAGAATAGACGAGGGTCGTTTTTTCATTCTCCGCTCCAAAGGCGTCTCGTTATGAAAGTGCTAGGCGGCTGTTTGAAATCCAGGGAAACTTTTCCTCACTGAAGAGTATATCGTATGAGTGGGCTATGTAACCAATCAGACTCCAGAAACCGGGGCGTTCTTGAATCGCAGAACCCTGCCATTTGGGGCTGTTCTGAAGATAGGCACAGACATGCACCCCTCTTTGGAGCCGCAGGATAATGCGCTTTGAAAGCGAGGCTGTGTATCACTCTTTTGAGGCGCAGAGGACTAGTGCACTGACGATCGTTTCAAGACTGCTGTGATTGACGTTTATCATTTCCTGAAATGAACACAGCATATAGAAGACCCCGTCTTTCTGGCACACTTTCTCCGCATCTGTCCATAGCACCATGCGAGACGTATCTTTAACTCTGTTTTATCGTGACAATGTGATAGAAGAGACAGGGATTAAATGGTCTAGACTTCCAGTTATATTCGAAGCACATGAAGCTGACGTGTCGATATGAGGGGAACCTGGGTCTTGGCACCGACCCATGGGTCGGTGCCAAGACCCAGCTTTGTTGCACTATTTCTATTGAAGGCTCCACCGTTCTCCCTTCGTCAAAGATTCAGTCAAAATGAATCTTGCTGATGAGATTCTTCGTGCCGCGACGCTATTATCGGGACATCTACATGAATTAGATGCCCGTGATTTACTCCATCACCGACAGGAACTGCAGCTTGCCTTTGACAGTCTAGGGCGAGTGTTGAGATTATCACCACAAAATTCACATGTGTCTGGACTCTTGAATCCAATCAACTCAACAGCCTCTTCACAGCCGATATCCCGCCATAATCGACAAGAACGCCTAGCGGTTGCACATGCCTTGCCTTCAGCACCTCTTCAGCAGTCGGAGCCTTCAGCATCTCTTCAGCAGCCGGAGCATTCAGCACCTCTTCAGCAGCCGGAGCCTTCAGCACCCCTTCAGCAGCCGGGGCATTCAGCATCATTACATCGTGCAGCTGGCTCAAAAACGAGCAATATACAAGATTGTATTACTGGAGGTGATTCTCAAGAGATATTGCCAAGCCCACGAGAGATACAAGAAAATGAAGTTTCTCTATTCATGGACAAACTCGAGATTCATTCGAAGGCCATTCAAAGCTTTTTGAACTTGAAAGAAGGGGATGCAATATCCAAGGGTAAGAACTGGATGTGCCAGGATGATCCTCTGGATATCGACATCGAGATGTCAGAGAAACCTATCAGTCCTTCTCAAAAGTTTCGGGGATGGCTAGCCCGATATATACGCGCTGAAGATTATCTAGCCTGGGCAGAGGCTAAATATGGGCGTCCTCGCAATGAATTTTTGACTTTCGAACCGAAAGATGCACATAAGAAAGGACATATAAGTGAGTATATGGCGTTCAAAGAATTCAACCGATCACGAAGCGCAAAAGTTCGCAAGTCGATAAAGAATGGGCTCAAATACCATACATTTGAGCAGATCTACGGGAATCTCGGGGTATTCTCATTCCTCTCTCAAATGCATTGTGCATTTCGCGATCTACCTTATACTCATCTTTCGTCATTGGCGCGAGCAATTCAGAAATCACCCAGATGGTCTCCTTTTGCGGTTAGTAAGGCCCACTGGGTAACTAATTGCCGGTCACTTTATAATAAAGAGTGTGGTGAGGCCAACATACCAATCCTAGCGGTGTCAAAGCTTACGTAAATGATCAGTGCAATATCGAGAACAACGTGGCCAAAAACGTTCTCTTGGGCCAGAAGACTTAGCGGAACAAAGGCCATCTACGCGAGTGCAGTGGGCTCCGGCATCGGCGATGACTGCCAGAATGGAAACCGCCAGTACCACAGCCGCAGACACCAATACTGAGCCGGGTCCAACAAGCTTGCCCACCCGCACTGAGTTAGATCTGTCCCACTTGTTAAATGACGAGCTGGCTAGTGACATACCGTTTTTGGATACTCGAAATTGGCCGCGTGATATCACCTCGTTTCAGGACTTTGACCCTTTACAAGATCGTGATGCATTTCAAGATTTCGACCCTCTTCAAGATCATGATGCTTTTCAAGATTTTGACCCTCTTCAAGACTGGCATGACCTGCAAGATCCCGAATTTTACGTGGATACGGAAGAGATTCTCAAAAATTCTGAAAATTTGCATATTCCTTGCGATAATACCACGCACATTGCACGTGAGCACCTTGGGCAAGCTAGCGACAGCTACGCAAGACGAGTAGACGGTGCAATGGCCGCCTCATCACTAGCCAACGCGTCTTTATCTCAGTCTGTTTATTAAACACATGAAGCTTATCCGATGCTATTTTTCGCTATGAATCCTCGTATTTCACCTCATATACAACAAACACAACATCAATATCTTCACCGGAAAGTGTCGGCTTATCATCGATATAGCAATAAGTATCAATTGGCAGTTCAATTGGCAGTTGGGCGTCAGAAGAAAGGGTGGAAGTGCCATTGATTGGGATAATCAATAGTCGTTTTGATGGATTAGATGGCTTTATATTCGCGCCTTTGAAGAAATGTCGCACAGTGCAGAAGTCCACCTACAAGTTAATCAATTAGCAGCTCTTAGCTAATAAGGAATAGTGTTTTGCTCACGTAGAGGTTTTGAGGTTTAAGTTCTTCCTTCATCTCTTTCTCCAGTGAGGCAACTAGTTCGGTGAAGCTCTCCCCCCATGCCGCCACCCTTCCGTGTCCTCTTTCAAGTGCTTCGTCTCTTTTTGATCGATAAGTGCTCTCATGGCATCGATGATATGCTTCGGTTTTTCGGGGATTGTCTGGAGTCGCATCGTGGATAAAGTGGCCGCGCCTGGCCGACTGTGGTTGATAGTATATATTATATGCGTCGGGCGGGCAGATGGAAGAGGGGTCGTGGCCTGCAGGCGTGCCCGAAAGCGAGAGAGACTCGATTAATTTCAGATAGCGGATCAACCCCACTAATCTGTCACGTGATGTCACGTGAACCACGGAACCAGCGTACGTTTTTAGTGAAGTTGTTATATCATGTACCTTATCATTCTGTACACTAGACCACCCCACCCCACCATGAACGGTAACAGTCTCGGTATTCCACCGTGGTGCGTAGACTTGATACATATTATGACGAAGAGAGAGTTGGGATAGGAGATAAAGAAGTTGCGAGAAGCTTTCAGCATTTTTGATATGTGAAATAGCTATGTCCCTATTTGTCTAAGCCATGAAATATTTAAAAGGCACTCTCCGACTTTGAAAGTGCAATATCCGAATTACCGGACAGGGATCCTGCAAATGTGCTAACGGGGCTTAGCTCTAGTCCTGGTCCATCGGACGCTCAAAGCCGCCCTAAAACAACAACAACAACAACAACAACAACAACAACAACAACAACAACAACAACAACAACAACAACAACAAAAAAACCCAGGGGCGCCTACATAACTGCATTGCATTGTGGATACTCATATCCGTGGCTAGCTAGCCCATCTATGTACCTCGATCGATACTAAAGTACCAAGTGAAGAATACTTAAGCCGTTTGCTTGCTCAATATCCCCAGACAGTTACATTCTCTTTTCCACTGCTTCAAGCCCCTCCCTGACTTCCTGACTTTTCACATTATGCACCGAGGACGAAGTCCGTCTTGTCCACCTTGTGGAACGAGAAGCACCCAGCACTACTTTGAAGACATTGGTTTTGTTGACTCGAGCCCGTATTCCATCCAGGGGATGCTGGTCGAAGTGGCTTCTTCTATAGGGAAGCATCAAAGGACATTGGATCGCGGTGAGAGCGTTGCGCGATCCTTCGGTAAAACTTTGCACGCGGACAGCGTGAGCCATACTCTGGTATCCCTAATGGGTAGCCAAGGTGCAACTGTGATTTCAAACTCGGGCTCAGCGCAATACTTGGACTGGGCGCGGGTTGCACAAGAGTATTCATTAAAAGGAAGCATCGAGCCACAGCCCGACGGAACCGTCCATTGTTGTATACCAGATGCTAAATTGACAGCTCGGCTAAGTATGGTCGAACACAACATCATGGTTTCTGGAGCCCCTGAGCAACTCTTGAATCCTTGGAGTTACCCACAGGATATAAGTGCCGAGCTGGAAGCAATTACCTGCTTGAAAGCGGAGATGGAGGAAGTAAATGAACAGGTGACAGAAGGTAAGTAAACCGAATGACTCTTGTATTACTATATTAATCGAAGAAGTCATGGAGCAAAATACAGATCTTATTCGAACCATCAGCAATAGATTGAACACACTAAAAGGCGATATGAATAAGAAGACCTTTACACCGGAAAATCATCGAGTCAATTCTCAGCCGGATAGTCTGATTGATCCAAATCAACAGAGAGCAGGTTCGGAATACACAACCCATCGAACTAGTACATAAACTAATATTATACTAGGAGCCGGTCTACAAGACCGACCGCAGAAGCAAATGCGAAAGCAAGTGCGAAGGCAAACACAGAAGCAGAAGCCAAGGAAATTGCAAAGGTGGAAGCCAGAAGTCGAAGAGGTAGTCTTCGACTGGCTGAAACAAGAAACAAAAGCCGGAAAAGACCGAGATACTATTGAGGCCGATTTCAAAGACAAGTTTGGCGAGGGAAGAAGTTACCCAGCGATCTATGCCAAGGCCAGCCAGTACAAGGGCACGAGCATTCTTCCATATATACCGGCAACCCTACGCAGAGTCTCGGCAGCCCCACGCAGGGTCACGGTACTGAGGACGCGCCAAGAGCAATCCAATGCCAAATCCACTGTGGAAGACACTGAAAGCTCTGAAAACTTCGAGGACGGCGAAAGCACTGGAAGCACTGAGATCTATCAGCCTAGCGAGACCAATGAGAGCATGAAAACCACCCAGCAACCCATGACCTTGGAAAGAGCTGAAACCGGCGAACTCAGAGAGGCTGCTGGTAGCACCGGGCCTTTGCAACTCATCGGAGCTAGTCATTCTGCCCAACCCATTTTACCAGGCGGTTCTCCTGGCACTTTAAAAAAGCTCCCTTGGCATGGAACTCCACATAGCGAACACTCGGCGTTTGCTACCCCGAAGAGTACACAAGGGCAATGGTTTACTTCATGCCCGCCAATAATGCCAAAGCCATGGCCAGGGGCAGAGCATACAGGAAGCTCATCAGCCGGCATCTGCGCAGTAGACCAGTCGCATCCACCAGAATGTCGGTCTATACGAGCCTCTAGTGTGTCGAACCCATCAGAGTACACATTCTCGGGCTCGCCTTCTCTGTCTATGCCAGGTATTGGCAGCTTTCATTACTCCAGCATAGTATAATGTTGCCGAAGCAAAAGGACACTTGCGATAAACTAGTATCTTTCCATTTTTCGTCTTCTTAATTTTGCTTCATTTTGTCCATTCCACGCTTCTAAATTAATAAATTAGAAAAGAAAATACTTATAATACCAAATGCTGCTTCACCATGCAGCTTTGAACAGTAATGGCGCCTATCGATCTCCGCTAAATGAGTCACAATGTATTAATACCTAGACCGATGCGGGGCTTGGAGTTACTAATAACTTCTAACATGGCATTCTGTCGCAGAAAATAGGTATTAGTACTTAATGCCTGGATTCGATTATAAGAGCCCTCGTAGAAGCAAATACATGCGTTACTAGCATATTCAGTAGTGTGAATTCCCCGCGTTACCTGAGGCTGCTACACCAACCTGGAGAGAATATGCGAGGTTGATCTGCCACGATGAAGAATCCGTTCAAACAAATATTGGAATGGACTGGAAGTCTGGCATCCTCAGAGACTTGAGCTAGAGAAAGGGAAAGAGATCGATGTCTTCAGCAAAGCTTATGTGTTGTACTATATTTCTTCTGGCCGGACTGTGCCGCCTGCCCGCCAACCAACTAAGTAGCACCTCGTGATAAGACCTTTTACACTCGTTAACTAGGCATCCCTAAGATGCCGAGACATTATTCATGCATAAATCTTTTACTGAAACTGTTTCAAGAATATAGGAAATCACGCTGAAAACTGCTGGAGGTTATCTGTGGGTCGAATACGACCGATGATGGCCTGTTGAGCCACGACCCTGCAACCGCCAAGGGTGCTTATGACTTTTACTTCATTTTTCCTTAGGCACCGGATAATTTTATGTTGAGATTAACATCGAAAGAGGTCAGGGGATAGGCGAGAAATCCTCTTACATAATGCAACATCATCTCTTACTACTTAAGCATCCTTGGGTATGTCGTTTTGTCTTTGGAAATTTTTAAGAACACCCTGAATAAAGCACCGAGACAAGAAGCACACCAGCAACCTTTTAAATGATGCTTCAACTCCTTTACGACTGTCTTGGTTTCACAACCGAACTTTCGGATGATCAACTTGCCGGAGGTCTATCGCATGACATGGAATTTCATCAAGACTTGGTAAATCACCCAAAATCTCTATGCGGCGGTTGCAGGCGAATTGACCAAGAATAGACTGTCAACATCACAGAAATAGAGTATCGTGGTCCCATGCCAAGAATCAGGGATTCATTCGTCGCCTATAATTTAGGTGGTAAAGCATATCGAGAACGATCGATTGTCTTCGCCAGAACTCCTGAAAGAAGAGTAGTGCTAGCAAGGTTTTTGCAAAAAGCTCCCGCTGAACTCGAGAATGAGCTCGAGCCCTCGATCCCTCCATTTTTTCTGGTGCCCCGAGCGGTAGTGGCACTTGAGACTCTCCTTGCGTTGCGATTCAGCCTTTATGAGACCGAAAGAGGATGGCCCGATGAGCGGAACTATGGGCAAGATGCGTGCATCATCATTGCTGCTTGCAGGGGGTTGAAAAACGGCACGGAGCCAGAGAATGTCCACAATTGCGCAAGGGATGCGATAGAATCTCTCGGTTATAATGCTATCTGCATTCTAGCTGCAGCCACATGGACATTCAGTTCTAACGGAAATGATCCCACCCGGGAGTTGACAAGCTTCATGAGAGCGCCAACAGATGCAAATTGCTGGAAAAATATCTACGAGAACTACAAGGCACTTACTTGTAGCCAGAAGGACATCACGCATTTCAAGAAAAGTTGCGATTTCTTGTAGATGCTATCTGGCCCTCTATATAGAAGTTGGAGAACTGGGTGATGGCTAATTGTGGCCCAAGGTTCGAACTATATCTTTAATATTGAACATTTTATCGCATTCTTCTTTCATTATTTTCTCTGGTGCTATTTGTTATAGGGCTTTCTTGATTAAAAGCTAGTCATTTCGAATCAGGTTCCTTTCTTCATTCCTTACCCATCAGGATTAATTTATCCCGACACCAGTCCTCGAGATACCAGAAGGCCTAAAACCAGGGACTTCCGAAATCTAAACACCCCTATTCTTTACTGATTCTTTGAGATTTACTACTCCTTCTGGTCAGAGTAGGTTAGCCATCTTGCCCAAATAAATATAAAGTTGAAAGCTAAATTATAGATGAATATAGAGCCCAAAAGAGCGCCTTAGATGCTTCTCTTGCCCAGCGCAATATTGGCTAAATACCCGAGGCAAAAAGAATAGCATCGATCGGTTTTTCTGTTAAGGTGTCTCGCAAGATCTGTCCTACCACAATGCGTATTTCAGGAAACAAAAATAATTGCTGGTCCTGTGTAAATGAAGCTAGCCTAGTACCCAGATATAATAATAGACCGTGGTAGGTAAGGTTTCATTCTGTTCTCTGCGAAGGAACCCGATGTGGCAGTAGTACTTTTGCCCCCATCAACATGCAGGAGCACGAAGCGGATAATTTACGTAGGTCGAAGGATGGACTGGTCTAATCCCTTGTATTTGAGTTATTTATTAAATATCCCTTCCTTCCTTCATAAGTTTCTCTCTCCCACTTTTCAAGAATTTCTCCCTTCATCCTTGTCGATTATGGGCTTGGGAGTTTAACTGCTCTTCTCCATCATTCCAGTTCTTCTAAGCTCTCCTCCAGGATGGCCCGCGATAAGCAACCAATCAGTAAGAGAAACACGTCCTTTTATTAATAATCTATTATGAGTGCTGAATTTTCTAGACCCGGAAAGAGCTCTCAAGGATCTCCACAACGATCCAATAGCCTGGGATTTAGTTGCCACTTCTCTATGCAACATACCTATAGAGAAAGAAAGAATTTTTAAAGTTCTACCGGGCCTAGCAACGATGATCGCAATCTTCCAGAATGGAATAGAAGCGAATGGAACGGATGTGCCATATCATGTAGCTCTCGAGTATCTGCCAGTAATGGCACGAGAAACCTTGGACTGCCAGGAAGTATTTACAGCAGGTGAAAGAACGTTTGGCTTCTTTACAACACTGCAGACGTACATCGCCGTTGCTTGGAAGCATTCAAAAGATGAATTGAAAACTGGAATTGGAAAAGGATTGCGCCATCAAATGCGGCAAAGTCTTGTTGAGGAACCTCAGCTCTGCGACAGTCCTAAGGGCCATTTTACCCAGCTTGCCCTTGCTCTCAAAACGACCGTTCATGTGGCACTACTCGGTGGGCAAATGTGCAAAAAGGACACGCCTGGTGCAACTTGTTCCAATGCCATCTTGGAGCACATTTTGCCAACTTTCAGTGCTCTCCGTGGCGAGACTTGGGAAGAGGTCTGAACTGTGAGGCTTACTTTGCTCGATGACCCGGCAGAAATCCAGGAGAACCTCACTGTTTCCAATATTCTGGATTGCATTCATATCATTGAAGACATTGATTGGGACGATTATGAGGACGAGGATGGAATTTAGCCAAAGTGTTCTCTGACCCTTATTCGGAGGGGTTGGCTCTGGCTTCTAAGGTCGAGTTAGATGGCGAATTACGCCCAATTTGGGTCTAGCCTCATTGTGGTTTTCATTTGGATTTTCAACCTTATGTGTCTTGCTTTTACCTGTTCATGTCGCTCTTTGAAAACCTTTTATGGTTATTAGTATCGGTCTTAGGTAACCATCAAATTGTGCGTGGAGATGCTGTAGCTCCTTTTACAACACCAGCAGCCTCGATGGAGGACAGACAGCATATTCACTCGGAATTTTGCCATCAAAATTGTTGTCAATACATGCGATACCACACAGAGTTAGCGACCTTCCGGTACAAGCAACGAGCTATAGACCGACATCGTGGTATTGAAGTAATTGGCTTGAAGATTAGAGCGAGGTACGTTGGGCTACACCGATTGACTGCAGCTCTAGACACTGGATTCATAGATTTACTTTTTAAATCAGAACAATTTAGATGAATCACTTCAAAAGCACATGTTTCTATTGGTTCAACATAGCTGCCCCTTTCTCTTAATAGCCAAATATTGTACATAATGTTGTCCTGTACTTTTGAACCAAAGGATCAATGGCGACTCCGAGACAAAAATGAATTGTGTATCAACAGCTGAGCCGCCGAAAGGAAGAGAAAATAAGTAGTCCGGATGTTATAAGTCTCGGCGATGGGGATATAGTGTGGTAATGATCCGAATCGGATGGCAAGCACGGTCAGCCTACACGAGGACTCATGCACCGTGGAAGAGCGGTGTTGAGTAGCGGGGCTTGCGGAATGTAGGCCATGACTGGTTTCAGAACAAAAATTCTAATAACTTGACAATAACATAAATAGGAGTATACATCCCTCAATGGAGTCTCAGACAGAGCCTAAAATTTATTTTGAATTTGCAAGGAATCTGCTGTTAACGTGCAGATATGGTCAGTAGAAGGTCTACCTGCTATCCGTTTCTTTTTCTAACTTATACAGGGCCCCTTTACCGCGCGATATTTGCAAATCCCCGGCGACAAAAACGTTGAGATTCTTGCTGGCTTCAAGAACTACTCCAAACTACGATTTGAGAATTTTCTCACGCGAAAATATCAGCAAATGCGCTTTTTCGGTTCTGAAAACTTGCGAGGAGTTACAAAGGACCGGGGCTCACTATCGCACTTTTATCCATTACGAGATCCTATCCACGAAGGCAAATGAGCTTGTGGAATTTCTCGATGATGAGACGCTCTATAAATTGGCCCTGATTATTTGGCATTTCGATGCAGGCGAGCATAGTAATGTATCATCATATGAGGCATGTTTGGAGCTCACTCTTTTCCTGGAGCATCCTACAAATGATGCAATTTGGAGGGCCCTCCATGCACGATATGACAACTATACACCTCGTGGGTTGTTGCGCGATTTCAAAGCCTCCCACGACTTTTTGTTGAGTCTAGTACTCGGCTAAATTTTCAACGGGGATCGACGGGGGATTCTATTACCACGGATCATCTGAGACTTCCACTTGAGATTGGAGAGCCATATTTCGACCTTAGATCTTTAGTCCCAGTGTTCGTAGTTGAATACTCTGCGCATTTCCTAGCAAGCCGTCAGGGTTCCGCGTTGGGGAAGAAATACTAACACTGTCGGATCATTTTCGGAGCTTCTTTACCGCGTGAAATCGTCTTGATTTCCTGCTTATTGTCCGATCAAAACATCTCATTACCGCCCATCCTAGGATCTCGATTGTTTTCTAGAGCATCCCACCAATATTAGGATTTGGAGAACCCTCTATACGCGATACAATCTACGCAACATATAAAAGGCCCCTGCCCTTCATGCTTCCGCCGGACGTCACGGTTTCTGTTTAAAAACATTCGCACCCGGTTTTCATTATAGGCCAAGCTTCCTCAGCAATGCCAGTTATACTTGACCACGATTTGGCTTCAAAGATACATGATCATATCGTCTATCTAGTGTGCACTTGGTGTATGTGGCCTTCGTTTTGTGCTTTGTGTATGTACGATGCTTACCCTAATAATACAGTCGAGGAAATAGATAGTCCGTCCCTTGAGATCGATTACAACGACGTAGCCGACTACATTATCGCTGTTCGTCATCCAAGCGATCCTATCGACACTATATGGAATACATCGGGGGTCAAAAGTCTGTTCCCACCCCACTTTTCGAAATCACCCCAACAACCAACCCACTATTTTTCCCCCTCTTACAACCCCCCTATTATTCCATTTTGGATAGAATTTCGACCAAATCAACGGCAAGGGGCTGAATTAAACCTTATCCAAAGATCAGCAATATACTATGCCTACAAAATCAGTATCTCGTAGACAAAATTGGCTAATGATTTTTCCTGTAGCCGCAGGACAATCTTCAAGACACTTAAACGCTTCAACGAACACCAAACCTTCGATTCCCTCTCTCCAACCGTTCGTCCTACTTTGCTAAGCGCTCGATCATATACCTACCTTGTTATTAAAGCTCGTCGATATCTTTTTTGGACTTATAAATAGCTTAGGGCATTAGTGGTTGAGAATCTATCTTGGTCAACAATTCGACGAATTCTAAAACGCTTTGGACTTATAAAACGGCTCTTAAAAAAGAAAATACCAATTTCGAAGCCCCTTGCTTAGAAACGACTTAAATTTGCTCGTAAATGGCGCTGTGAAGACTTTTCTTTGTAGATTTTCTCGGATAAATGTTTAGTACAACGAACAGCGAATGTTGGTTAGTAATATTGCTTTCGTTTTATATCCGAGACCTACCGGAAGGATCTTATAAATACTAAAGTATATATCAAAGATATTTCATAAATAGTTTAGGCTAGAATCTGGCTTAGAGGCTATATACCTTTGGTTATTATAGATTGTGACGAGGATTTGGCTTTGGGTTGTGGTTTTACTATAAGATCCTATATTTTAGCACTCGAAAAAGGTTTAGTACCCTCTTATACCCCCGGTAAAGTGTTCTAGCAAGATAACGCAAAAATCTATAGTGCAGGGTTAACATAAGAGTGGTTTGAAACTTATAGAATTTAGGCCGAAGATTGGCCCGTACACTCACCGGATTTAAACCCGATTGAACCGGTATAGTGATGGTTAAAAGTGATACTTTTTCGGCTTCATCTAGAGCTTATTGATATAGTAAATAGCGAGGGTGATTGGTAGTATTTCAAAGACTGTCTAGTAGAATCTTGGGAGGCAATTCCCTAGTATAAAATTGATGGGTTGGCATTGAGTATAGGGAGACGTTTGAAGGCAGTACGGAAGGCTAGGGGGTTTTATACTAAATATTAAGCGAAAATTTAATTGTGTGGATATCTCGCTTATTTATGAATTTTTTATTAGAAGTAATTCCTATAAAAAATGGTGTAGTAGTACTATGCAAAGTAGATATTGAAGTGGGAGAAGCGCGATGGCGGTCTGTCATGCAGACTGGACGAGAGAGAGCGACCAAACACCACCATGTCACGTAATTGACAGCATGGAAGATATCAGGGAGGGCTCACGAAGACAATCTGTCATGCGCACTAAATCATGGAACCGAACTGAATAAACAAATGCTTCTTCTTGAACTGAGAGATGAGGGGTAGTTGATCATTCTGACTGATGGCGCGAAGCCAAATCCATCATACAGAAGTTATGGCCGCGTTATCCAGGCACTCAATCATGTCAGCTGATCCCCCACTACAATATAGCCGTCCCCTATAGTCAGACCCACACCTTAGGGGACGGCTATATAGTTATTTGATGGGGGTTGCCGAAAAGTGGGGTGGGAACAGACTTTTGACCAGGGTGTGTACATACAGCCAGGTACTCGAGACACGCATAGGATATGCACCTCAAGGACTGCTTTCAACGCACACAAGATTCAGAATGTATGAGTGTGCTGTTCAGTCTTCTTATTAGTGGCTTTCTGCCCCGTACTGAGCAGCACCGGTCGATCAAAAGAATCCTTTTCGCACAGAATGCGCATGAGCTCACTAATCGTGTTCTGGATTATAATTATTGGTGTCATCGAAGTTGATCGGAATTCAACAATCAGTGTATTGTAGTGGATACATTATCCGTGACGGGACAGCGCGTAGAACGTTAGCATTAATCACCCATAACCGTCCTTCAATAGGTGGTAGTTGGTTTCTGAATGACTGAGAATTTCTACTCGTACGTGTATCCGCCAATTTTCGAGTAGGGTGCACGTAACACCAACGAACATTTTACTCACCAGCCGCGGTTATTGTCACGAAACCAGGTCCATTCCCCGGACCCGCCATCTACTCGCAGGAGGATACCATGGGCTCCCAGGAAGAGGCTTAATACTCCAAAGAGCCAGCGCATGCAGCTGTGGACGGCACGTCACGATCTTTAAAGCCACGGATGCCATGACTCACCCACTTATACGAGGAAGGTTATGCTATTGTCCGCAGAGGAGGCGCTTCACCTGATGCGAAGTCGCTTCGGTCCGGGCTCTTCCACCCGTGCTGAACGTTTTCGTGAGCTCTGATGTGACAATGGCAGAAGGTTGCGGGGAGACCACGTCGCCGAGTGAAAGTTGATGAGTTGAACGCGACCCAAGCCGGAATTCCATAGCATGTTGGCCGGTTGCGAAAAGGCATGATGTCGTATTCCGCATCGGGCGATCGCGCGTTTGGCTCGTTTGGTAGATTCCAATACTCCACTCTGCGAGGGACGGGCCGGTTCGCCGGCCCACGATAGGAGGAGCATGTTTGTGACACAAATTCCGGGATGTACAAAGTAGGTTTGCAGCAGATCAATAGTGCCCAAACAGACCGGTACAGCCGAGCCCTGGCACGAGTGAAGCACCTGATAAGCTTCCGCTTCCCGGCGCGTTTGGTCCCTCAGCTCGTCCGGGGTGCCTTTGCCGATGAAGGTGTATCCGTAGGGCATCAGACTCACCCGCAGAGGGGCTCCACCGGAATCTAGATCCCCACAGGGAGTAATGTAGTGATCGAGACTCGCATCCAACTGCACCTTCAACAAGCTGGCGAGATCGGACCGGTCGATCAGGTGTCGATGGGTGGGCTTGGAGCAGCGGTGCCGCTCATAGTTGGGGCACCCGAGATCTAACTCGCCTCGGTCTCGCAGACCGAGAAGACAGCTCTGCGTGCAGTAATCAATCGGTTCCATTTCGTCCTGCTGTTTCTGGGGGGCTGACTGGGCGGATCTTTTCGTCCTCGAGCTAGCCGCCGCGCCCGGCGTGGGGGAGAAGACAGGAGCTGGCTCCTGCGGCGCTTCTGACCCTGATCTGGAGGGCTGTCTGGGTCGGAATCATCGGACAAGGGTGGCGACGTCAGTCCATCTTGGCAACTGGTGCGGGAGCGGAGCGCTGGGCCACGCGCGGCGGGCTGTTGGACGTCGGCGGTCCACGTGTGCACGTTGCCCACCGCGCCGTTGCGCCATGCTTGGCTCCGCACCGGCGCCGTCAAACTCATCAGACATAACGCGAGCATGCGGCCAACGGCCGTCACCGGCTCTCGTCTCCAGTCCGCCTGGCCCATCGATTCAACATCGAGATTCGGCTCCGCCAGAAAATATAGTAGAGTCTCGGGGTCGCTCTCCGGAACATGGAAGAACACTTGACCAAGCCCGGTCGTCATGCAAGCATACGCGACTCCATCCTTGATCATGCTATCATGGACTTGAGTTCCCATTATGGCGACTCTCAGCTTGGCGACGTACTGCAATTTTTCCTCCCGGTCGGTGGGCATGGTCGTTTGCTGCACCACGTCTTCCCACACATTCATATCTCGGAGACCGGCACGTAACTGTTCAGGCGACAACTTGTGTGGCGGCTTGTATTCCACGATTGTCAAAAGATCGTTTCTGCCATCCACGGTCCGGTGCACGCAAAATTGATCTGTGTTAGACCGGGTCGGTTTCCCGCCGCGCCGCGACGAACGAGCCTCGAGGCGCTCGCTCAAGGTGTTGGAATGATTATCGAACCAGAAGTTCCCATCGAGCGGGAAATAATCGGACGATCCTGGGATAGATTTGAGAGCATCGAGAATCTGGTGCACCTGATCCTCGACGGCGAAACGAGCGTAGGTCTGCAGGTCGGCTTCACTAGCCAGAAGGTGCAGGTGAAGTTGCCGGCCCAGGTTTTCTAACGCCAGGAGTGGGCTGAAAAGGCGCGGTGAGGGCCCTTGGGCGGGCTCCAATAAGCGAAACACCTTCGTGTACACGTCGTGTTGGAGTGTGTGGAAATCGGTCCAAAAGCGCAGATGCGTCGGGCAAGAACGACCCTCGGGACTGGTCAAAGACCCTTGGGTAGACAAGTCCGGATTCGTTTGCACGCGAATCGGCCGCGAGAGACGAATGTGACAGCCCCTAATGAATTCAGCAAAGGTTGTCAGTTGTGTGTCTCTCCGGGCTTTGTCCAGCTCTTCCTCTGCCCTTTTCCGCTCCTGGTCTGCTCTTTCCCGCTGCTGGTCTGCCCTCTCCCGGTCTTGTTCTGCTTGTCTCCAAAGCGCTTTGTAGTCAGGAGAATTGTCGGAAGCCTCAGCCATCACTTAGGTGTAAAATGGGACGGCCCGATTGTTAAGATGAGCAGGTGAAAGGGAGGGGGATCGCGCTCAGGCCCATGTAAGTTAGTGACGCGCCGAGCAAGACTATCAGGATGAATAGATAATCCGGAAACAATCGTGACAAACATCATTTTATCACGTGGAAGTGTTTGCTTATGTAGGCGGTCCAGATTCACGACGGTCCCTGAGTGGGACTATTCAGATGCTGAAGTTCTAAATTACAAAAAATGCGTTTGGATTAGAGGTGATCGGAAGATATCCTGGCCCGACTTTCGATAGAATGTAGCACGTGATTCCATTGGAAATTCCCATGAAATCATGTTACGTTCCAGACATCCTTCGTGACCTGTTCGAGGTTGAGATCAGCCTATACTCGTTGCAGCACAGCATCAAAATGACCGTCGCAATAAGCTTGCCGCGCCCATCTCGCGACAGTGCCCCTCTCAAGTGAATACCCAGGCAGGTTGATGAGTGTGGAAGTTATTTTCCCAGACCCCTCGCATTCAGTTGAACCCTGGATTGAGGTACAAGTGTGATAATATTGATCTCTATGAGAGGATCCAGCTATTTGTAGTCGCAGGAGCTCATCTCCCTGCTACCAAGCGTAGTGTCTGCGTAATAGGCAGCCACTCCTGCAGATCAATCTATATCACGTGACCTGGGATCCAACTCATACACAGGCTACCAAGACACTATCTTCACTACCTCACACAAGTGTTTTACTTTCTTCCTTTTCGGCCAACCAAATTGGGTAAAATGACAGTAGCCGTCCCCTCGAGTCGGACCCACAGCATTTCAGCTGTTGGTCCTCCACACCGATACGCAAATTCTCACCGATACGCAAATTTTTCTCTTTATTCATCTTCTTCATTATATACTCAGTATGCCAAAATTCGACGAAAATATCGAAAATCGCCTTAATCAGGCCTGCGAAGCAGCAAAACGCGATCAAAAACCAAAAATCGCGTCGCTGGCGCGCGAATTCGACGTTCCCTATCATCGACTTCGCGCTAGAATTCATGGTCGTCTACCAAGAACAGCCACTGCTCCCACTAACAAAGCACTTGACGATTCGCAAGAAAAAGTAGTTATTCGCTGGATTCGACATCTTGATTCTCTACAAGTTTCGCCTACAATTAGTATAATTGAGGACTGCGTAAATCAGATTTTAAAACGGAACGCTACGGACGACGCGTCGCTACGCGTTTCGAAGAACTAGGTATATCGCTTTATTAGACGCCTCCTACTAGACCTACAGCTAATAAAACAAAAACCAATCGAGAGAAGCCGTCTACAAGCAGAGGATATTGGGTATTTAGCACCTTGGTTCGATCGTCTAGAGGATGAGTAATGGGAACCATCGTCCCGCTTCGCTCATTCCTGCAAGGCTTATCCGGGTGCTTTGAACTCGTATTTGTGCCGAGCAGTCTTGTTGGCCACATTTACCAGCATCCTCAACTCGCCTTCCGCGCCCGGCGCAGTAAAAATCCCGCCCTGCTTGGTCAGTAATGGTCCCAAAGAAGTGCCACGGGACGGACGTACCCGCAAAAACTCGTCTATCGAATCGGTTGTCAGAGTCGTTAACTTCTGCGGCAGGCTCTTGGCCTCAGAGCCCCATACATAACAAGGGCCATTTTTCTTCAACAGTCTCCGGACAATTTCGGCCAATGCGACTAGCTTCAGGGTCGCAGCGTTCATCTCCGACGCACTGATTTGACAATGCTCCACCCCCGCTGAAAGATGGCCCGGGCGTTAGTATCTGCAGCAACTGAAGGGCTCAGCCAACGTCTCTGCTGTGCCACGTACCAATTTTAACCTCGCCCAAGTCCGTGAGCAATATCTTGTCAGCATCCAGAGTGGCCAGCGCCCTTCCGCGATCGCGTAAATGTCGGATCCCGCCCAGCACCTACAAGATATCAGCTCTGGCTTATCCTCGAACAGCTGACGGCCCTTTGCCTGTCGACGAATTAAAATGTGTTAGGAAAAAGAAGCCCTTACTGCCGAGATGATTGCGACAAGCTCACTCTCTGTGATGGAGCATCGGGACGCCAATATCTGACTCACCGAGAGCTCTACTGGCTCCCATACTAAAAAGGCATGATCTCCCTGCTGGTAACATTCCAACAGACGGGGGAAGCTGCGGTGAGAGAGATGATTTATGGTATCCGCCACGGTCTTGGTCGCCGAAGTCTGCTCAAGCTGTTGAATATTGACGAGCTTCGCCTTGTCGCTTCGGTGGCGTGCGAGAACAATGTGTCGCCCCTGATAAATCTCCATGACCCCCTCGTACGTGAGCCACGGATCACTTGTCACTTGACGAACTTTTGGCTGCTGGTGTCGATTTTCTGTCCTAGTCGGAGATGGAGAGTCTCTCGCGGATAGAACGGTCGATGCTTGAGCCCGGGAGTCATGACACGGCGATGGATCAGATGTGCTTCCCGGAGGGCCCCGTCCCAGCTTCCTGGTAAAGAACACGGTTTGCGGGCGATTGGGTAATGGCAGATTAGGATCCATGACGCATCGGGTGCAGGGAAACTAGCGCGGAAATCCCTAGATTATTGATTGATATATACCTTAGATTTGGCCCTCTAGTTTCCGAGTGCGGCATTTTGCTAGCGATATTTTAGCCGGGCCAGCATGACTGCATTATGGGCCATCATTAAACTGCAGGTGACCTGTTCCGGACGACTTGGCAATTTGCCTCTTAATGGCATAAGTGACTGCTCAATGATTTTTCCGTGCCTAGTTATCTCGCATTTAAACGCGGGTAAAGGAACTTGTGGGACGTAGGTAACGGGCACAATTTAAATTTGCGGATGGTGGTTTTTGTTACAAGGTAAACAGGTATGTTCCAACGGAGCAGCTAGAGGACATCATATTAGCAACGAGACAAAAAGACTAGGTTATGATAATGAAAGTGAAGGTGGTTACAATATGCTGAAGAGTTGCTTTTGACGATAAAAAGTCTAATTCACATTTAACGATGCATTCCAATGGCAGCGACAGGAATAGCGTGCCGGTTAGCAGAACTGAAGACTCGTAATAACTCAATAGATCGTTCATTTTGCACCAAACGAAGATTTGGTAGATACTGTAACATCGAAACTATATTCATCAACTATTTACACTAGTCCGAGAAGGGCCTTTGCAGTATTGAAGTATGGCTATTCAAATGGCCAGTAAGTTCCACCAATCAAATGGTAAACCAGTTCCAAGTAGACTGCCTACGGCCGAAACCAATCCGGGTACCGTGGTCGTCGAGTTGATCGACGCAGTGTGGATTGCTGGGAAGACGAGTCTGCGGAGCGAGTCCCGCGAGCGGCAGTCTGCGACCTTTCTCTCCCAGAGTAAGGGTCTTGGGTAGAACGGTCCACAGAGGGATTTCGGAGGGACCTCAATGGATGGGGATGGCGCTCAGGGGATGAAAAATGGTCTGAATTACGTTCTCTCGAAACTGAACCTGGAAAGTTACCCGCTTCGGTGCCGGTGTAATGGAAGGTGTTAAATGCTTGCTGACCCCGACTGGTTTTTGTTAGCTCTTAAACTCATACAGTTTGAAAGGGAGATTGGGATAAGAAAACGTACCATATTGGGCATGAGACGCGGTTCACCGGTGACCGATTGGCGAGCCAATCCTCCATACATCCCAAGTGAACAATGTTGGTGCAGTCTTCGCATTGTAAAATCACGGACTCATCCCGATATTCACCATGGCAGATACGGCACTCCACATCCTCAAGGGTAGGTATCTTGCTGAAACTGTGGATTCGAACAGAGTGCGATTCACTGCTAGTGTTGTCGACAGCCAAGGTGGCCGGATGAGTGGGTGCGACCTCCCAAGGCACCTGTTTCTCTCGAAGATTGTTGCCTGATATCTCTTGACTGGCGGTATGGTATGATGGTGGCCGTAGTAGGTCATAAGGCGGTAGTATGTCGATATAACCGAATCCTCCATCTTTCGCTGAGGGAGGAGCCATTGCGTGTTCGTGAATGATGCGGCTATCTCGCGAGCCACGAACGCTCCCTTCCACGGAGATTGATGGATCCCGAGAAAAAGCTCGTGACTCTAGAGCCCAAGTGGCTGTGTACCACTGTCGGCTGACGTCGTCGGCTTGGTCTTGGTGTCACCTCTTGCAAAGCAGGAGAGGGATGATTTCACGGAGACTTGATTCTAAACTTGAAAGATCAAATGCTTTTTGTGCAAGACAGCTCAGCCTGTGGTCAGCTTCCTTAATGTTTGCTTGGCGCACGCGAAGTTTGCACGTTGTTCCTCGCTTGGTAACCCCGGAACAAGTCCTATCTCCTCGAGAACGTACATGTTCCCATTGCCATTCGGACATTTTGAAGCAAAACTGCAAATATTTCAGGAAATTAACCAACCATATGTCGAAGCTGATGAAGGTCAAAAATGTGCCGATATTGTGCTAGATCCAGGCTTCAGTTATAGTTCTCCTTCAGGTGCGTGTTTTGCTAAATTTGGTCGAAAGCCAAATGACGTAGACCCATGTCCTGCGAATCCATGTCTACAGCTAGGATCCTTGTCTTCTGGTTATGACCTGGCAAAAGACTAATATCCTAGGAGCCGAGGTCCCAGTTGGCACTCGGTGTGGGAGTAGTATATCCTAGGAGCAAAGGGATCCTAGGAGTTAAGAGACCCCACAGCGTTTTCTCCACTAGCAATGCCCGTTGTCCACTGGCTCTATATTGTACGAAGACTTCCCGCTGCTATTTCCCCATCCAACAAACCTGAGCTACAATAAGTTCTTGTCCGACAATACCTCTTCCACCACAAAGAGACCGAGATGGATTTGGGTCTTGAGTATCTGCGGCCACGTTTCGGTCAAATGGTTGGTGATCCAAAACATATTACAGAATGTATTGGAGACCTGTGCCGCAGAATCGTCCCCTTGCAAACCAGAACGATTGCTTCCATTCAATTGGAAGAATTGCGCAAGCCCACGGCCAAGCTTACGCTACAACGAAGCCTGATAATGGTGGCCAAGTTCATGTTGTGTGACCAATGCAGATGCGCGAAAAGCCGAGCCGAGATTGCCGCGAAATGGATTGCCGGGAAATACATCGCTGAGGGAAGAAAGTATCTTGATACAATACAATCACACCCTCCAGCAAGCGAGAACAACAGCCAATTGCTTGCTCCACACGACAGGCCGACCAGTGTATCGCATTCCGTCCACGACATCCGCAGACCTGATAATAGAAATTCCCGCACACGCTATGCTCGAAATTTAGGCGAGAGAGATGGAACTTGGCCTCGCGGAGGTGAAGCAGTCTCGCGGACCCCTGGCTATGTATTGCGTCCAAAGCTATCTGGCCGCCTGGCAAAAATATTTTCTGTATAATACCTGTTCTTTGAGCTGGAATGATCTGTCTAGCTATCCCACTCCCTCCAGATAACTAGAATATTCACATGATCACTGGAATTTGCCTTTATATTTCTGTAACAATAAGCCTTCTCGTTGCTTGAGACTCGCGGAGCGGTCTGATGTCTTCAGTATTTGACCACTTCGTACGATATAATGGTTAGAAAAGGTTCTATATATCATTACTTTGTGGGTGAAATGGACTTACTTTGCGTTTTCCCCACAGTCTTCCATGCCACCAGAATGGTCGACAGACATTGTGTCCGGTGACGGCGCACCAGATAGTCGCCCACGTTCCCACCCGAAAGCAGGCCCAAGGGAAAGAGAACTATCCACACTATCATGCCTGCTGCGCTGTGCGGGTCTGGTGGAAGGTGGCCGATGATTTTCCACAACAAGCCGGAGTTTGCGTGTGAGACTCTGTGCACGAAAAAGGCACATTCTACGCTTCATGTGGCAGAATAACGCACCTAAAATGGGGCAAAGTCAATTGAGTTAAGGGCAGACAAAGTGAAGGAGTATCGACCTAGGCCATGGTACAGAAATAGTGGATTATTTATGCCACAGCGACAGGAAGGAAGTATAACCTGGCTAAGACTGACAACTATTCAATGACGCAATCGTACTATGGGCAACCGATGATGGGGAAATGATCCAAAGCGAGGAGCAAGTTGAAACCCATGCACAGTTCGAAACTAGCCCCGTTGATGTAGCAAGAAGGGTCACTGTTGACCATTGCCCATTGACTGCCTGTCACTGCTTGCTACGGGGAAAGATTGGTTGTGAAGTAGACTTCACTCAGGCTAGATCTCTGTCAACCAACCTCGCAGAGCTCCAAGGAGGCGGCAAAATGAAATCACAACGCGGTTAATTGCCAGGCCAATTCAAGCTTCACGAGTCACACCATCCTCGCCGAATTAAACGAGTTGTAGGATTCGCATTAATCCTCGAGATACAAAGTTACAGTGTGCAAGACTCCTATCTCCATTGATATCCTCAACTTTCCAGCTCCGTGACCCCCGAGGCCTCGGCGTGAGGGGTATGGGCAGCTTTCTCCTCACCATTCCTTGACTCCTCAACTTCAAGTTTCTTCACCACGTTATTGAGCATTATTTCGAACGACTCGGGGTCTTGGCTGCCCTTTTTGATACTGTGCTCTTTCAGCAGATAGTCCGCCACGGCTCCCATTCTCTGGCTGACTTCATAAAGAAGGTCAGCCAAGCGGACAGTCTCCTGTAGCTCATCGGTGGTTTGTTTGAGTGCTTCGTGGGTGGTGGCCAGCTCGTGGTCGAGTTTTCCTTGAGAGCGTTCCGCCCGGAGTGCGCGCGTGTTGAGTGCGGCAATGATACGGAGGATTTCCTGGGAATTGTATTAGCACAAGCGTCCCATGCGCATGAGATACCTACCGAAGCGTCCATATTTCGGAAGAATGGAGCAAGACCGGGATAGTATCGTTGGTTTGGCAAAATAGACACGGCCAGTCGCCACAAAGATATTGAGACAAGCAAGGGAAATAAAACCCACGAGCTTCCCTCTCGTAAAATTCTGGAAACCAAATAAGCGGCTGTCTTATAATGCTGCTTCATCATTTCGAAGACATCAGAGGGGCGGTCCTCTACAGGTCATTCGATACGAAGGTTCTTGCGGGGTGTCATCTTCAGGTAGGAGTCGAGGCCAGTGCTCTCGATCGTGGTCGTGCGAAAATGGGAGCTATTTTTTTGCGGCTTCATGCATGCGATAAGAACAATATTGGGAACTAACGCCGCGCACGCTTATACTAGAAAACTACAGTGCAACAATAAATACCCCACGTGAGGTTTATTCTTGCAACATGACACCTACCAGAGTCATTTTCATGACCATGTATGTTCATCGGGAAAATGGACCGACATCAACTTTTTAGTCGCATCAATTGTCACCATACTTCAAATCTGGGTGAGGAAAGCACCAATCCATTTGAACAGCCTCATTGGATATGCTATTACAAACTACCTCGAACACGGTCTATTTATTTATTCGACGAGAATTCGAAAATAATCTTCAATTTACTTAAACCATAAGATATCTCTCTTTCTCGCAATTCTAGCATCGTGGATGCTGCTATTCTGTCCGTTGGCTTCCAAGTTCCATCGCTGTCCATTTATCAGCTCCCATCCCAACTACCTGGGACTATGCCCGGTCTCCTTCAAATCACTATTGTCCGTCGTTCCCGCGATGGGCAGATGCGTGTTTTTCACTCCACCTTCCCTCACCATCAGAGTGATGTGAGCAGGATATCATCGTTTCTTTCGCTCAAAGCTAATGGTCTATTAGGATGATGAATTGTGCGAACTCGACAATGAACTCGAAACACCAAGCACATCAAAGGAGTGGTCAGATATGTCAGAGGTTCAACCCAGGGACAACCGGTGTATCCTATAATATCGTTCATTGTATGAACGGTGCAAATTCCAAGCGCTGTTCAACGACCTATGTTCACCCCCCGAAGAAGAATTCGTGGGGGATGACCGACCCTGAACGGACGATAGCCAACTTCCCTGGAACCATGATCCGCGTTGGTCGTTTGAGAAAACCATTGCAACAAAGATAACCAGATGCCAACCAGCGTTCCAAACCTTAAGAACATATCCGGGGATTGATGGTGGGAGAAGTCTTCACCGCTTGTACTCTAGTAGCAAAGACCAACGGTTTAAACACCCTATTCATTTGTTCAACGCCTCGTCCGCTTATTTCTATCTGTAGATCCATATTAGCCATAGGCCTGGTTATTTTTGATGAACACCTCGCAGAATAAACAATAAATGGTTTATTGCTAAGAATGGGCTTTCCTTGACATTCGATGACTGAAGGAAGAACCAGGTCCAGGATGACCAACTTTAGCCCTCTTCCGGATGCCCAAAATATTCAACAGGACGTCACATATTGGGTTTCTGCACGCTTCTCGACTGGGACTTGCCTATGCTATCTTACCTACTTCCGACAACGATTGAAGCTTTACCTTGAGGACAACAATGGTGACATACAACACAGTTAGGCGATTAAATATAATCCGTGCTTGTAATTTCACACCGAAAGCGAGTGCGCAGCGAAAATGGTAGGGAAAGATGCCGACCGTATGGGATATGTTCGTAGAAAGAACTGGGTCTCTTAGGATTTAATGGAAATTCATGATCAGTATACACTTGATTTATTCTGAATTACTGAGACAAAACCAAGTCTATAATATCATTTTGCGCCATACATTGATGGTTGCCCATGATACCATTGGGTTATATTAACGGGAGAAAACGAATAGAAAGACTAGGACCATATCGTAGCTTGGAGAATTTACAGAGTGTTGATCCCCAGGACCACGAAGAGGTGCCTGTCCTTCGCTGGGGGTACGACGCATTAAAGCAAGACACCCGCCACATAAGGCAGCGAAGCCATATCGCAGGGTGTGTACAATACCGTTGTGGAGGACAGAAAGCCTGAACCTGGGCTTGTAGAGTCGGCCGGAGGTAGGTATTTATTCCCAACTATGGCGAACAGCAAGACCAGTTTCGCTAATATTCCCGGCCTCGCATTTTTGACCCCCACTAGTATATTCGAAAATGGCCCACCAACCATCATCTCGCCGACGGCATACACCTCGAGAATATATTATTAATTGATTGTCGGCTAACATGGGCCAGGGAGCGATAGGAAATCTGAGATATTTCCGATGCTAAAGTCCATCTAGGGCCTTGCCAGTATGCTTTCTCGGCTAAGCTGCCATAAAGGGCTGGGTGGTAAAGGAGAATTATGTAAAGCACTCCCGTTATCACCCACATCCAATAAGCGAAGAAAGGTTCAAAAGTTGGCGGACAATTCACTTCAAGAAAAGCTCTCTTCCTCTGGCATTTTGCTCGTCCAGAGCTCACCGGTCAGCTTGTTTCCAATGATGAGCCGAGGTCAAAACACTCTGGTCTTCCCGCAGAATACAACAGCTGGAGAGCGTCCCTGTCATACGCTCAGCCCAGCCTCCAGGCACCATGGACAAAATGCTTCGGACCAACACCTCTTCATTGAAACACCAATTCCCCGAAACGGTTCTGGCCTACAATAGCCAACTTAACCAGAGACCATCCGAGCAATATTCACGTTGCCGCAAAAACACGGACTGGTGTTCTCTAACTTTGCACTGTATGTTGAATTTATTTCCTTTTGGAAGCGCCCATTAATTCTAGGTGGGTCGACGGACTGTGACCGTTTTTTGACCTAACAGGGATATTTGAGGGCTACTGCAAGTATCAGAAATGGTGCCGTTTATGCCCCTTGTCGATCCAGCTGTTGAAATTAGCGCCATGTTGTGGAGGGATTTAAAGCCTTTGTTTGTCCTTTTTCTGTACTGTACTTCACGCAGGACAGACTGCCGCTTGGATAACCAGTTTACTTTCTACTACCGAGCCATTCTGAAGGTGATCGCAGGATGCCCAAAGCTACAACATCTTCCCGAAACCCGGCTTCACACGCCCCCAATCGCGTCAGACGGGCTTCTGGCCGCGGGCCACTTCCCTCCCTGTTGCACAGACTCGGACTGTCGCTCCCGGTGCCTCTCAGTGCACCACCAACGTGCAATCGCGACGGTCACCGGTACGTGGACGAAGCCATCCCTATTGCTATAGATGTATGGCAGGGATACCGGTATTGACTTCTGACCACTAGACCGAACCCAACAGGGATTCGAAGAAAAGACCCATTGAGGAAGATCCCAAAGTAATTCATAAGGGCTGCTACGAGGTCATTGGCAGAGCAGACCGTATCTTGAATGAAGAGCGACAGCGATCTTCAGATACCATACGACAACTCACCGCGGTCAAGGAGCAGCTCTCTGCTGAGAAGCAACAAGCCATTGACGACGCTCGCCAACTCAAGTCGGAGATTCAGCAAGCGAAGCAGGAACTCGAGCTTGCCACCACAAGCTTCCAACACCAGGGGGTGCAGGGCGATGAGCAGCGGTTTGTGCTAGAGGTTCATGCCATGGCTCTGGCCTTGACAAATAAGCTCTGGAGCAGGACGGAGGCACACCGAAATGCCTATATACCTTCCCAGTTACAATTTCCCGATGTCACTCAGACTTCGTGGCCGGACAACGCGGGGCAGCACACCGCGCTGAACAGTCACCCCCTCCCGGCAAATCATCTATCGGGGACCCAAGATGAGCTGGCACAATTCAATACATACTCGTCGATATCCTGAACCATACCGGGGGAGGCTCGCCGACAAGAGGAAATTGGTGTACCCAGGCAAATTAATTCTACATTTCTAAGCAACCTTGTCCAGCGTTCCTGGATAGGCCTCACAACCAACTTTAGACAACGCGATACCAGATCCAGTCGGGAGACCGGTTGCAAAGGGGAAAAACTAGGGCGCGCAAACATAGCATTTTTTGGTAGCGTGTAAAATATACGCAGTAAGACCGAAGCAGTAAGACCGAAGCCGGTTATCGAAACAAGGAGGCGTAGAGAAAGCTACAAGGTCAATATGGAACACGATGGGGCTGCGCCGTCCACTGTCGCCATGAGTTCCACTTATGGCGAAGTGGGGCCAGGCTTGTTACCTCAGTGGACAGCCGGATACAGGTCCGACAGATCCACGATGGCTCGCAGATATGAACTGTGGAATGAACTTACACCAGCTCGTGCCATTTCCACCATGAAACGACGGTCAGGCCTAGGGACGCGCCGTCCCAGCGCCCTAATCCGATAATTTAGATCGACACGTTCTAGGCTTGACGAGCTTCACGCCCGTGTGGATTACCCTTGTATAACCCGCTTCCCCCACCGAGAGAGGGCCGGTCTTTCTCTTACCGGCACAAACCGGATCTGACAGCAACCACCCACATTGAGGGATTGTGTCATGATCGGCAATTGACACCAGAATGGGCTCGGCTTACGGGAGGCCCTGGGCCGTGTTCGCCGTTAGATTAGCGTTGGGATGGGGTCAAAGCCTCGTCCAGGCGGGGCAGGTTGCTCCTTCACATTCTGCGCCGCCTTGAAGTCTGAAAGTTTATTGGAAGCCGAGAAAATCCGATCATTGTGAAGTGGCCAATGATTTGTTTCTGAGAGGATAATTTTTGTACCAATTCCTCTCATGAGTCCAGCAATTTGCTGGCCCGCCCCACGGCCAAGCCATTTATTCTTGGCAAATCGTATTTTGTATTAAATCTGGATCTCGTAAGACGCGACCCTGCATGTACCCCAGCATACTTGCATGGTCTTGTCGTTTCCACGCTATAGCAAACCATAGCAGAAGCCTATCTACGAGCAGACTGGTGACTGAGAGTCAGTATTGCGTGCGGATTTCACACGGCCTTCCCGAAAATGCACGAGGCGGAGCGGGGGTGGTCTTCTCCAACGCCCAGTTGACGAGGTGGATCCAGACGAAATGCAACGGTGGATAATTGGGTTCATGCTCTCTCGGGGCTGGTTGTATGACGGGCATGGATCTGCACTATGGAGCTCTTTAGCTCCTGTTGGGCCCCTTTATTGGCTTGTAACACAGCTCGTCCGATTTTACATTATTGGGCTAGATCGGGGACGCGGATCAAACGGCTTGTCCGAGAGCGATGATTTTCCGGCCCTTTGACGGGCTTCTTTCTCGAGTGCCGAGGACCCGGGCGGATCTCCGCGAGTTCTCTTTTTTCCACCACCTTCCCATTTCACTTCCGCCTAGGAAAATGATATATCTAGTGTAATCGCTTCTCGTTGGCCAGGGATCAGCTTGGGAACAGTAGCTTCTGCTGGGTTGTACGGGGATTAGAGGTTCGTGATTGCAATGGGTGTATCTCGGCTCAAGCGGGCTCATGGACTGTGGGGCGGCACTATAATAGGGCCAAAGGGTGGTCAGGGTCGAGTGGCCCTAGGACAATTTGCGGTTCCTGGTGACGTTCGGAGCTGGCAGTCACCCGAACTTAATGCATTTGTCGAGATTCGGATCTATGTTGCTCTAACGGTCAGACCCAGTCGTAGGATCGATATCCCAGGCTGAACCTACAGCGTCCCGTCAGTAATACCACGACATAACGGCTCCGATTAGGGCCGCGCCGACCCCTGTGGTTCTGTCGTGGCGCGAATTTGTCCAGATGTTGGATTACGCCTGAAACTTTCGCCGGTGAACTTACCCTCATGCCGATTACTCTCGCGTGACCCGTCTCCTTTCCCTCGCCCCGACGAGAAACGATCCTAAGCGTAACCAATTGTCATTCTCCAGTAAGCCTTGGCACCGAGGGATCGTGTTTGCGTGCCAGCAATGGTCAACGAGCAAATGACTCGGTTCAAAGTCAGCCCCTTTAACAGTGGGCTATAAGGTCGCACGGGACCAATGATTCGCCAGGAGCGGGTGGTCGCTGAACATTCTGCGCCGCCCTTACTCCGTAAACGCGGCTGGGAGCTTATTGGAAGCCGAGAAAATTCCGGCCGTTATGAGACGAGCTTGAGGCCAATTTTCGTAAAAATTATTTACTATCGTACATGATTGGCTGGTGATTCAAGAATTTATTCTTGGCAAATCGAGGTTCCCGTGTCAATCTTCGGCGGATATCTGTGGATACGCTCTCTCCGTATTAGATCTAGGCCCAATAACGAGCTCCGCTGCATTCCTGCATGTACCCTGGCGAGCACGGAGCAGATCGCATGTTCGCCGCTTTCTCCACGTTAGAGACCTAGCTTTGTGAGAGGACGGAGGTTCCGCGGTTGGCGGACAAACAATGGGAATCGCCCACCACCCCCCCCCCCCCTCGCCCCTCGCTTTTCCGATCATCAAGATCATTGAAGGCCTCGCCGATACAGAGTCCTTTCAAAGCGACGACGGCACAAAGAAGGGAAGAGGAGTGCCCCACATTCATAATGATACGACAGCGGTCCTGCCCGGCGACGCAGGCTAGTAAAACCTTGCTGTTGTGTCTCGGCAATATCGTCTCCTCGGGTGAGGTTAGACAGGCGAGTCCGACCCGTTCGCACCATTTACATAGAGCCTGGGAAAGAGATTTTCTCCCATCGGAATAGAATCCATAAAACCACTCAAAATCAATGCCGGCATCCTGCCTTCTACTGATCAAATGATGTCCAGGCGACATACTTACCTACAAGAGATGCAAAGCCTCTTTCTAGTGGTACTGGCTGGACTGAGTGGAACAAAGTCTTAGGAGCCACACGTCCTACTACTTGCCAAGCAAGGGGTCTCAACTGGTCGGCTAGGTGGGCCTTCAATACGCGCGAAGAGAGTGTAGGCAAAAGGAGCTGCACCGTTTGGATCCACCCTGCAGGTGTTATGACCCACCCGCGATGGAGAACACGAGTTCGGAAAACAAAAAGATGAGAAAGTCGGGTGCTTGGGGGGAACATGGGACGGAACGGAAGTGCGACATCAAAGCCGATAGGGCCCATCGCGACCGGGGTGTCAATCCTTTTATTTGGAATTACAAGCTTCCCGTGAAGCAGCAGTTTCGACCTAGCGCAGATATCGGCACATGGAAATGAGCCCAGTGGTTCCTTCCATTTGGCGGCGGGCAATTCCTGGGTCTTACTCGCATCGGCTTTTAATATGCATTGGTGATCAACGCCCTTTGCCATTGTCCGATCAAATTCTGCCGGCTAGTTCCGCAGTTGATCTTCCATCATCGAAACGAGACGATGGGCGGGATGGCGGCAGGAACGAGGGACAGTGGAGACCTAGCTTAGCGCTGCTGACTGGATTCGCGGGCCACGGGCTGCTTGGACCAAAGCCAAGCTAATCTGGCCGCGCCATGGTTGGCTTTTTATTTGACCCACAAAGATCGCCTCACAGTGGATCATCCCAACACCAGCCATGGGATCCTGCCCTGACGCTGCCGTTGCCGCCGATGACGGTGGTCAACAAAACGCTCCACCAAACGGCGCGCATCAGGTCTGTGCGCCAGAACCATGACCACCAATTCGCGCCCAGAGGCCGTAGCTTTACCGTCTGTCTATCGCCCCGGGGGGTTTCCGGGCAGGGGTCATCTGCTTGAGCTTAAAGAGTACCGAAATCTAGTCTCTTAATACATCACACATCTCTCTAGATTCGGATGACACAACCTTCCTATGGCCATCCTGCCTCGTAATCTATTACATTTCTTTCGTAGCCTCACGGTACAGTCCCATTTGCCGTGACCCGGCGCGTTTTCTCTCAACCGCAGCGCGTAGCGGCGAGCTAGCTGATGTATCCACGAGAAGTTGTATTCCTATTGCGTTGAGCGCTTACTGCGTACCGCCTTCCTCTCCACAGCTGGCATGCCCTGGGACTTGCATAAGTCATTTATCATATCTTGCAAGTGGTCGACCTTCGCCTCCAGTGCGCGGATTTTGTGCGACATTGTGGTCATGCTCTGGTGGGTACTGTCGTTGAAAGAGCCTTGCTTTTTCAGCTGATCCTCGTTGTTTCTAGTGTTCTAGGTTAGTATGATGACTTGAGGGGGGAAACCAGTGCAGGGCGAGCCGGATGATACTCACTGGACTCGGTCGTCTAAGCTAGGAATTGTCAGTATGAACACCTTAACAGTAGATGAAAGCCCAGAAAGACATACTCTCTAATCAAAGTATATGCCACCGGATCTCCGGGGGTGTTCGACGTAGGATCTTGTGATGGGCCCAGCTCACGGTCGACCACGCTCTCCGTCTCCATCACCCATGGGTGCTTCTCCTCCTCCTGGTTGTCTTCGTCCATGTCCGCCACATCATTCTCGTCACATGAATCATCACCCGAGGCATGTGACCGATGGTCATCCTCCTGCGGAAGCTCGGGAGAGTTTGTCGAGCTCCTGTCTCCCGTCTTGCTAGGCGAGTGTGATACCATCAGCATGTGCTGCAGTTCGCCGAGGAGACTAACTGGCTCGCTGCTGGACTGGTCATCTCCTGAGTTGGCCATCCTGCTAGGGCGACTGGAAAGGTAGGGGTGAAGGAAAGTTGTGAAGCCGTTCTGCTCGAAGGGAGATTGGACTACATTTATATCCAAAGTGGAGACGAGGAACCGTACTCAAGTATAATATGGTAAAAGAAACAGCCTTGACTAGCGGTATCAGGGGTCTAGGTTCCTCACCTTTTGCGAATAAGGAAGCTTTCGTTTAGTTGGATACTGTACGGCCCGCTGGGGCCAAGACTGTCATAGCAGAACCCCAGTAAATGGGTACAAAGAGTTTCTATACTGTGGGTCTGTCTATTCGCCTCGCGATATTCCCCTACTGATCTCCTATATGGTCGGCCTTCAGAAGGCTCGAAGGCTCTCCATGAACCTCGGCAGTCTCAACTACCTGGGGGCCGTGAATGAAGCCATGTCTTGACGTGAGCACAAAGAGATGGCTGCAGTGTGTACGTTCGCAGCACGTTGAAACCTATGAATTTGTTTTCGACCTTTGTATTGCACGGCAACTTCACCATCTACTGGTTAAAAACCTTGAGATAATCTGATTACCATAACGACCGAGCTCAATACCAAGCTGAGACATGCCCTTGCTCCATGTTTCCTCGGCCGTCGGAGACTTGATGGTTACATTGCTATTTTCACCAGCTTAGGAGGACTACAGTTGCACAACTGGTGATAAGTCTTCCTGAGGGGTGGGGCTCAGTCTAATAACGTAGCAAGGTTCACCAGGCCCGGAACAGATAAAATGGGACGGGCCTAAAGTGGGCAAACAATACCCACCTTGCAAGATTTACCGAGGAATTGTCGATTCCACTGGTTTCACCCATAGATTGCAGGGGTATTCTTGGTGTCTAGAACGGATACCATCACCAGTAAAACTATAACAGTCACCCACCCACCGGTCGTGCCCTCGACAAACGTCTGTCCGTGGCTACATTTCCTACCTGTTTTTCCATTCCCCACCCCCACAATCCTTTCTCACGCAATGCCCAAAGCAGACTATATTCCTTGGACTCAATGGGAGGAAGAAAATCTTCCACGGTGGTTATCCCAGCATAGCATGCTGTCCTGGAAGGCCAAGTCCGAGGCATATTTCAGGCAATATAATCTTCCAAGGACGCCCGAAGGACTGCGGAGCAAGCTCAACCAACTGATTAAACCTCCGCGAGGCAACCTCGACGGGAGACTACCCGAATACCACCGCTTAGCTGCTCGTCGGGCACGCCATCGTCGGCATCGAGACTTGCAAGGCCTTCCTGCCCCCTCTTTGCCTGTCCGGCCGAGAGCTCCCCGCACAAGAACTCGAACCCTCTCGCAGCTAGTGCTAGGATCGAGACCGTCTGAGCAAGGGATGCGTGGCCGATGCGAGCAGTACTCGCCGTCTACTATCTTACAAGCCGACGATATGGCTGCAATGGCACTCAAAGATAGTCGGTTGTCTCTGCCACGTCGAGATTGCCCTAGTGAGATCTATAGTTCGAGCAGACTCGAGGATAAGCTGACAAAAAGTACTTGTCGCAGGATTCGAGCTTTCCAGTCCACTATTGCTACGACGAGAGCAACCTCGATTGATGGAACAACTATGGAGAGCAATCCACAGAGTCGCTGATCGCCTGAGAGACTCGGAGAGAAAGAAGGGACTTGAAGCACAACATGAGATGTAGGGATCCAGATTTGCTATAGCACACTTGCGGGCATTGAAACAGATCATATTTCTATGTACGATAATTGATCGGGACTTGGATATCTCACCCAGTACGACAATCAACCTCCAAAGTACATGCAATAATATATATATATATATATCCTAGAGAGCACATTTACGAGAACATGAAATAGAACTAGACTAATATACTCAAGAGCATATCTCTACTCATCTGATGCCTATTGGCGTGAATAATTGCTATTCCTCTCACCCCCGAGCTGTACGGAGGCTAAAATGTGCAATATAGAACAATGGTTCTCATCTCCCGCACAGTACAACAACACCGCGCAGAGGTTATCAACTTACGATTAGCCTAAGAGCACAAAATTCCTTACTCGGACTGATTTTTGTCCACTGCGAATGACGGCATCCTAGTTGCTAAAAAGTAAAGTGAAACGCGAGGCTGGAGAACTCCACAATAGTGCTAGCAGCGAGAGATCCTACTGAATGCGATCCATGATAGGCCCAGACTCAGAGGATAGGCTGGACATGCCGTATTCAGACCACTACAGACAAAGAATGCGCAAATTCTGTCCCTCGTAGCCTACGGGGCATAAAGATAGGGCGATAATCCCGGGGCTTCCGAGCGACAGCAGCTTTCCCTTGAATAGTCAAGTCCACGGGAAGCCATTCTCCATTACCCCAATCGAGTACAAGAGCTGCACATCTTTCTCCACCTGGTCCCCATGCCAACCAGGGGTACCTAGGAAGTAGGATGTCACCATAGACGAATAGCTAAGGCAGACAGGCGATGCAACTCACAGATCCGCTAACACATAACCCACCGCACAAGGTCGCCAGAATTTTGAAGGATTCCATCTGGGATGTGCACCGGGGTAACCCAAGCCCTGGCCTCAGTATTGGAATCTTTCCGGATCGACAGGGGACCCGCTGAATGTTACAGACAAGTGCGAGGGCCCCACAGTCGGGTGGATCCTACAGTCGAAGTTCGTGGTGCGGCGGGTCATCTCTGATCCAACGCTCCGGTCTACCCCGTCCCTGATAGGTCTACACTACGTTACGACCGAAGCGGACTTATCGACGAAGCCCGCGGAAGCGTTCCCGATTTCCGACCCGCTCAAATCTCAAATCTCAAATCTCAGGATGAGAAGATGACCAAGTAGATCTTCTTGGGAATTTCCCCATCTTGAAGCTCGGTTCAGTTTCCCCGTAGGACCACAATGGTGGTCTAGACAACAAGTTCGCAGTGGGACAGTCGAATTAGCACATCAGGATGGACTGTGCATATGCGAATCATGTTTAACAAGTGACACTGACAGGAACGTTCAAAAGATGACGGGGTGAGCGGAGCGGTGACGTGATGGTAGGTCCCCGTACAAGGTCGCCCAATATGATGGGAGACTAAGCGTACCAATTACGTAGACCTAAAGGTGGCGAATTAAACAGGGTGGTGAATTAAACAGGGTGGTGAATTAAACAGGGTGGTGAATTAAACAGGGTGGTGAATTAAACAGGGTGGTGAATTAAACAGGGTGGTGGATAACCAGGTGGGATAACCAGGGTGGTGCTACGATCAAAGTTAACGAGGGAAGGTTAGGCCGATGGCTTTGTAATTGCTTTGCGTTCACCACCCTGGTTATCCCACCCTGTTCATCCTATCGACCTGTTCATCCTATCGACCTGTTCATCCTATCGACCTGCTCATCCTATCGACCTGTTCATCCTATCGACCTGTTCATCCTATCGACCTGCTCATCCTATCGACCTGTTCATCCAACCACCCTGTTTAATCCACCACCCTGTTTAATTCACCACCCTGTTTAATTCTGTTGAATATCCCGGTTACTGAGATAACCATGGGGTTGGGATCACGTGCATACATGTATATTTATCTACCAGCCTCATATCTCACATCACGACACACAATCAACTCCCCTCAATGATATGAACATTGAAGCATCACTCAATAAACCAACAGGTTATGAGCCCGGCACCGCTCACCTCAAATTGGAGATTCTACTTTCTGCTCCTAAGTTTTTCCCCGTTAAGTGATAGCTTCATCTATTGACCAAACTGGAACCGCTCATTTAGCACATCAACAAAGAGGACATTTTCTCACGACCGAGAAAAATGGGGTTGTGCGAAATCGTCTCAAGTTTCGGATCAAATTCATCACACCGCTGCGAATACTCGTCAGACCAATGATGGTCTACAGATATGTTTCACAACAGACAACATTACCTCACACCGCTACGACTGCCAACACTGCTCCAGACATATCACATCGCCACAGCCAGAAGAAACGACATAATCCCTGTGGCATGCTAGGACTCTATCTCCCCCTAAAATCCTCAGTACTCTTGGGAAAGGACATTTTACTATTCTAACTCATGAAAAGAAAGCGTGGACCCTATAACCAATGGACTGACAAGGATCTCAATTTGGTATGCTATCTTCGATACGTCCGCCATTGGCCCTTTTCAAAAATCCAAAAGGCGAACTTTCCACTACTTTCCCAAGACTCAGTCAAAGGGGCCTATAGGCATTTGCCTACGGAAGAGCGCACACGCCGGGCGCTCGCCGCTGTACCTTCCATTGCCAAATCCCGGCATACCGTGGAACGCAGCTTTTCACGCCAAGATCAACCTGCACTCTCCAATCTGGAACTAGAACCGAGTCACTCCAATTCCACAAATATTGAAGCCGAACCTACACCGTCGATCTCGCATGATAATAACTCAAGACGGTACAATCTCCGGCCAAGCAGACCAAAAATCTTCGCAGAACGAAAGCCACGTTATATGGTGGATCGCAACCGTTTCCCTCATTTCTTTGAGTCCTATCGCGATTCTATCAAGCCGAACGAGCTACCGGACAGCGAATACATTCCTCCATCACATACACCTACTCCAAGCTCGTCGGAGCACTCTCCTTCTATCATCTCTAGTCCACCCAGCGAGATATCGAGCTTGGAACTGTTCGGTCTCGAGGCACGGTCTCCTGAACTATCAAATCATACGCCTTCTGCCCTCTCAATTTGCTCAAGTGATTCGTCAAGCACTGAATTCTTCAGTACCGAAGAGCCCTGAACACCATCACGATGGATTCGAACAAGTTTGAGCAACTAGGCTTGAGCTCATTCTATCACGCCATACCGACTCTCGATAATGCCAATGACTGGTCCCAGTGGAACCAGAAAGTCAAGGAGTTTCTTCGAATATCTCCCGTGGCTAAGGATGACGCGACTCCCCCTTTGGAGGAGGAGGAAGCGCAGCAATGGTCTCACCGTCAGACATTTTACTCGGCAATGATCGCGGCCAAGCTGACCCACAATGCGGCTCAGCGGATAAACGCCTTCGACATCACCCGGGTCCAATCACTGATCAAAGCGGTAAAGGAGCACTTCAAGCCCGAAGGTTCAGGCACATATGTGAATCTTCAGAGACGGTACATGTCACTCACCCGAGCAAAATGTGGGAGTGCACAAGCCCTCGGGGCTGAGATCAGAAAAAATCACGCCGAGAAGCTTTTACTCGACCCCGCGTGTGTCACCTCTGAGATTGAACGAACCTTCTTTTTCCTCCATGCCTTAGGCCCGGAATATGAGAGCTTTCGCGACCATATCTTCAGACAAATGGACATAGTCAATGACAGAGATGAGAGCGGAAATGTCACCAAAGCAGCTCCTACATTTGACTACATCGAAAACAAGGCCATTGAGGAGGAGTATAGGAAGGGTCAGCTGAGCAACCAGCCCACAGATACGAATGCGCTTCCTGCCTTCATACTTAGCCATAAGCCTGGAGACAGGAAAGTCATACCGTCTCCAGATGGGAAAACGTGCCGAATCGAGATGAACAATGTTCCTTTCTGTGCTTTCTGCCGGAAACCCTATCACAGAGAGTCACACTGCTTCAAAAAGAATCCTAGCCTGAAGGATCAAGAAAAGGAGAAAACGACCCGCCGACCAAGACCCAAAGAGGCGTACGCGGGTGTTCGCAATCCATCAAAGCGGCGAGCTAGTACGGATCATGAAGACGATGATTCAGAAGGACCGAGAGACCCCAAAAGACCGACGTTTGTGGCGACACAGGCCTCGAAACAAGATATCAATGCAGCCTTTAGCGCCGAAGTTGAAGGAAATGTTGCCACATTTGACTTCTTTCCCAGCTTGATGGCGACAAAATCTCTCTCAATCCGTGACGCCTGGATCGTGGACAGTGGATGTGCTCAGCACGTCTGCAATAATGCCTCGAGATTCGTCAATATGGACGAATATAATGGTCCACCGCTGAGAAGCGTCGATACCTCGACGACTCCTTCCGGCGTAGGAGTGGCAAATATCTTGTGCAATGTACGAGGAAGAAAGAAATGGCTTGTCCTAGATGACGTCTTGTTTGTCCCGACTGCGCATGCGAATCTTGTATCTGTGTTGCAGCTTCTCAATCGGGGGGCAGACATTAATTTCTCGAGCAACGGCGCCATTATTCGGAACAAATCCGATGGGAAAAATCTGTTCACTGCGAGCCAATATCATGGAGTCTACGCACTCGACCTATGGGCAAAACTTTCTTTTCCAGCCTACCATGTCAGCTCCCAGTCGGCACTCTGGCACAATAGGCTTGCTCACATGAGCGGTGCGAATGTACAACGACTCAAAAAGCAAGCCCACGGCATTCGGGATGATGCGCCACGCCAACCCTGCAACCCATGCCTCCAGGGAAGAATGATTGAAACCCCCCATCGTCGCTCAGAAGCGGGCAAAAGAGCCAATTTTGCCATGGAACTCCTCCATATTGATGTTGCAGGACCTTTTGAGGAGGGCCTTGATGGCAGTCGCTATTGGCTTACCATTGTTGATGACTTTACTGGATGGGTTGAGATCGTCCCCATACTACGACGGCAGGAATACGTCGTTGAGTCCTTGCGGTACTTCCTCGATCACAATGAACGCCCTGAGCGCAAATGCAGGCGAATTCGTCTGGATCGGATCCCGGAGCAAGTGGGAGAAGAAATGAAATTTACCCTCTTCTCAAGGGCAATCCGAGCCGAAGTTACGGGCGTCGACCAGCACCAACAGAATGGAGTGGCGGAAAGAGCCCACAAGACAATCTACGATCGAGTCGGGCCAACGCTCGCACATGCGAAACTACCGCCCAAATTCTGGCCGGAGATTGCGCGAACTGCGGCCTTCCTCTCGAATCGATCACCATCATCCAAACGCAATATGACTCCGTACCAAGCTTGGTATGGTGATAAGCCTGACCTGTCACGGCTGAGAGTCATAGGATCCAAGGGAGAGTATCTAATTCCACCCAAACAAAGAAAGAAGCTGACGGGACCAAGAACGAGGCCATGTCTACTGCTGGGATACGAAGGTAATACAAACTACCGCATCCTGCTAGAAGACGGCAGAATCATTGGTACTCCAAATGCAGAATTTTACGAAGTCCTCAACACTCCTTCCACGCAGACCAGAGAAGACGTGAGAGCCAAACAGCAGAGCTTTCCTGTGGCAACGGCTGCTGCCGCAGGGGGAGTGAGACGGTGGGACTAATAAACCAACCGTCGGCCAGTATGCGACATGCATCCGTGCCAGCCTCGGGACGTCAAGTATCCCTGGCGCCACAAGGGCAAATGCAGCCTAGATCAAGGGACGACATAGTGCAAGTGCATCCGCCTCAGTCGAGTGATAATAACTCGCAGCCCGCCGTTGCTGGCCAAGGAGCCATAACCTTTTCGCCTCCACGGAGTGATGATACCTTCGGACCCTTATCACCTGCTTCACAGGATTCCGTCCTGAGGATTGACTCACCACCCGGTAGCGGCCAGCAACAAGGCGATGCACAGCAAGGGCGAATCCCAGATTGGCTAGATTATTCCGAGCTTCGAGAGGGTGGCGCAGAACACATAGTGCCAAAAGACTCACTGGAACGCCACCCCGAACTCAAGCTCCGTGACACACAAACGTTTCAAGACACATCTGGTTATGACCAAGAAGAACTCGCATTGATGAATATCTCCGACAAGAATATCATTCCGACCTTCTTGACTGTAGCGGCGGAAGAGACAGAACCCTTCGAACCGAAGTCCCTTCGACAGGCCAAGAATGATACACGCTGGCTCGAATGGAAAAAGGGGATGATCGAAGAGATACAGTCACTCAAACAAAACAAAACTTGGGAAATGGTTGACCCTCCCAAGGATCGCCGAGTCCTGAGCGGGAAGTGGGTTTTCAAACTCAAAAGAGGATCACACGGAGAAATCGTCCGCTACAAGTGCAGATGGGTAGTCAGAGGTTTCACCCAGGAAGAAGGTGTCGACTATGATGAAACATTTGCTTCTGTGGTCAAACCAATGAGCTACAAAGCCCTGTTTGCAATTGCAGCTGCCCTGGATCTCGAAATCGAACAAATGGATGTCAAAACAGCGTTCTTATACGGCGAGGTAGACCACGAGATCTATGTCGAACAGCCTCACCACACTACAGACGGCACATCAAGGGTCTGCAAGCTTCGAAAGGCGCTCTATGGCCTGAAACAAGCACCTCGGATCTGGTATCAGACTCTCACCAACTTCCTTCGGGATCTTGGCTTTGAGCCCATCAACGCTGATCTCAGTATCTTTGTCCGGAGCAGTGTGTACATTGCCGTCTACGTTGATGACCTCTTGATCATCGGACCAAGCATTGCAGAGATCAAGAAGATCAAGAGGAGCCTCAGAAATCGTTTCCATATGACAGATCTTGGCCCATGCAGCTACTATCTTGGCATGGCCATCCGGCGAGATCGGCAGAACAGAATCCTCTATCTCAGCCAAGAGGCTTATGTGCACAAGATCCTCCAGCAATTCGGAATGTCCGACTGTGCACCTGTCAGCACGCCTATAGACACATCACCTTTACCAGAAAGCGGACCCGAATACGCCTGCCCGCCGAGTGTCAAGAATGAGTACCAGCGTGTGATCGGATCGCTGATGTACATCATGCTTGGAACTAGAGGTGATATTGCATATGCAGTCTCGGCAGCAAGCAGACACTTAGCAAATCCTGGTCCACAACATGTGAAGCTCGCCCGTCGAATCCTTCGATACCTCAGAGGCACCAAGTCTCTCAGTCTCGCATATAGAGGCCAGCTCCAGATGCTCCGTGGCTTCACGGATGCAGATTGGGCTGGATGTTGCCAGACAAGACGGTCGACGGCTGGATATCTTTTCAATATTGGAAGTGGAGCAATCAGCTGGCAATCAAAACGTCAAAGTATTGTTGCCCTATCGACCTGCGAAGCGGAATTTATGGGCCAGACGCAAGCAACAAAGGAAGCTGTCTGGCTGAGAAGACTCCTTCACGAGCTGAATGTGGACCAGGGACAACGCGCAACAATCATTTGCGGTGACAATCAAGGAGCCATTGCGTTGGCCTCAAACCCTCAATATCATTCACGGACAAAGCATATGGACATCCAACGAAAGTGGCAAGGAGAAGTCCAAGACGCCGGAACAGTGGAACTGAAGTATGTCCCGACTACGGAGCAAATTGCAGATGGCTTCACGAAGCCCCTTGCACGAGACAGATTTGAGTGGTTTCGAAAGGGTCTCGGCATTGAGTGATAAAGTCTCGTCAGACACGAATCTTCAAAACAAAGAAAAAGAAAGCCCAGGCATGCAGGCACCCTTTCCTTCCTTTTTACCATTGTTTTTGGGAGGTTTTAATGGGGCTTGGCAACCCGGAATGAAAGATCGCTGATCTCCTTCTGACGAAGGAGATTAGCGAGTGGGAGTGTTGAATATCCCGGTTACTGAGATAACCATGGGGTTGGGATCACGTGCATACATGTATATTTATCTACCAGCCTCATATCTCACATCACGACACACAATCAACTCCCCTCAATGATATGAACATTGAAGCATCACTCAATAAACCAACAAATTCACCACCCTGTTTAATTCACCACCCTGTTTAATTCACCACCCTGTTTAATTCACCACCCTGTTTAATTCACCACCCTGTTTAATTCACCACCCTGTTTAATTCACCACCTGGTTATCCCACCCTGTTTATCCTATCGACCTGGTTATCCCACCCTGTTTATCCCACCACCCTGTTTATCCACCACTCTGAAAATAATATACTGACAGAAATCGCCGGCGGCGATACACACTTGTGACGTACTTTGGCTAAACTACCCGGCTCGTAGTGGTTCGCATCGGTGCCGGCTTATACCAACATTTTTGGATGTATGCTATCGGCTTGTAGTTTAAACGGAATTCTGGTTGATCATTTTTCAACGTGGGTTGGCTGAGAGCGGACTGGTTAACTCCATTCTCTCAGTTCTTAAAGCCAATACACACACACACAATTCATTAACGCCCGGCGGCTAAGCCGAAAGGGCAACTATCACTGATCTATCAATACAGGTCCTAATGTCCATATGCCGTATCTCCTTCGAGCCCATACATAGAACCTTTCAGTATATGTCCTCTCAGCTGTCAATGTCGTAGGAATCCTTGTGGGTTAGTAATTTTGTTAGAAGACTGGCTTGAAGGCGTTACAGTAGAATTCGAAAACAGATTACCCTCGGACACACAGGCTTTCTTTCCCAGCGCCCCACTCAGATTGCGCTAAACTGGATTCGACCAGAGAAAGTTTCCACCATCTTGTAGATCACCAAGGTTACCGTAAATACTGTTTCGAGTTCATATACTTCTCAATGAATTTTATGAGAAAAAATTAATCAAATGGAAACAGGACAAAGTCATCTTCCTCGGAGACAGATTTGACACGCTGCTCCTTAATTGCGGCATCTTGTACGTTGGACTTCGTCGGTTGCAAAAGACGTTTTTCGGTGGTGGAAAGATTTCTATTCGGATCCCCGACAGCCTCATTATGGAAGATACCGGCATTAATCTCAGGAGTACCAGCCCGAGAGGTTCTTTCTTGATGCGGATGTGATTCCCGAGGCTGGATAGCGTCGTTTTCAGTGGCTGGATGAGCATAATCGCAAGAGGAAAGGATGGCCCGACCCTTTCAACGGTCAGCGCACAAACACCAAATCAAATACCCCTATGGATGATTACCTCAGAGCCAACTGATTCTCCGTGCGGGATTTTTCCATACTTTCTAAAGTGGTGTTTTTCACTTTCAGACAATGGCTGATAGATGTTGTTAGTGGCTTCGCCTCAAGTCAGAGAGGGGGCCCGGGAGAATTCCTACTTCGGGGCGCGACCCTCTGCGTCCTGCTTCTGCCTGCATTCTGAAATGTTGACTGATTTCTAAGGAAAACTTGTCAAGCACGCGCTAAATGTACTTCATCCATAAAGTATTTAGCTCATAAGCAATATGTATGACGTTTACTGGCACGTGACCGAATGTCGTCAGAGACTCAAAATTCCGTAGTCAATTACGCCATAGTAGCTATCCGTAACGAAACGTATTTAATATTATTAGCTTGCATTACGGGTTAGACTTGCTATGAGCTAGTGAACCCTAGCTCAGGGTTTGGGACGAAATCGAAGAGTACATGTACAGTGACAGTCGATAAGTTTTAACACCCCCTTGGCCCCACTTACCCTGACCGCCCCTACCGCCTACCAAAATCGCGTTGACAGAAACACGCTAGTATTAGTAGACGCGTTGAATAATAGATTTTTACTCTCTCTACTACTTCACGCCCCTATTTTACCTACTATTTCACCTCATTTTTAGCCAATCTGACGATGGCTCGCTCTAAGGAGCTTACACCAGCTCTCCGAGAGCGTATCTACGAGTTACACGCTATTGGCTGGGGATATAAGCGTATTCACCAGCGCTACCCATGGATCTCACTGTCTACTATCCGATATACGATAAAAAAAGAATCAGAACGACGCGAGGGTGTCTCAAAACCCCGATCTGGCCGGCCCGAAAAGCTCTCCGACGAGCAAAAAGATCGTATTCTCGAAGCAATTCATGGTAATCCACGGATTACCCATCAAGACCTACTTGCTAAGGCTGATCACCGTATCAAACTTCCTGCTATAAAGGCATTTCTTAAAGCAGAAGGTCTCCGGAAGTGGCGAGCGAGTTGGCGACCTTATTTGACCGATCAAGCTGCTGCAAAACGTCTTCGTTGGGCTCTAAAGTATCAACACTTTACCCCTAAGGATTGGGCTCGCGTTTTTTGGTCTGATGAGTGTACTGTTGAGCGTGGAATTGGTATACAACGCGAGTGGACTTTTATCCGACCTCGCGATCAGCCAAAAAGCGGCCAAATCCAGGGATTACCACATCGAGGTAAGCAGGTTAAACAGATGTTTTGGGCAGCCTTTTCAGGGAGTACTCGACGTACTGGTTTAATTCCGTTATTCGGCGATCTAAATTCAGAGCGTGGCGGTGTTAATCGCTTTGTTATTGATGATTTATATCGCCGGATTCTACCTACATTGCTCCAATATAAAGGAAGTATCTTCCAGCATAATAATGCGCCAACGCATACCGCATATATCGTCCGAGATACACTAGAGGAGCTTTATATCGAGGTAATGGATGGCCACCTTATTCGCCTGATCTTAACCCAATTGAAAATCTCTGGGCGCTATTGAAAGCAGCGATATATAAGATCCGGCCAGATCTTATACATATGCGCAATAACGATACAACTAAGCAGATATTGGTTGAAACTGCGCAGCAAGCTTGGTCTAAACTAGATCTAAGACATCTCGAGCATCTATCTGAAACGATGCCACACCGGGTACAGGCGATTATTGAAACAGATGGATGGTATACTAAATACTAGGGGGTTGGTAGTGAATTTCATGAGGTTTTTGGCTGGCAGAATATTATGTAATTAAGGGGGTGTGGGGCGGGGGTGTTAAAACTTATCGACTGTCACTGTAGGCGGTGACACCGATATCCGGAAGTACTGTACCGTCGTGTACCAGAAATACATCAAGAAAAAATGGTGGGGACTTTCCCTGGCCGAATCCAGTTTAGCGCAATCTGAGTGGGGCGGCACTGGGAAAGAAAGCCTGTGTCCGAGGGGTAATCTGTTTTCGAATTCTACTGTACGTCCTAGCCGTCCTCATGGACACGAAACTCAAGTACAAGGAACATATTGCGAGGGCAGCATCTAAGGGCCTGGAAGCCGCGATGGAGCTTCGAAGACTTCGGGGTTTATCCCCAGCGACAGCGCGGCAGCTATTTACATCGACGGTGGCGCCGGTCGTGGACTACGCGTCCAATGTCTGGATGCACGCGTGCAAGGATAAGGCCATAGGGCCGATCAACCGCGTCCAAAGGGTAGGAGCGCAGGCGATTGTAGGAACATTCCTCACAGTTGCGACCAGTGTAGCGGAGGCGGAGGCCCACCTTGCCACCGTTCGACACCGTTTCTGGAGACGAGCCGTGAAGATGTGGACGGACATACATACCCTGCCAGAAACCAACCCTCTCCGCAGGAATACAGCACGGATCAAGAAATTCAGAAGATACCATCGTTCGCCGTTGTATCAAGTAGCAGACGCGCTGAAGAACGTTGAGATGGAAACACTGGAAACCATCAATCCGTTCACATTGGCACCATGGGAAGTACGCCTACAGGCTGGCGTTGAAGCAACTCCGCAGTCACCGACCGTACCAGGCGGGTCAATGCAGATCGCAACCAGCAATTCAGCACGGAACGAGCTAGTCGGGTTTGGGATGGCGATCGAGAGACAGCCACCTCGGTATCGAAAACTGAAACTGAAGACCCTTTCCGTCACATTGGGTGCAAGAACAGAGCAAAATCCGTTCTCTGCAGAGCTAGCAGCGATGGCACATGCGTTGAACATGGCAGTTGGTCTGAAAGACTACAGGATTACGCTCAAGATCTCTGGGAGAGGTGAGATATGGCTCAAGCCTTCTGCTTACGCCACCCAGACTGATTGTTTTAGATTCTGCAAAGGCGCAAAGTGTGATCCAGTCGAATGTTTATCCCAACTCTCTGATACAGAAACGACGGTGCGCTTTCTCAAGGCTTTCTTCTCATGGCGCTGCAGGCAGCGACGTGGGAAAAATGGCCGTCGCAATCCAGGGATAAAGCACAAATCCCCCCTCGACTCGTTATGGAAATGGTGGCATCTGATATATAAGGCCGAGGTTGGACATGAACTGAGCAAAGACATTCAGGTGAAAATCCGCGATGTGAGATCTCCTCTTTGTACGGGAACAGCGATAATCCAGACCGGACTGACCATCCATAGGTGCTCGCGATAGTAGCGAAGGAAGAAAAACTTTCCCTCCGACCTCGACCGAAAGCGACCATGTATATCGAAGATGTGGCTGAGTTTGCGCGAGTGATCCTATCCACGACAGAGATGACATTTCCTTGTGGCTGGTACCGGATACAGCTCCTCTTCTTCTGCCAGCTGGCGGCGATCACTGGTAGCCGGCCCAGGGCGCTGTTAGAACTACGCTTTCGGGACCTGATGCTGACGTTGATTCGGGATCCAAATGGAAGACGCCCTCGACTATTTATCTATCTGAGACCTGAATTCACAAAAACATTCCTCGGCGAAAAAGAGTCGTAAGAACCCCACTCTTCCCCCTTCCCTTCACGCTGTTTCCTATGCTCCCTCTGCCTTTCAATGTTGCCCAGGAAGTTCTTGAAACCCGGCCTGAAGCTCCTCTGCTAAACATCTTTGAATAGGAACACATTCCCCATCCCAGAAATTATTTTCGATCCCACCTTGGCCCTCAGCCCCCATGTGTTTCTATTGGGTATGCTATTTCGGATCCGTGCATTCAAGAATATGTCTCGGGATGGCCCTGTTTTAGACGGCCCTGAAAAACTATATAGTCTTCGGGTCTTAAATGGACTAGGTCAGCAGGAACTAAAGTTGAAAGACGAAATTCTCGATGATTACGTCTTTTGCCAAGCATCACGAGAGCCCGATGGATTTCGTATCGCATTGGACCAGAAGCTCACGGGCGGTTGGCTACGCTATCGAAGGAAACGAGCTGGTTTAATCACGGGGTTTGCAGAAGTCGCGAGACCATACTGCCTCCGATACGGTGCAGCGAAAGCGTTCAACGACAGTCGTGAGTGACCTTTGAACTAATAGATACATGGGCTAACCGTTTTTCTAATCAGCGGATGTATCGAATGAATTGCAGAACGTGACGTTGCAACATGCTAGCATAGACACATTTGTTCGGCATTACAGTGTGGGCATTCATGTTGATGCCCAGGCAATTGTACGGGGAATGCCTGCTCAGAAGGAGCTCATGCGGTTTGCTAGCTCAATGAGTCGGTCTATTGATCCTCGCAGCCCCTGGCGGCTAGATGATTCGAGCTGTATCAACGATGTTCCTAGCGTACGTACCCTGGAAGACAAAGAAAAGGCTAGGAAGCGGATCCGAGACGATAAAAAGCGCACTTATGAAGAGGCCCGGGAAGTATTGGAGCGGAGGTTCGGTGATGGTCCACCACAGAATGGTCCTCGCTTCCGAACGATCCGTAAGCAGTGGAAGGCTCAGGAGAAGGGTGTGAAGAAGCTTCAAATGAAATATGAACACGCTGAAGAGAAGTTTGAGCTCTCAGTGAAGCACTTGCGCAACGAAAAAGGTCGACAACGACACATTCTGATTCGGGAGAACCTGGAACGTTATAAGAATGAACAGCCAGTGATTGACAGCGAACGGCAGCTGTCCGGGAAGATGGTCGACGAAGAAGTCAAGGTTGCGCTGGAAAGTACCGGTTATATGACACCACAACATATGACGCTTATCGACACCGTCTTGACCATGCCTGGTGCAACGACTGAGAAAGAGTACGAGCGAAGAATTGCTGCGATCAATGCAGTGATGGCCGTTTGTGATGCAGAAGAGGGTGCACCTTCGCGGCCCCGTACGACAAAGAAACGCTCCGTTGATGCTATCGACATGTCGCCAGCTGATCCCGTCCCCAAAAGACAGAGGCCGACTGCTTCAGATGCAAAGGAAAATGCCTTCTCTCAAGCCATCGCTTCGGTTTGCGTCAAGTCTCCAAAAGAAAGACCGACGATTTGCTTCATCTGCCTTGGGAATCAAATGTTGCCAGAAGGTGAACGACTACGGAGGTTTAAGAATTCTGGGTCCCTTAGCCGACACTTCGTGAACAAACATATCAAGCCATTCCCGAATGGTATGCAATGCGAGTGCACGATTTGTGGAAAGCAATTAGAATCAAAATCGGCTCTACTGAACCATGCGCAAGGTGTGCATGGAATCGTGTCTTGCCTACCTCTACGAGCTCTTGGCCTACCCTTGCCATGAGTACCAAGCTTGTGTTGCTTTTCAACCATTACTAGCTAGGCCTTCAAAGACTGTGTGCGCGATGCATGTCTTTTTGGGAGTTTATAGCTATTATCTTTGATCTACTCGTTCTTGATACTATGTTTATTATTTTATAATGCAATTCCGCTTAGAGCTTTTCTTCGTTTCAACTACAAATGCAAAAATTCATTAATTATGGAGTAGAGAAAATTAGAGATGCGGGGACGTTAAAAATTAGGAATATTTGGTAAGAGAGAAATTTAAGGATGCAGGGATATTAAAAAACCGGAATATTGTGAATAGAAAAATTTACGGGAATGGGAAAATTTTAGCCATGCTCTAAAATAACCAAACTATAAAGTTAAAGCGCGTATAATATTTGTTTTCTTATAGTATCTGTTCTCGTCGGTGATACGCCGGATTTAACCTAAGCGCTGTTGCGTCGTCACTGAAGGTCTTCTCTGCCCCGGGAGAACCACTAGGCAAGTTAGACAGGAAGGAAGGACATGTGTCTGACAAAGATAGAGCAGGCTAGTGTACCTGTCTCGTGAGTAATTGCATTCTATGTTTATCGTTTATCCTCTGCAATAAAGTTCTAAGAGGCCTTGGTTATCAAATAATTGAAAATCTATGAATTAAAATAACTAGATCAACCCAGCTTCCAATTCCCAAATTAAGGTCATAAGGACCCTGGTATCATTGTAGACACAAATGACTGAACATCTCTTTTGAAGTTTCTATAATCAGAAATATCATAATAGCGCCCCAGTCGAGCAGGATCTGTCCCAAACTCGGTAGCTCGGCGCTGGTACCGACGGTATGCACTGATGGCCTGAAAGAAAGCCCTCATCGTAACGTTCACTTCTTCCGCTGCCGTAGCAATATTTTCTTCATATTCCTGGCGACTCTGATCTCTCCAGTCAGCACATGGCCGGTAAAGTGCCTCTAGTGTTCTGCGGAGAACTTGATCAAGATCTGCACGGATCCTTGGATCCTCTTGACGTTCGATATGCATAGGGTGGAAACCTCGGACGACATGAATGGTGTGCTCATCCAGAGCCATATGGGACACACGTCGACGTCGTGCTTCGCTGACAGATGAGCAAAGTGATGCCGCAAGGGGATGGTTGACAATGCCCCAGCGTGGGTGTGATGATTTGGTCGCACATTGACAGGAGATCATGACCCGTGGTTTGAATCGGCGAAGAAATTCAATAGTAAGGTTGAATACGTCATGAGATAATTGCACCTTTTCAGCATTTCCCATGATATCCATTTTCTGATCCGTTAACAGGGGAAATGCGTCGATGATGATGATGTCCCTCAAAGTGAGGCCTAAGGGTTCCAGCATCCGTTGTAACCATCTCAATGTAGGCGAACTCTGAACCATTTCATCCCAGGGAAGGTGGTCCCAGCCACTTGGGTTGAGCAACAGAATAACCGGAAAGTCCAAAATCCCACAGAGCAATGTTTCGTAATTAGATAGGCCTTCGCCAGTCCAGCCTTCCCTTTCCCAAATTTCTCTCGCATTTTGAAAAAAGGGGTCGTTCGGTGTCAATCGAGTTAAATTTCGGCGCCTTTGCAGATTTGGGAGAAGGTGGTCGTGTATGAGACTTTCCAGTTGGTTTATTTCTTGTACAGGACTCAGAAACTCCAGAAATGGGTTGATGGACCTTGCAGCACGTAATGGTGCTATTTCCCCTCCCATGGAGAGGGCTGCAAAGCTCTCATCTAGTGGGCTATTGAGGAGTTGTGTTAAGGGTTCCATGGCTAGTAGGGCAAGATATATTGATGAACCATACACGTACTTACCGGGTGAAGATATGAACTTATATACGCAGATAGTTTGTCAGCATGAATGCAGCTTTAATAGAAGCCAACGTTTTCAGAAGTGCTGTACAAGTCAGAGTTACATTAGATGATACTAAAAGTCTGTTACCGTATGCGGAATCTGATAACGGGATGTTTGCAGCCCTTTCCATTCCCTCCCCAAAACGGCCTCGTTGAGCGCAAGCATTGATGAAAACAGGAGGATGAAAAGGGGTAAACTTACAATTATACCAATCAACTCAAGGTTGTAGATGCGGTTTTTGACAGCGGGCAAGATCAATAGTCGACGTAATCGGTAAGCGAGTCGGCCACAACCACTTTTCGCGCCCAAATGCGGTCTACACAGTATATTTCGCGGCTTAGGGGTTTACTGGGCTAGGCGAATGCACAGGGTGAACATTTAAGTTCATATAAAATAAGCATAATATAAATATTAAAGGTTGCAAAACAAGTAATGAGAAATGGAATGACATATGTAGGCCCCCACATTCGCGAAAGGGCAAGGGAAAAAACTACGTGAGGAAAAACCTCACCCAGAGCCCACAACTGCCCAATTAAACACTCAGATCCTCCAGACTTCTTTCTAGCACTTCCTGGAAATGACGTGCTTCATCCCGGCGAATACTGACCTGCGCGGATTCTGCAGCCATCCGAAGCAATTCGTCGGTCTCATATCCGCTCACAAGAACGGGCTCGAAAACACTCGGGAGCTTTGCGATGATATGTCGCTCAATGACCTGTCTACAAACATTGTCGACGAACGTTTTCATGGCAACCTGAAAAGATTAATATTAGACCAAAAGAACATTGCTGCAAGGAAGTGTAGACCGACTTTGTAGTATGCAGTAAGATCGTTCTGTGCTTCGGAGCAGGCCTGCATCGTCATGTCGACAACTACCCGTTGCTGAAGTGAAGTGACGAGCTTTTCTATTTCGTCTGACGAATTGCTCACGTGGAATTTCCCGTTCCAGTCGGTTCGGATGGCGTTGTACATCGAATCTTGAATTTGGTTCTTAGACTGATCACCTCGAGCCTTCTGGATATTGTCCGTATAATAATGATTGTACGTGATAGGCTGCCGCGCCTCGTCCTCAAGCAACATGTTCAATTCATCGATCGCATGCTTGATGTTCCCTTGAACAGACTTCTCAACGCAGTTTTGGACATTTTGGCGAACTTTGGTATCCTTGATCACGAACTTCATTGCTGCTTGTAAGAACGTGGAGACCAAGTTCGCGACGGCGTCAACATGCCCACGAGCGATCTTGCCCCAGCGCATTGATTGCGAATGAAAAAGCTCCGCAAGTAGGGCGTGATTATAGTTTCCCGGTAATTCCCTGCCGCGTGTCCGGTGGTAAACCTGATATAATTAAGAGATGATCAACACCTGATGGGTTTCACACTCACTTGCTTGACCCATGCGGCCATTTCTTCCTTACTAACAAGGATCTGGCCCTCTTTGTTTACAGAGGGCTCCATCGTCTCATCGGAAGAAGTTGACTCGAGAGACTGATCGTCTTTTCGACAGACAACTTTCCGTGTCTGACCGTATTCCCTCATATGATTCGCAAATTTCTCATTCTCGAGATGGACGACAGCGCGCAGCCGATTTGCAAAGTCCTTATCTGAGACGTCGAAAAATCTCGAATCCCGGCCACCATAGTCGCCATCAATACCAGCTCGCACCAACCCATGGAAGTCGGCGCTAATCTGCGTCAGGTATATCCGGATCTGGCCAGCAGTATTTCGCTCCATTCCAAGACCAGCAAGATCCTGGCCATTTCGTTCGAGAAGCTCACGTAGTTCCTTCCGTACTTTCGGGAGCTCACGTTCAATGTGACTATCCAGAAGGTCTTGGAGGAACACTCGGAGGTTCTCGATGCCAACGCGCGACGGATCAAGTCCTAGGCTACTCCATGGTTCACAGGAGAAGAAAGCTTGCTCTACGCGCTTCCTGGCAGCGGGAGACAGGCCCTCCCGCAACTCGGCAGGGGCCGGGTTCTTGAGCAGAAAAAATCCCAGATTGAGCTTGGTACGATCCATATTCTTCGCTAGACGTGCAACCCGCTGCTCCGTTCCGGCATTGATCAGGTCCGGTTTTGTGATGATCCCCACCGTTCGAACCCCATCTTTATCGTAGCGACGGGCACGTTGGATAATGCCTTGCGTATCAACATCACTACTTGCTGGAACAACCGCGAGTACGATTGTCCGCGAGCTTTCGAGGTAGGAATCAACTAGATCACTGACAAGCTGCATGTCGCGCTCATTCTCGGAAACCGATATCAAGCCGGGTAGATCAACAATCGTCAAATGCAGTCCGGTATTGCCCACTAACTCCAGTCGCAGAACATCGGCAGCAAAAGCGGGAGCGTCGGTATGATCTTCCGACGTACGAATACCCATAGACTGACCTGCAGCTTCGATGATCCCGGGAAGCTCGGCGAATTCACGGAATTCGATTTGGAAGGAGGCTAAGCGCCTCCTCTCCTCGTCATCTCGCGAAGAATGAGGGTTTATGGTTGCAGTCATGCGAATCGCTTGCGGCGTATGTCTCAGGACAATTTCCGTCGCGAATCTGGTGCACAAACCATCCTGTCTGGGGAAAGGGATCCCGCTAATTCCTTCCAGTACAGAGCTTTTGCCAGCAGATTGATCTCCGCATACCACTAGCTGAGGCAGCGCAACATGATCGCCAACCCCGTTGGCGCGGACACGGTCGATTTGATTGAGTCGCTGGGACGTTCTCGAGGATTGGAGACCAAGTTCGTCTCCGACCTGACGGAAGTCGATCGCGGTCCATGGTTTTTCCGAACTCTCCGGATCCTCTGATGTTGGGGTCAAAGTTTCCATGTCTTTGAATAGGTAAGGTGGTCGAAGGATGATATCGCTTGGAATTTGTTTTTCAGGTTCAAAAAGAGTTTGGGGACGTAAAATAAGGAGCGAACCGGTCTCTTTATGGTTGCGATAAACTCACGCCGGGTCGAAAACGAACTCGGCCTCCAATCGTCCGGAACGTCTAAAGCCACTCAATCAAATCGACCGTGTAACAGCGGCGGTTGGCGATCAGGCTGAGCGGCTCAGTGTGCCTGTTCGCGGTACTTACTTGTAGCTTTTTATACTTTGCACTCCGGTATGGTCGCTTTCGAGGGGGCGAGATCCCTTACCGTCTGTAACCATTACGACCTTCCCCCTCACCGCGACAAGGAATGCATGTTTACAGTATATGCTTTGTTGATCCATCCTTGCTCATGAATCCAGGGATTCCGATCTCCTTCCTATATGTAAGAGGGATTCCAAAATAAGGACCGCGGAATGTGAGAGATCCTTCAGACTCTTTCGACGATCTTGTTTCATGGTGAGCATTTTCACATAGCATTCTTTGTTAGGTTGTTAACTGCTCGCGATTTAAATACCCGATTGGAATGGTATGCAAAGATTTTGTTCCGCCAGAGTATCGATGATGATATCGTATACAACAACAAACGTTTTAATACGACAGCTAGGCTTAGGCCCAAATAGACATGGTATATACTGCGTGTACATGACTAGATAAGCTTTGGACTTCGGGCTAAGAGGTCTCGGGTATAAAAACTCTTAATGATTCCTAATTAACAAGTTTCGTGACCATATCAGAACCCATTTCAGAAAATCCATTCAAGAGATCGCGAAGACGAGGATCCTCAGCCAGAGTCCGAGCTTCGCAAGCAGCGTAATGTATCACCAAATTTCTTAGAGTGCTCTCTCCTTCAGGCTCTCCTCGCCCGGACTCCTGATACGCGTACTCAATTAGATCAAGTACATGATTGATATTCCGCTTATTCAGTGAAAATTCGCAGAGGTCACGGTGTAGTGACTTGAGGCACTGAGTCCGCAACGAGTCGACGAGATAACGGGTTGCGAAAACGTAAAGCTTCCCATGGAACACAAGGTCAGGAATCGTAGAGTGCGAAGCCTCCGTACCAGCAAAACGCAGCTGTCTGAATTGCTCCCACAGTCCATCGTACGGATACTGAACGTAAGTAACGTGCTTCGCAGGCTCCTTCTCTTCTGGAAGTGGAATACCGTATGCAATCTTTCTTCGGAAGCTGATCCAATCTTTCTTGGTCGTATATATGTCCCGATTATTCATACGGACACGTCCATTCAGTGCTAGTCCGTCTATTGGATCCCATTCTTGTGCTGGCACATCATCAGGCTCAGACTCGGGTTGTAGACTATGTTCCTCGGCCAGCACTACTTCTGGTTCAGCTCGTAGCATGTCTTGCTCGCCCTCTCTTTCGGTAGAGTTTCTCAGGTTCGTGTCATATGTCGTTTCACTGCGCTGCGGGGTCTTGTATGCCCCGAGATAGGCGAATTCGCAGAAACCGATGAACGTATCCTCCTCCACATCCTCTAACACGGCGTGTCCTTCGGTGGACTCTTTCATCAAACCATTATTGATAAGATTGAAGAGTGGAGAAGACAGGTTGCGTGTGACTTCTGTGTGGACTGTGAGACGGGCCTTTCCGCTTCCTACGAGGAAGTGAAAAACGGGTGATCGAATGATACTTGACATATCAGTCCCCAGTCGAGTACAGTACTATCCACGGTAGAGACTTACGCTTTAAAGTCACTCATGTTTATGAAAGAATTATATTGCTTCAAGTCCGACCTATTGTCATCAGAGGGAATAGATAATGCCGGGAAATCAGGGTATCATTTGGTCATCGAGTCCACTCTAGAAACCAGTTTTGTTATATATGGATGTCGATGTCGGGTATCATGTCAATGAAGCGGACATCAGGCAGCAGTGCATAAAGCAAGAAGCAAGAGTGTGTTCGAAATAGGCATTAATATATGTGAGTGGTAAAAGGCGAGAAGCGGGGAAATGCAAGTCTGAGTTGGTCTACAGGCATCTGTGACGTGTCAGCCGGGTATAGATGCTTTGCATGGTGCCGTGGAGCTTCAGTAGGTTTATTTAGCGGTCTCGCGAGTACGCCGATTTAAGATCCGCTCTCTGTTTTTCAACATCTAATGGTATTTTTCAGTATTCCGCAATCTTGTTCTCTTTTTCATCTACAGTGGTACGAAGAGATTTGATTTGCCCGGCTAAGTCCCGCGGGCCTCGTAGGGGTATTGATAGGGGCACCTCACTTTTTGTACTAACGGCACCTCATTTTCTTATGTAATCCAATTTTGACTTATATAATCAATTTTCACCCACATACTGATGATCACTATAGCAACCATATACTATATATATACTAAATATTCGACTACTTCCCTTCTTCTCATCTACAACTACCCTGCTAGTTCTTGGTTTCTATCTCTACTGCCTCCCCTGCCTACCTATAAACCAGCCAAACCAGCCAAACCATGCCTCCCAACCCCACCAACCCTACCCCCGGCACCTCTGCTGCCACTACTCCACCAGCTACCAATTTGACTGTCGACCTGCCTACCAGACCCCCCGCCGAACCCCCTGCCAATCCGCCTGCCAATCCGCCTGCCAATCCGCCTGCCGAATCCCCCGCCAGACCCCTCGCCAGTCCGCATACTGACCCCCCGATTGGTCTGATACCCCCACCAGAACAAACCTTCCCTAATCGGGATGAATTGGTCGATTTTGTGCGCCAATGGGGTATATCGCAAGGGTATGCCCCTACTATCAAGCGCTCTACAGCTAATAGACAGATTTATATCCATTGCGATAGATCTGGGGTATATTCGGACCGAATAGACGCCCCAGATGGGACCAAACGGCGTAAAACCAGTACTCGGCGGCAAGAATGTCCATTTTTGGTATATGGGAAGCGCCAGAAAGGTGGTTCTAATTGGCTACTTCGGGTCAATAATAGCGCGCATAACCACCCTGCTGATATTAATATGATAGCCCACCCAATCGCGCGTCAATTTACATCAGAGCAGATAACTTTAATTCAACATCTATCGGCTACAAACATCAGACCGAGGCATATTATTAGCGCGCTACATAGCGAGAGTCCCTATCAACCTATTATCGCGCGCGATATCTATAATAGACAGGCAGAGATTCGACAAAAAGAGCTTGGATCTAAGAGTCTTCTTGAATATCTTCAAGAATTACTCAATTTGGAAGGTTATATATATACATTCAAGCAAGATAATACAGGACATATCGAATTTTTTCTTTTCTCTCATCCACGTGCAATCCAATTAGCTAATTTATATTATAGGGTTTTTATATTAGACTGCACATATAAGACAAATCGATTTGGTATGCCCCTATTGCATATAGTAGGTATGACACCGTCGAACCAGAGCTTTACTGCAGGTCTATGCTTTATGCCTAATGAGCTTGGATTAAGCTATATATGGGTCCTACAGACCTTTTTTAATTGGCTAAGTCTACCCTCTTCTTTTCGTCCGATTTTAGTAACTGACCGCGAATTAGCTTTGATATATGCCATAAATAGTATATGGGGGGATGACTATCCCCACATACTATGTATTTGGCATATTAATAAGGCAGTTTTAGCGAGAGCTAAACGCCTTATCTCGAGTAAATAGAGTCAATCTGACGAGTTAAACGAATCAGCCAAGCTAGAATTCGACGATTTCATGCGAAAATGGTCCCAATTAGTCCAATCATCTACTGAGGATGAATATCAGATCAATTTTGATAACCTTAATCAGACCTTCGGGAGGTCTTACCCCCCCCTAATAAGCTATATCAAAGATACATGGCTAATCTATAAAGAGAAATTTATTTATATATGGACGAAGAACTATACCCATTTTGGGAATAATGCATCGTCACGTGTTGAAGGCGCCTATTCGGTCCTAAAAAGGCATATAAATAGCTCTTCTAGTGACTTGCTTACTGGATGGAAGTCTATTCATACTGCCTTTAGGTATCAGATTGATCAGATTGACCAAAAAAGACAGGAAGATCAGATAAATCGGCTTAATCTAGCGTCTGATTGGCTATATATCTATATAAATAAGCGAACATCTCGATATTCGCTTCGATGTATTGATATGCAGCGAGTCTATGCTAGTAGAGCTACCCCAGATACTCCACTTGGTATATGCACCAACTACTTTACGAGTACAATGGGGTTGCCATGTAAACATCGACTGGCTGCTTTAATCGCATCAAAAGAGCTAATCCCATTGGCTGATATTCATCCCTTTTGGCGAATAGGGTTTGATTCATCTGATATAGCATGGCGACCTCTATTGAACCCTCGAATTGTGGCTGCCGCCTTCCCAAAACGGCAATCGATGCAGATATCAGATGAAAGCGAGGGGGCTGGACCAATCAGAAAAAAGAAGGCGCCCCCAAAGTGTTCGAATTGCGGTGAAATTGGGCATATATGTCGAAGTTGCCCTACTTCCAAATAGGGTAATTTGTTTTGTGTGGTTGAGATAAAAATGTCATGTGATTAGTCATGTGGGTGAAAATTGATTATATAAGTCAAAATTGGATTACATAAGAAAATGAGGTGCCGTTAGTAAAAAAGTGAGGTGCCCCTATCAATACCCGTGCTACATCCACTTGGTTCGTGTTGGATTTTCACTATGACGTCATATATAATGGAACGGAAATATATTTCTCCTAGCTACTCCAAGACATCGTCATCCGTAGAGTCAAGCTTGTCCTGCGTCAAAGCACGGTTTGTACCATCCTTGGCCTTCTCCATGTCTTGGTTCGGAATCAATTTCGGGGCTGGGTAGTGAGAACCCTGGAAAGTTAGTTGTCGTTCTACAGGATTGACTATCAATGACGTACCAGCTGGGAATTGAGAAATGCCCAAAAGCCCGAAGCATCTGAGGACAAAATATATACTTGACCTGTTTCTCGTAGGCGAATACCGACGCAAACATCTGCATCACACATCTTACTATATTCATATGCCTTTTTCATCAGATTTGTTTTTCGACGGCATTGTTTCTGGCGCATTAATTTCTTGTTAGGGGAATGATAAGATTGTGAAGAGGAAGCCATTTAAATTGCTTAGCTTGCTCTATGTTCGGAGGCGTTATGAATATATAGTTCGAGTGCGAATCTATGGAAAGGTACAGGAAGCCAGAGCTTTTATAAAGCAGAAGCCCATTTAGTTAAATATATTAAATCATACGTGGGCTACGGTGGGCTTTTTGTACGCCTGAATACACCAGAGACCACCAATTTCTGAAAAACCAAGCCATTTACTAAACACATAAGCAGACTAAAGTCGATGGGGGATAAAACGAAGGGTCAACGGGAGGGCTGGGGGGAACAGCAGTTGGTTGAAACGTACAGTAATGAACTCCGTAGAAATATGCATGGTAGTTAAACACCTTCCGTACATAGAGACGTGGGGTATGCATTGACAATTGGCCAGACTTATCCATAGCAGAGAGAATGACTAGGGAAAGATAGTGTGCAGAACATTGTTGATGGGAAGGCTCGATGGCGATAAAAACGCAAACCTCAACAGGAAGAGGGCAGCAGAGTTGAGAGCTGGTGAAAAAAGCAATTAAGGTTCCCACGTATCCTAGTGGACTCGAAAAGAATGTAAATAGGGTGGTTAAAATGATGGTGTGTATTGAGAACGATTGGCTAAACATCCCTACCTACCCTGGTGACCTTCTGAGATCACGTGCAGCTCCTAATACCCTGGCACTCCCCAGTCTCTGGCAAGATTACTGGTGACGCGCGCTTCGCACGCTGATGCCCTGAAACGATGAAAAGGAAAGGCAGGGACAAGAAGTTAAAGTAAAAGTCACATTGATTTGCTTGACTGATACTTGAAATGCAAGCGAGCATTGTCCAATGAGGAGGTAGGAAGGATCTGACTAATAGCCGTAACATCTTGGAAAACAGGAAAATCAGTAATCCGTCAATCAAGTATCGTATTTTGATTGTCCAAGTATATCGGCATATGATGTTTTTCGTGGTCTTTGAGAACGCCTCTCTGGAGGTGACGTGGTAGCCCGTGGCGAGGCTTTGATTTCATCGGCCGTGTCTGGCCATGTAATTTGCGTGGCTTCCTCATCATCGTCATCAGGTGCAATTATTTCAGGGGAATCCTGGAACTGGTGCGTGATAGGAAGTGATTCAGTGTGTGACCTTGCAGCCGATTTGGACGGGGTTTGTGGGCCGGCTCTCTGAGACCAACGATCCACGCGCTTCCGTTTACCAGACGAGGAAGGGGTAGCGGGCAAATGGTGATTTGAGGTTGGGAGAAAATGTATATCATCCGTAACGACAGCTAACTGGCGATGTTCTTTTGTGAGGCCGAAAATACGACCTGTCAAGAAAACATGGGTGTTTATGCTTAGTGGTGGAAAGTTCGCCCAACGCTGACCGTTTTTGAAGTACGCGGTGATGGGAAAGGTGTGATGGGTTCGGGTTGAAGTGTTGTAAACAGTGGTCTGGAGACGGTAGTGAAGAAGAGTTGGCCCTCCGTTCAGTTGACCACCGCGTTCAAGAACAACACCGAGAAACGTCACTATTGGCTGGGCAGCCTGGGGACAGTGCATGAAATACGATTCAGTATCTTCTTCATTGCCCGGATGACTAGATTGTATAAGCTTGGTTCTGTAGCAGATAGGACAAACTGACCGGTCCAAGTTGTGAGCGTGGAGGACAATATGAAATTTCTCGTCATCGGACGAGGTCGTCAGGAATGAACCTGAGGAATAGACAAAAGTGTTCGGTTTGTAAAGGTCAGACTGATTGCTATCATTAAAAAATCTGACCAGAGTAGGAATTTCATCCTGTTCAACGTCATCTGACTGAATGTCTTTCCACGGTATGTTGAGTGAAATACGGAGCTGCATGGACAGCCCTTTACCGGGGCGTGTAGGATCCGGTTCAACATGGTCGATGAAGTCCCGAATATGAAGGATAGCGGGGTAAGTTGTATTAGAAGGCATAATGTTACCTGGCGTATGTCAGACCTAGAGAGAGGGAGTAGTTGAAGTATGTTCGGTCTAGTAGGGATTTTTGAGTGAATATGCAATTAAAGGAGAAGTGGGGTAAGAGAGTCTCGTGCCACACTTGGGATTTATTATGGAGGAAGATCCCTGTTGCAGATACGACCAAAAGGTACGTCACCGCTGATTTGGGGAAGAATGTTAGTGGATGATTTAAAGTTTTTGTAGGCATCTTTTATGTATGCAAGACGTGGAGAGGGATGATTTGTGGAGGTGTTGGATAAAAGGATGCGGGTAGGTGGTCAAGGTATGCACGTGCATTGATAGATGCAAGAAGTGATCACCTCGCTCATGGCAGATTATCAAGGTCTTTAATATTTGGCCAGCGTCAGAACTGTTGGTTGCAATCTCCATCCTAGGCAGCGAGTACTTTGTTAAGGTTTTGCGGTCTTTCCATGTGTTATTCTACGGTAGATAAGTAGGAGATAGAGATTGCTGAATGACTATTATCTAGAAAGTTAGACGAAGAGGTATCGGTACTTTTGGTGAGAATCTTGATATCGTCGGGTAAGCTGTACTATCTAGGAAATGAACTCGCTAACGTGAATGCTTCCATTCGTCTAAAGTCTTCTTTTCCAGCTCCTGAAGCCTTTGTATTTCTGCGAGAATGCGGGGATCAGGTCCGAATTGAAGGTCTTTCATTTCGATTTCCTGCAGAAGATGGAGCCCCTTGCTTGTTCGTAATCTGGACAATTGTACGTAGGTCGAGCAGAATTTCTGGTGACGGTCTCGACCGCGAATCGTTGGGTCATCCTTAAGATCCAGGATCGCAGAATCAAGCGTGGAGCCCTGTATTTTGTAGTCCGTGAGGCAAAACGCAGGACACATAGGGACTTGCTTTCTGCGGACAGAGTAACCCTTCAGAGTGATCGACCTCTCTAAGGGGAAGACAGGGACGATGGCAGGCGCAAGACCTTCGAAAACAGAGGCGCTTGGTTTGTCCTGTTTGAACAAAACACACGCGGGAGGTTTGGTGCAAAGAATATACAGATCGTCAATTTCATAGAACTCGGCTAAGATCATTTAACGTTAGATTTGTCATTCATGCGCAAGGGAGGATCACTCACCAGCTGGATCAACCACAATACCGACAGCTATTCCAGTCGCTCCATTGACCTGTCCTAATCGGGTACAAATATTGGTCAATATGACGGAAGGCATGTTTGGGGTGTACAGAAAAATTCCCGGGAATGGAACCATGGTGCCTTGATCTGGTTGCTGCAGCAAGTCGTCGACACACAAGCGAAGGTTGGTTGGACCAGTGGATTTGGTCCGTGTGTGATGAGCAGGGAAGGCGTAGATTTTGTGAGAGCGGGCCTCGGCAAAATGTTCCATTCGAATACGATTAACCTGGTGCCGAAGAGAATTTAGCTTTACTATCGTTGTCGTACCGTCTAGCTGAGGGGCCACCAAGGAAGTGACGACTCCGGAGTTCAGTAAGTGCAGGTCATCTTCTGTCAAAGTTGATGTCCTCGCTCGATGGAGGAGGGTCCGAAATGAAAGGTCCTCAGATTGCCTCATCTGCTCGTCCAAGACGATCACATCTCTGAATTGATGCCATATGAGCCGGCCATTTTCGTCCTCAGCATTGCCCCTTCTGGGTTCCTTCCACAGTGCTGGGCCTCGCACAGGTGGGAACTGGAAAAAGTCACCCATGAGGATGACCATGGGTAAACCACCGAATAAGTCGGGTGACCCCCGGTCAAGGGATCTCGCCATCTTGCAGTGGTTATTAATCACACTAAGCATACTGAGATCCATCATGCTGACTTCATCGGTAATCATAATTGTCTTCCGGGACCAGAGTTTTCTCACGCGAGAAGTTATAGCATGTCCAGGAGTGCGAGTAACGGAAATCCCCAGAGACGTGTGGAATGTGTTGCCGCCGATATTGTCTGCCGCGGCGCCAGTCGGAGCCATGATGATCACCTCTTCTCTGCGGCGGAGGAGATCCATTCCGGCTAAAATGCCTTTGATGATTTGGCTCTTACCCACACCCCCTTCACCTCCAACATAAAGAAGCGTCTGATGTCGTTTTGAGGGGTTGTAAGGATGGTCAGCCCAGTGAAGTGCTTCGCTCAAGACTCTTTCGACGACCAACCGCTGCTTAGCGTTCAAGGGGATGCTTTCATTGACCAGTGAAGTTAAAGAGTTAGGTGTATAATTGTCGTCAACAAGGGATCGCTGGTCAGGCAGGGTGGGAATCGCTGTTGGTTCATTGAGCGCAGGCTCCAACATGCCATCAGTTATATTCAAACTGAAGTCATCCATTTCATAAACCGGTTCCATTGTGTCATTATTCACAACCCCATCGTCACCAAGCTTGGCAAGTTCTTTGAGTCGAGAACTCCATCGTTGTAACGTAGATGGAGAGAAGAAATGGAGGGCAGAGGTTCCATACCCAGGGATGTCAAAGATGTTAAGCGGCAGAAGGTTTTGTAACAGCCCCCCTCGATTTCGAGGTGTCGTGTGTGCCAACGAAGGGATGCGTCGCTCAGTGGCGAGCACCTCCCGGTCCCAGCACTTAGTGATGGATTGATAGGCCGCGATCAGAGTCTCGGCGCTAACAGTTTCAGCCAGATTCTCAAGGGATTCATCAGCTTCGGAATCAAGATTTCTTATATCAAGCTCATTAGAATCGCGGTCGAATAAGCTATCAACTCGAACTGGTGGCTGTCGAAGCTTCGCATCAGCCTCGCCATCTTCCTTGGACTTTCGCAACAGTTCAATATTTCCCGCAAAATTTCGCTTATAGGACGTGAGAGTGGGTTCAACAATTGTCCAAATTTGGGAACAGGCATCCCGCTTCGGCTGCACCGCAACGGCATGTTCCTGGAAAAGAGCGGGCAAATGGTCCCAGGGAACAAATAACCCGAGTAATATCTCCGCCAGATCATTCATACTTGCAACCATTTTAGGATGGCCACCAGGAACGGCGTCCTCGGAGGCTTGAAACTCTGTTAACTGTCCGTTAAATGTGACAGTGGCGATCTGTGATGAGGTGCGAGCCAGGCGTTGCACATGAGTCTTGCTTTGAGGGTGCGACGAGTCAAAGTCGACGTCGTCTACAATCGCATCTCGAACATGCTTGGTTCGTACGAGCATACAATATTCGAAGAGCGTCAAGCAAGCAAGATGTGGCCCACGCCATCTATAGTTGTCAAAGATGCTGATAGGGCCAGTGCTGCCAGCTTCATAGGTGCACGGTTCTTCGTCCAAAGAAGCAGACGAGCTATCACTGCGAACGTTGGTAGGTTCGATGATATGACGCATATATTGCCTTAGCCACCACAGATTGATGCGCTTGAAGTTGTAGTTGATGGTGTAGTAAGTTGGCAGGTTGAGTAGAATGCTTGCCACCTGGACGCCACTGATTTCCCGATCATGTGAGAGGGTATTGAAGCAGCGAAGCGCAAAATTGTCCAATCCGGTCTTTTGAAGTCGTAGGTCTGTTGTTGTTGGGGATTCAGCCGCCTGTGCCCTTTCAATGCGCTGCTTTAATAAGGCAGCCTTTGCGACAATCTGCCACGGGGATACGTCATCTTTTGTGGCGTAATTTGTGATGTAGTAGATTAAAGACAGAGATTTGGATACTGTCGGGATCCAAGAGATGTCATGGTTAGAGCGGACGCAGCTAGCAATGGCGGGGTTCCACGGGTTAGTCCAGGGATGATTGCGCGCGAGTTGAATCAAGCCAAAGTCGTCCACCTTGGAGATGGGGATCAGATCGCGGGGCATGCCGAACCGACAAGCATCTTTGCCCGAACCACGTTGGCGGTACTTGAAGCAGGTTGAAAGATGGTGCTTGGAATGTATCTGGGTCGTTTTTGCGACGGAGTTGCTGTCGGACCACAATCTGAGGAAGAACTCAGTGTCTGTTTCCATCTCCTTGGCTGAAGGTGGCGTGCTGGGAAGGTTGACTTCCGGGTCATGCGGAATAGTGTCATCGATGCTTTGAATGATGGTCGCTTCGAGGTAGCGAATCATGCGAGCGGCAAACTCACTATCGTTAAGAACACGATTTCGTAAAGTGGTGAAGGCAAGATTACCTCTGAGCCACAGAAGTGCATGCATGTGCAGCATACCTCGACCGTTGGTTTCAACCACACCATAATGATTTGAAAGATCTCCAAGAATTCCGAGTTGACCAGTCCCAGTTGCAAGCAGGCCCCGCAGGACTGCTTCACAGACGCAGTGAAAGAATTCAGCAACTGCCACCGGGTTGGAGGTGGCTGCGGTATCACGGGTCGCAGCGAGTGCTCTGGCAGAGATACTTCCAGGGCACTCTACACCGGCCAGGGTGAGAACCAGGGGATTCCGTAGGTCCGAGGGGTTAATGGTGATCCAAAAGGCAGGCATTCCATACCGAACGATTAATCCACGAATCTCAGAGCGCATCCTTAATTTCTGAGAGAAAGATCCAGGAACATTCATACCAACGGTAACAATGTGTTGTTGAAGGCGCTGAATGACAGGGTCATTGGTATTTTGGCCAGAGGCGATGGCTTCCGCGGCTTTTTGCAATTGGTCCACTGTCAGGGAGGCGATGTCATCTGCGGCAGACCTCCAATACCGCCGCTTGACAAGGAACCTGTTCCCTAATGACGACCTCCGAAGCTGCAAATTGTCGAATAACAAATACATAAAGGTCTTGTGGTGGGCGAATCTACGGTTGTCAGCTGAGGCGAAATAATACTGCGCAGAGTCCGTTCACCTTCTACTGTGGTGATTCAAAGCCCACTCAGCAAAAGAACTCAGCGACACAGGAATGACACGCTTGTTCAGATGGCCTCCGACTCCCTGTGGAAAGAGGGTGGGGAAGGCGGCAGTATAATAATGAGGATCCGACCAATGATCCATTAATGCAACGTAATCATGGGTTTTATAAGAAATTGCAGGAATATGCCGGCTGGGAAAAGAACGGCTGTCCGTTGAGTCGGGGTTTTCTAAGTCGCATTGTTCGGATAGGCGTGATCCGTTGGTGATCACATCGAGTAAGGTGTCCAGCACCCGTATGTCGGGGTTCTGGCGTTCTCCATTGATGTCAGTGGAAACAGAACCAGTCAGGAAGTGTCCACCGTCATTAGAATCGAGGCTTTGATCCTGTGCAGCTTCGTCTTGAGCGGCTTGGAGATCATTCTCGTAATTACCCTGTGCCAGGTTGACCGTGTATCCTTCACGTTCCTGGTGGTCTGGTTCGTCAAGTCGGATAATATTATCCCGTAGCTCTCGCGGGATGAATTCATCGCTCCAACCATCCATCATCGGTTGATTAATGGTTAATCCACGATACAAATGATTATATCGAGCGAGATATTGCAAAGCCGCTAGAACCCTTTGTTTCCGAATAACTAGATGTGGTCTTAGGTCCGTGTCTGACGGGGGACGATCTCCTAGCCAGAATACTTTGATAAGGTTTTCCAATCTCAGTTCCGCACTTGGCAGGATTTGAAGGAGCGGACCTGGGTCCTGTGGGATGACAATGAAATGGCCTCGCAAGGCACGATGGCTAATTGAGGACAGGCGGCCGCCTGGACGCAACTTCACAATGAGTCCCAGAGGATGGCATCTTGCGATAGCATACTCTTCAGTCAGGGTGAGACCCTCCAGCGCAGATGGGTAACCCTGGCAGAGAGTAACATTAACCAGATTTTTTGCGGAGAACTTGGGGATGGCTGCTCGACCGAGTGCTCTGTGACAGGAAGTGCATAGGGTCCAGGATCGCTCTTGTCGACCGCAGTGGTCGAGAACACCATTCAGAGGAAGAAGCAAAGGATCCTCATGGTCCATGTAGTGTATATCAGCGTGTAAAACAAACCTACCGCAAGAACTACACACGGATGTTTTCGCTGCGGTCGAAGTCTCTTCCTCGTATCGGGAAACGGATTTCCTTATATCAGAGGACGATACGTCGGGGGGGGAACGATTGGGAAGCGACAGCATGACGGTCGTACTCATTACACAAAAAGCTGATGGCCTGGCCCAAACCGTCGTGTGGCGCCTGTGGTTGAAGGGCTCTTTGGCTCGTGCCATGTGGTCGCAGAGCCGGTAAAGAGCGGCGTGCCCCACCTGCAGGGAATACATTTGGTGCAGAAAAGCCGTCTTGAGCGCCATCAGCAAACTCCGTAGAAGGGAGCCTTTCCGGCACGGTGGCGAGTCGGCGACGACTGGGTCTCCGTTGGCGACAGAGATCACATGTTTTATACCGGAGAGATTGCCAGGGCCGGGCGCAATTCGAGCAGAGCGTACGCCGTGTAGGGAAGGGCAAAGCCGTGGAAGGTAGCGGTGGTTGTATTGAAGAGGACCTTGGAACGTCACCAGTAGCAAGCAAAGAACGACGAAGTCTTTGTCGGTGGGCTTTCTGGCGGCAGGCAGGACATGTTTTATATAGTGCCGACTGCCAAGGTCGCGAGCAGCTGGAGCATAGCACGGTGTTCGCAGAAAGGGATTCCATAAGAGTGAGATAGAGAGTAAAGAAGAATGAAATTTGTTCAAGTCAAGTAGAGCTTTTCAGTACCCTCAAGGAGGCTCAAAATTAAAAAATGTTCCGGTCAACGATAGGTTCGATAAAAAGTGAGATTAAAGGGAGACGACCCTTTGAAACTACTCGAAATCATGATGAGTGAAATATGGGAAAGTACTGATATATGTGACCGGTCAGGCAGGGGGAAACGCAATACAAGGAAACGAACAGACAAATAGCAAGAGAGAATGAAACACGAAAGCAAGTGGGAGATAGCGACAGCAGAACGGAAGAGAGTTTAGGGCGACATACAAGGATGAACCTGGTAGGAAAAAGAAAAGAGTGGAGGGGAGAGAAAATCCAACACAGGACGGCACGCAACACGTGAAGAACCAAGTACTGGCGCCAACGAGAACGAGGCTTGGCGTGAAATTTGGCTGTGTCTCTCGCAGCGTCAACTCAGCCTTCAGTCATCCTTAGGCACCTACGGTTTGTAAACCCTTCCACTCCGTTCCTTCGTTTCAGGGCATTTCAACCTACTACTCGCAAAAGCTGAAGATGGCCTGGGTGACTTGGCCTCGGAAGCCAACTGTTTCATGCCTTATTCTCATGGCCAACAAATTTTTAGCCCGCTATTTTAGATTCCGTTTCCCTTATCCTTGGTCTATAGTTATACGGAATATGAAATATAACCTAGCTCCTAGCCCGATTACCTTTTCTCGCCCTTTACTTAGGTGCCAGTCACGTAGGTAGGCAATAACATATTTGTACGACAGTCCTGAAGAGGGCTCTACGGGGTGGGGCATGGCCTGCATGAGGAGCTCCTCGGATCGTTCAACAGACTTCAATGTACTCGATGCCCCGCAGGCGCGTAGTTCGTTTCTAAGGACGTGCGGAGGCTCTCAGGAATATCAAACCTTCCTAGGAGCTTATGTTATCCTCCTAGGAGTAGTAGATGGCGGATCCTGGGAATGGACCTGGTTCCTGGGAGCACCGGTTGTCGATTGATTGATTGATTTATTCATAGACTGTCCCAGCCGCCCAATTATCGGCAGCTATGCAGCGTACAACTATAAATACAGGTGTTCCCGCTTCTTGCATCCAGAAATCAAGCTCTTCCTCTCACGAAGTGCTTTCCCCTTCTGTTCCCAGCAGTTGCACCCTCCGGTACTGATAGTTCTAATAACTGTTCTGTATCTTTGACTTGTCAGGCCTTTCCTGGCCCTCCTCTGCTTCTGTTTGACAATAATCACTCGTCTGCGGTAAATTGAGCACCGTGGATGGGCTGCCCGGAGGGCCCGTCCTGTAATGGTCTTGGCTGTCGGTTCCGTATGTTTGGCGTGTGCTACATTGAGTGCCGATGTTACCGTATGTGTGGCAGTAGAAGTGTTTGTGGCTTGCTCCTTGATGTGTTCCAGGTCTGTGTTGACTTGAGGCCGTGTAGACGTTCTCGCAACAAAAGACGCGTCCGGGACGCGTCTCTTGGAGTAACCGTCTGCTAGGACACAGGTTAACTGTGAAGTTGGAAAATATGTATGTTCCGAATTAAAGTTCTGAGCTGTTGGTGGTGTTGGTAGTGTTGTTTTTGTGATGTCCATTTGTTGAGCAATGTCGAGGCGTATGTGAGAGGGGCGCAACTGCCTCTACCGTACTGGGGCTATAATGTTTGGTGTTTCGTGAGGTTGGAGGTCGATGTTGACGCGTCGGGATGTTGTGATAGAGTGTGGTTGTCTTCTTGGGCGTGGGTTCTTTGCTGTTGGTGGTTGTGGCCATGTTGTGTTGGTCATATCCGTCCTCTGCTTCGCGTCCGCATCGCATACTCTTCGAGCTCCGGCGCCGTAAACGATTGTCGGGCAGGACAAATGGAGTGACTCAAGTTCCATTCTCCATCGCGGGGCGTACGTGAGGGGGGGCACGACTCCCTCTGCTGTACTGGGGCTGTGATGTTTGGTGTTTCGTGAGGTTCGGAGGCTCGGTTTTCGGCGCGTCGGCGCGACGTAGAAAGGGGGATAGTCGCGTCGTTGAGCTCCTCCTGGCACTCGGAGACAGCCAAACTGTTTCTCTGAGAGTTCCCAGCGGACACCACGTGGAGGTGGGAGCTCGTCGTCCGCCTAGTACTGTATCTTTTTTCGGGAGAACACACTGTGGTTTCTGGGAGTACCTAGACACTTCCTAGGAGTACGTGAAGGTCCCAGGAGCAGCAAGTGGGTATAGCAAGAGAAGAAAGATATTTTTCGCCAATCGGACGTTTAAGAAATGTGTGTATGCCTTTGAAGGCACATCTTTAGATCAGGAGTGCTAAGTCAAGGTGTAGAGAAGGATAACGACACCTGAAAACTCAGGCAGCGTATTCAAGAAAGCTTGTATGTCCTCGAGTTTCATATGTACATGTACAGTGGCGCCGCAAAAGTCTGTGACCCCCTGGTTGACCGCTATTCGTACCGCCTTCTTATTATAGCCCACCGACCCTCCTAAACGCGTGAGCGCGCATCGCGTTGTATATAATACTTGACTATTGTTTAGCCACGTCTGCAATATGCCTCGCATAAGGGCAGGTGTAGGCTTACCTAGCCCTCCAACGCCTAAAGGGCCTATTCCTACTGCGCCTAGGCCTCCTGATACCCCTACAACCGTATAGCCAAGGCGCAAGAACTGCGAATTAGATGTGAATCTACGCACTCAGATCACCACATTAAAAGAAGTCGCAAAGTGGTCTTATCGTCAAATCCACGCAAAATATCCAGACCTTTCGCTATTAACTATTAAAATGACTTATTTACGGTCCCGAATTCGCCACAAGGAAGAGTCTTGTCCACGATTAGGGCGCCCAAAGATCTTAGATAAAGATGACCATCAAAAGATTCTTCAAAAGATCCACGAAGATCCTCGAGCGTCGTACAATGACCTACTCTCTGAAGTTGGTCATAAGTGCAAGAAAGATTCGATCGCACGTTTACTCTCTATCGAGGGTCTCCGGAAGTGGCGAGTAATGAAAAGGCCATATCTAAAACCCGAGCACGCTGCGGCACGACTCTCGTGGGCTCTACGGTATCAACACTATACTAAGGAAGACTTTGATAGAGTATTCTGGTCTAACGAGTGTATAGTTGAACGAGGCTTCGGTCTCCGGCCGGCGTATAGCTTTATTCGCCCATCCGACCAAGCAATCCAAGGCGAAGTTCAGCCTACACCACACCGCGGCTTCTAGGTTAAATAGATATTTTGGGCTGCATTCTCTGGTTCACTTCGTCGGAGCGGCTTAGTAGCTCTCTATAGAGACCTACAATCTCCTTATCAAGGCGTTAATCGCTTTATTATTCTTGATTTATATCAACGAATCCTACCAACGTTGCTTATCGACCTATCCTCAATCTTTCAACAAGATAACGCTACAACACATACTACACAGATCGTGCGCGAATTTATAGCCGATCTAGGCCGCGAGATTATGATTTGGCCACCTTGTTCACCAGATCTTAATCTAATTAAGAACCTTTAGACCTTACTCAAGCAAAAGATCTATGAACTTCGGCCTAATTTACTACATATGCCTAATAATAACACTACCCTCGCTATTTTGATCGATACAGCGAAAGAAGCATAGCAGCAAATCGATCTTAGTATACTAGAGAGCTTATCAGAGAGTATGCCACGCAGGGTATAGGTAATTATTGCATCGGATGGATGGTACACCAAATATTAGCAATTGGATAATATTTTTTGGAGGTTTTAGTACGGCAGAATTCTTTGGCAGAAAAGGGCGGTCAAGCGGGGGGTCACAGACTTTTGCGGCGCCACTGTACCTATTACCATAAGAAAATACCCAACCAAACTTGTCCTTATAAGTAGGCTGAAAAATTTCTTGCTAGAGACCTGGGGGGTGCGAGGGTATTAGGAAATGCACGGACCTGAGCCTATGTGGAGATGGTTGTTTGGCCAATCATATTCAATAAACTCGACTTCCTACACAGAGAACCTTTCCACCACTTTCTGCGGCCTTGAGTTAAAAATTTAAACCCTTAAATTGCATTTTTCTATGTACTAGACTTTGTTGAACTCACAATTAGGCGGTTCTTCATGTCTCTAAGACCAGTCCATTTCATCTAATCAAAGTAGTATAGAGACTGCTATGTAGGTAAAACTGGTAAATATTCGGTTAATTAATCATTTCAGCTGGGCAAAATCAGCAGTAACGACTAGACCTAAGGCTGTGGACGTACATCCAGTCACGGGACCCAAAGCCAAAGCCTTCCGGGAACACCACGACTTGTCAGCCACCGTCCCACGTCTCCAAAATGTTCCGAACTGAAGGCCAATAACGTAACTACACTCTCTGTCACATTTCCCAGGCAAATAATATTCAGTCTTGCCTTTTATCGATAACCATGGTTTTAATTGTCAGTGCTGGATCGGCTTTCTTATTAATCCGCGACCGATATCCCTGACCGCTCAATCTCCCAAGCCAAATAATGCGGCACGACTCCTCGCCTTCTCATCATTCAGACAATGTGGAACCTCATCCTACCAGAATAATCATCTATGCTTGCGTAACCGATATAGACGGTTGCCCGCAAAGGCGCCATATCAAAATCGGGGAAGATTTCTGTGAAACTGTCTTAAATCGTGCATTCAACCCTACACTTCATCCAGCGGGATACGACCACATCCATATTCCCGCTGATTTCGACTCACAGAAGCCTCTTAAACGATGGTTTATTCTTGATTTGGAAGTCACCCAACTGCTCAACAAGGAAGATGTTTTACAACTTCCCCATCGGGTATACTTTGCAAGTCAACAGAGTGGCAAATTGTGAGACACCTAGAGAGGTTTTTGATGCTGAACACCCTTTCTGACAACACAGATCCTTTATCCCCCGCAATCGATGGGCTGAAAAGGCAAAGAACAGGGCTGTTTCATACACTTGGGGGGGTAAAGAGGAGCAAAGGATTGTTGAAAATCTACGGAAAGAGATCAATAATGAGAAGGAATAAATAAAATGTTCCCGCACCTCGCCCGTTACATTCAGGGTGTTTCTGGTGGTGTTTCTCCCTTGCAAGCAGGGCAGTCTTCGTTGTCCTTGTCCTCTTGCCAGTCGTGGACGTCCTCACGCTGATGAGGAGGACAAGTTACTTGGTTTTGAATAACAGGCCCACATCTCGCGATATAAGCAGTTGCCTCGTGACCGCACGATCCAAAGATTCCACGTACATTATCGCACATCTGATATGCTTAGCATCGGCCTCTCTCAACTGCTAAATTATTCTCACTTCTGTTTTCTCGACCTCTAAAGGTCTACGATCCTGCACTTAGTCAGAAAAAACAGGTCGCGTATGTTTTTGGCTTCGAGTATCCGTAGAGACAGACCTTCTAGAATTATCGTTCTGATACGTGATCAACGGTGTTTCGATATATCGTTGGTATGAAATAGATGCACTGGTTAGAGAGGAGATGAGCTTAAAAAAAAAAAAGTGGATAGAAGCTGGCTGACTTTTTAATCTGAATCATATCCCCAAGTAGTTAAACTTCAGTGGCTTCGTGATGGGCTAAAATAAACAACCCTAATGTACCTCCGTCACCATTTAAAGACGGACATGGCCTATGAGGCCTTGCCGCCATGCGCTGGGTTGCAAAGCTGTCTCCACCCTGGCATCTGGAGCGGCTGGGTGTAATAGTCCCGCTGTCCCCACACCGCCTGGTGTTGCGTGATAGTTAACTTAATATCCTGGCTTATAGAGGATTATGTCAGCGGGCGCTGAGCCCCTCTTCGGCACGTCTTCCAGCGCGAATTCGATCTTTCCGTCCAAACTGGCATTCAGTCTATCCCTTCAGTCCTCTATCCACAATAATTTGCTCTTGCAGCTGAATCCTGCTACGACCACAACGAAGAGGAACCCAGCCCAATGGCGGATCCCTTAAGCATCACTGCTTCGATATTAGCTGTTATCACAGCAGCCGTCCAATCGACAAAATCGCTCCACGACACAATTGTCCGCTTCAAAGGACGCGACAAGACCTTGCTCAGGCTTCAAAATGAGATTCATGATCTCGTCGGTATTTTAGACTCGTTGAAGCAAGTGATTGATGGCGAGGCATCGATGTCCGCGCTTCTTCGGGGCCCGATCGAAAGATGCGGGCAAATATGCGGTGAATTCGGACATTCGATGGAGTCTTTCAATCAGAAATCGAAGACAGGCTTTCGAGATTGGACCAAGATGGAGTTCATGAGAGGTGATATGAATGAATTTATAGACACGATATCTGGATATAAATCCACGATCTCAGTCGGTTTATGCACCGTCACCATGTCTGTCAGCCTTATTCATTTTCTAAGCTCTACTGACCTTACTATTAGGCAAACTGTTAAAGTTTCCCAGAATGCTCTTCAAGAATACAATGAGATGATTCAGGACACAGCATATAATCTCGAGGTCCAACTATGCCGAGTGGATGAGAAAATGGCGCGCCTCACTAGCGACAGTGCAAACGTCTTGAACTCAAGTATCGATCTGAAGGACGAAAGAGATGTCACCAAACAATGTCTTCGTATTTGCGAAGACGCAAAGTCGTATATCGAATCTTTGACGAATCAAGAGTCGACTCTGTTACACGAAGGGCCGCAAAGTGCTACTGATGTCGGTCAGAGCTCCTTCGAGGCACAAGCGCTCACGCGTGAGGCGCTAGATGAAAACCGCGATAGCTTCGCAGCGACAATCTGTCAACTCCGCAATCGCCTGGAATCCTTGATTATAAAGAATGACCCTAGTGACGAAAGCGAGAGATCCCGTTTACTAGACGATATCAATGCTTCTAAGAAGTGTTTGGAGGTTTGCAAGATGGCAAGCGAAGTTTCCACCCAAAAGATATACAGGGTCGGGGAGGTGATTGCCGATGGCGACAGCGATCAAGTTGTGGTGACTACCTTGGCGGATCTATTCGATGTCAAGAAGGCGCTATCCAAGGATAATTCAGCGCAATTGGTTGGGTCAATGACGGAAGAAGCACTTCACCATTTGACTGAAAAGCGTTATGGTAGCCGGTTTGGGGCGTTGGCCCGAGAATCCGACGCTGATGGCGCTGCTGGTACCGGATTACATCCAGCCAGTGAGACCAGAAAGGGCAAACTCTCCTTCACCTCTCCAAAAATCTATGATGGGCAGTCGTCCGGACAGAGAATCAGGCAGTCGCCATTGCCTAATGAAGTAAGGAAGCGATCAACCATGGACGAAGGAGAGCAAGACATAGGCCAATGATCTTAGGGGTGTGCGATCGAAAAAGACTTCTCTAGGCGTCTCACAATTTGCTACTTTGTTGACTTGCCATATATACCTGGTGGGGAAGCTGAAAAACATCTTCCTGGTCGAGTCAGTTGGGTGACGTCTAAATCAAGAATAAACCATTGTTTAAGAGGCTTCCGTGAGTCGGAACGGAATCAGCGGGAATATATGGATATGGTCGTACCCCGCTGGATGAAGTGTAGGGTTGAATGCACGGTTTAAGACAGTTTCACAGAAATATCCACCGATTTTGACATCGCATCTTTGGCGGTAATTGTCTATATCGTTTACACAAGCATAGATAATTATTCTGGCGGGATGAGGTTTAACTAAAGATGATCTCGGTCCCGGATTAATAAGAAAGCCGACCGAACCAAGCCCCAGGCCAAAATAACTATTGTGATGCTTATAGGGAACGTGCTTAGATGGGATCAAAGTTAATGCTCCGGGGATCCGAGGAATATGCTCCTAGGAGCCATCAGGGTCGTTCCTGGGATTAAATTTGGCATTCCTGGGAGCTATGAATGCCCTGGGAACAGTGGCAACAGCTCCCAGGAGCAAGCATTTGTAATTTCAGTATTGGCTTACATTATCATCGGATAAAGCTTAGACCGGTCGGCCGCACAAGACCCCAAACCAACCGAACCTCCTTCCTTATGTCTCTCTGGCGGCTTCTCTTCCCCAACACAATGTCTGCGTGGTCAGTTTTACTGTCTTGCGATATCGTGGTATGTATTCACCGCTGAAGTCCTAAAATGAAGCTCACCGCTTTCCTATTGGCAGCTGTCTCCAGACCAGAGCCACGTGTACCGCCGCTATGCCACCTCTCCCAATGTGGGTGAAACATCCCCCCTCAAAGCCTACATACTGACTTTTTCAGTTTGGGCAATCATTTGCCATTCACCTTGCCACATTCGCAAGCCTTAGCCAACGGGAAAGGGAGAAGATAATCGATAACGCACCGGCTGTTTCTCCTGCGAAGTAAAGGGACAGGGTTCAATCAAGCAACCCCACCTCATGGCTCCCTTGAGCTCTTTCAACATGGGCTTGGACGGTGAACCCCAAGGCTTGAGCAAAGCGGACCAGCATGCATGTCTATTAGGTAAAAATGCCCATAATAAGTTGTCATCAGATCTGCTGACTCCGACCGAAAGATGCTAATCCTCTATATTCTCCTTCGGACTCATTTCCTTATAATATGGATTTCTCTCCCTGGCTGCATTTTGATGATAACTCCGGTGAGCCAATGGATATAGAAGAAAGTGGGCCCACGGTCGACTCAACGGGTGCCTCTGCTCCCGGAACAGAGACAGCCTCTCACATAGTCGACCCGACTATCGTATCAGCTCCCAACACCGCAAACAATTCTCTGGTTATTCCAGGAATGCCAGAGGTGTCTACGGGCCCCAAAAGCGTGGGTGGTATTAAAACATTAATTGAAGATTCCCTTGAACAAATGCATACAAGGCTTGTTGAGGATGGAGCTTTAGACTCTATTCTAGGTAAGGCCTTTACTTGCATATTTGACCATCAACCGGACCTTGGTGGGGGTGCACAAACGAGTTTCAATACCACAGACGGAGAGGACTCTGTCACAAGATTCTTTGATCTCATTTGTGGAAAATTCAAACTTCTCTCCTCTGTCTTCACTTCCCATTCGGTGAAAGGCATAGTAGGACTGAACCTACTACGGGTCTGTTGTGAATGGATCCTTTTTGATACTTTGTGCTTTTCATGTTTAGGAATCGCCGCCCAACGGAGATGGCTTGCTACTCCAGCACAAGAACTATACTATGTGTCACGAGAAGGGGTTGAAAGCTTCCAGCCACTACCAATGAACGGTGCAAAGCCATGGAAGAGTCTCCGCAAATCGGACTCCGCCCCTCTTGAATCCTGGACGTTGCGTCGCGGATCTATCGTCAACGTAGACACCGGAAACAGTACCTCCCCCGCAAAGGTGTCTGATATTCGATGTCTAGACGATGGGCGCTATATCGTTGTCTATACGTGGCTCTACACAAGAGAACAAATAATTGAGGAATTAGAAGTTGATGGCAAATTGTCTCAGCGTGATAGAGCACACCTCGACAAAATGTGGCCCTTGGGAGATCGTCATAGATATATGCTGAGCACTAACCGAACAATTAACTCTTTGGAATACGGCTATTGGCCAAGCACCAGAGGAAGTCACTACCAGTCTTTGCTACAGTGCTATATACAGCACGACTCCAACCTCACGGAGAATTTGGAATGTTGAGAATCCACGGTACAAGTGGATGAAGAAGATCCTTCTCTATGAGCCTCGGACGGGAGACTTACCGGAATGATTTATTGTGTTGAATGTTGTATATTTCTGTCGTGTATAGCTCGCAAGTTATTTCAATGCACTGCACCATCTACAATATTAGCTACAGTGACGGCGTAGTTGTGCTGAAGAATAGAGGAAAGACAAATGTGTTGAGGTAAAGTGGTTGGCAAAAGACGCCTGGGGCAATTGTTCACCACATGGGCAAATATCCATCACCTCCAGAGAAGCTTGTTCCCACATACGACGAACACTCACTCGCCATGCACGTTGGGAATATGCCCATGAAGCGAGTTTGGTCTCTGCTCGCAACCATGCGGAGACTGCTTCGGAGATTTTCCGGTGCGTGATAGAAATATCCAGGCAGCGCTCAAACCACTCAAAGCACACTGTACGGGCTTCCGGGGGCAGATTCTCATCTAATCCATTGGATAAAAGTGTCGAGATTGCCATGAGAGAGTTTGAAGTAGTGAAATCTCTAGTAACCAGAAAACCGCCTTGGAGGGTGAAGGTTGCATGAAGAGATGCGGCAGGGATATGTATTGCCTGTGCTGAAGTGGTCTCCACGACCACACATCCCTCCAACTGTGGTGCGAGTCGAGCAAGCCGTCCACGCTGGCCGTCAACGGTTTTCATAGCTCTCAAATTGCTACTTGTTGGCGGCCAAAGCAGCCATATCTTGCGACTGTCTCCAACTGGGATCGAAAGGCCATCCGCTCCGTAGTCTATTAAGTATGGGTTAACATAGTCCTAAGAACGGTTGCCCAACCTACCAATATGCAAGTCCACAAACGAGTACTTTGGTGTCAAATTCACCTGGTTATTGGACTCACTAAAGGGCTCGAAAAGCCTGCAAATATCGGGAGGGACACGGAACCCCAAATCGTCTACAATGGAGAGCCGTAAACCAGTGAGGAAGGCTGTCTTGTTGTGGTCCGCGTCCACAAGCTGAGAAATAACAACCCGTGGGTCGACAGTCTCGTCAACCTCGCCCTGGAAGTTGACGCAAAACTGCGACTCTGAATGGTGGGCGGCAGTGGCAGAATCGCTGCTCTCGATCTTTTGTAGTGTATCCATGACCAATTCACGAACGCGAGGCGCTCCACCACGCCAGCTTTGCGATGCGTCTAGCAAGGAGGGAACAGAAGAAGTTGTCGAAAGCCAGAGTGATCGGTTCTTTTCTGGCATGCTCTCCAAGGTTGACGGGTCCGGTATCGAGAGAACCCCAAAACTTGGGCCAAACTCGTGTAGAACATCTTGAAGCATTTCTTCCCAGCTTCTTTGCAGAGATATATCTGGTATTGGCGGCAATGGTCTTGTTTGTCCTGGTGGCAAGGAGAGATTTGGGAGACAACGTGGTGAACTACCATGTGTAAGTCAAGTGATTCCGTACCAAGGACAAAGATTTTTATACCCAACACCAGTGGCACCTGCACGGTGAGGTTCAATAGTGATGTTTCTTTTGCGATATCTTTCTTGTCGAAGATGTTTCCGAAGTCGACTGGCGTTCGAGAAGGTGTGTCCGCAATATGGACAGATGCGCATGCATGATGACACTCGTATTATCGCATTTTCGCTCCGCCAGTGGCGAAATATTTCTTGGTGTGAGATACAAGAACAACCAGGTTGTATATTAGGTATATCTACCATGGTTTCCGGCCGGGACGATTGGGGGACGATTGAGGACGATTGAGGACGATTAGGTGGGGACTGGTGGCTTCGCGCATAAAATTATTGTCAGCTCAGCCCCCGGGGTATTTTCCGATAATTAACCGAGATCGAAAGTCTAGCTCGGTGGAAATGACCCTGACGATTGGGTTCTGGCTAGTGCCTGGAAACAACGACTGGATCTTAGAAAGATCCGCCGTGAACTCTGAGCCACCTGAAAAATTAAGAGGGCCCCTATAATAATATCCGCCCCAGGACCCTACATTTAGTTCCTGGGAGCTATTACCAAGGCTCCCAGAAACTCTTTCCCCGTCTCCAGGATCAACGTTACCATTCCTGGGGACTACATATCTCCTGGGGACTGCTGTTGTAGCTCCCGGGAGCACGCAGCGTCGTGCCTGGGAGCTTTGCCTTGGTTCCTGGGGTTGGCTTAGCTAACACCCAGAAGCCGACAGCACAGTTTCTCAGAGACAAGTTCAAGCGCCCCTCAGTTGACCACGCGCCCCACCGCCTTCTGGCAACAAAGAAATTTACTATCACACTCTAATCTCCTCTGCCAGCATTGTGAACCCGGACAGGGTTGTGTGAACAAGCTTGCAACACTTACCGAATGATTGGCGCAAGTTTGGAACCACCGTATCCCGGATTCCAGGGAACTTTCAAGGACATTTCCTCTCAGGGACATTTTGCCTCAGAGACTCGTCCTGCCGCAGGCATGAGTCCTGCATAGTTTCTATAGCTTTCAATGAATATCTATTTCATCCATGAGCGTTATGGAGTTTTTTGGGGGGAAAGTCTTGTTTTGAAAATATAGAAGTGGACCGGAGTGATTCGCTCGGCCGTGTATTACGTTACGTCAAAGCGTGTTTATGCCTGAGGCATGAGAAAATCGAGTCACGGGTGAGTAAGCCGGTAGAACGTCAAACATCCACACGCGCATTGCCCCCGTGACGGTTCGTTCCCCCTTGGCAGACGGCGGCCTCTTACTGTATTGACTGCGATCTTGTCGCTCGAGATACTAGTTTCGACAAGGAATGGAGGAAACAATCGAGGAGCTTCGACGCCAGCTTGAGGAAGAGAGACAAGCGCGAGAAGACGAGAAACGAGCTCGACAAGAGGCGGAGCGGCGCCAGGAGGAAGAAAGACAGGCGCGAGAAGAAGCAGAAGGGCGAGTGCAACCAAACACATTGTTTGGCCTTCTTGATCGCTGCCATATCTCTCTGTCTCAAGCGATCCGAGTTGAGACGGATGCGACCCTCACGACTCAAGGTGATGCGACCGACCCCGTGAACCGACTTTACCCCAAGCGCATAGTCCCTTGGCTTGACTTCCCCAACTCCAAGAACAAGTCTGGAGAAAATTCGACCGCACAGCTGCCTTTACCTCGCGCCCCCTCTTTCCTTCTGATACCCAAATAGATTATGTCGTCACGAATATCCAAAACAAGCCGATTTATTCGGAAGCGTCCCTTCGAAATTTCGAGCGAGACACGGTGGATAACTTTGTCGAAGCGGTCATCGAAGCATTGCGAGATGATGAACTCCTTCAACATGAGTTTGGAATCGAGGGCCAAGTCACCTTCTATGACCGCGCGAACCCATCGGAAACTTCGCTAGAGAACAGCTTGGAGCAAATGAATCTTCACAACGTGCGGACGCCCCAACGACTAGTGAAAACCAGGCATGGGGGAGGCAAAGACAGAGGAAGGGGGAGAGGAGCGGCGCAGAGACAGAAAAGGGTTGGCACTACACGAAGACGCAATCGCCGCGCAGACCAGTTCTGCGTGCACATTGTGGCCAACGAGCAACAGAAACCGGTGTATGCAGTGGAGTTCAAAGCGCCACACAAGGTGACAACCCCTGAATTAGTGGCCGGTCTACACCAGATGGATCTGGCTCGCGATGTCATTGATCAGGAAGGCGACACGTTTGAGTTTTATGCCACTTGCCTCGTCGCCGCAGTGGTCACCCAGATATTCTCATACATGATCGACAGTGGAGTTCAGTACGGCTACATCTGCACAGGGGAGGCTTTTGTTTTTCTCCATATCCCAAAGGATGAACCCACAGTTGTTCAATATTTCTTGTGTATCCCGAATCAAGACGTGCAGGCGAACGATGAGTGGCGCCTCCACCGAACAGCCATTGGTCAAGTGCTTGCGTTTACCCTTTAAGCGCTGGCCGCCGAAGCTCCGTCTCAAGAGTGGCATGATGCGGCGCACGACAAGCTAGCGACCTGGGAGGTCGAATACCTGGACGTGTTGAGAAAAATTCCCGAAACTCTCCGCAAAGACCCACCGGCCTCCAATTATCGGCCCTCGCACTGAAACTGGAGCCGAAAACACACAATACTCGATCTCGTGCTCGGTGCCAGCCAGTTATGTCTACTCCGAAGCACTCGTCGACTGAAGGCAGCGGCAGTGATGAAGAACCGCATTCACCATCCACTGCAGCAGCGGCGCGCAGCCTGTTGAGTCGCGGCCGAGGCAACAGCCGTCAATCGACTAAGGGAAGCAAAAGAACACGAGCAGGCCGGGACAACAAACAGACATCTCGAGAAGCTAGGCAATCTAAGCGACCCTACTGCACCATTGCCTGCATCCGCGGTATGGTCAATCGAGACCCTCTGGATAAAGAATGCCCTAACTGGAAGCTCCACGGTGGTCAGAGACACCCCATGGAGCCCCAGGAGTTCACACACCAGCTTCACCGTCAACTTGCACGAGACCGAGGCCTTGGGTTCGAACAACTGCACGTCTGCGGTCGGACGGGCTACCTGGTGAAAGCCACCCTTCTCTCACACGGATACACCGTGATCATTAAAGCTACCACGGTGCAGAAGCAGCATCGCCTTCAAGCGGAGGCGAACAATTATCATCACCTCAGGAGCTTACAAGGACATCAGATCCCCGTCTGTCTTGGCGTCTTTCAGCCACGGGTTACTTATTGGTACCATGGCGAATTAATGGCCCAGATGATGATCCTGAGCTGGTCTGGAACGCGACTTCAGCGTGTGATTAATTACGAGAATTCCAGTTTCTTCGAGGAGGAGCGCAAGAAAGCTTTGGCCATGCTCCGATCGCACGGAGTTGTCCACAGCGATAGTGAGTGGCGCAATATATTGTGGGATGACCCGAGTGGCCGGTTGGTTGTCATTGACTTAGAGGACGTGAAATGGTTGAAGCGCCCTCGGGCTCTTGAACCAACATCTGGCAATACACGGCGTGTTCATCGCGCTGGGGCGGGGAAAAGCAGGCAAGGGCTCCTGTCCAGCTCAACCGCTGTTTGCACATGATGGTCCAAAGCCACGTGCTGCATATAGGAATCATGGTGAATTAATGACGCAGAAGATGATCCTAAGCTGGTCTGGCTGTCAGCTTCAGCTTGTGATTAATGACGAGAACTCCAATTTCTTCGACCAGGAGCGCAAGAAAGCCCCGAGAGAGTTTACAGTACTAAGGTTTAGATCGTTGGCTTAGCCCATCGTATAATGCATAATAATGATGCGTTCCTGTAACTAGCATTGCATACGCTAAACCAGTTTTCTGGGATGTTTTCCATAATGCTTTTACTCGAAGCGCGTGGGACTTGGCCAAGCCATTCCCTACGTAGAGGTTGCAGGTTGATAAGCGCGTTCAAAACTAAGGAGTGAAGGTATAGGAAACAATTGAAAAACGCGGTGGCCTAGGCTCAATGGGCTGAGACATGAGACTGCAAGAGTAGCAAAGGACCCGGAAATAAACTGAAAAATAGTGAAACGCCTCAAGCGTTCAACCAACACCCAATTGGCGAGGAAGGTTGGCCAGTCCTGTCCACAAACCAAATGCGATCAGGGTGGTATGCTTGGGAGAGTGCTTCTTTGCCTCTCCATAGCGCTTGCCCTCTCTTGCTCGTCTTTAGTGTCCTTGTACCCAAGAACTCTCTCTCTTTAGTTGGCTCGCCGCCTCCTTCGCCTTCACCACCCAGTCTTCAACACCAGTAACAGCACCAAAAAGTGAATTCTTCTGCTCCAATAGGAACGACAAGACTTCGGCCGGACTGAAAACTTCATCTGGCACCTTGGAAGCAAAGTTGTTTGCAAGGCTCTCAATCGTCTCGCCACCGAATTGCTTCTTGGCTTGATTGTTGTCGGGCGTCTGTTTGAAGACTGTGCGAAAAAGTTGAGCGGATATTCTCCTATCGGCAAGCTTAAAATGCACCTTTTTGTCTGTGCGGCCAGGGCGAATAAGTGCTTCGTCAAGGCGTTCGATATGATTTGTCGTCATGATGAGCACCCGACCTTCTTGAGATGACACACCATCAAGAACATTGAGAAGGCCGGATAGGGTAACTCCAGGGTCTGAATTGTTTTCCAGGTCTATATCCGCATCGTCTCTTCGGCCCATCCCGGCGGCATCGACATCTTCCAGGAGAACGATACAGTGCGGCGGAAGCTCAGCAAATAGCTTCATCAAGCTTGCTGTCAGAAATACCTGACAGTTGAAGCGTATAAATATCCAGTTCATATTCCCCCGCCAGTGAGAGACTAAAGCTGGATTTTCCGGTCCCGGGAGGTCCATGTAAAAGGTAGCCTCGTTGGTAGGGGATTCCGCGGTCGGCGTACCATTTTTGTGTATCCTCATCCAGAAAGTCCTTCACATCTCCCAGAAGATCATCCTGTACTTGCTTGTCCATGATAACTGTAGAGATGGGTCGAATTGCTCTCAGCCTCGTTTTCTTCCAGTCCCCTTCACGGTGCTCAAAGACGGTGATTTTTTTGTTAATGTTGTTGAGATATGTTCCTCGACACTCTTCAACAAGCTCTTTGAGAATGTTGGGGGAAAGGCCAATAGAGGAGATATAAATGTCTTCTCGATGGTCCTTAACCGCGCAATGAAGGATGAGCAGATGTCCTTTATACCAGAAAGGAAAAGACCCATCCCAGGGAGAAAATGTCAAAGGTTTTTTCTTTGTTTGGTTCTGGATGATTGTCCGCTGTGGAGATCTCACGCGAGCTATTGATGACTGGGCATTGTGGACGAATGGTTGTTGAGCTATCCAATCGACCAGCATATCGTACGCTTCGTCATAATATGAGACATGAAGTGTTGAAGCTGCAGACTGTCAGACTGATATCATAGCAATGGGAAGAAATACGAACTGAAGTAGCTTCTCACTAGTTCCCAAAAATAGCGAATTGCGTAGCGGGTGAAGAGGACAAACACTCCCAAGGTACACAGGAGTCGAGTGTAGCTGTCCACGTTGTCGGCAAGGAGCTGCTGTGCCGGTGTAAAAGCCAGACTGAGACCGGGGAAAAATATATCAATAAGGGAAATTTGAGAAGGGCTGTCGTAAGAACTGCCTCCATTGATGGCATTCATTGCGCGTAAACCTGCGATTGAATGACTGAGAAATATTGGTGCTGGTATAAAGATGAAGAAATGTCGACGAAAGCCAGAGGAATTGCTCCTTATATGTTTTGGACCCTAGTCGTCCATGTATCTGCGTGAACTTGGATGCATGTCCAGGGGGGTGATTGTGCTTGCGGCAAGCTAATCCACTTGATTCAATGTCGTCAGCCAGTGTCAATGCAGGCCTGTCTATACGTACATCACAGAAGGCTGCGCTAATTTGCGTGATGTTCATTTATGAATGCTGTTTTAGGTAGGGGTTGGTCATAGTGGAACTGTGAGCTTAGTATGAGTTTGTCTGCCCTGTCAATTGTGCCCCATTCTTACCCCGCAGTATCGACAAATCAGAGACCAACACAGCTCCAACAGCAGCGGAGCTTTGTGCGCCTAACCATTCTGTTCCATTTCCCTCCATCTTTCCCTCCATCTTTCCCTCCATCTTTCCCTCCATCTTTCCCTCCATCCTTTCCTCCATTTTTCCCTCCCTCTTTCCCTCCATGTAACACGTTTCGACTGCAAAGACGTTTGGTGTGTGGCGTTTTAGACCGACCGCAACTCAACGCTACTCCAGTACTGATGGCAACATATTGGGCAGGGCCTCGCTTGAATTGGAACCTATTTTCGTTCAGTCAAGTCGGAAAATACGAGCCGATGTCGAAAAAAAGTTGATGTATGACGGCGCTTTTAGAGAACACTGAGGCATTGGCCATGGAGTTTTCTAGCTTTTGGATGTAGTTTTTATAGACAGGAATAGCGAGCTGCTAAGTGTACTACGAGGAATTTTAATTTAATCGGCAATGCTGTGGCTATTTCCCTAGCAGGTAGCTGACCATATGCTGTGCATTAGCGTAGGCGATCAGTACCAGAAAATGGGATATGAGAAGTAGCATTGATAAAGGCTTTGGTTCCCCGTACCTATACTAGATTTAGAAGATAGACTATTCTCTACATACAGAGGGCTCCTGATGGACTGCCTCCCTATTCCCTCGCTACGTGGGCTGCTCCGAGGCTGGCTTCAGAATCTTGATTTCTTTCAAGATAATTCTTCGTCTGATTCTCTTTGGGGTACCGAAACGGAGTATGCTGGTCAAGCCAAAGAACTGAATTCTCACTTCCAGTCATTCGAAGCCAGCTCCAGTAATCCTCTCACTGTTGCAATACCCATTTGTTTTATCTTCTAACCATAAATCCTTTAGGAAATGCCTCTCGAACAAAGTCGGTTCATTCTACGCAATATTGCCAAAGTGGAGACACCATTGAGCCTCGTTTATCCGACATCCAGGTTCCTAAAAATGCAGCGATAGGCCACTGGGAAGAAAGGAACTCAGGTACTCAGCCAGTCTCAATCAACTTCTCGAGGCGCTTTTAAAATATCAGTGATATGTCAGTTTAGTCATCACATGCTGCAGAACCTTGATTTTCTGGCACTAGCTCTGCCTGCTTAAAAGAGCGGTTGAGCATCAAAAACGGTTAGCAGCCATCATTTTTCGAACGAGAAGAGCAGGTCACCAACCATCCTCCAAGTTCGTCCCAAAGATGGTATTCCGATTCTCCGGGAGAAATTCCTTTTCACTGCAATCTTCGGCATAAATATAGTCCCATATTTCTTGCTCCGTATATTTTTTGAGTCGTGAGACCGTGACTTCCTACGATCAGTAGGGGGGCGGTCTTTAAAAAAATCTCAGTGGTCTTAGCCCACCTGGATCTCGCTGGGACACGACTGTTCAACAATAGTGGTCGCATATGTAGTGGATTTCTCCTCCCATTGCCATTCTGCCGGTCACGTGCCCTGATCTTTTGCTCAGGCTCAGTGATCCCAGATTTATTGGCTCTCAGTGGCCCATCGTGAGTTGGTGTCTGCGGGGGCTGTAACAGCAGGCAACTTAATGGCATTAGTGGACTTAAAATTGCACGTATAAATGGACTTCTATCCAAATTTTTGTTCAGAATCTCCGGAAGAGGAGTTTGATACATCGGCATATCTTAATTTCACCTACACACCTTCCCGTCGCTGCCCAACGCGGGGCATTGTCCAGATGGGTGTCACGTGGATCCGTCCCACATCGATTTCCCTCCGGATTTCATGAATCTCTTTTCCACCACCCTCTTAGCGACAACTATGACTGATTCACCAAACTGGGCACCCGACGCAAATCCACTAAAAGAGCCCTTTGGACAAAAACAGTGAACATACCCCATGCTTCTCTTCCGCTACTGGCTTGCAGCTCATTCTGGTCGCAGTTAGCAAAGTCTGCTCTTCACTCCACACAAAGCGCCCTTGGGAGGTATTCTTTGTGGCTCGTCGTTATTTTATTGTGCAAGAGCAACTTTGTTATCACTGAAGCTGACTATTACAAAGATTAAATGGTTAGTTTGCCTCATTTGATATTTCCCTGATTAATATGTTATCAGGCTTTCGAAGAAGAATCCCTCGATCCCTCCACAGATTTCAGTAACGTGCCCGAGAATCGTGTAACGATGATTATTGGAAAAGGCCAAATGGTGTACTGGCAAGGAAGCAATGTCACTGTTTACGAAGTCGATGGTGAAGGGAAGGAACAAATAAGGAAACTTGTTGGCATTCGGAATGGACAAGGGGTCGCTCGAGAAGGGGTTAAACTTTATGTTACAAAGGGGAAAGTGACAGAAGGCGTCTGAAGCGTCTCATTCATTATATTGTGACTTGCATTCTAGGTATATAGCTTCTTTTGTATTTCTAAGCCTCGAACCAGCCCAAGCGATAGGCTAACAATGGCGCCTTTCTCTGTGACTATCATCGACACACATTCAGTCTTCAGTTTACCTTCTTCCAACTCCCTTAGACGAATGCGGCTCTCCTTTATCGCTTGCTGTATTTCGGAACCGAACATTGTGGCAATAGCCTCATCATCCACACCTTTCAAGGTAACTTCAGAGTTGGGAACGGTCAGGATTGTTCCTCCTTCAAAGCCAATATGTAGAGAATTTTCTACCCATTTCACAGTCGCATTGAACAGAGCCATTGCAAGAGATTGCACCTTTGATTCACAAATATCCAGACTCAGTAGACAGTCAACTGGTCCACCCCAAGGAGGAAAAACGGTTGTTACTGATGCTTTCGAATATGTCTTCCCATTTATCGGAAAAGAAGTTGTTCTGATAGCACCATATATAGGTCCTTTGAAAACAGCAGCAATGCCTCCAAGGGAGGCATGCTCAAAAACTTCTTGTGTGTTGGTAATGTCTGTATCATTTTGGCAGTCGTCTGGTAAAAAGCGGGAGTCAAGTGTCGCAAGGTATGGGGCTGAGCGACAGCTTGGAACAGAGACTTTGTGCTTTTCGAATTCAAGACTGTCCCGGCGAGCTATTGAATCCCGATTAGGAGGTATAAATAACAAGTAGAGCTTTGAACCAACGGTGATCTCTTGGGGTTTCCTTATGAACGCCATTATCATCAAGGAACACAGAGTCTGGGTTCACTAGATGTCCGATGGGAGTAACAGAGCGATCGGCCTCGCCATTGTTGATAGAAAAACCGAGTTGAAATCTGGTTGCTTCACTTAAAGTTGAACACGGCGAAGACTCGCAATCTTCGCGTTGAATGGTTTGTTTTGCATTGGATGGTTGCTCTGGGCTTTATCAGTCAGGCTTTTTTCAAGGATAGCGAGAGGATTCTGGATGCCAAATACTTACCCTCCAAGAGCCCTGTTACTTGAGTATCGCCCGCAAAGCTGGGAAACGATGGATTGTTGATCAACGGCTGATATTCCTTCTCACCCAGCTTACAGACGAGCGCTTTCCGGTGGGCAATACTCATATCTCTAACCTTGTTTTGACCAAGAGCAATGGCGCACAAGCGTACGCCTTGTAGCCCACATTTTTGACGCACCTGGTGGAGAAAGAGTCGATACTTGTGATGATCAGTAGACTCTGGTGTATGATTTAGTAGAAAAAATGCCTCGGAAACTTGTCTGGAATCTTTTTTTCCCAGATGCCAGGAAATGCCAAGTCTGTGAGCAGCGTTCTCTACTTGCTTCCATGCTTCTGCACTGGTAAGTGATTTGCGAGAACGCCGTCGTCTGGCAAGCTGGGCCATGATGAGAAGGTGTGGAAAATAGATGGAGAAATAGGGAGGGAGCGAGGGGGAGCGAGGGGGAGAGATGGAAGGAGAGATGGAGGGAGAGATGGAGGGAGAGTTGGCATGCGTGCGCCGCATGGTTGATCGGCGCTCATTATTATCTCCTCCTGCATTAAAGCACTGTTGCGGCTGGGTCCGTAACAACTGTACTATTTCAATTTTACGAGGCAGATCTTACATGATGGAATTGATTGCCCCATTTTGAAATACAGCACCATCCTTCACTGGAGATATTATTGGGGCAGACACTTGACTCGGCGGCTCATTCTCTCATATTAATGGATCATCTGGAGGGGACATGGCACATACACGTAATTAGGCGCCAGATTGTCTCAAGTTAATGCCCTGAGGAAGGATCGACGACCAATGACAAATGTGGAAAGGGTCGGCGGCTGCATATTGTGTATCTAAATTGTTACTATTTGATGGTTGGAAATTCCAAGTGGAGCGGCGGCTGCCCAAACAGTGGCGTTCCTGGGATGACGTGCGGGCGCCTATTCTTTTGGAGAGGAAGGCACTATTTTTGATTCAACTTCCATACGTATCCACTAGTGAAGGCGAGGTCCAAGCAACCCGGTGGAGTACTTTTTAGTTCACCAATAGTGATTATTATCAGCTGTTCGCCCCTGAAACTCGACCAATAAGACTGATGACGTTGAAGCCTGCGTTGAAGATGACGGAGCAACTGGGGGCCAGATCCGCCAGTCTAAAGAAGCGGGCTCTGCGCCACTCGTGTTTCTTCACATAAAAACGCAAATCACAGGAGCACGCTAATGCATTGCTGGTCAACTCGTGCGTCTTTTTTTGACTCTGTCCCATATTTGTCTCCCTTTAGCCAATGATAAGTGACTCTTGACATGTGCCGCTGAGGCACGTATTATGTGGATAACCATCCTGCCTACATGAACCTCGTGATGCTGCATGCCGCATGGGCAAGGTTCCCCGCTCAGTTCATCCAACGTCGTCCATACAGAAGACGTGGCTTTCAAGCAAGCTCACATTTTACTAATCTAATCTCCCTCACTAACATATAAACGGCCATTATTCCTCAAGACTGATCATTTCCGTCCTCTCACGAGTACTTTGCGGACCTCCCGTTCCACGTCTGTTCTTGCCTATCGAAAATGGCTTCAGTCTCGGTCATCAAACAATCTGTTGTACCTGGCTTACACATGCCACCGACTTTGGCTGATCTGAAGCAGTCGTCCAATTTGTATGTTTTGCATTGATCTAGCAACTTGATTTACTAAAAATTACCAAAGGTACAATCAGCTTCCGTCGGACGAAGCGCAGCCGCCCCTTCTTTCAGATCACTCCCAAGAGATTCGAAATATCTTGCTACGCCACAATGTCCAGAACAAGTTCGGCATTCACCTCATCCATGGTCATTTTGAAATTCCGAATGATCAGGTGATGCTAGGACACTATTTTGAGAACCCCCGGGCTGCTGGACAAAGCCTATCCCTGTTGAAGATGTTGACACTGCCAATGTACATGGTCACATTTTCAAGCTGTCTACGGACGGAAAGTTGGAAGCTTATGAGTACCGGGAAGGTCCGCCGATCAATGTTAGCGAAGTTGATCCGTCTTTCTTTGAGGAACTTTTCGGTTACCTCCTTGAGCACAACCTGACGGACGTATTCGGGCTACAAGCATTACATGGATCGTTTTCGCCAATGATAGAGCTTGTACTGGGTAATTCTGGAACAGTAATGCTCAACGAGGACCAGGCTCAGTATGGAAAAGTCTACAGGGCTACTGGATGGAGCATTGATCATGATCGCGAGAGTGAAGGGTTGACAGACGGCGAGAAGCACGCTCAGACTACGAAGGGTACTCACAGGGTCTTTGTCGATGAAATCCCCCTTTCTACCATTGGGGAGCTGAAGGAGTTTCTCAAGCAGGAAGAAATCATTTTGTAGCTTGCCAGCTATCGCTCTCTGCAAGCCTTGCCGCGGCCTGTCTTTCTCTTCTTTAGATAACCTTGTCTTTGCCCAGATGTCAATCTTTAAACCAAATACATTCTCTGGTTGTTGAGGTCCTCTATTGTTATTATTCTTATTATATGGTTCGCTCGAACTCTCTCAAAGAACTGTTCAATAATCAGTCATCCAAGCGATGTAGAAATGCGTCCAAATATCTAATCGAAGAATCTTGCTCAGTCACAGGTCTTTCAAAAATTCCATCTTCCCATGTATATCCATAACGGAGAACCAATCCAGCCCGTTCCGCAGTTTTCATGGCATGTTTTTCATCATTGGAAATCATTCCCGCAATTTCGTTGAATGTATCCCAAAAAAGGCTCTCCAATCTGTCAGAATTTTTATAGTAATTCCAACCCTTAGAGTTCATAATACCAAGCATGCTCTGAAGCCCCCATAGAGACATCCCAAAGGGAAGAACTTTTGCTTCAGCCCAATCAACGACCCCCGTGATACCGCCTGCTTTGGGATCGACGATGATATTCATCTCACAGAGGTCAGCATGAGTGAGAACCAACGGATATGTGGGAACGAAGATTGTTGGAAGTTCTTCGCAAATCTTCGAGATGACGCCGGTGAAACGTGAAGGGAGCTGGCGTGAAAGGACGTCAAGCTTGTCTTGAAGGTCCGCTAGAGAGTGCTCGGAGGAATTAGGAGGCTTCGCAAGTCTATTGACCCACGAATTGGCAAAAAATCTAGAAATATTAGTCTCAGTCCCGCAGTACACTGACATTGAAAGTACCTTGCATAATCCGACACCGTTTTTTCTTGCCACGGAATACATTGAAGGGTTGCCAAAGGGACTTCGATGTAGGTTATTCCGGGGATCTTGTCCATGACATAGACAGTGAGTGAAGGGGATGGGCCTACAACACCTTTATTGAAGCAGGCGGGCACCACGTCGCCATAGATCTTCCGGGCGAGACCCAGTGTTTTTGTATCCAAGAGAGACTCGGGAACACGAAATTGTACAAGGAGCTTCCCAGCTACTACAGTGTAGCTGAATGCCCCTTGAAGTCGAACTGGCTCCACAGCTTGACCGGTAATCTCAGCGGCAGTTCGGTCACATTCTTCCTGCGTGACAGTGCAGCCAGAAAAGAAACGGTTGATGGTATCCTTGAGCGAATAACAAGACATTTCGGCCGAAATTGTGTTTTGCCTGGGACGATCATGGAAAACTCGTGTCGAAGGTAATCAGGCGTTGGTTGGGTCTTGGGTTATTTATTATGAACAGCATGGCGGTCAGACCTGCCAAATGGTAGGTGCGTGGAGATTAACGAAGGGGCCAATTGTCCTGACCAATGACCTCAGTGGCGTAATGCCAGTTGCCAGGCGCCTCGTGGTAACAAAGTAAGTTACGACTGATCTCCTGAAAGTCTGACTAAGCATCTTGGCTTCGCCAAGCACTTTGGACTGCTTTAGTTACTTCTTTCTCTTTCCTTCCCGTTGTTCTTCCGCGTCAAAATAATCATCTACAGTTGGTTACAAGGGCGTTGCGTTTGCTACGATGACGAGCATTTCCCATTCTTCGAATCCCGAGCCCCAGTTGAATGTTCAATATTCTGTTCCTGGGTTTTGCTTGCCACATCCCGAGACCGTCAAGGAATACTGCCTGAATCGAAGCAATCTGATCTTCTGCCAAGGTGTCACTATCGTGAAGATATCACCTGAAGTCGTTGTCAAGTTTGGCGCTCACATCGACATCATCGAGGCCAAGAACATGGTTCATGTTGCGCAAAACACAACTGTGCCTGTGCCCAAAGTTTTCGCATACTATACCTATGGTCCCATTGATCGTGATGTTGACGATTACGGAAGCCTTTACGATACCTACATCTTCATGAGTTTCGTTGATGGCGAAACACTCGACACAGCTTGGGATACTTTCGATAATTCCATCAAATCCCAGGTTTCCCAACAACTTGCGAGCTACATGCTGGACATCCGAAGTATGGAGAATGAAGGATATATTGGCTCTGTGAACCGTGGACCTGTTACTGATCATAGCCTATCGACTTCTTTTGCCAAAGGTAGGCTATTAGAAACACAACTGGTACCTTTTCTGAACTGATGATTATTTGGAAGGCCCTTTCAATTCTGAGCGCGATTTTAATATGGCGCTTATTGATGCCTACCAAAGGAATGCACCAAAACGCCACATCAGAAGTTTTCTTCATGGAATGCTCTCTCAGTCGCACCAAATCTGTTTTGCCCATGGCGATTTCCGGCCACAAAACATTATGGTGAAAGATGGAAATGTGGTCGCTATTATCGACTGGGAGTTAAGCGGTTGGTATCCAGAATACTGGGAATTCGCAAAAGCTCTACTTATCTGGGGATGGCAGAATGATTGGGCGGATTACTTGATGCAAATCCTTCAGCCGTATCATGCTGAATACTTTATGCATTCTTTCCTGATGGAAAAGTTACTGTATTAAGTGAGACTTGCCCGATGAATCTGATTGCTAGATAAAGGAACCTCTCGAAGAATCAGCACTCCAAGCCACTCTCAACCACACCTATACTATTTACTTGATTCCAGATCATCATAACGCGGGCTTTATCCAACCAGTTCTCTTTTGGCCTCCTTCAGGACGTCATCAACCCAGTCCGAGCAATTTCGAGGTGGCGGGGAAGGATTTTTGTCCGTGAGTACACGCGGGTCGTGAGGAACCTTCTGTTTTGCAGCGATTGCTTCGAATGCGGGAAGTTTTCCTTTCGGGATCTGAAATTGCAACGTAGAGCTCTTGTAGCTTTTCGTTCCCCGGAAATTGTATCCGGGCCGCGGGTCGTAATCCATGCCCAGGCCCAGATCTCCAGTGACATGATAAAATCTGCCGCGTCCTTGATCCACATTCTGTGCAGGAACAAGAGCAATGCCTTGATGATCGGGCTTGTCGCTTTGTCTAAAATAGACTCGGTAGACGTTGTATGTCGTCGTTTCGGTGGCCATGGTAAAGGAAAGATAAACGCTTTGGGTAGACAGCTTATTTTGTTGTAAGAATTTTAAGATCGTGGCAAGGAGAAATTCAGCTCTAATTTATAGGCTTCACTGGACATATTTCCATATTGGAGTAAGGCGTAGCGCCGTTCCATGACGCCAGTGGCTGTGGGATACGCTCTACATGGCTTTATTTAGCAATACCCAATAGCCAGTGGTTAGCCACCAACCATGGAGGCAATCGTTTCATTCGCGTTATGATTTGAGCCAATCCGTCATGCAACATGCAAAGCGCAGCACACGTAACCCCCCACAAAAAAGCCAGAAGACACAGCGCCTATGACCTAGTAGTCCTGAAACTGCTGTCTCAGAATACCGGGCCGCCAACTCGCATTCCCTACGATTCTGAAACCCGCTCGGTTGCAAGCTTCTCTATCCAGACACATAATAGTTACCTTGATGCCGATAATGGAGGTGTCAACTTACTAAGGGGTTTTTTCAACTGGACAAAATCGGAGGGGTAAGGTGTAGAAGCAGATATTGGAAAGACACGATTTGTGCGTGAAGCTAATAACCCCTTGGTGCCTGTGTTATCTATGACGGTGTGGGCCTGGACGAAATGGATGGAGGTCCCCGTTTCAGGATCCTGTGTCCGGATCGGGCTTTGTTCATCCCTCAGGCATCAAGACTGGACTGTTCCATTGGTGGATAGATAATCACCTGATTCGCTTGGTTTCAAGACAAGTCGTAGCTTATCACGTGGAACCACCACTTTGTTTCGTCTCATTTCTACCACTTTCTGGCGGTCGTTATTTAGTCATGGCTCCGTTTTATATTTTGGAAGCCTAATTTTTGTTATGGTAGAACCCTAGAGTTTCTATCAAAAGGTAAAATATCGGACAATAGCCTACACCTCCAGAGCCATGATTATCCTCGGAGCAGAAGGGCCTACTTGTACTTGTCACCCAAGCTGGTTAGGCAAACACCCCACTCTGTCTGGCCCTAAAAACCAACGTCATATTCTGTGCCCCGCGGCAACTTTTCACCACGCTCCAATTTCCCTACGAAGCGAACATTCGATGCTATAGGTGCGTCCGGTTATAACCATTTGTTTGCTCATCTGCTCATGTGGCTTTATTCTAGTGGACGGTTTTTCACCGTTTGCTTTAGGTTATCCGCTCTATCCTTACGCGGTCGCGAGTCCCGATCGGCTTTTTTTTTTCGGCGACGACTCAATCGGTCATGGATGACTTGGCTTCATTTCTAGGAAGCGCTAGCTGGAAAAAGGATAAGGAAAACCGGAATGTTTTTTTCTGTGACGATGCTGGCCTGGAGCCGTTATTGGTAAAGGCTTCCAGCGAGCTGCCTGATTATCTTCAACGACATGGGTTTCAAGTGTGGAAGGTATTGGAGGAGACAAAGTTTGTGGAAAAGGAGGGAATTGGAAAGCAAGGATACATCATCCCAGTCATGATTATCTCCGGCCACCCTCGTTTATTATCTGAGCCCTCCCAGCCTCTGCTTGTTCCCAATACCCCAACAACTTTTCACCGCGAGCCTGTCATCTCACCAGCCTTGTATCTTATTCTCGCTCTACCGCCGGCTTCGACATAGTACATGCTGCGAAACTATAAATTCTGCGCTATTGGCTGAGAGTTCGAACAACTAGGATACTGAGATGGGTTCCAGGGGAACATTAAAGGGTAATCCGCGGGAGTGACGGTCCGTTGTTGATATGGAAACAGTTGGGGGTAGTCTGCAGGTATTGAGGTGCATGTTGCTGCAAACGCTTGAGGGAAATCTGCAGGTGCAATCGTCGCTATTTGGTTGCTCGTGACACTCAGTGGGTCGGAATATTGCTTGTGGAAAATGAGACTTCATCTTTGACCTGAGGGTTGAGGGGTGGGCTTACAACTTGACCGTTTTGCCCTGCGTTGGAATGAATACCGTTGCCTATAGTCATGTTTCCAAAATGGGACATGTGCGTTTCACATGGTATCGGTTCCGTTGGTATATATCCGAGCTCAAGGCCGTGGGTCTGGGCTTGTGATACCATGAGGTCCGGCCGACTTTGTAGTGGCGTCTGAGTGAGCGAAGGCCTATAAGATGATCCTCTCACACCTTGCGCTAATTCCGTAGACGATTGTTCAGTATAAATGATGTTATGTGGTGATCCCACGGTGGAAGCAAACTGCTTAGCAGCTGATGTCCGATGTGGCGGGTTCTCTAAAAGATATGAGAAAAAGCTGTTAAAAAGTGTATAGAACATACCGGCAATAAGCTGATGAGATCGAGGGGTATCCGGTTGTGACCCACTGGATCCAGTTCTATTCGATTGTTGGTCTTCATCCACCAAATGAAAATTTGCCTCCGACAGTTGACTCTCCATCACTTGGCGAAGTGACCCTTGGATCGGTCCCAGAATCTTGGCAGCCTCGCCCTCTGCCAATACATGAAGGCCACGGGTCTGAGCTTCTTCGGGCAATCGTTTCTGCCTCAGATGGTCCAGCATGGCAGCTCGTCTAGGGTTCTCCGCTGACTTGGGAAGTTCCTTGGTCCAGCTATAGTGCAGTTAGTAAAAGCAGCTCTTCTTGTCTTCAGGTTTCCGCTTACATCGACTCACCACCCTCTTCAGGGAGGAGATATAATATTCCTAACCCTCCAAGATCATTGGCTAGTAAACTGTATCGTTCTCCTAGGCCAACCCAGTGTCGTACACGACCTTCAATAACAGTAAATGAGTCGTTACAGCCCGAATTCCTTATAACGTGGGCTATGAAATTCGAAGCATCGTCGTATTGGTACTGGGTACCCGGCTGTACGGCTTGCTTCAAGCGGAAGAATACCACATAACAAACACGGAGGCGAATTTTCCCCATCTGATGTTGATATTCACAAGACACGAGTTTTTGGTAGAAATCAGCGAGCGAAGACGGTTGTGAAAAGGTTGGGATGTGGCAAGGGAAAGGCAAAAGTTGGTGAGCGCTTGGAGAATCTTGTATGGCCCCTGGACTGCTCGTTGGTGAATACACAGCGAAAAGCACTTCACGCTTGTCCTGAAGGTCTTGGACGACTTGAGGAACCTGAAGTTGTCGTGAGGAACGCGCAATGGCCTTCTTGATAGCAGGCTGACGCGCATGGCGTTTGACACTCGGTCCAGGAGTTTGATGGATGTGCTCAGGAACATGTTTGTATATCCTTCGTGTTGCTTCGACGTTTGCCTGTTTGGATTAGGATTAAAGGTTTTAATCAATATTCAAATGAGCCTTACAGTGTCTTTCCAGAATTGAGACCCATCGAGTTGATGCTTTCCCTCTTCTTCAGCCTTATTACAAGCAAAAAGAAGATTTTCCGCCAATATCCTGCTTTCCACGATACCCATGGTGGTTGCTGAAGTCGAAAAAGGTCGGGACGACGGATCGGTGGGTAAATGTGGAGAGGTGGGAAGAGGGAATTGCTCCTCCGTACAAGCTAATCGATCAATCATATGACTGTACTTTTGCCAGTGGCTGAGTTGGCGAATGTTGCATACGAAATGCCGATCTTACACAAGTGGTGGGGTACCATATGCACAAGCTTAACCCGATTCTGAATAGGTTTTCTGCGCAGAAAACCTATTCAGAATCGGGTTACGCTACTCCTTGTGCTTCTTTTCATAGCTAACCTGCCGTCCTCTTTCGACAGGCACTTTGGATACTCCAAGGTATTATGAATTACTTGCGTGGCGTTTTAGGCATGACTTTGAAAGCAAAGAATATACTATAGCCACCGAAAAGCGCTTCGGTGCTGGCAGGCAGTTGCTGCATGTATACACACCCATCACTCGTCGCATGCATCGCCTAATCCTACTGATCTATTTTGCACTTGAGGGCGAATGAAAATAGGCCCGTGTTGTCTACCAACAAATAGGTAAATCAAAGGTGCGAAAAGCGAAAAGCAAGCGTAATTTGGAATCTCATGCGCACAACAAGTCATCATCTGCAATGGGAAATAGATAAGTTTCTCATCGGTCCCCCATCAAGCATCGCTAGAAAGTGAGCCAAGTATTGGATTCAACAAAAAGTCATGGGAGGCTTTGAAATTCTTCAGTGAGCCACGAGGTGTATAATTGTCGTATCGCGCATGGAGGGTTCTCCAAAGCGCATCATCGATGGGCTGCTCCAGAAAACGATCGAGGGCCCAGGATGGCGGGTACTGAGATGCATCGTCATACAAACTTGCATCGAAATGCCAAGCTATATGGGACAATTTCCGGAGTGTGATAACACTCACAGTTTCCACAAGTGTCTTTGCCGTGGCCAACAAGATTGCGTCATCGATTGGTATGCCATCTTGGTCATATGCCATTCGCAGAGCCTCGCAAGCTTCTAGAACGTATATAGCGTCCTCACTGAGGCTTTCACGTGGAAGCGTTCCTCCCCGGTAGTATGGGCTAGCTTTCGAAGCCAGCACAGATCTCAAGGCCCATGCTGCCGGAACTCGGAGTTCACTGCGTGGTAAAGAAGCCTTTCCAAGTTAGAATAAGAACGGAACTAGCGGGTAGGCTTCCTACTGACCATGTCTGTACACTAACGATGATTCTTTGCGCGTAAGAGATCAACAATAAATTGTAGGCATTGTCTGATATTTATAGAAGGATATGTGCTTTCTTTTATGCTGTCGTTAAGTTAAAAGAATCTCTCTTCCACAAGTCAGGACGGCCCTGACTGAAGTCAATCATGGCCTGCATCCCGCATATCACACTTCTACTTCCAAACTGGGTTTCATCTCTCTTTTACTCCCCAAAAAATTCATCATCAGCCCTGGGTACCCAAGAAGAACAGGGCAGGGATAGGGAAGAATTCCACAATATCCTCCCCGATAACCAATACGACAGAGCAACATACAGGCCAACGCAAGCAATGACTCCCCAAAACGTATCTGTTTCAACAGATATAAAAGTTCGATCAAGAGATACCATATCATTGTCCGAATCTAATCAAGGTGAGAGAAGAAATCAGGGCCTTCATTCACTGTGCTTTGATGCAAGCGACTTGTTCTCTGAAGAGACTTAGTAACCTCTTACCTTCTAATACTTACAAAATTCAGATGACCGATCTCAGAGAGGATCCACCTACTCAACGCAATCTTGTGGGAGCTCCGATAGTATTATTGATCTTCCAACTCCTCCTCCCGGCATATCAATTGTTCCTGGAAAGCTAGAGATGTTGTACCTCACGAATGATAAGGATGGATTTTCCATATTAAGTCCAAGATCATAAAGCGAGAGAGACTGTTTTGGGTAATCATGATGTGGATCCTATACACCTTCAGCTAGATACATTCATAAAAAATGAATTAGTTGAGATTCTTCATTTACTTGTTTTATATAATGCCGTTTTTAGCGGCACATCATCTAGGCAATTAATGAATTTCTACCCGACTAAGGTGCTCTCCGGTGCTGCGATAACGACGTAATGTCCATCCGTTGCGACGAAGAATCCTTTTGGTCACTCGTTCAGACCAAGTTCAGTAGTTCCAGGAAGCGGCCCGCGAAGAAAACAAGGCTTGAAGGCGGAGGCTACTGTTTATCCCGCAATTGTACGAGATAACTGATTGCCTCTTGATCTGTCGAAAAGTGTTGAATCTTCCACACTAGCTACAATAGCTCGTCGGTTGTTCCACAGCGAATCTAATTGACTAATCTATGGAGAGCAGCTTGGGTGTCTGCTATATAAGATTTTCGTCTTCGATCACGATTCGGCTCGTATATACAGTAGCAAGCCTTGGCCGCACAGCTCGTACATGGTGTTGTTCCCGAGCACTATATAAAATTCGTTAGTTTAATCCACCAGGCTTTGGTCTTATACTTCTGACCTTGGCCCTTTTTTTCTTGCATTCTCTGCAATCCGTAGAAGTATTACGTCGCCGTTTATCCGATGAGTCCATGTTTAGAACCGGGTTGTTGGAACCTTCATCTGTACCTACGAGAATTCGAGTGAAGCCACCCCAGACATTACCAGCACATATGCGCCCACCAAAGCCGCCGTATATAAATTGGATGGTTCCAACTCCAAAAATTCAGATCAAATAGAGACGAAACCGCGCTCTGGCCAATTTGCTGGTGAGTTTGTCTTCCCGACACGGATGGTCGATACTGTCTCCTAATTTGCATGGTCTCGGGTAAACAGGCCTCGAAGAAAAATCTTCACACTCAATGTGTACCTCAGATCCGGAAATATTGGTGCTTCCTGCTATACCTCCATACGTTCATCTCCCTGTCAGAGGGGAGACGGTTGACTTGGACGCGAGGAGCATTAGTTCCCGAAATGGCAAAATCTACTTCTGAGAAAGATATCATTGCCATGACGCCAGAGACGGTTCGTACAATTCAGATTCGAGTAAGTCCCCATTAAATCGCGCTCTGCTTTCTCGCCTGACAGCATTTTCATAGCCAGGGCTTTTGGATATCGCTCTGTTGGCCCAGGTGAAAGAGTTTCAGCATTTTGGGGGGGTAATGTACAATCACAACACAGTTGACAGTCCGGATATACTTTTCTTGGTCAAATACTATAATGGGGAGGGCGGCGTCGTTCGATGTGGATCGTGGATTTATGGAGAACCAAGGTGTATACGAGACCACTTCTGGTTACGTATAAAGATCTGTCGAGCGAAAGAATTGGTGCCTTGGGACTTGCTGTGGGAAATGAAGCAAATCAGAAAAGAGAACATGCTTCGTATCGCGTGGCCAGTGAATATCGGCCAGAAGCAGACGTCAATGGAATAGCAAGGGAATAACCCTTCTTTTGATCTTTCGAGAAATCTACCTCTAATTGACATGGCCAAAAGTCGAGAAAGGAATAGCTGCGCCGTTCGAAATATCAAGACATTGGCTAACTACCTAAGATACACGAGTTAAGGGTTGCTCTGTTGGCAATTCAATTGCGCTGCTTGTAATTAGATGTACCTCACGTGAGGAGACAGGACCGACTCTGTTCTGTGCATGAAAAGACCTAGCTTCATTTGGGTTCTAGATAACCAAGATCAAACTATCCAAGAAGCCATGGACTCTACATGAATGCGGAATACATCCGCTCAAGTTCAAGTTTCGTCTCAAAACTCTTCGGAGAGGTACTCGTTATACTACAAAATAACCTAACATAAACTAGTATAATGCCGAGAAATAAGGCTTACATATTTATGGGGGAATCTGCTTCTGTATATATGGCAATCTATTAACAGTTTATGTAGGAGGATTATCACCGTTCACTATAAAATAAAATCTAGAAAAAGGGAAAATTGCATTCTAATATGCATTCAGATCAGACTAGCGTACACAAGGAGCTATCTCCGACCGTTGTCAGGAAGTTCAATCATATCAATTTGGGAACTCCTCAGTCGCTCAAAAACATCAAGGATGATCTCCTTCTTGTTGTCAAGAATGACAAGCCCTTTGTGAGGATTTTCTGCCTTGTATGGAAGAGAATCCCGGACTTGTGCCTCTGTAGCCCAGCAGAAATCCATATGCTCACCCGGAATCAACATGATGACGCCGTCTTTCGGGCCGACCGCACACTGCTGTTCATCGCACCATGTTCTCTGGGGCTGTAGCTCTTCATAGACGTCCGCATGGAAGGTGCATCTGGCCATTAGAACGTTTTTGTGGTTGAAGAGGTTCAAATACACGTGGTTAGAGACATGTGATACACGCAATTTGGTCTCCTCTTCAGTCTCGCGAATCGCAGTGGCGAGTATGTTTTCATCAAGTTCGTGACTTCCTCCGGGTGTCTCCCAAGTTCCGCCCCACGAGTTGGCCTTTCCCAATGTATCGTCCCAATATGCACGCTGGCATAGGAGAACATAGAGGTTGGAGGGATCACATGTGTCACGACAGAATATAGTCGTACTGGCGGAAAATGACTGGATATAGAGCTGTTTCGCTTGAAGGGTGATTTGAAGGTTGGCAAAAGGGACATCGACTTCTTCGAATGGAATGGCTAGGAAGCCCATGATCGAGGAGAGTGGAGGAAAGACTTCTTGGAAAGCAGGAAGGAGAGAAACTTCCAAGGTTGGGAACTTAGGAAGAAAAGGGTATTAGAAGCAATAAATATCTTAAATACAAGACCTGGACCAGTCTGGACACCGCTCTTCCACGGTGCATGAGCCCTTGTGCAGGCTGACCGTGCTTGCCACCTAATTCGGGTCGCTACCACACTTCATCCTCAATGCCATGTCTCGCGACACCCCGTCGTCACTAATATTTTTTTTCTCTTTCTTTCGATATTTCAGTTTTTCACAAACAATTCATTTTTGTCTCGGGTCATTGGTCTTTTGACTTAAGAGTATAGGATAACATTGGGTACAATAGGGGGCAAGCTTGGACCTGGCAAGAAACCCCTGCACGCACCCGCTGATCAAACAGTCACTGTTCTCGATGCGCATCATCAATTCGCCGCTGGGCCGCCGACTGGCCCTGCCTTCTCCTTCGAAACGCCGTTCGAATCCCCTTACTCCGAGCCTTTCGATTCCTCATACCCATCGCCGCATCGTTAACCTCGCGGAACTGCTCCAGCAGGCCGGTTCTCACCATGAACCGGGCCACTGGCTCAGCTACGTCGCGATGGGTCAACAATTTCTCGACCCACACCGCTGCCCTTGGCCTTTTCCTTCCATAAAATCGTCAAATGGCAAGGTCGATATGAGGCCCGGGCGAGTTATTGCCAGGGACAAGAGTAGCTGCTTGTCCTTCTGGGGTTCTTGAGACAGTCAAACGACTTGGTATACCTGGAAAGCTAGAGACGTTGTTCCTCAGGAATGATAGGGTCGCAACATCCACGCATTGGCTTCGGTAACAGACCAGGCGTAGCCGTCCTTCAGCGCAGGCCTCAAGCGAATCTGACTGGGAGCAATGGTGAGGCCGAGTCGGTCATCTAGCAACCATTAGATAAGCCGCTGAAACAATGAAAGTGCAGGCGTAGATACGAATGTGAGCCTTTAAAGCCTCGCGACATTGCTCTCTGAGCGAAGCTCACTTCGCGTTGCTCGACAGACCCATTCCAGTAGAGTTTCTGTGCTTTAATCTATCGGCTAGTCTACAACGCGGAGCAGGGCCCCTTATGTACTGGGAATTAGCGCACAAAGAGCCTTTTTTTTAAAAAAAAAAAAAGAAATGCACCAATTTGACCGCTGGCGGATAACCGGGGCTGTTTATTCTAACCACCACCGAGGTTATGCACGGAAGGAACGCTTACGGGCGAATAACTTTTCCTTCACCTGTCTGTTGTGATTTGTGGTACTTATCTCATTCAAGGATTGGACTTGAGATTAAGCCTCCAGCGCAGCAGACAGCTCCGTATGGCAGTTTTTATCTGAAATAAACACCCAGAGTCACGCAGCGTGCTACGTAGGTCTAATTCCAACTTGAAAAAGTGCAGCCGACAATTCCTCAAGTTGCTGCGAGAACAATTCTCTACATTCATCACGATATAGAGGCAATTGAGCCAAAGATGCGCCCGGGTTAAAGCACACACTCGTACATTCCCGAGTCCATCGTGCCCTCTGGCTTGGCCTTGGTGTTCACCAGCATCGGTTACTCTTGAAAGCGATCCACGGCCAAAATTGAGGGTCGGTTTCGCAAGCTACACTTGGAAGCGGCGTCGCCGCCTTGGATCTCAGGATAAATAGCCCTGCAAGACCCAGCGAGGATCTGTATTGCCATTATGAACATTCAGAATTCGGAAATATGGGCAATTCCTCTCGCAGACCAACGCGCCGCAGCACCGGAGATGTTTCTGAGACAACTTCGTTGCTAGCCAGACCCGCGAATACGCCTTCACCAAGATATAGAGGGCCCACTGACCCAAGTCAGCACGGGGAAGAGAGGGGGGCGTGGGAAGATTTTACACCCATCCAGCTAGTGTGCGAGGGCAGACCACTTTTCAACTGCGGCTTCGGGAGGAGTACTTTGACCCCGGACTAGCAGATGCATGGTGGACCTCTCACAAGACTTATGACTCGGGCTGCAGGAGCGGGGAGCAGCAGGCTATCACCCAAGAGCAAACTCGACAGAACTGGCTTCAACGACTGCGCCCAAAGCCACATCGCCAAAGCTCACCTCCGAAGCGTGGAAAGGGAAACCGACCGGCTTAGGATAATTACCTGTTGCCTGGAGCGATGTGCTCAAGAGTAGAGTATTCGTCACCCGAAAGGGGTGGACTAGCCCCCCAATTTTGATGCTTACCTTGAACTTGATACTCAACCTGCCGAAGGCTCCGTACTGTAGAGGACAACTAAGACAACGTAGCAATTAGAAGAACCGCAAATGGCACCCTGCCTCGAGCGACACGAAATTCCCAAGCGCAACATTCGGGATCATGGAGTATGACAGTCAACAGTATCCGAATAATGCGACACTACGATCACCCTATCACTCTCTTAGAACAAACTCGACAACATGGCTACCCATTTTCTACGTCTTCTCAAAGACTTCAAACGCAACTAATGGTACCCAAAATTGTGATGACTTTGGCTATATTATGTACATCGATAGAGGCCCTAATTCTTACGTTTTACTTTCAAGCCATACCTTAGCAGTATCGTCCAGTACCTCTTTCATTAGAGCCGTCAATAAATGACGGTCAAGTATTAGACCACTATCCCCAACACCACAGCGCCGTCTTCAGGGCTGTTTGAGGATGGTCCGCACAATCCAATGCGATGATAGCGAGCAGGGTGTGATGCCAGGAGAATCAGCTACTTGTTTTGAACATCGTTTACATTAAGTTAGGATTCTGACCTCACTATTTTGATACGGAAAATGACCGTCTGCATCAAAAAGATGGACTCGTAAAATTGAGTGACATACATAGCGCTTTACACTGCCGCGAGATATTGTTCTGCTTCTGCAAGCTTCATCTTTCCCATTGGGCTCTGTCTTGTACCCAGTGTCCCGCTGGTGTCGCAGCTATAAAATAGCCACTCCTTCCTTGACAGGAATGCTAGATCAATTAGGTCCCACCACGGCCCATCATGGAGAATAGCAGCAACCAGTCAGAGTGGACAGGTGAGCAAAAGCAAGAACCTACTTGCACGCAGTCTACCGAGGCAGGATCTCTCCATGAACATGAGGCGACAGTAATTCCCAGTGTATCGACTCAAGGTCTACAGCAGCAGGTAAGGAGTGTGGTATAACTCAGCGGACATCTCTACTAATAAACTCTCAGTCAACTGCGTCACAACTGGTTGACAGCGAGAAACATGCCATGAATGCGCAGCCCTTTCAACCGCTCGTCGAGATGTTGCAGCGGCTGGACCAAGATGACCCGAAATTTGCCGCCCAGGCTGCGCGTCTTGTCGGACTCTACCGACGGCTGTGGGAGTCCTGTGTCTCCAAGCACGTTGACAGTCAACGTCTTGGGGAGGCAAACCGACAGCTCCGCATCACCAATTTCCAGCTGCTCCAGGAAAGCGCGTATCTAAAGCACCGGCATAATTATCAGGAAGCGCAGTTAGCCGTCTTTGAACACGGACTGGCTAAAGCCCGAGAGGGCATTGCCGGAGTGCTTAGCGATTGGGACAATTGCTCGGCGGGGGAATGGGCTGCCCCAGCGGAAGGTGAATTTCAGGAGGTTCAGTGATTGTTGTTTGGCTGATCTGCTAGATGTACATGAAAATGTTCTTCTATTGTGCACCACATTTGATGTCCTTTTGACCTTGGATTCTTTGCTGCATCTACGTCTGCCAAAACGTCCATCCAGGAGTATACTGGCACAGAATTGATATCATTGTCTCTTGATTATTTCCCCAGAAGCAGCCAAAGATATACGGGTCGATCTTTGCGGGAAAATGTCTCCACCAGTCATAACCGTCAGGATCCGCAATATCTAGCAGCATGCCGTAAAAGGAGCGCCGATGGCCGTCAGTCAGACAGGCTGAATGGCTCCCTGATGGTAATGTGGTTTCTGGGGGAGCTCGTACAGCCCTAGAAATGATGAGAGCGAAATTCCAAAGGATAGAAATGGATAATTGGAGCTGTATACGTCAGAACAAACTGCAAGAGAATTATGTACAGGACCATCGGATATACCTCAAGCGACAATAGCCAGCAGTCTAGTGCAGCCCCCGCAATTGCAATAGACAAAATGGTGGTAGCTAGCCCATAAATGCCGAAAGACATGATTTTGAGTTGAAGTCGACCATTATGGCCGGATAGTGCCAGTCGAGATAGCCACCAGTAAGAAGTCGCTATTCCTAGGTAATCGAAAAAGAGAAGAAAAACCACGATAAGCTGCAAAGGAGGATAAAAATAGGTGCCTATCAGGACGGCCGTGGCTTTGCCCGAGCTAGAGAGGGCTATCAGCACAATGCAGCAGACTTGTTTATGCGGCAACTGTTTATCGGGCGCAATCCGAGGTTCACTCAGAAGAAGGTCCAGCCGGAGGCCCTAGCATGCATTGGTCAGCCGGACTAAATCAATGCATCTTGCTGTGCCATACCTCCAGTAAAGGCGGCAATATGCTGGTCATTCCGGTCAAAATGTGTATTCCTGCCGAGAAATGTCAACAATCACACAACAACATAGGAATCAGGCTTGAAAGACCAGTCACATTTGTGTTACTCCAGTTCAACCCTACGGACACGGCAAGTAGGATAAACATGAATGTTGACAGTGCGAGGTCAAGCCGTTGGTATAGCACGTTGCCGGGAAAAGTGCGGTGATTCGACACGAGTCGGCAAAAGCCAATGCACAGCAACACTGTAGCCAGAATTGAATGCACTATCTGTGGGATGTGCATATCCGCGTTGAAGCTGATCGAGTCCGGGAAAGCGAGGGCTTGTTGAATTTGTGTGTTTTGATGACCACCCGGGATAAACGCACTTATAACCACCCGAGGCGTTTGACTTTTCTACGCCATGACTTAGCACTCCTGATCTAACGATGTGCCTTCAAAGGCATAGACACATTTTTTAAGCGTCCGATTGGCGAAAAATATCTTATCTCACCTCTCTCGCTATACCCACTTGCTGCTCCTGGGACCTTCACGTACTCCTAGGAGATGTCTAGGTAGCCCTAGAAACCACAGTGTGCTCTCCCAAAAAAAGATACTAGGCTCCGTTTTGGTATATAGAAGTAGAGGAGGGTCAGGAAAGGCCCGACAGGTACATAGAAACAGAACGGTCATCAGGACTACGAGTTGGGATGTAACTTACTGGAGCGGACGGAGAAGTCATTCGGACAAGGAACGGCTTGTTTTCTGAATGTGAGGGTGGGGGACACCTGTACTTATAGTCACACGCTGCATAGCTGCCGATAATTGGGCGGCTGGGACAGTCTATGAATAAATCAATCAATCAATCAGATACTAGGCTCCTCCTAGGAAACAAGGGGTTATTCCTAGGAGCCGACGACCGGTGCTCCCAGGAACCAGTCCATTCCTAGGATCCGCCATCTACTACTCCTAGGAGGATACTATAAGCTCCCAGGAAGATTTTATATTCCTGAGAGCCACCGCATGTTTTAAGAAACAAGCTACGCGCTGGCGGACGACGAGCTCCCACCTCCACGTGGTGTCCGCTGGGAACTCTCAGAGAAACAGTTTGGCTGTCTCCGAGTGCCAGGAGGAGCTCAACGACGCGACTATCCCCCTTTCTACGTCGCGCCGACGCGCCGAAAACCGAGCCTCCGAACCTCACGAAACACCAAACATCACAGCCCCAGTACAGCAGAGGGAGTCGTGCCCCCCTCACGTACGCCCCGCGATGGAGAATGGAACTTGAGTCACTCCATTTGTCCTGCCCGACAATCGTTTACGGCGCCGGAGCTCGAAGAGTATGCGATGCGGACGCGAAGCAGAGGACGGATATGACCAACACAACATGGCCACAACCACCAACAGCAAAGAACCCACGCCCAAGAAGACAACCACACTCTATCACAACATCCCGACGCGTCAACATCGACCTCCAACCTCACGAAACACCAAACATTATAGCCCCAGTACGGTAGAGGCAGTTGCGCCCCTCTCACATACGCCTCGACATTGCTCAACAAATGGACATCACAAAAACAACACTACCAACACCACCAACAGCTCAGAACTTTAATTCGGAACATACATATTTTCCAACTTCACAGTTAACCTGTGTCCTAGCAGACGGTTACTCCAAGAGACGCGTCCCGGACGCGTCTTTTGTTGCGAGAACGTCTACACGGCCTCAAGTCAACACAGACCTGGAACACATCAAGGAGCAAGCCACAAACACTTCTACTGCCACACATACGGTAACATCGGCACTCAATGTAGCACACGCCAAACATACGGAACCGACAGCCAAGACCATTACAGGACGGGCCCTCCGGGCAGCCCATCCACGGTGCTCAATTTACCGCAGACGAGTGATTATTGTCAAACAGAAGCAGAGGAGGGCCAGGAAAGGCCTGACAAGTCAAAGATACAGAACAGTTATTAGAACTATCAGTACCGGAGGGTGCAACTGCTGGGAACAGAAAGGGGAAAGCACTTCGTGAGAGGAAGAGCTTGATTTCTGGATGCAAGAAGCGGGAACACCTGTATTTATAGTTGTACGCTGCATAGCTGCCGATAATTGGGCGGCTGGGACAGTCTATGAATAAATCAATCAATCAATCAAACAAGCTACGCGCTTGCAGGGTATCGAGTACACTGAAGTCTGTTGAACGATCCGAGGAGCGCCTCATGCATTGACCATTCCCCACCCCGTCGAACCTTGTAAACGGCCTAAAATTGCAGGCCGTCACGCAATAACTAATTGAAATTTGCGAGAGTATTTAGTTGAGTCTCCCGTCCTAGAAAATATTGTTCTCAACGACACACCAACTTTCGGAATACCACCTCCAGCGCTATCTCCAGCATGGCCCCACAAAGAAACCATGCTGCTTTGAATTACCCAAGTTCATATCAATGTGGGTTCTCCTAGAAGGGCCTTGCTAAATCAAGTAACGTTAGAAGCCTGACATAATTTCCCAACAGCAATGGCACAGGTCCGAGCGGATCGAGTCAAGCACTTTTCGAAGAAATTCACACCGAGACTTCACGGCATGAAGACTTCTATACAAAGACGCTACAAGATAACGCCAAGAGAGTGTTTGAGCTGGAGGACGCCGTCTGGGTTTTGTTGCGGGACATTGAGACTCCGAAAGGGATGTCTAACAACCAAAAACGGCTCATCAGTCACTTGCAGCACGAGCTTTCATTGTAACGGAAATCTCACGCAACTCTGGAAGTGACAAAATCGGAAGAGATGCGCTAATGCGCTGCTAGGGCTCGACAGCTCTGAAGATTTTCATCTGGTGAGGGTCCATCGGAATATGTATATTATGTCTTCTAGGATTGGCAATTAAAGGTTTCCAAAGGGAAATAAACCAAGGAGAACGAATTGATACAGTATCGTCTGAGCAGGAGAGAGAATAGTCTTTAGGCAAGAGTAATACAAGGTTTTCAGCAAGGGCCATCGTCCTTCATTCAGATAAAGAGTAAAACGCATCGGATTTAAACCACGTCTTCAAGCTAGTCAATTTGTATGGAGGCGACACCTGTCTTCAGCCGCAGTTAGGGAAAATCTGGGGAGGTGGGGGTAACAACTGCAACATGGCGTGGCTTAATGGTCGTCGTTGACGACACGGTGCTTACGCAGACACCGCCGCGTTTGTCAATGACCACAGGATCAGTGGCGCCATGATGGGAGGTGTTGTCCTGCACGTCCCTTCTGATATTGGTGGACTTGGGGGTTGACTTGCCCCTTGTCACGGTGAAGGTTTTGGTTTCATAGAAGGTGACACCCACATGGACTGTACAGCTCGTCTCGAAACTGGTGTCACCACCTACACTATTTGATTGTTTCTTGAACCCCAATGCCAAGACCCACTAGTCTATATTGGGAGTTTGTCTAGAGTATTCTTGTATGTGGGTCCCGTATCGTTCCTTACGGGAAATACCTAGTGCCATAGTGGGGTGTATTCACTTGTAATTATAATACGCCAGACACCTCCATACCCCACCTTGAAACCCTTCTCCCTTGGTTCAGGAGACCTAAACAATCAATCACGAGTGATCATAGCAGGATGGCTCCAAACCTCGCCCCTTCAAAGCATGAGCTTATATATGACATGATCCACAGTGGAGAACTATCTGTATCGCAGATGGCACAAGCTGCCGGCTGCAGCAAGCGCACCATCCTGAGAATCTCTTCCAATATACGGCTGTTTGGCAGCGTCAAGGCGCCTCCTAACAAAGGCGGACGGCCACGAAGCCTCACTCCATTTATGCTAGAAGCTCTTTGCGATCACCTGCTCGAAAAGCCCAACCTATATCTTGACGAGATGGGGATTTTTCTACGGGACGAATTCGATGTCCAAGCAACAAAATCTAGCATCAGCCGCGCTCTTGCATCGAAAGGCTGGTCAAAAAAGACTGCGCGCGTCAAAGCTAGAGAGCGCAATCAAGACCTACGTGATGAGTACTTTCACTTTATCTCAGATTTCCATTCGTACCACCTTGTCTACGTGGATGAATCTGGATGTGATAAAAGGATAGGCTTCAGGCGAACGGGTTGGTCCCCACTAGGAACGACACCAGTTCAGGTGTCCAAATTCCATCGTGATAAACGATATCAGATACTGCCTGCATACGCCCAAGATGGCATTGTTTTCTCTCGAGTGTTCCAAGGCTCGACTGATGCATCCGTCTTTGAGGATTTTATTGAGCAGCTTCTCCAGCATTGTGGAAAATGGCCTGAGCCGAGATCCGTATTAGTCATGGACAACGCATCCTTTCACCACTCAGAACGGATAGAGCAGATGTGTTCAGAAGCTGGTGTGAAGCTGATGTATCTACCTCCGTATTCTCCAGACCTGAATCCCATTGAGGAGTTCTTTGCGGAGCTAAAAGCCTTTATTCGGCGACATTGGCCATCTTATGAAGATAACCCGGATCAAGGATTCGATAACTTTCTCGAGTGGTGTGTTGACGTGGTGGGAGCAAGGGAGGAGAGCGCCCAGGGACACTTCCGGCACGCAGGCCTAACCGTTGAGGCATAGCCTCTCCATTATCATAACTCCTCTATAGTGTTTCTCGAAATCAGCTTGTCCAATGCATTCTGACTAACACTTTTACCGCCCCGCTTCCGAGGCATTAGTGCAGAATATCTATTGAACGGCCAGCATTATATTGCGGCCCTCCAAAAATTGCGGATTGTGTGCTAAATCGTCATTTTACATCAAACTACACCGTTAAGCTTTGCATGTTAGATAGTGAATCTTAATGGTATCGAGCAATCTTGATACGAGTGATAAATTCCGATAAAAACATTAAGAATCGATGAAAAACCAACCCTTTGTATTCACGTGGCCCCTATTTCGTGCGGTCAGGTCAATAAATGATCTGCGCTAAGGACTAGGCAGAGGGTCCCACAGAGAGTTTCTCAGTGTTCGAGCATCGCTGCAGCAATAACTTTTAGACTTAACTCCCATTGCCGGGGCTTTCTGTATCATCCGAGGTGCCAAGGAGTTATTTGAAACTATTTCCACCTTTCTCACTATTTTGGAATTCTAACATCAAGGTCCACCAAAGACCCGCCCCATAAATTCTCGGATGACGTTGAATATGCAATAATGCTGGGCTGGTTGACATCCCTTCGGAACGGAATTACATTATACCGTTTTCGGCTTCCCCTCAACAGGAGTCTGGAGGATGTTGCGTAGCCCAGAAGCCAGCGTTCACTTTGTTTGCTTCAACGAGATGGTCGAACACGATGATAATGAAAGATATGGGCTTCGCGCGGTCGCCGTCACAAAGGGTCGCTATATCGGTTTTGACGATGAACCACTCAGAGAAGAACAAAAGAGGCAAAACCGAGAAAAAGAACGCAATGCTCAACTGCAGGAGGAATACAACGATTTACGGCAAAGTCTTGTCAACGTCCTTGACGATAAAATATTTCTTGCCGATAGCCTCGGGCTCATAGCTTCGCAGATCTCACGAAGCGCGTTAAACGTCCCACGCCAAAGCCTCGAGTACGAAGAAGCGAACGAAGAGCTCCCATTGTCAGAAAGAAAAAAAAACATCAGAAGCAGGCTTGTCGATGCTAGATTGACTTTCCCGACGGATATAAAAATACTCAACACTCTCAATAAAGTTCTCTTGAGCCGAAGTTTCGGGCACTTAGATCACCCCGAGCCGAACACTCCAGACATCCTCTATCGCGTAATGCGGTCAAACAGCCATAGTCGATATGACAAACAGCTTGGTTTCCGTTCTTCAAGACAGCCATTCACGCTACCTTCTGATCACGGAGGCCCTCTACACGAAAGCTCATTGGTCGATCAGGACAGTTTGAGAAATCACTGCGAGGGGAAGCGACCTTCAGACCTCATTGCGATGTCTGATAGCCCAGCGAGAATATTGCGTTTTATCGAACACTGGGGTTTCAACGACCTAAGAGGAGATATTATAGCCGTGATTGATGTCTCGAAGCTTCTTGCTATGAGAGCACTGTTCAGTCGCACAACTACTTTGGCTGAGAAATTGGGGGTGGAGTCTTGGACTCCCTTTCGGGAAAAAGGCCTCAATTGGATAAATACAAATTATTGGGTTGCTTATCGGTGGGTGCCGGCTGAGTGTATAGAATTGTGCATCTCGGTCAAATCGCTGCGAAGTGCTTGCAAGGAGCATGAAATTGGTAAGTAATCAGGCGTCCGAGAACAACATATGCTTATAAAACAAAGGAGAATTAGATTTCGATCGGCAGCTTCCAATGGAGGACTTACTCCGCAAGAAAATGGAAAACTTAAGTGTTTGAGCTGCACTTTATGAAGCCAGGATATGTTGAATCCTTCTGACGGTTTTATCATCTGTGATATTACACTCTCACAGATCGCTAGTATAGATGTTGAATTATGACAATTGATCATTGTTATAAGGCCGTTTACAAGATTGACCATATTGAGCTCGCCCAGTAGATTGCGATACGACGCATAGAAGCGGGATGAAAGTACGACACATGTACTAGAACCCTTATTCTTTGTTCTGGAGATCTATCGGTGGTGACACTTGTTTCAGGAATATAGTATGAAGAGGTAGGTACATAAGATTAACACACAGATAGAGTCTTTAACCACCCGCCAAGGCGAAGGCCAGTAAGATATCCCAAATGTGTCGACCCATCTTCTCTGACATCCAATTCCTCCATGTCACGGATAACTTTCTCAATATACTCACCGGCGGCGCTCAATTTCATAATAAGTGCGATGGCACGATGGACCTCGAGAAGCCGGGCGGAAGGAGGGTCAATTGTACGATTGGGACTCAGGGTCAGCGTGCGGGTGACAGGAAATAAAGGGTCACGTAAGAAAGGACTCTGTTCTGTCGACTCAATCCTATATTGGTGTGGTGTTCCAGTGCGTTCGAAATATATCTGAAATTCGCCGAATAATCGGTGGTAGTCCAGCGTCAAGGTGAGGGCGTTTATGGGGCTGTCGATCTTTGGACCATCGATAAGATGGCCGATACCAGGGTCGAACATATCTAAGATTCGAAGAACATTTTTTTTTTGAATCACTCTGGGCGCCACATTAGTGGTGGCGAAGTCGTACGTTGCAGATTGGACCTACCAAATCCAAGTCTCCGGATGCCACTGTAGTCAGACAGTGCGGTAGAATGTGGGCAACCTCCAGGTACTGAAATTGGTCACTTGATTCGTTCTTCAGCAGGTTCCCGTCATCGTCTGCACAATGTTCTTTATCCTGAGTGAACCGTTTTCTGGCTTCAGCTCTGTCGAATTTCCGGGACACTACACAGCGGTGGCGATCGCGTACAAGGCAACTCTGTCGTAAAACTGATACACGCTGTCTTGTCCCGGTCGGGGTTGAGCTCTGCAACGACGATAACGATGTGGGCGTTGGTTGTGGTGTCTTGACAGACGAGGCCCTGACTGCAATTGATAATCAACATATGCTCATTATAGTTACCGTCATACAACCGAGGAAGTAACACACGGGGGAGTAGAAAATTTTCAACGATATACTCAGCGAAGTTTTCCAGAGCTTCGTGGACGTTGTTTATTTGTTCAGGTTCCCATGAAGAGAAACCGTCGAAGTATGATAAGGTGTGAGTAATGTCGGAAGGTCCTTTTTCCGAACAATAGTCCTCGTAGATGTATGAAAGGAAGAAAGTCAAAAAAGTATCTGGAGACGCAACGTGTTCGAGGGTAGCCTGGATAAGTGTCGCAGGCTTATAGCCCTTCCGAACGGTTTTTTCGAGGCCATATTGACGTACAAGCCCGATCACAAGGTTCCTAGCCGACTCGTGCTGTTGTGGTTTTAATGACAAGGGTGTTGAGAAATCCAGAACTCCCTCTAGAGAGGACTGGTGACGGTGCGTTGCCATCGTAGTAGTTTCTTGGAGTCTGACTCGGGAAGACCGAGAGGAAGGATGACTGAGGCACGTGATAAGATGACTCATACCACGATCAAATTCGGGCCGACACAAGCTCCGTGTGTTTAGAATATGAAAACTGGAGCTTATTTAATTTAGTGGGTTGTCCGCAAAGCCATCCGTACAAACGTAACATGGATGTAGGTGTATCAGGTGGTAAGCCGATGGTATGAAAGTACACACCGAAACCATGCGGAGAGATAAACGTAGTATGTAGTATGCCGGTGTGGGCTGTCCTCTATTCAGCAACATATCTAGACTAAATTACTATTATTTTCATTGCAAGTGACGTCTCCGCATCGTTTCACCCAAAGGCCGATGTCGCGTACGAACCGCCGGGCTGCACCTACTTTCACGCCATGCTTGACAAAAAAACCTGGGTCTTGATCTTCATAAATCTGCATGAGATCAAGACAATTTTCGAGAGTCACGTCGCGTGCTTTGGTGAGATTATCCCTGAAAGTCTCGTTGCTCACCCGTGACTGTTGCCATTCGGTATATTTCTCGACAGCGACGTCAAGCAAACCATGAACCATGATTGATTCAGCGCAGCCCGACTTAGCAGAAGTGGCGTCATTAGCAGGGGTAGGCATCAATTGTTCAGATGTTCCAGCTGGGAGGACATTGATATTGATCGGAGGACACATCGAAGCGACTGCAGAACTATCCGTGGTTTTCTTCCGCTTTTCAAGTCGTTGGTTGTCCTCAGCATATAGCTGCTCGCGAAGGCTATCTGGTATATCATCATGGGTCTCGAGGACTCCTCCTTGCTCCACGTATTTAACAAGGTCCTTCAGATGGTGTGTCTTCAATCTATAGTGTCTTTTGCCCTCTGGATCTTGCCAGCAATATTGTCCTTCGTGGTGACATGGAGGCCCAGGGCATCGCATTACACGATACACCTCGCGCCAGACAGAATGTTGGCCGGAGACCTGCTCGGCGTCAATCTGAGCGTCTCGGTCAGCAAGCATCCGCTTGGTAACCGATGATTTTCCTCTCTTATCAGTTCTAGAAGGAAGAGGCCCACTATCCTCCATGTAGTTAATCGATATCTGGAGTCTAGGCTTCTTGCCACGACGATACAGATGGCCCCACGCTAGCAGCTGCTTTTCCACCGCTGTCCAATCGATACGAGTGCCTTCGAAGCGTTTCGTAAGATCACGTTGGGAACGGTCATTTACAGATAACACCAGGGAGGTATCATCTAGTCTGACTCGTCGGCTGCGGGCTATCTTTCGTCGTAGAATACTTCCAGCGTCTTCCTTGATCTGTTCCCAATAAGAACTGGGCGGGAGAGTCAGGTCTTGTTCCGTATCCTTCACCACAACCCGATTGTTCAATTTAGCCCTCCACTCGATCTGGTAGTGAATACAGTCTGGAGAGTGTTCATCCCACGCACTTCCATCTTCATGTTCCACCGCTGCATGAAAACTCGGTTGGTCGGGCGGATGTTGGTGCAAGGAGGTTGAACGTTCACCAACTATATTCTCGGCATCGGGTGAAGGGCAGATTACTGATGGCGTCCATTCGCGGTCCAAGTAACCAGGAGTGGGGGCATACGAGGGGGTCCGTTCCCAGAGATCAGGAAATTCAGGTCGGTAGGCATCATCATTATTGAAAGGAGTGTAAGTCATCCCCCAAAGGCAGAAGATGCCACTAAGGAGTCTAGCAACATCATTGTGTGTTAGCTTCTACCAAGGGGTGTCACAGAACGCAAAATTAAAGAGAACTGCGGCTGACAGGCTGAGAATGTTGATGAGCAGGTTCATGAGTACTCTGCGTGTAAGCAAGGTTATGTAAGTCACTATTGGCAATGTCTGGTAACAAGTAAGCCCCCTTGACTGTCACTTCAATATTGGAGTGGTAGAGGAAAGTGACACCTGGCCAGGTTCTCGAGGCACTCTCAGTCTCTAGAGTTTGACTTGTTTGCATCATAATGGAACATTCCAGCTGCCTTGAATTGAGAACGAAGTTACGATACATGGACATGTATTATTAATAAACGTAACTGCTTGTATTGATACTGATACAGGAATATTATTATTCCCTGGCTATACCTTATATAGACTAGGGAGGCTTGGCGTTGGGGTTCGAGAAACAATCAAAGAGTATAGGTGGTGACACCAATTTCGAGACGATCTGTACACCCTGCCGGGTCCGGATCAAGCGCAGGCAGGACGAGGGTTGCTGCCTATCAAACTCAGGAAAGCTAGAGAACTCGGTTTCAGTCATGGTCAGGCCGCTGGATGACGTTTAGAATGAAGAGACTGCGATGTGGAACGGAAAAGTACACCGCGAAAGTAGTCCATGGCGGAAACTAATGCGATATAGGCTTCGTCAATGGTAGCGGAGCCGACTCCAAAGTAGGAAGGTTGCAGTGTCTAATCGAGCCGGAAGGCCTCATAAACTGGCGGGACGTCGTGACGGCGGAGACAGCATAGGCGAAGGGCGACTTTTTGACATCGTATAGCCCGCAAAAATTCAGATAGACAGAACGAAGCACGTGGAACTACATCCGCCGCATAGAATGGAGGACTGGAGAATGACCAGCGCAAGGTATTTAAATAGATGCCACCTCGCTTGGCCGCCGAAGGGTAAACAGAATGTCCCCGGTGGCTTTCGAGTTGAACCACTGGATCTCCAAGGTTCCCACCCCGGACCTATATGCTCTTTGTGTTGCCATCCTTCTTGCGATCTGGCTGACCTATTGGCTCGGGCACCGATGCTGTTGTTGGATGCTCGGACATCGTCACGTGATCTCATGGCGGCGCCTAAATTCTCCTTCGCCATGGATCTTCCGAAAGGTGGATATCGACACGTATCGGGAAGGTCTCGCAGTTGCCACTTTGTTTGCAGCTAATGTCCTTGGGTTGAGTCTATGGACGCACTCCTGGGCGGGAGCCCAACGAAGGGCCGGGTCTTTGGCCGTCATTCACCTGATACCCCTATGCACCGGACTGACCTTTGGTCTCCCGGCGGATATTCTCCATATAGATCGCCAGACTATGGCATGGATGCACCGATGGGTGGGCCGGCTTTGTGTGCTCCATAGTCTGTTTCACGGGTCGCTTCTTTTTTCCATTGCCAAAACTTCAGCCCTGAGGACAACCCGGCATATGGTTCCGTTCGTGGTATGTACGCATCCCTTGGTTGGTTATATATATGTCGCTTCTAGTGCTGAAACAGCCCACGGCTAACCCAGGGTAGGCGGTATGTGCTATGTTCCTCGTGGTGCCGTTGACTCATGCCGTGGTTGTGCGATCTCACAGGCAATTTGCTCTGAAGTGTCACTATCTCCTGGCGGCGATCGCCGTCGGCGCCCTCGTCTATCACCTGGTGGAGCGACATTCCGTATACCGCTGGTATCTTCTGGGCGCCATCTGTCTATGGATCGGCCTCACCGCAGTAGAGTGCACCAGGACCGTGCTGGCACACAAGCCGTGGAGAAACGGCCGGCACGATATGGTTGTGAGCTCTTTCAATAACCTCCTGTGGCTTGATGTCACGGTACCTGCCTCATGGAACATCCGACCAGGCCAGTATGTGCAGCTGTGGATGCCACGTGGCGGATCTCGCCTCTGCCTGCAGCTTCCCCTCTTTTACGTTGCCTTCTGGGAGGATGAAGGCACCCGACGCATATTGCGTTTAGTGATCAGACCCCGTCGGGGCCAGGGCCTTGCTAAGAAACCTTTTCGAGATAGATTGAACACTCCGATCGAAAAGCTGGTCATTATCCTAGGACCATACGGACGGTCGGACAATTTCTGCCAGTGTGGAACAATTCTATTCATTGTGGAAGATATCGGATTCTTCCGAATACTTCCATATATAGGAATGTTAGTCCAAGCTAGTCTTGACCGGAGAGCTATGGTACGGAAGTTGGTGGTTCTTTGGCAAGTCAAGGTCGAGGACTGGTGTAAGTCTCAATGCCCCTCTGGCCGCGTCCGTACACTAGCTTTGTAGCTGAACTGATGCCCACAGGTTTCGCACAATGGGCGGATGACTTGGTACAAGACATTCTCAGTCTGGACCGTGGAGGGTTCAATGTAAGACTCGGCGCTGTACGCTTCTGATTGAAAACAGACACTATCCTGACTGTTTATAGATCTTGCAGATCAATTTCTTTTGTCCAGACGGCAAACACCCCCTTTCTTCCAAACCAAGCGCCCGCATGCACTTTTCTCATTATTCACGCATAACGGAGAAGGAAGTCCTGCGACATAGTAATGACCAACGCGGAGACATGGTGGTGGCTGGTAGGTAGAACTCTTTCGTCCTCGCCCCTCTCGCTCTTGCTTTTCCCCTTGGAGGATTATGCTATGTTGTCTACTCTGTTCCTGCGTCTAACAATTCTTAGTATGTGCGGGTACACCACTGCGCAAGGTAGTGAGGAAAACCGTTCAGCCCCGGACTGGTGCTGGCTTGCGACTGGTGAATTTCGACCTTGGGCCATGTCATGAATGGGCACGCAATGATAATACGCTCGGTGGCGCCGAGTCTACAGTCAACAACTTAACAGAATTGAACTACGAGTTATCCAGCATGGGTACACCGTCCAAAGTAGCACCCTCGGTTCCAGAGAGTGGCCACCCTTGGCCCCGGAATGAGCCGGTCAAGGAGCACCCCGAGAGCAACCACAACAAATGGGTTAAATCCAAGTTAGCCGAAGGACAGTAGTTTGATAATTCTCAAATTTCAGTCATAGCTCTCCTGAACAACTTATCTCCTACTGTTATTCGTGACCCTGTCCTTTTCTTGCGGTTGTTTTGTATTTCTCTAACCGTACTATTGGTAACATTCCCCTTCCCATTCTGTCATTCATCCTGCAGGTAACTCGCAAACCCAAGATGGAGTCTCGCGACCGGATTGAAGCCTTTCCTTTGTCGCGGCACAATCCGTTCTCCTTCGCGAGCAGACACCTACGGGTGGGTACGTCACTGGGTCGCACAAATGTTTGCGCTGGTATGAGGCGGACCGCCGACCATAGCAACGTTCGCATCGCAGGTTGCCAACTGGCTTGATGAAGGGGTGGAGGTCATGGGATGGGCTCTCCTGTGCAGAGAACGGCCCAATTCTCTTAGGTCTACCTCTAGGGTGTGATAGGTGAGCGGGACCCAGGCCGCTGGCGCCATCGTCTCCATTGCCTTGTCCAATACTAGGGATGTAGGTATGCACGAAGACTTTGGATCTTTTCGACGCCCGATTAGCATTCACATAACGTAAATGGAGAACTATCCATACTTGGCAGATACCCATAACTTGGTACCGAGCAGCCAACGCATGCCGGAGGATATCGGAGTCTAGGCTGGCTAATGAAGCTGAGTAGAGGGTAGTAGGAATTCATGTGCCATGGAACGGCCCTGGAACGGCCCTGGAAAACGTAGGACACTGGAACATTTATCGTCTATATAATAAACTATTCTTGCGTCGGGATAAGATAAGTGAGTAAACCACCTTCAGTGAAAACAGAGCTGCGAAATATGTCTCTGGACTAGAGTATAAACGGCTATAAACTGTGTGGTTACCGTGAAACCGCATCGTCGTTCTTTGCTTCAGGGTCAGACAGTCTCGCGCCCCGGCCAAGTTCACAAGGTCGGTGGATCCGTCACATACGAAAATAACAGGACATACCAAGCGCCACTCGTGAGCAAACACCGGGCAAGGAAGAATCCTCAACCGAGGGGCGAGGAAAAAAACAGGTCGCTGGATCGAAACGAAGGACGGCTGGTAACCAGGAATGTCCACTTTACACAAGCACAACCTTGATGGCGCAGACGTTGAAAGAAGGCAAAAATTGATGGGATCCAATCCTCAGGTCTAGGGAAATGGTGGGTATTGATCAGTTGAAAATAGTTGGTATACGTAAAAAGCGAAAGGTAGATTTCCGTGGTGAACAGTCTGGTTAAACAGCTCCAGGTAAACAGGCTGTTTAACCAGACCGTTCACATTTATCCCTTCTCTCGTTGCATGAAACTCACTCAAAATGGCACAAGGGTCTAATAAAAGAACTTGTGTATTAATGTATAGAATCTAAAAGTAGATATAGTGCTGGGTCTAGATGAGTGCGCAAGAATGGCCGTTATTTGATGTCGTTCAAAGTCCTGACTAGTATGAAACCCTAGTGATGCCTAGTGACTTTCCGCACAGTGGTCTTCTGATCTCTCTTGTTTTTTGAGGCTAACAATGAAGTAGCTATGGGGGGGGGGGGGTCCTATGGAGAATCCATCAAAAGACCATCGCGCATTACAAATCTGATCTTCGAGCGTTGGTGACCAGAGCAACGTGATCTATATTGTGGCTTTTTGAATGCTCGTTAAAAATTTCTTTGATATGTTAACCAATCACTCAGTTCTTCGAGGTGCATCATTGAAGATGGCCAACGCCGTTGAAATATGGGTAAACCAGGCCTCCGTCTAGACTCAGGGAGAGAACCACATATGTTCAAAAACGATGGTTATAATTTCCCTATCATTTAAAAAGAGCTTGAAAAACCACCGGCTTCTCGATCGTTTACTTATCCACCATGACGGCGCTATCGATGGCCATCCCACTCATTGTGGCGTTTGCCGCAGCTCTTGCGCCACAGCAGCCATCTCGTATCTCTCGTCCTACCATCCAAGTATATTGTGTCAATATCATCAAATAATCCCAAGTTTTCTGCTGATTGATTCCAGAAGCTTTCCGCTCCGCTCCAACTCAACGCCTGGGATGGACCTAATTGCCAAGGAGTCCTCGCGTGGACAACATTCACCGATTCGGTGTTTGCACGAAATATCTCCAACTTCCAAGTTTGCCGCAGCTTCCGACTCAACCGCACCCTCAGGGGCCAGGAACAACTTGATATCTCCGTGGCTAATGACCGCAGCGCTTGGTATCCCAACAAAGATCAGTTATCCGCCAACAGCTCGTCATGCACCGATTTCTGGCAGAGCTACTATGCCACCAACGGAAGTACGGCGTGCCACAATACACCTCCTTTTACATGCCACCGCCTATGGAACAACCCGGGCCTGTCGCACAATGAAGGACACCATGGGAGTTAATTGCGTGGTCAGGGTTGAATTTCTGAGGTCGTCCAAGTTCGATAAAACAGACCGCCAAATGAAAAAGAAATTGACTGATCTTACTGGATGAGTTTGACAAAAGTTGTACAACTACAGTATAAATTAGCTAGAAAAAGGAACCTCGCAGAGAATTTCACAAAGGAAAATATACTCAATAGAAGCAGGGAGTATATGAAAAAATGCTGCTGGTCCAATTTGGATCGGCTTTTACGCAATCCCTCACTATGCTGGCCAAAATCGTCGGTAGGGCTTGGGAGCAATAAGTTAGCTCTTGCTGATGGTGAATGAGATCTACCTACTTATTTGTCTAAAAGCTAGAAGAAAATCTCTCATCAGCCCGATCCACCATAGATTGACTAACAAATCAAGAACATCGTCAATACACTGCCCCCTGACCGGTCAGCCTTTGAAAAACTTGGTCGTGCTTATGGCGATAAGAGACTTCCAGTGCACCTTCGCCCTGTTGCTTTCTTGCATTGAGATCAACGCCCCCAAATCCGAGTATAATGTCTACCAGGTGTAGATCACCGCCACGAGCCGCAGCCAACAGATACGTATCCCCGCTCTTGTTATTCTGGCAGTTGATATCTAGTCGAGCCCGCTCGCTCAAGAAAAGTTCGACTGCCGACCGTGAACCCCTTCGGATGGCGAGCCAGAGGGGGTCATCTTCGCTTTCGTCGACTGCATTGATTCGAATGCCTTTCGCACCTAGTAGGGGCTTTACCATCTCGTAGGACCCTCGGTATGCTGCAGTTCCAAGAGGGCTCCATAGGTGGTCGCCTAGGATGTTTGGATCCAGTCGCGGCCGATGTGTCGCTGCAAGCATATGGGAGACCAGTGGTAGATTATTCCGGTATACAGCAAGGTAGAACGCAGTTGTTCGTAGACCGTATCTGCTGCCTGGGAAATTGACGTTCAGCCTCTGCTCGTCCAGAAATCGCTTGCTAACTTTGTCGTGCCCGAGGCATGAAGACCACCAGAAGGCGGTGTTCCCCAACCTGTCGAGCCCATTGATGTCGATTCGTCGGTCTTGTAGAAGCAAGTCCACTACTTGGAGTTGATTATTCCGGGCAGCAACGTGTAGCGCAGTGGATCCATATCGATCTTTGGCCTGGACATCGATATCGGGTCGACCCAGCAGTATTTCAATGGCTTCTAGGTCGCCACGATGGGTCGCTAGAAGCAAAGGGGATTGACCGTCCGAGTTGACGATATTTACATTTGCTCCCAAGTCGAGAAGCATCTTCAGGAGGTCGGCATTTTGGAATTTCCCAGTATGGCGCAAAAGTAGATAACCAAGCTTTGGTCCATCCGGGAGTACCTTCGATGCTGAGTTGATAGACATGAAAGTCAGCAACAGCCTCGCTGCGACATCATCGCCCCCATGTAAAGCGATCTCGAAAGGTGTAACTCCGTCGTTGTCTGCCAGACTAGGATCCCCGCCGCACTTCAAAAAAATTTTGTGTTGTCGCGGTTACACAGGTAAACGGCGTGCCACAAGAATGTTCGTCCTCGATTGTCCCGTAAGTTTATCGATGTATTCAGCTCCTTTAGGGCCTCCAGGAAAGCAGGAACATTCGATTGCGAACGGGCTTCCGAAAAGCGAGCGAGTAGAGCCTGTTGGCGCCTGGTTGTAGGCTAATAAGGAGTGGGTCGTTATCAAGTGTCAGTTCTCAATCTGATGGGGCGTACCATTTTGGATGAGAATTCGGGTTGGGTTTTGTTCCGGGTGTAAATGAGCAGAGCCCAGAAGGGTGGATAGTCAGGATTAAATAGCCAGACCGCTGAGTCTGGTCACTCCAAGCCCATGAAATACTTAGCCTATTCCTGGGCTTGAATATTACAGTAACCAATTGATTGCACAGTGCTTAGAGCGTATTGACCAAGTCCCGGAGCTTCGCGAGGGAATTCGCCTCGGAATTCCCAAGTCTCGTCAAGCAGAAGACGGCCCTGGGAGTTGTCGCTGCAGTTCCCCAGCTTCCGGCTACCAGATCCTAGGATGCATGAGTATCCCAGGAGTATTGTACGGCCTCCTAGGAGAAGTTGCAGGCCGCAAACTTGGAGCATGGAGGAAGCTCCCAGGAACAAACCAAGCTATCTAAATGTACAGTGACAATAGCAAAGGAGCCTAGAAACTCGATACTCATGACCATTCTCTAGCCTGACTAGTTATCAAGGCCTGAACCACCTCGGCAGAATGCTATATAAACAACCTGGCTGTTTTATTCAGGTTTTCTTATCGATAGTCGCCCCACAAAAGATCCAGAGAAGTTTTAAAAATTGCGTAACAGTGTGTACCCACTATCTTGTCCTTTCCTTCTTTGGTCCAGCGCATGGTGTTGTTGACGTACCCAAGGCAGCCGTCATATCAAGCCCATTCAAACCTCACGTTTACCACCCGGTTCTACAATGACGGAAAATTTGAAATTACCTAAAATATTGTCATTGCTATTCTACCACGTAGGATATTATGGAACCGAATTTGGAACACAAGGGGTCCAGTTTGATGTGCTCATACACTCTTGACTTGGGGACCAGGGAAGTAGATAAACCGCCATAACCATCTTTGGAAGCACTTAAGAAGAAGTGTGGTGTATGAAGCGCTCTTATCAGCTGACTGAATAGATTTAGTCTCGTGCGCATGAACCAGTCCCTAGGAATGATAAACGTCATAAGCAGACATGCAGATAACGGCAAAAGATTATTGGCCACCATCGAGGCATCTTATAGCCCCTAGGAACCCAGTCGGTGTATATCTTAAGAATTCGTGATTATTAACCAATGGATAGTAGCAGGACTGCTCCTAGGAGCCAACATCCTCCTAGGAAATGCCTGAGTGGCTTGACAGCCTGTGCATCAACCACGCAATCTTACTTCCTAGTATAACTACAAAGCCGCTTCGATGATGATGTGTGAGGGCGAAGGATATAAAATAGCACAGAACTTCCTCCTTTCCTTAACTTCAAGCAATATCATCCACCAGATCAATTCTACGCGAAGCCAACCGCGCCTCATCTCCTCATCTCCTAACTCCGATACCAATGTGAGATATTTTCTGTGCCTCAATAACAATCAACGTGTAAACTAATGCAGGTGTGATAAATAGATGTTTCTCCTTGGTCTTCCTCCTGAAGTCCTTCTTTGCATAGCAGACAGCCTTGACAAATCTCAAGATTTACTTACGCTGGCTTGCCTTAACCGGACTATGAATGATTTATTCCTTCCCTATCTGTACAATTTCAATGTACGACAACAATGCAGCTCTGCCTTGCTTTGGGGCGTTCTGAAAGGCAAAGCAAGCTTTGTGGAAAAAATGTTGCGCAATCACCGAGCGGACGTCAACACGACTGATCGCAAATTTCGCACACCAATTTTTCACGCCATTCGCGCTGGAAACGAGACAATTTGTTGCATCCTTCTTTCCGACGAGAGAGCACGTATCGATTGGCAAGACAAACAGAAGCAGACTCCACTAGTATACGCCTTGAAAAAGGGATGTTTCTCCATGGCCTCGTTTTTATTGAATGATTTCAAGCCGTCTGTGGATATCAAGGATAAAAAGCGTCGGACTGCCATCTGGTATGCTATCGCTCGATGTGACGAGAACTTGGTGCAACGTCTTCTGGAACGAAACAGCGATATAAGAACACCAGACTACAAACGAATATCCCCACTGGGCGTCGCTATTCACAAGAAAAGCGTGACAATCACCCGAATGCTACTCCTTCATTCGAAGCTCGCTCCTGAAAAGCCCATGGTAACGGATCTAGATGCCAGAGATAATCCGCTCTGGTTGGCTGCAGGGGCTGGCCTCCGAGACATCATCCAGCTACTGGTTGCGTATGGCGCAGATCCCTCCTTCAGGGGTAGACACGGCCAAAGCCTGTTGCATCGAGCCGCGAAAGGGGGTTACGAGGAGGCCGTCCGACAGCTGCTTACCTATGAAGAGATCTCTGTCAACGCAACTGACAGCAACGGTCGCACCGCCCTTCACATTGCAGCAGAATATGGGCACTTGGAGGTAGCCAAGTCAATTCTGGTCATGCATGATATAAATATCAACGCAACGGACAACTACGGTCGCACCGCCCTTCACATCGCAGCAGAATGTGGCTACAATTCGATCACAAAGATTCTCTTGGCCTATGATGCTGTGGATATCAATGCCTCGGATGAGACTGGTGCAACAGCTCTCTGCTTAGCCGCACACGCGAACCATACAGCTATAGCCCTACAGATCCTCTGCGAAAATCATGTAGATGTCAACGCTATTGGCAAAATGGGCAGTACAGCTCTTCATAATGCGGCGCGGAATGGAAATATACCGATTACATCTGTCCTCCTCAATCATGCGGAATTGGATCCAAACGTTTGTGACGCCGAAGGATGGGCATCCCTCACACATGCCGCATTTAATGGCGATTTATGCATGGTGGAATTATTCCTCGCAAGAGCAAATATACAAGTGAACGTGCAAAAAGCCCCTCCTCTATTTCACGCTGCGAAAAAGGGCCATCTAGAAATTGTACGCCGACTGCTTCACTTTGATACCATCGACATCAACCAAAAGTTCTGGGACAACTCGCCTATATGCATTGCCTCCGAGATGGGCCACCTTGAAGTTGCAGGGCTACTCCTTGCCCAGGGAACGCGACTCGATATCAATTCCAAAACTTACCTCGGGTATACTGCACTTTCCTTGGCCGCCTTCCATGGACACTTGGACATTATCGACCTCTTGCTCAAAGACAGCCGACTGGATGTTACTGCTACTGATGAATCCGGGGAGACAGCGTTATGTAAAGCAGCTCGGAATGGACATGAACAGGTCGTCAAGCGCCTCTACAGGGACTCTCGGGAAAAGGGCGGCAGTGATGTGGAAAGGGCCATTGAAGTAGCTTCCGACTGTAGAATTGTGTTGTTCCTCCAAGGCCACTTGAATGAAGATGGTGAATTGTGTACTTGGCCTTAAAATGGATATGAAATTGGACATGTTTCTCTCTTTTTTTTTTTTTTTTTTGAAATCTCTTCAAACTGCTTCGTTCGAAAGTTTTGGGGAGGGGTCACATCAGTTATCAAACTCTCAAACAATGTGTGGGGCAATTACAAGACAATTTACACACAATCCCGACGAAGACGTCTACCCGGATTCTCGTGCGGTGCATGGGGAGAATCGCGTGTCAACGGCTCCAGTTATTTTCATCACCTTTCCCTCTCACACTTATCTACTGGCTTCGATCTGTTTCGCACCGGCCTTGGGCTTGCAGGGATGCGCCTTAGCTTGGCATGGGATACTCGGGAGACGATGTCCAGAATAGAATTGTTAGGAAACAAGGGAGTGTATTCCCTATATCGATATTTCAGCTCATTGGAGATCAACGTAGCCGCCAAAGACCTAAGTTGAAGTTGGCGTTTGCAGAAAGCAAACGGCTCGGTTTTCGCTCTGAATATCCGGATTAGGACCACCCAATCAGCCGTTTCGATTCCTGACAAGTAGGTAGGTCATGAGTGTAATTTTGATGGGTCAGCACATTTATCTTGCTCTCTTGGGTACAAGAAAATCTGCGTCACGAGCAATGTTAATCACCTGTCAAGTCACTCGTCCACTTCGGAAATGGCTATTGGCAGTCGTTCCTTGTTGACATTTCTGTTACCTCGGAGCGTTTCAAAGATTGATGGAAGGCTTTCGGATCCCTATGGCGAGACACCGGGGCACCTGCGCTCAGGGTGTGACTACTAAGAGCCAGGGTACCTGATGAGGGCCTGATAATAAACGCCCCAAGAACCTCTATGGAGACAGGTAGTCGAGCGGAAGAGTATCCCCTCGACGCTACCCGAAGCAGGGGATAGCCTCCCCGGATTTGAAAAATTTTGATAAGAAATACGAACCCACACCTGTTCGTTCAGTACTACCATGATTGCTAGCTCGGTCATATATAGAGAGTGCCCTTCCACGGGGATCCATCGTCAAAATTCCCAACTATATTCTGAACAAAAGCCCCTGGATCCAGTGGAGATACAGATTTGACAGCGTGAGCGGACGATAGTGGAATCGTAGTCCCCATAACATGTTTCAGTATAGTCTCCTTTCGTGGCCACAGGTTGAGTCGAAACCGAACATTTTCGGAGCCCTTTGCGTGATGGTACTTCGTGATGATACCATGTATCTGTTCACGAATCCGCGGGAGATTTCCTAGCATGGTTTCGATCCGAGGGAGGAAAAAAGGATATTCCGCCACGAGTTCTTCCGTACCGCTATTCAGAATCGAGAGCCGAACATCTATCCAATCAACCGGATCAGACGGTTGGAAAGAGGAAAGATGAAGGAAAATGTCATCGGTGTGGGTTAGTGGCGATAACAGGTCCGGCCCGATCCAGTTGAAGAAGCACCGTTTCGTATCGTCAGGGGAGAAATAATGCTCGATCATAGGACGCTCTTCGTCTGCTGGGTTTGAATGTGTTGGTAGATGACATGGTTGCGTGGGAAAGAATCTGTCATAGCTAATATTGTCGTAGCGAACACTGTCATTGCTAGCTGCGAGAATTGGAGGTACCGTTGGTGTGTCTGGAAATGTCGACCAGAAATCCTCCAGATCAAAGTCTAGAAGAGGGTCTAGAAAGGTCAATAGTCGAGCCGTCATGCAGGAAAGACCAGACTCACCATTGCGAGAAGGGGGTTCCATTCTTCTCCACGGGTGTCGAATCTAAAGAGGTTCTGTTTGGCAGTGATATTAGTAGCGGTACACCGAGAGAGGGGTTGGCAGTTCGGTCGAGCTCTAATACTTATATTGTCCCTCGTGGCTTCTGTATAGTCGGAAGTGTCCAAACCAACAGTGGACATACAAACAGAAGGCTGGAATCGGTTTGCAAGTCAAGAACTCAGAAGTTCCAATAATGATCCTACAATGATCCCCTAGCAGAACTGAACCTCGTATTAGACCACTCGTCGTTCTCCATCCTAAACTGGTTTGCAGGCCGGCATAAACAGTCTCAACTTCAATCGGAGAACCAGAGCTGCAGATCTGCAAATAACCATTTGCTGGGCATCTTAGGTTCGGTAGACGATGAATTGGTTGAAAGCCGAGGCGTTTACACTATTATCACCAACTAGACAATTATCATAAGCGGACAGTCGATACTGAAAAATAGCGGTGCTTTTTGAACATGCGTTGAATGGCCTTCGCTAGTTCGCCGTAAAAGATGTGGTGTCTTGTTGGCTCTCGCGGAAGAGAACGCAAGCTTACACAGGTTGATTAGGATCCGTTCAATATAAACATGGGCCTCGTGTCGCGCGGAAGTTCGGGAGGTTTGCCCCACTTGAACGCCCATGGACGACCATGAACAACCGCTCAATCATTTCCTCCTGGGCAACACCTACTCGAATTGACTAAACGCCACCTTTTTGTGGACCTTCAAACGTTCAATAGCCGGAAACAAAGCGACATCGTAATCTCATATTCAGTTCGGTCTACACACATTCGTGGAGGACGCCATTCTCTTCCTTTGAACGTTCACTAGGCTCACTCAGCCAACGAGAGGATGTGTTTATCACAGTTCTCAAGAATTCCATCAACGGCTTTGCGGATGGCTTCAGAAGCTTGGCGGCGCTCACTCAACAATGTCCCCCGTTCGGTGCAGAGTCGTTGAACTTGCTCATTACCGCTCGCAAGCCAGGTGTTGGAGTCTTGAAGCAGGCGATGTTCCTCGCCCAACCGGATCTTCGTGGCATATTCCATCACATAGCGATCCCATATGCGTTGATAGAAACCGACCAGCTGCACAGCGTAGGGAAGCAGGGGTGGGTTCTTGTGCAGTAGCTGCTCCAGTTCGTGTGTGAGAGAATGAGTTCTGGAAGCCGAGGTTGCCTAAACGACTGATTAGAGCGAGTGGAATACCGTGCTGCGTAACCTTATTCACCTTCGCCTCCTGCCGCATTGCCCTTCCTGGTGTACTTGCTGTCTTCCTGTTATCGTGTGGCTCTTTCGAGCCAGGCTCTCGATCCACACCCGATCCACGTCTTCTTTTGGCAGGCCTCCCAGCTCGAGAATCGGAAACGGGAGAATCCATTAGAAGAGATTGGGCGATTCTGGAAATGAGGATGCAGAGCAGAGAAGCTGATCCTGGCGGAACTAACGCTTCCTTCTTATAGGAAGTCATATAGTGGTATTCGATGACGGAAGCTCTTTGAATGTTATTTCATTTTGAGGGCCCAGGCAAAAAAGGCATTCTCCTAGGGGCTTAGTAAACTGATGTATTGACTCCACCCGGTACCTTTCTACTCCCTCTGTATCTTGGGGGCTCAGGCTCGGTGGAGGTCGAAGAAAAAGTGATTGACTGGCTCTTCGTTAGCGACTTAATGCTAAAGACAAAACACAGCTATTTACTGGGGACACCAAGCGTGAACCTTGACTTTAGACGTTTTTCGAATTGGGATGAGCCATTGATACCAATTCGCTGCGATCTAATTGGCTTGCACCGGACCTTTAACGGTCGTAATACAATATTGGGCTGGCTAGTCGATGCGCACAGAACTGAATAACGCACAAAGAGACTCTTGAGTCTTCGTTCTATTGAAAATTTTCGAGACCGCTCTTATTTCCATACTGGAAAATTTAGGAAGCGCGGTGCCATTACATAGAAAAAGGAGCTAGAGTACAGTATATAGGCCATCCAATGATTGTCCTAACTGTATAAGGTGAATGAAAGCTACAAACTGAAATTCAAGCTACCGTCCCAGCTATCACTCTGTCATAAGTGTGGGAAAACTTAAGCCTAGTTAACAAATTCACAAATTCCAGGGCATCAGCCTGGGACGTCTTCAAGCCATCGAATTCTGCCCTAGCTCCTCCTTGCAGTCCCATAGTCTGAGGGTACTGATGCCGTCGATATGGCAAAATTCCATATCCCAAGAAGACTTGTAGTCATCAGTCGTAACATATTTGGTTTCTCCGATAATAATGGTGAGATGACACCAAAGGAGCGCGGAAGATATGTGATAGAAAAGTTGATACCTGAGCCTCTGTCGATGTCATATAGACAATATACCCTAATTCATTGCAATTTTTGGCACCATTAGGTGCATTAGGGTAGAATTTTGAACGCCTTCAAAAGGCAAACGCTGGAAGGAGAGGCTATATTGTCGAGTTTGTTCTAAGAGGGTGACCATAATGCCGCATGATTTGGATATTGTTGACTGTCGTACTCTATAATCCCGAATGATGCACCGGGAAGTCCGTGTCGCTCGGAACACAGTTTCTATCGCGAATCTCCTGATCTCTACTTTCTTTACTTTGGCTTAGTTGTACAATACGGAGCCCTGGACTAGTTCAGAATTATGTTTAAGATAATCATCAGAATTGCGATCTAGTCCACCACTTTTGGGTGACAAACACTCCACTCTTCAACACACACTGATCCATCGCTCTAGCGAACAGGTGATTGGTATACTAAACTAAGCCCATCTGTTTCCGCTTCCGCGCTTTGGCGATGAGATTTGGCGATGTGGCTTTGGGCGCAGCCGTTGAAGCCAGTCCTGTCGAGTTTGGTCTTGAGTGATAGTCGGCTGCTTCCCGCTCTTGCAGTCCGAACCAAGGACCCCGGGAGATGTCCACCACGCATCCGTAGGTCTGGAGTCATAGGACTCTTGCTGAAGTCCCAGTTGAAGGGTAGTTTGCCCTCGCCCACTAGCTGAATGGGTGTAGAACCTCCCAGTGTTCCCTCTCCCTTCCTGGTGCTGAGTGTGGTCAATGGACCTTCTATGTCTTGGTGGAAGCGTATTCACGGGCCTGGCTAGCAACGGAGTTATCTCTGAAATATCTCCGGTGCCTCGGCGCATTGGTCTGCGTGGGGAATTGCCCATATTTCCTAATTCTGAACGTTGATCAAAAGGCAATAGATATCTTCCCGGGCCATTTAGGGCCTATTTATAGGCGATGGTACGTTTTCTATGTGCAGTCGTGCGAAACTGGACCTCAATATTGGCCGCAGGTCACTTTTAAGAGTGCCGATACTGGCGGAAACCAAGCCTAAACTAGAGGGCGCGAGGAATATACAGGTGTTTGCTTTCGCTGGGCGATAGCGATAAATGTAGAAAATTGTTCTCGTAGCATTTTTGTGGCATCGTCGGCTGCATCTTTTCAGGTTGGAATTCGACCTAGTGCGCTGCGAGACATTGTTTATTTCTGATAAAAACCGCCATACGGGGCTGCTCCGGAGATCTAACCAAGATTAGTTCTCGAATTGAATAAAATACCCCAAACCATGACAGGCAGAGGCAGGCGGAAGGAAAGTGATTTTCCCATACCCTTGGTTGTGGTCAGAGTAAACAGCCCCGGTGATCCCAAACGGTCAAATTACGATTAAAAAAGAAAAAAAAATCCCCTCTTTGAGCGCTAATTCCTAGTACATAAGAGGCCATGGTCCGCCGTGTAGGCTACTGGCCGATAGATAACAATTACGGAAATAATACTTTAATGGCTCTGTCGAGCAACGCGAAGCGAGCTTTGCTCAGAGAGCAATGTCGCGAGGCTTTAGCGGCACACATTCGTATCTACACCTCCACTTTCTCTGTTTTGGTAGCTTATCTGATGATTGCTAGATGACCGACTCGGCCTCACCATTGCTCCCAGCCAGATTCGCTTAAGGCCTGCAGCGGAGGACGGCTACGCCTGGTCTGCTACCGAGGCCAATGCGTGGATGTTGCAATCAAACTTGAGCAATGGCACGGTTGGCCTGTATCGAGCCATATGTGAAGCGCTCGGTCAATCACTCGAGGCTGTTACACCGCAGGTCTTGCAGGAGCCTCGATCGAGTCGAGGTGCCAGTGCAGGTGAAGAGGCCGGCGAGGTGAGTCAAATTTCTACCTGGGAGTTACGGAGTCGAGCAGTTGCTGATCTACGGGATGAACATCCAGCAGGCACACTGCCGCGACCATGAGAACGAATCTTTCACAGGAACCATTCGCCGACTAGAGCGCGAAAGCCGCGACCTGAGTGCTGAGCTTGATCGTACCCAAGTCCGTCTAGAAGAGGTCTCGAGCGAACGTCGTCAATGTCAGGCGAAGATCAGACATTTCCAGGAAGAGCTGGAGCGCAGCCAAATTTTGGCGAGCCAGCTGCGAAGCGAACTCGCGGAACTGAGAGCGGGTACTATGGAAGCCATGCAGGTGTTGCAGAAACACCAGCACCACGAAAGGGAGGTACCCGGTCCGCACGAGGACGAGCCCTAGTCGAAGTGGGACCGTTTGTGACTGGCAGGGCAGCCAACGGGCCAGTGTTGACGTGCGCGATGCGCCAGGGGCGTGCCGGCAGTTGTTTGTGTCAGAAAGTGAGTAATTGAATCAATATCCCATTGAAAGGGGTGAGCTTCGGTTAGGATGTAACTAAATTGGATTCGAATTTATTCACAAGCCAACCCAGCCACGCAAAATCCTGTGGCTATGCAGACACTGCCACCGCTAGGCGGCTCGCATTTTGCGACCCTATTTACATCTTCATGCTTTTCTTCTCCCGAAGGCCCTCTACCACCCTGGCAAGGTCTAGGAGCACCCAGAGCTCTCTTTTCGTTTCTATATACCTAATTGACTCAGTACTCCACCGTCTGTGATTTAATCTCTTCTTTGCTTTGTGCGGCTCGGTCACGATAAAATCCGAAGGATTTATACCTTATCATCTTATCAGCGGCCTCAAGTGGGCCCTAGGTTGAACCCCCATAATAGGAAAGAGCACTGCTGTTCAGGTTCAGAGCGTTAATATTATCGACCTGGCGCGTTATTACGTGTCAATTGGTCAGAATACGGGGTATGCGGTGCTTGAGAGAAGAATTATACATGAATTGGCCGTTCTAGATAAGGAGAATTATGGAACCTGATTGCGTGCTGAAATGGTCTCCATGTCCACATGTGTCTATATATATATGTACACGGAGTATGCGAAAATCAGCAACCGACCAGTCGCAAAAAAGGTGATTTACAACAACAACGTACGTACACTTGACCCCGAATATGACCAAATGAAGACTGGATTCCTACCAAAAAAGGCCAGAGCCATTAGTATCTACCCACTCAAGACAAACAGGATTGCTATAACGTGATATAACTATGACGAAATACAGCACAGACCAACCGTACCAGTACCTAACCTAAAGTAGCTAGAACAATAGAGTGATCAAGTAAATGAATCATGTAAAGATGAGTAATAAGATATTGTTGGCCCACCTTCGCGCTTTCTTCAAGCGAAGGTTGATCCCAGCGACTTAAACTCGCATTTGTGCCGAGCAGTCTTGTTGGCTACATTTACCAGCATCCTCAACTCGCCTTCCGCCCTTGACGTAACGTAATCCACAAGCGAGCGGCGCACACAAGCGAGTGGCGCACCATACAGGAAAGATAAAATTTAAATTAATTTATTTTCACCACAACGCCTTAATATACAAAAAAAACCCAATTATATCGTTTTGGGCACTGTAATCTTCGATGCCCTAATTCGCGGCAGTCGCTACAGCGAGGTGGCGCCCGTGTAGATAGCTGCGAAGCTTGTTGACCAAGGTCTGCTGGGGCAGTCGATTGAGCTTCAGAGGCTTGGTTTGGCGTCGATATTAGCTCACGAGCTTCTTGAACCGATAGGCCTTGCTCTCGAGGTATTTGCCTATTAGATCTAGCCCGTTTTTGCTTCTGCTTCTCATTGGCTGCGCGTAAATCCTTATTTTCATGCGCGAGGATTGTAGCGCTATGCATCGCTAGTTGGCAGCCTTTGATAAGCTGATCTAGCGCCGCGTTAGTTGGACTTGGTGGGCTATGGGAGCGATGTTTCAATAGAGCTTTGATTGATGAAGCCTGCCGATATAGCTGTTTTGGATTTTGGGGCGTTTTTGGTGAGAATTGACTGTTTTGGCTGCCCTGGCTGCTTCCGGGGGTGTTGGCGTATAAAGCTGAATATCAAGCTTTTCGATAACCCGATTTGGATTATAAGGGACTAATCCAGCAGCTGCGAAGCTATTTTGAATAGTTTCAGCTTTATCGAAAGCTTGCGAGCGAGCGTAAGGGTATACTGCGAGAAAATCGAATTTATCGATATGGTTGATGCCACACCCATGTTTTGCTCGAGATAAGATTTGAACTGGGGCACAGATCCCACAAAAAGTACCTGGGTATATCCAAAGTTAATTCTGTAAATTTGTATATTTTTATACAAATATTTTAATTTGCTATAATTATAATCATAATTATACATTTATACTTCGATTAAGTACGAGTTTTACCTCGCATTTAATCACTATAATAAATTTTATAAAGCAAATATAAAATTTATATGACTAATACAAAATTTCAACAACTATTTATATTCCTTAAATAGAATATCCCGATCTTTGCTTAAAGGTAGTCAAAATTATATTTACTCACCTGTTCACCACTACTATACCCTGACCATGGTAAGATCACTAGCCTTCGGGTCTAATTCTAGATACTTATTCATTTTCTCATAATTGGTTTATCTAAGCAGGAATTCCGCCTTTAATGGGGTTTTTTGCAAAACAGATGGTATTCTCTGCTGCTTTACAAGAAGGATTTATTTTTTTAACACTTATAGGAGTTTTAGCTAGTGTAATCAGTGCTGTTTATTACAATTAAGAGGAGTGCAATTTAGACCTTTAAGTAAAATAGCATTCTTTATTTTTGTGCCTTTCCTTCATTCAAATTATTATATTTAATGGACGAGGTTATGGATCCTTCTTTAGTAGTTTATGCTGAAGGTCATCAATGATATTGAAGTTATCAATAGTTTTAAATGCTAAATTTAAAGGAGAAGAAGACACATCCATATACAAAATATTTAACCATAAATAATCTATATTAAATAAAGAATTTAAATAACCTGCGAATAATTGGTTATAGAATTATTAACTTAAAACTAATAAAGGTAATAAAACTAAAGGACAACCTGAAGGTACAAATAATGAGAAAAACTTTAATCCATGTCTTTGAGGGTGTCCAAAAAATCAGAATAAGTGTTGGAATAAGATAGGATCACCCCCTCCTGCTACTACAAGATATTATAACATATATACCTTATGTTACGAACCACTAACTGGTTACGGTGAGTAGGGTCCTCAAAGGGTGATACTTCTCTTGGAATACTGCGAGCCTCAAGTATAGTCCGCAACCGTACCAACGCCGCGCAGGGCCTTAGATGGACTCGGGTCTCTAGGGTACTTGCAAGGTGTAACAGTTAGGGCGCCGATCAAGTCAGTCACTTAGGGATCGGAGATCACTAAGTAAGCTCCCAAGATCGTTGAGGGTTTTGGCTTTATAGTCGAATCTGTGAGTGGTACTCAAGTAACAATGGTAGGATTGATCACAAAGAACTAAATACATGGTGGTGAATGAGTGTCCTTATATACCCGCTGGTCGTGGAGGGTAGGTGAGTAGGTGAGTAGGAGAGTAGAAGTCTCCTGGTCGATCGACTTCCCTACTCTCCGATCGTTCTACTACATGCATGATCACGTGCCATCACGTGATCTGGACCCCTGTCAGTTGTCTTCATCTCATGACTTGGTTGGTCGTAGTCTTCCCAGCACCTGGCTGCGGCTAGTTCCGTAACACCTTATTGCTTATTATTAATATCTATAGGATTTTTATTTAAAATTTCAGCATATATATAATATATACAGTTAGTGATGGAGAATTTAAACATACTAATGATAAAGTAAATATAACATTATATGTATATAATAGACAAAAACTTAATTATTTAATTAAATTAGAAAACAAATATAATAAATTATTAAAAAAAAGTATTACTGTACCTATAGCTCATGTCAAAGTTCTAGGTGATTTGTAAGATCCATAGTATAAACCTCTACCTATGTGTAAGTACAGTGACACAGCAAAAGTTTCGACAACACCCCTATAGTGGGTCACCTTCACCGCCCTCACCGCCTACTACACGACGCGCTTGTAGGCCTACTATATCTTCTAGTTTTACGCGATTTACCCCTCTATATCGCCCTAAAGTTACTCTTTTTTTATATCTATAGATGGCTCCACGCTCTGAGCTTACCCCGGCACTACGTGAACGTATTTGCGAGCTTTATAGCGCCGCTAGATAGGGCTATAGGCGAATATAGAAGCGATATCCGTGGGTTTCTATCTCTGGTATTCGATATACGATTAAAAAGGACCGTAAACGACTCGGTAGTGTTACAAAACAACGCTCTAGGCGCCCGAGAAAGCTAGACGAAGCTAATCGAGAGCGTTTATTGAATACTATCGACGAAAATCCGAAGATTACTCGGGAGGATATACTTGCTGAAGTGTCGTATAAAGTTAAGTCTTTTTAGCTACTATAATAAAAGTTTACTAATAGATTTTTAGATTAAATATAACTCGATCCGTCGACTATTAAATACTAAGAATATATAGAAGTAGCGTTACTCGTGGAGGCCGTATTTAACTAAAGAAAACGCCCTAAAACGACTTCGATAGGCTTAGAGATATCGCTACTTTATATCTAAAGATTAGGCTCGCGTTTTTTAGTCTAATAAATACACAGTCGAGCGTAGGATTGGTATTCGCTAAGAATAGACTTTTGTACGCCCGAAAGATTAGCCAAAAGCTAGACAATATCAAGGATTGCCTTAACGCGGGAAGCAAGTGAAGTAGATATTTTGGGCTTCGTTTTTAGGCTCTAAGCGGCGTACTGGATTAATTCCTCTCTTCGGAGATCCGAGATATAAACGAAGCGGTATAAATCGCTTTGTTATCGAGGAGTTATATCGCCGAATCTTGCCTATTTTAATAGCGAACGAGGGTAGCATTTTTCAGCATAATAACGCCCCAACACATACTACCTACGCAGCAGGCATAGGACTAACTAGAATTAAGGCATCTACAGCATCTATCAGAAACAATGCCCTATCGTGTAGAGGCTATTATCGAGGCTCAAGGCTAGTACACGCCCTACTAGCTATATAGAAGCAAATTCATGGAGGTTTTTGACCGGCAGAATATTATATAATCAAGGGGTGGGGCTGGGGGTGTTGTCGAAACTTTTGCTGCGTCACTGTACACTAAAAAGAAAAAGGCTGAAGCTGTATTAGAGTGTAAATAACGTACTAATCAACCATTATTAACATCTCTCATAATATGCTCTACAGAATTAAATGCTTCTAATACACTAGGTGTATAGTGCATAGCTAATGTAACACCTGTTACTATTTGTATAATTAAACATAGACCTAATAATGATCCAAAATTTCACAAGTAACTTATATCCGCATTTGCTTCTCAACTAAGCTGCCGTATGCCTTTTTTAAAGGCGCAAAACAGCCAATATCAAGAGGCTGTAAAATATGCGATGAATGCGCAGGCATGCAAATTGGAATAATATTGGTATCGCTGTATATTTGGTCGAATTGAGGAGTTAAATGGCTGCTATGGCCGTCAAGAATAAGAAGCCGATATTTGCCTTTCGTTCGACTAGTTGTAGCTGGGATAAAGCTATTTTTTAGCCAGCGAAGGCTAATTTCGTCTGTAGTCCAGCCATTTTGGCTAACTTCGATACGCCAATCGGGAGGTAAATCGTCAAACCAGCCTTCGATATAGACCTTGCCTTTGAAGATAATACATGGTGGCAGCGCCCACCCAGATGCATTAATTGACTCGATAGCTGTAACCCATCCGCGATTCCCAGGTTGTAATAGCGATCGCCGACCGTAGTATTCAGATCGAGTAATCACTTTAGCAGTCGAGGTAAGGCCCATCGCAAAACCAGTCTCATCAAAGTTGTAGATATCATCGTATAGAATGCCGTTCCCTTCAATTGTTTTTTGGACGCAGTCAAACCATTTATATATGACTTTTGGGTCTTCATTTTTGGCGCGCTGATAATCGTATCGACGAGAGAAGCGAGTCTTTATTTCATCGTGACGTTTGATAAAATTATAGACCCAATTTTGGCCGATAGATTGAATGGGGGTAGATCCACGCATAGCCAATAGAATATTAGCCATTTCTCGTACAGCTGCTGGTCGAAGAGCTGCTCCACGTCGATCCATAGAGAGAATCCATTGAAGAATCGATTTTTCTTCAATTTGGGTCAATTTCTGGCAGTTGGCGCGCGTATCGCATCGATTTAGTTGACCTGCGAGGCGGCGACGTAAGGTAGTCTCAGGCACATTAAATCGACGTGCTGCTTCGCGAGTCGAAGGAATTTCTTGCTTCTGAATAACCTCGATAGCTAGCAAGTCCCTACCCTCTTGCTCGATAGATTTTCTGGCATTTTGAGAGCGAATTGGTGGCATGGTAGGTGGTTGAAATCGATAGGTTCGCGAAGATGGCGCGATTTTCGTGTGGTGCGCCACTCGCTTGTGTGCGCCGCTCGCTTGTGGATTACGTTAGTAAAGATCCCGTCCTGATTGGTCAGCAGGGAGTCCCGAAGAAGTGTCACGGGAAGAACGCACCCGTAAAAACTCGTCTATCGAGTCGGCTGTCAGTGTCGTTAACCGCTGCGGCAGGCTCTCGGCTTCCGCGCCCCATGCAAAACGAGGGCCATTCTTCTTCATCAGCCTTCGGACAATCTCGGCCAATGCGACTAGCTTCAGGGTCGCGGCGTCCATCTCCGATGCGCTGATTTGACAATGCTCCACCCCCGCTGGAAGATGGTCCGGCGTAAGTATCTACAGCAACGGAATGGTCCAGCCAGCGTTTCCGCTGTGCGACGTACCGATTTTTACCTCACCCGAGTCCGTGAGCAGGATTTTGTCAGCGTCCAGGGTGGCTAGCGCCCTTCCGCGATCGCGTAAATGTCGGATCCCCCCAGCACCTACATGACATTAGCTCCGGCTTATCCTCGAACGGCTGACGGCTGTTTGCCTCTCGACGGTTCAAAGCGTATAAAAAATCAGTCCTTACCGCTGAGATGATCGCGACCAGTTCACTCTGCGTGATCGAGCATCGGGACGCCAATATCTGACTCACTGAGAGTTCTACTGGCTCCCATACTAAGAACGCATGGTCTCCCTGTTGGTAACATTCCAGTAGACGGGGGAAGCTGTGATGAGAGAGGTGATTTATGGTATCAGCCACGGTCTTGCTCGCCGAAGTCTGCTCAAGCCATTGAATATTGACGAGCTCCCCCTTATTGCTGCGATGGCGCGCGAGGACGACGGATCGCCCCTGATAAATCTCCATGACCCCCTCGTACGTGAGCCATGGATTCCCTGCCACTTGTCGAATCTTTGGTTGCTGGTGTCGGTTTTCCGTCCGATTCGGAGGAGGAGCGGCTCTTCCGGATGGAATGGTGGGTGCTTGAGCTCGGGAGTCATGAGACGGTGGTGGATCGGATGCAACCCCGGGAAGGGCCCTCCCAGCTTCCTGGTAAAGAACACGGTCGGCGGGCGATTTGGCAGTGGCATATTAGAATCCATGGTGCACCGGGTCTACGAAAACTGCGCGGATATCTTTCGATTATTGACTGCATTATACTTTAGATTTAACCCCCAGCGACTTCCGAATGCAGCTATCTTACGCGATACTTTATCTGGGCTAGCGTCACTGAATTACATGCCATCATAAGATTGCTGCTGATCTGTTCCCAATCACCCGGAAATCTGCCCCTCAATGGCAGGTGACCGCTCGATGCCCTTTCCGTGCCTACTTCTAGCATTCAAACGTCGGCAAAGAGACGGTGGAACTAAGATAAACGGGTAAATTAAAATTTGCGGTTAGGAGTGTTTATAAAACAGATGTATCTTCGAAGATGGATCGAGCAGCATTAACCAGAATACGCCATTTTAGCAACAAGGCTAGGTAGAAGTGAAGATAGTTAAACTATGCTGAAAAGTTGCTTTTTATAATAAAAGTCTACTTCACAGCTATCGGTGTACTCCAATGGCTACACAGGCCCTTCTCGGACCAATATAAACAGGTTGGTGAACATATTGAAATGTTATCCACCGAATTCCACAATCGTGTAAATGAAAGATCCATTGAGCCACTGCTAGTCTTCAAGTCTGCTAACCTGCACGCTATTCCTGTCGCGGTATTGAAATCCACCTAGTTAAACGAGCAATAAGTTCCCTTAATCAAATGTTAAAATGATTCCAATTAGACCGCTCACTGCCGAAACCAATCCGGTTGTCGTGTTCGTCGGGTTGACCGACGCAGACTGGGTCGTTGGGAAGACGAGTCTGAGGAGCCAATTCGGTGGGCAGCAGTCTGCGATCTTACTATCGCAGAGTGAGAGGCCTGGGTAGAAAGGTCCACAAAGGAGCCTCTGGAAGACCTCACGAAGCGGGGAGTTTCCTCGGAGGGTGAGGTACGGCCTGAACCGTGTTCACTCAAAGCTGAATCTCGAAAGTTACCCACGTTCGTGTCTGTGTAATCCACTGCCGATGAGCAATGGAAGGCGTCAAACGTTTGCTGGCCCCGACTAGTTCCTAGTTAGCTTTTAATCCTACAATACATGGAAAGGAAAGTGGGATAAGAATGCTTACCATATTGGGCAGGAGAAGCGGTTCACCGATGACCGGTTGGTGAGCCAGTCCTCCATACATCCCAAGTGGACGACATTGGTGCAAACTTCGCACTGTAGAACCACAGACTCATCCCGATCTCCACCTAAGCAGATACGGCACTCCACATCCTCAAGGTTAGGTCTATCGCTACAGCTGCGAATTCGGACAGAGTGCGATCCACCGCTAGTGTTGTCGACCGCCAAGATGGCTGGATGAGTGGGTGTGATCTCCCAAGGCACCTGTTTCTCTCGAAGGTCGTTGCCTGATATTACTCGACCGGCGTCCTGGTATGACAGTGGCCATAGTTGGTCATAAGGCGGAAGCACATCGATATCTTGGGATCCTCTATCTCCCGCTAAGGTGGGGGCCGTTGCGTGCTGGTGAACGATACCGCCATCTCGCGAGTCACGAACGTCCCTTTCCACAGAGATAGACGGACCTCGAAAAAGGGCTCGTGACTCTTCCGTGCAAGTGGCTGCGTACCACGCTCGACTGACGTCGTCGGCTTGGTCTTGGTGCCACCTCTTGCAAAGCAGGAGAGGGATGATTTCGCGGAGCCTTGTCTGTAGGCTTGAGAGATCGAATGTATGTTGTGCAAGACAGTTCAGCTTGTGGTAAGCTTCCTTGATGTTTGCTTGGCACACACGAAGTTTGCACGGCGATCCGTGCTTGGTTACCCCGGAACAAGTCACATCCTCTCGAGAACGTACGTGTTCCCATTGCCATTGGGGCATTTTGAAGTAAAACTGCAAGTATTTAAGGTAATCAGGAAACCATATACCAAAGCCAAAGAGAGTATCGATAATTTTGTGTAGACGCAGGCTTCATTTATAGTTCTCCCTGAGGCGTGTGTTCTGCTGAATTTGGCTGAATGCCGATGACGTAGAACCCTGTCCTATGAATCCTATCGCGTATTACTGATTCTAACTGGGATCCTTCTCTTCTGGCCATGATCTGGTCAATGTGTAATATCCTAGGAGCAATGGTCCCAATATGGAAGTAGGATCTTCTAGGAGCAAAGATTGTGGATCCTAGGAGGTAGAGCGTGATCCTCCAGGTTCAAGTGTGGGCTACGAATCGTCGACTGGCCCTATATAGTACGACGATTTTTCACTGCTACTTCTCTATCCTCCTTCAAAATTGTCTCCCAATACCACCCCTTCCACCACACCAAGAGACCAAGATGGATTTTAGCCTTGAGTATCTGCGACCACATTTTGGCCGAATTATTGGCGATCCGACACATATAATAAAGTGTATTGGAGTTACTTGCGGCAAATCTATCCCTTTACAAACTCGAATCTGTGCTGCCATTCAATTGGAGCAATTGGGCCAGCCCACGGCCAACTTCACGTTACAGCACAACCTGGAAATGGTGGCCAAGTTCATGTTGTGTGACGAGTGCAGGTGCCCGAAAAGTCGAGCTAAGATTGCTCGAAAATGGATTGACGAGGGGAAGAAAAGTCTTGCTACGATACATTCAAAACCTTCAAGCGACAACGCCAGCCAATTGCTTCCTCTACATTACTGGCCGACCAGCATATCGCATTCCATCCACGACATCCACAGACCCGATATGTAATAAGCCTCGAAATACTCGCACACGCAATGCTCCGCAATTAACTTGAAAGATAGAACTTGACACTTGCGGAGGTGATGCAGTCTCATGGATTACTGGCTATGTGCTGCGTCCAAAGATGTCTGACGCACTAGCATAAATGTTCCGTGCATCATATTTGTTCTTTAAGGTAGAATGACCTGTCCAGCTACCAAACCTCCCTCCAAGTGACTGAAATATTCACAATTTCACTGACATTCCCCTTTATATTTCTGTACCAATATTCTCCAGCTGCAAAAGAAGTCGAAAGTCGAAATGCTCCTCGTTACCTATGGCTCGCGGAACGGCCTGATGTCTTCAGTACCTGATCACTTTGTATGATATAATGGTTAGAAGAGCTACCCCTTGGACCATGGTGCTGTGGTGAAACGAACTTGTTTGCATTTTCTCCCATAGTCTTCTTCTGTGCCCCCGGATTGGTCGACGGACATTGTGTCCGGTGATGGAGCACCAGATCGTCGCCCACGTTCCATTTCGAATGCAGGATCCAGGGAAAGAGAGCCATTCACACTGCCATGACTGGTGCGCTGTGCGGATCTGGTGGAACATGGTCGGTGGCTTTCTACAACAAGACGCAGCTTGCGCGTAAGACTCTGTGCCCGACGAAAGCACATTCCACGCCTCATGTTGCGAAATAACGGACCTGAAACCGGGCAAAAGCAACTGATTTAGAAGCAATTGAAGTGAAGGAGCATCGACCGGGGCCATGGTACAGAAATAGTCGACTATTTATGCCACGGAGACTGGAAGAAAATACCGCAGCCTGCCCTCGACCGACAACTCTTCAATGACGCAATCATACTATGGGCAATGGGGAAATGCTCCAAAGTGAGGGCCCTGTTGAAATCAATACTCAGTGCAAAATTAGCCCCCGTTGCTGTAGAAATAGCCACTGTGTTGACCATTGCCCACTCATTAGATTCCCGCCACAGATTGCTACAAGGCTAGATAAATTTTGGTAGTCTCCCGGAGTCGGTTGTCAACCAACCTCGTGGAACACCAAGAACTCCGGCAAAATTAAATCACAAGTGTTGACCTAAGCTCTGAATTTTGGGAGGGTTTACTTTCAAGCTGGTCAGATCACTAGCATGACTATTAGGGGTGGGTCGTGGAGTGCCCAGGAAACCATCATCCAATCCGAGTGGTGATCACCCATGGCGGTATTTCCGGGTGAGGAACTCATTCCCTATGGCTTGGGTTTGCAATGCAACTGGGGAACTTTTGTACTTTTGTGTCTGGGTGAATTGACATTCTCTCTGCTGTGGATTACTGTGCAGTGTTGATACCCACGAGGTGGTCTTAGGCGTATCCGCAATATTTTCATATTGAATAGGTTTTTGACAGGTGATTGTTACGCCATTCCAAGCCTCACAAGTTAGACGATGCTCACCGAGTTAAACAGTTGTAGGCTTCGCTTTCATCGAGATACAATGTTATGTCCCCTCCTGATATTTTCAATCATCCAGCTCCGCAGTCCCCGCGGCCTCGGCGTGAGGACCAGCGCCTTCATCGGATTTCCCCTCACCATTCTTTGACTCCTCTGCTTCAAGTTGCTTCACCACCTTATTGAGCATCAATTCAAACGACTCAGGGTCTTGGCTGCCATCTTTGATACTGCGCTCTTTTAGCAGATAGTCCGTCACGGCTCCCATTCTCTGGCTGACTTGATAGAGGAGGTCAGCCAAGCGGACAGTCTCCTGTAGGTCATCGGTGGTTTGTTTCAGGGCCTCGCGGGTGGTGGCCAGCTCGTGGTCGAGTCTTCCCCGAGAGCGTTCCGCCAGGAGTGCGCGCGTATTGAGTGCGACAATGGTACGGAGGATTTCCTGCGACTTGCATTAGAATAAGATTTCCAGGGGCGCTAGACACCTACCAAAGCGTCCATACTTAGGAAAAATGGGGAAACACCGGGATAATATGGTGAATTTGGCAAGGTAGACACGGTCAGAAGGCCGCCCCAAAGATATTGAGACAAGCAGTGGGGAATGAAGTTCACAAGCCTCTCTGTACCTTCTGGCAAGCGGAAGAGTGGCTCTCTTATAGTGCTATTTCATTATTTCGAAAACATCAAAGGGGCAGCCCTCTACAGATAATTGAAACCGTAGGTTCCTGCGGGTGACATCATTAATCAGGGATCGAGGCCATGTGTTCTCGATTGTGGTCCTGCGAAAATGGGAGGCTCTTTTCTCCACGGTCTCCTGCATGCGATATGATCAATATTCGAGCACCAACTCCACTCGCGCTTATAATATGGTGTCAATCATGAATACCACAAATGAGGTTTACTCTATGAAGAATCACACCTACCCTAGACTTCATGACCGTGTATGTTTGTCGGAAAAGTGAACCGACATCAACTTATTGCTTATTGTCACATCTACTGCCACTGTACTTCGAGGCAAGGTGAGGAAAGCAGCAATCCATTTGGGTCACCCCATTGGATCTGCCATTAAATCTACCTCAAACACGGTTTATGTCTTCATTTGACGAGGACCTGAGGATAATTGTCGGTTCACTTAAAGCCATCGGCCATCACTCGTTCCCATAAATCCGGCTTCGTGGACGCTATCGTTCTGCCTGTTGGTCTCCAAGTCCATCGCTATTAATTTATTAACCCCCCGACCCAAATCCCCAGCGATTATGCCCTGTATCCTTCTTAGGTTCGTACGCTGGACGGGGCTAAAATTCGTTAAAATCACCATCGTCCGCCGTTCCCGCGATGGGCAACTACGGGGTTTTCACTCCACTATCCCTCATGACCGGACTGATGTGAGCAGGCTACCGTCATTTCTTTTGCTTAGAGCTAATAGTTTTATTAGGCTGATAAGTTAAGCAGTAACCTCGATACGCCAAGCATAACGAAGAAATCGGAAATGTCAGTCTCAACCCAGGGGGCTCGGTGTGTACTATAATATCGTTCAAGGTATGGGTGGTAAAATTCCAAGCCATACGACAGCCTATGTTCGCCCCTGAAGAAGAATTCCAGTGAGGGATGGCCGAACCTGAACGGATGATATCGAACTTCCCTGGAACCATGATCTATCCAGGTTGGTCAAGCCAGTTTTCCAAACCCCAAGAACATATCCGGGGATTCGACGATGTGAGAAGTCTTCACCAACTTTACCTATAGTAGCAATCTGTTGCGGTTCGTGTAAAAGGACAAAGCCCTATTTCAACACCTGTTCTTTTGTTCAACGCCTCGTCCGTTTATTTCGTGTAAAAACAGATTAGTCATCGGCAGGGCTATTTTTGAACAATTTACAGATTTACAGCTAAGTATGGCCTTTGCGTGACACACGATGATTGAGAAAACTCAGCTCTCTTCCGGATGCCCAAAACACTCAGCATACTCAATAAAGTTTCAGTGGGTTGCACGTTTTACAACTGGGGCTCCTATAATCTTACCCATAGGTCAGAGATACCAAGGATAGACAGTTAAATAGGGTGAATGGGATCCGTGCCTATAAATTCACGCTGAAAATGAGTACGTGGCGAAATAGTTGGGAAAGAAGTAGGCCGGATGAGATACGCGGTAACAGAAAGAACTGCTGGGCTCTTAGGATTTAATGCAGATCCTATCGGTATACTATTGACTGAATAGTCTGAACCACTAAGAGAAACCAATTCCAAAATATCATTTTGCAACATACTTTGATGGTTGGCCGTGAAAACATTGGTTTAACGTAACGGGAGAAAATAGAAAGTCTAGGGGCAGATCTTAGCTTCCTTGGAAGGTTTCCAGAGTACTAATCTCCAGGACCACGAAGAGGTGCCTGTCATTCGCTGGAGGTACGACGCATTAAGATATGGAGCGAAGAAACCCGCCACATGAGGCAATGGAGAAGCCATGTCGCAGGGTGTGTACAGCACCGTTGCGGAGGAAAGAAAGCCTGAACCTGGCCTTGCAGAGTTGGCGGGGAGTAGGCCTTTATATCCCCAACTACGTCATCGGTAAGACCACTTGCGCTAAAACTCCAAGCCTCGTATTTTTGATATCCGCCATTATATTCGAAAATGGCGCACCAACCATTGTCCCACCGATATCATGCATGCTTAGGATTTATTAAGTGTTTTGGCTTACATGGGCCGAGAGGAGTGGAGCCCCGTGGATTATCCCGTGTAAGACGCCAACAGGCTTGGTCATCACGAGCCGCAACCATGAGCTGTACACAGGAAGTCAGGTCTTTCAGAAACCCCACCCATAAACACACAGATGTAATCACACCCAGTCGGTTTTTCAGCGGCCAAGAGTTAATAAACCATTTCTTGATCTTCCATAGAGGCTCGACTTGACCGAAGGCGAGGTAGCGACAACAGGGAGTGAGGTCCCACTAATGCAGGGAAGGCTTCAAATGACATGTGATGGCCTCTGCTGGGAAAGGGTAAGTCCCATATGCCACTCTGGGTTAAGAATAAGAAGGTGAACCGGATCTAGTTAACGGACCAGAGTAAGTCGTAATCGGTGTTCACGCTCCATACAGTGCACAAAGACAATTTACTCCAGCCTTCCAGGCTTCACGTTTACTGCCTCTTTATTTTTGACCATAGCACCATTAATGCAGCAGAAACTAAGAGCGTGGCCGGTAAGATGCTGCATGTAAGTAAAGGCCTGGAGATTTTAGACATGCTTTCAAAGATTCTTACTATTGCCATCGGATAAAGCATCCAGTTCATATCTCCCACCAGAAATGCACGTGTGGTGATACTGTAGAATAGCTTTTCTCTACAGATAAGTAGAGTCCCAGAGCGTAACCCCCTCACTAGTTCAGGTGGTTCTCTTTGCGACCAAGGAACCTTCTTTCCAAGTCACGAGAACGCCGGGAGACGGAGAAGGTCTGCGACCCACGCAAGGAGATTAACACACCCCTCCGTTTGTTGGACCATCAGCCAGCTTCTTCGTTCACGACGGTGTTATTGTGAGGTTCTAGATATTCTATTCTCCTGAATCTTGTTCCAGATCATTTGCGTTAGGATGGTAGCATCACTGCCAACCTCTCGCAGAAAAACGAGCATTTCCTGCCGGAATTTTTTCAATGAAGCCATTCCTGGAGTTGCTGCTTCAGCCGCTGATTTTCCATCGTGAGATGCTCTATCTCACGGCTTAGGCGCATGTTCTCCGCATTTGTCCGTCGCTGAGCCCGATCTTGCTGCATGTGTGCTATTGGATTTCGGATTGACCGCGGCTGGCTCGCTGATTTTCCGTGGTATAGGTAGACCCACCACCAGATTTTGAGGATTTCCGATTTGGAAGTCTGGCCATGTTCGTTATCTCGGCCTGCTAGCAGAGGAATGGTCAGACTGGGTAAGAACCGCATGTCACGCCAAAGAGCGAGCAAAAAAGCTGAGTCGGGCTACTTACGGGGTATATTCACTGCCGAAGCCTAGCTGGATGGAAGCGCGAGCGCAATTCTTCTGGTCGGACGAGCGTATCAATCAACGCTCTTTGGGAACATGTCAGATGGCCTCAGCGACCGCTGGCCAACTTGTGTTGGTTTCGACTAGGTCGCGATCTTACACCATGGGAAATGCCTAGATTGAGGATTGTCAAAGTGCGGGACACGGAACCACGACCAGAGCTCCTGCTGCAGGTGGGGCAACGGGGCACTTTGTACAAACGGGTTGTGATCATCGATAAAGGCGAGGCAACGTCGGTGGAGCAGTCCAGACATTTGTGTCCCACATTTACAGCTAGTAATAGGTCCATCTCAATGTAGATCAAATCTCTCCATGATCTCGTCCATCTCTGGACGGCAGACTAGCACGGCGTAGGGACGGGCAAGACCGCAGTATGAGTTAGGAGAGCCCGGGATTGGTGAGTGAACTCGTGGAAATGTGGCCTTTTGCATGACACTTCCATTGATGCAGCCTCAGGAAAGTGAGGGCTCCCTGGAAAATAAAGCGAGGGGTGCGAGCGGAGGCAAAAGCGGCGGCATCGACAAGTTTAGAGCAAATAGCGTGGCGATGGTTGGTTATCTACTAAAACTGTTGTAAAAAATCGCGCATCCCAGCTTTGCATCATTGCCCTCGGCTCGGCTGTTGATGGGTGCGCACAAAGGACATTACGAAGGGAGGCAGACGGCTGACAAATTTTCGGACCAGGGATGATGGAACACCAGAGATAGATCCGATGCCAAAGTCTGTCCGTGGCCCTGCTAGTATGCTTCCTCAGCTAAGCAGGAAAGGCTGGGTTGGGGAAGGGGAGAAATCACGAACCACTCCAATTAGGGAAGAAGGGTTCGCAAATTGGTGGACGGTTCGCTGTCACGGAAAGAACTCTTCCTCTGGCACTTGGCTAGTCCAGTAGCCTCCGGTGAGATTGTTTTTCAAGGATGAGCCAAGATAAAACACTCTGGTCTTCCCGCAGAAGACAATAGATGGAAAACGTCCCTGCCACAAGCTCTACCCAGCTCTAGGAGACCAAATGCCTTGGACAAATAGCTCCCCGCCCTCTTGTGGGAAACCAACTCCTCGAAACCGTTCTAACCGCAATAGCCAACTTGACCAGCGACCAGCCGAGCAATATTCACCGTAGCCGCTGAAACACGGACTGATATACTCTTTGCACATTATCGTTGAATTCGATTTTGACAGCGCCATTGATTCCACTGGAGGTGGGTCGTCAGGTAGTGACCGTCTTTCGACCTAGCAGGGATACTTGAGGGCTACTGCAAGTATCAGAAATGGAGCCGTTCATGCTCCTCGCCGATCCAACTGTTGAAATTAGCGCCATGTTGTCGAGGGATTTAAAGCCTTTGTCTTTTCTTGTCCTGTACCTCACACAGACAGACCTACGCTCGGATAACCAGCTTCTTCTTTACCACCCAAATCATTCTGCAAGTCGTGATCGCAATATGCCCAAAGCGGCATCATTTTCGCGAAACGCAGTTTCGCACGCCTCTAACCGCGCAAGACGGACTTCCGGCCGCAGTCCACCTTTCCTCCCCGTTGCACAGCCTCTGGCTGCCGTTCCCGGTGCCTCCCAGTATACCACCGACGTACAATCACCACGGTCACCGGTATGTGAACGAACCTATGCCGTTGCTATAGATGTGTGGCAGGGATGCCCTTATTGACCTCTGACCGCTAGACCGAGCCCAAGAAGATTTCAGAGAAGGGCTCCGATGAGGAAGATCCCAAAGTGATCCATAAGAGATGCTACGAGGTCATTGGGAGAGCGGACCATATCTTGACTGAAGCGCGACAGCGATCTTCAAATACCATACGACAACTCAACGCGGACAAGGCGCAGCTCTCTGCTGAGAAGCAACAAGCCATTGACGAGATCAGCCAACTCAAGTCGGAGATTCAACAAGTGAAGCAGGAACTCGAACTTGCCACCACAAACTTCCAACACCAGAGGGTGCAGGTCGATGAGCAGCGGTTTGTGCTAGAGGTTCACGCCATGGCTCTGGCGTTGACGAATAAGCTTTGGAGCAGGACGGAGGCACACAGAAATGCGTCTATTGGCCCCCAACTGCAATTCCCCGATATGGCTCAGGCTTCCTGGTCAGACAATGCAGGGCAGTACACCGCGTTGAACAGTCACCCCCTCCCGGCAAATCATCTATCGGGGACCCAAGACGGGCTGGCACAATTCAATACATACTCATCGATATCCTGAACCATACCGGAGGGGGAGCCGACGAGAGGAATTGGTGTAACCGGGCAATAAACTATTGAGTAATATTTTTCAGCGTTCCTTGATAGCCTAAAGACTACAATCAACTTTAAACCATATCCAGACGGGAGACTGGTTGCGAACGGGGAGAATAGGCTGCGCAAATATAGCACTTGTTGGTGGGTAAGATATATGCAGTAAACCTGAAGTTAGTAAGCCAATTATGCACCTTCCACAGTCGACATATATGAGTTCCTCTTATGGTAAAGCGGGACCAGATTTGCCATCGCAGTGCGTACCCGGAAGTAAGCCCGACATATCCGTGGTGAGTGACTCGTGGATCTGCACCGTGGAATGAACTGACACCAGGTTCGTGCCGGTTCCATCATGAAACAACGGCCAGGCCCAGGTACGCCTTGTGCCAGCCCCCGCAACCAACAATTGTAAAAGCTTTAGATCGATACGTACGCTTGACGAGCTTCATACGCCCCTGTGGATTACTTTTGTATAATTCGCTTCCCCTAGCTCCCATGACAGAAGACTTGTCTTTCTCTTACCAGAACCAGTCGGATCTGGCAGCAGATATCTGAATCGACTGATTTTGTCACTAATCGACTAAGGACCGCGGCAAAGGACTCAGGTCAAGGTAAATCATAGACCGCGTTCGCTGTTAGATCGGCGTTAGGTTAGGAGTCCAAGGCTCGTCCGGGTGAAGCAGGTGGCACCTACACAGCCTGCGCCGCCTACACGAGCCTGCAATTTCATTGGCAGCCAAAAAAAAAAAACCCAGCTATTGCGAAAGGACCAATGGTTTGTTTCTGGGAGAATAATCTGGTATCATTCCTCTCCCAAGTTCAGCCCGCGCCAACTCCCAAGATATTTATCCTTGACACATTGTGTTTCTGTAGTTTCTGTAGTACTACCGGAGAGTAAGTAGAACCCACTGTAAACTTTCCAGGCCTTTTGTAAGCTGGTAAAAGCGATCAGTTGATGGCGTGGACCTAGCTGACATACCACGGTTGATAACTAATTGGGTTCGTGCTCTCTAAGCGGCTTTGTTATGATGGGCGTAGATCTGCACTATGGGGTTCTTTAGCTCGTGCTGGGGCAATTTAGTGACCTGTAACACTACTACGCCCATTTTACATTACCAGGCTATAATGGGGGCATGGATCACGCGGCTTGTCCGAGAGTGATGGTCTTCTGGCCATGAGATCCGCTCCCTGGCCGCCCCTTTGAGGGTTCTTTCTCGCGTGCCGAGGATCCGTGCGCATCTCCGCGAGTTTTCCGGTTCCCACGTTCTCTTTACTTCCGCCAGGACAATGAATTTCAACCGTCATCGCTATTCGTTGGCAATAGTTCAGTGAAGGAACAGTGATTTCTGCTAGGATATACGGGGATTCGAGGTTCGTAAGCTCGTGGACTGTGCGGTGGAACTGAGATAGGACCAAAGGTTGGTCAGGTTCGAGTGGTCCTCAGACAATTTGCGGTTCCGAATGGCGTTAGGGGCTGACAGTCACCCGAATTTAATGGTCCTGTCAAGATTCGGATCCAGGATGCTCTAACGGCCAGACCTATGTATGAGTCGCATAGATCTACATCCTAGGCTAAGCCTACAGTTTCCTGTCAGTAATACCATAACGGCCCCGATTAGGAGCACCGACCTATGTGGATCTGTCGTGGCGCGATATGTTCAGGAGTGAGTGGTCGCTAACCATTCTCTGCTGCCCCAAGACGAGGCTGGGAGCTTATTGGCAGCCGAGAAATTCGGACCATTATGAAACGCGCTTGAGGCCAATAGTGTGCTTTCTGACTGGAAACTTTTGTAAAAATCGGTCAATATCACACATTATTGGCCGGGGAGGCCGATCACTCAGGGATTCAATCTTGGCAAACCGATATTCCCGTATCGATCTGCATCTACATCGGTGGATTATCGATACGCTCTACCTGGATGGGATCTAGGCCCAACTATGAGCCCCGCTGCATTCCTGTATGTACCCCAGCGAGCACGGGGCAGATCGCATATTTGCCGCCATTTCCACGCACGCTCGTGTGAGGCCTAGCTTTGTGAGAGATCAGCAGTTCTGCGGTTGGCGGGTAAACAATGGGAATCCAACCCTATGCTTTTCCGATTCCTATGACATTGGAGACCTCGCCAATTGTCAAACCACTTGTCTACTCGAGATCTGGACTAATGAGGGTCCACTTCGGAAGAACCATGACCCACCCGCGATGAACACGAGTTTGGAAATCAAAAGAGGAGAAAATCGATTGCTTGGGGGAAGCATGGGACGAAACGAAAGTGCGATATCAACGCCAATAAACCTCATTGCGACTAAGAGGTCACTCCTTTGGATTTGGAATTACAAGCTATGAGCCCAGTAGCTCCATCCATTGGCTTGCGGAGAATTCCCGTATCTTACTCGCACCGGTTTCTAATACGTACTGGTGATCAACACTCTCTTGCCATCATCCGATCAACTCTGCGGGCCGGTTCCGTAGTTGATCCTCTGTCACCGGAGCGAGATCGCAGGCGGTATGGCGGCAGGAACAAAGAATAATGGAGACTAGCGCTGCTGACTGGATTTGTGGGCCAGGGGGTGCTTGGACCAACGCGCCATGGTTGACCTTTCATTTGACCCACATAGATCACCTTATAGTGGAATCATCTCAACATGAGTCATGGGATCGTGCCTGAGCCTGCCCCTTGCCGCTAAGGACGGTGGTCAGCAAAAAGCTCCACCAGACGGGGCGCGTAGGTCGCTGCGCCAGACGCCGATCACCAATTCGTGCCCAGTGGAGAGATAGGGGCTTTCCCGAGTGTCTATCGCCCGGGGATTTTCCAGGCGAAGATCTGCTTGAGCTGAGAGGGTACTGAACACACGATTTCTGGGAGACACAAACTTCCTATGGCTATGCTGCATCTCAATCTAATCCATTTGTTTCTTAGTGTCATGGTACAGTCCCATGTGTCGTGGCCTGGCACTCCTGTTATTGGGTCTCAACCGTAGCGCATAACGGCGAGCTGGCTGACGTATTCACAGCAACTTGTATTCCTACTGCGTCGAGCGCTTACTGCGTAGCGTCTTCCTCTCCACAGTTAGCGTGCTCCGGGCCTTCCATAGCTCATTTACCATTTCCTGCAAGCGATCGACCTTTGTCTCCAGTGCGCGGATCTTTTGCGACATTGTGTTCATGTACTGGTGGGTACCGTCGTTGAAAGTACCTTGCTTTCTTAGTCGATCCTCGTTGTTGCTGTAGTGTTCCAGGTCAGTATGATGACCGAGGATGGCAAATTCAGTGCGGGCCCAGCCGGATAATACTCACTGGACTCGGTCGTCCAAGCTAGGAATTTGTCAGTAAGAACACCTTGAAATCCTCGATGGAGATCTGAAAAGACATACTCTCTAATCAAAGTATATGCCACCGGATCTCCTGGGGTGTTCAACGTAGGATGCCGGGACGAGTCCGGCTCGCCTAGAACGCTTTCCGTCTTTATCGCCCGTGGTTGCTGCTCCTCCTGGTCGTCTTCATCCATCTTCACTACATAATTCTCGTCACATGAATCATCACCGGATGCATGTGACCGATGGTCATCGTCCTGCGAAAGCTCTGGAGAGTCTGCGGAGCTCTCTCCTGTCGTGCTAGGCGAGTGTGATGCCATCAATATGTGCTGCAGTTCGCCGAGGAGACTCACTGGCTCACTGCTGGACTGGTTATCCCTTGAATTGGCCATTCTTCTAGGGCGACCAGAAAGGTAGGGGTGAAGAAAAGGAGTGAAGCCGTTCTGATCGAAGGGAGATTGGCTTACATTTATATCTGAATCGGAGACGAAGAGCCGTACTCAAGTATAATATGGTAACAGGAACGGGCTTCGCTAGTGGTACTACGGGCATAGGGTATTCGCCTTTGGCGAATAAGGAAGCTTTCGTTTGTTTGGATACTGTACGAGCTGCTGGGGCCAGGATTGTTGAAGCAAAACGACAGTACATGGACACAGAGCTTCTATACTGTGGGTCCGTCGATTCGCTTCGCCATATCCCCCCTACTGACCTCCTATATGGTCGGCCTTAAGAAAAAAAGCTCTTCATGAACCTCGGCAGTCTCAACCACCCCGCGCCCCGAATGAAGCGATATCTTGACCTGAGCACAAAGAGATAGCTGCGGCGTGTACATTGAAACCCACGCATTTGTTTTCGACCTGTGTATGGCACGGCAACTTAACCACCTACTTGACCACCTACTGGTAAAAAGCAACCCGTTGAGATTACCTGATTACCATAACGGCTTAAGAAGGCGAGACATGCCCTTGTTTCATATTTCCACGGCCGTCAGAGAGTTTGATGGTTACATTGCTATTCCACCAGCTTAGGGCTGCAATTGCACAACTGGGGATGAGTCTTCCTGGGGGTGGGGCTCAGTTTAGCAAGGTTCACCGTTCCAGGGACGGATAACACGGGACGGGCCTAGAGCCGGGCAAACGATATCCACCTTGCACGATTCGCCGAGGGATTTTTGATTCCACCATTGGTCTGCAGGGGTGCTCTTGGTGTCCAGGACGGAGACCATCACCAAATAAAATAAAATTATAACAGCCATCCGCCCACCAGTCGTGCCCTCGACAAACGTCTGTCTGTGGCTACACTTACTTGTTATTCCCCATTCCCCACTCTCACAGTCCTCTCTCAAACAATGCCCAAAGCAGACTATATTCCTTGGTCTCAATGGGAGGAAGAAAATCTTCCACGGTGGTTATCCGAGCATAGCATGCTGTCCTGGAAAGCCAAGTCTGAGGCATATTACAGGCATTATGGGCTTCCAAGGACCCCCGAAGCGCTGCGGAGCAAGCTCAACCAACTGAATAGGCCACGCGGGGACCTCCCCGGGGGAATACATAGATACCATCACTCACCCGCTCGCCGGGCACGCCATCACCGGCATCGAGACTCGCAAGAACTTCCTGTCCGCTCTTTGCCTCTCCGATCGAGGGCTCCCCGCACAAGGAGCCGTGCCTTCTCGCAGCTAGTGCATGAATCGAGACCGTCTGAGCAAGGTCTGCATGGCCGATGGGAGCAGTCCTTGCCGTCTATTCTCTCACACGCCGGCGAGATGGCTGTGATGGCACGTGAAGATATTTCGTTGATTCCACGACGAGAGTACTCTAGTAAGTACTGCAGTACACAAGAAATCAATGCTAAGCTGACGAAAGAACGTGTCGCAGTATACGAGCTTCCCAATCCACCATTATTGCGACGAGAACAGCCTCGATTGATGGAACAACTCTGGAGAGCAATCCACAGAGTCGCTGGTCGCCCTGGAGACTAGGAGAGAAAGGCCTCTGAAACAAAACATGTGATATAGGAATCCAGATACGCTATGTCACGTTTGCAAGAATCGGAAAGTAGAGATTATCTCGTACGTACGATAATTGGTTGGGACTTGGGAATCACATTCAAACCACTACAGTCACCCTTCCGTAAGAGTACATGGAGTAATATGTTTTAAAATATATAGATACTAGAGAACACGTTTATGACAAACTTGAGATAAGACTAGAATAATATTTTCATGGGCATAGATCTACTTATTCCAATGCCTGAGTATTTTCCGCCTTCAAGCTGTTTGGAGACTAAAATGTGCAACAGAGCTGTTCTCGTCTCCCGCACGGTCCCGTACAACGCCGCCGCCTCGCAATTATCAACAATGGAACTTACGATTGTTTCAGAGCACGAGTTTCCTTTTTCGGACTAATTTGTCTACTGCGAATTACAGCATCCTATCTGCTACGGGGGTTTCATGAGAATGCATGATAATGCTAGTAGGGGTAAAGGGCTTTTGCTCCGTACTAGGTGATGCAATTCTGTCCAAGCCATAGTATATACGTAGACATGGAAAGCTTGGACGGGACTAGTAGTGCCCATCCGGCTATGTCAGGAAACTATGGCATCGCTGCTGATAGTTTCGGAGATACATTGGATCTTCCAAAAACACCAGACGTATTGCTACTCAGCCAACATCGGAATAAGCCAGTACTCCCCACAAGACGCTCCATAAATTCCACAGGCCCTAAATTCGTTGCCATCAACATGGGGACATACATAAATGGGTGGTCAGAGGGGCTGTTAAAGGAATAATTCAACAATGTCGTGACAGGAGTAGAGCGATAAATGCACAAGAACAAAGTCAGAAAAAAGAAAAACGCGCTTGTAAGAACGTTGGACAATCCACGCCACATTAAGTCAAAGTGTTATTGTCTAGACACGCAAAATAACAAATGTAGTACTATATTTCATATGGGGACTCAATTAAGCTACCACCTGGGCATGCGGTGATAAGTCGAGGCCCGTCTAAGGAGACCCCATCCCAAGTTAAGGGATCGGTCATGCTCACTGGACAAAATGGTAAGCAACTAGGTAAATCGTCGAACAGCCGCTCCGATGCATCGCCACTACAATTCTCCAATAGGTCTTTCCGCCGCACTAGAAACTGCTGTCCTGGGTACCGCTCGTCAAGGGAGAAGTCTCCAAACGCCAAAGCCTGCAGTACCAGTAGTCCGTCTGGCCCGAAAGCCCATTCGGCAAAGACCAGAAATTCTGTTGCTCTAGATATGGCCGAAGAGAGATCTCCCTTCTGTGGATCCGATTGCAAGTCTGATTACCACGTCATTGATTGATCGAAATACTGATCAAAAAAGCTGATGTAGTTGTTATCACTGTCGGAGCTCATCGAAAGATTAGCGATTTCCTCCGCGAGATCTTTGATTGGACCGCCACTTTGTCTCTTCCGTAGAAGGGCGAGAATATCTCGTCAGATGTCACAGTGAATTCTCTCGGTACCGCTGAAACGCAAATGCAAAACCTGAAGCCTCGAAGATGCGGCCGTAGGTTGAAGAGCTCTTTGCTGTGATGTGTCAGCGCGTTTCCTATTTTTTTTTCCCGCGAGGGCCTAGGACTTACTGCGGCAGATGGGGTCGCACACAGCGCCAATGCGGTGACGCGGGACAGATCTACGATGGTCGTTAAATTAGGAATCCAAACGGGTGACGTATCCCGATCGTCCTCAAACAGCCCTTCGTTGCCGATCGCTGTGAGCCGGCGCTGGTGAAAGACCAAGCTTTCGAGCGTTGGTCGGTGGTGCTGGATAGCTTCCTGAACCCGGAAGCCTAACTCCGGAAAATTGGATAATCTCAATCGGAGATGTCGTAGTCCCTGGATAGAGATCAAAAATTGAATAACCGAAGTAAAGTCATAAACGTCATCCGGTTCGTGCAGCAAGAAATCACAACACAGTTCAAACTCTTTAAGCGCGATTCGTGAACCAGACAATGAACGTAGAAAGCGGAAAGCATTCGGGCAGTCACGCAAAAAGTCAATGCTTGGAGGCTATGAAAAGAATAGAATTGCAGATCCCCTGTGAGGGTCACTTTGGAAAGTGACAGTACTGAAAGTGGTGGAAAAGGTATAAGCTCATGCTCGTAGGATTCAATGCCTGGTCAACGCAGGCCCATGACGTCCCAGTGAAGGCCTCGGGCGTTGGGAGACAGCACGAATCCAATGGAAAGATCAGTCAAGTGCATCCAGTTTTGCTGAATGCATTTTCGCAGTGATTCAACCTCGGCTGGGTGCTGGATTCCTTCCCACTCCAGTTTGGTCAGACTTTATAATCGAGATAGACCGTCCAGACAATGCTGCGCATGGGGACATGTGCCATCGGTAACCAGCGTGAGGCAAGTGAGGCGTTTTTGGTGCCGGCTTAGATAGCCTCCTTCGTCCAAAACCCCCGCCGGGATACAAGTGCCCAGGCGCCATCTATTGTACGATCTATCTTCGGCAAAATGCGGTCGAATGGATGACCGTTAGAGTTGTCGCGGCTGGGCTTGATAAAGGTGATAAGGACAAAATTTCGAACAAAATTAAGAGTTGGTCCTACGTGGGAGGGAAATATGATGCATTGAGCAGAGACATTGGAGAAAAAAAGTGGTGCAAAGTTATGGGTACTTGGGCAACTTGTTCTGCTTGCCTGAGGATGTCACGGACAGATTGTGAGTTATACCAATTGCCAATATTCTAAATCTGACCATTTCAAAGCATTTTAAAAGAACTTCCAGTCAATGGAAATGACAGGAAGAGGGTGATCGGCTCTTTGATGCGACGAGGGATCCGCGAACTGGACCAAATTGCGACGATAGATGACTTGGCCCACCGTGTTTTCAGCTTGCTTTGGGATAAGGTCGAATCGTCAATTGGGCACAATGAATCAGAGATGACAGGCGTATCAGCTTATTTGAAAGGTACGTTCACATGAATGGCTCCTAAGTGTACCGTTGTTCACATCTGGTTTAACCAGATACACGCCACTTATTCATGGAGCAGCGTACATCTTACCACGATACCCACAATCGTCTTGTGACCGTTTTCCTCCGAAAGCTGGAATATTATCAAGGAATTCTTTTCTTGACTTCAAATCGGGGTATCCAGTTTGATGATGCAATTCTCAGCCGGATCCATTTGACTATTGAGTATGAGGATTTGACGAGAGAGTTTCGCAGAGATCTCTGGTCAACTTTTTTGTCCAAGGCACGTACGATGCAAGGACCTGCTGTGGTTGAGGAAGACGACCTCCGACGATTGGAAGCATTGGATCTAAATGGACGAGAGGTGGGTTTAGAACGTTGCTAAGCAAGTTCCATTTGCTGACTAGCATGAACCAGATCAAAAACATCGCCGCTATCGCACATGCTCTCGCTGAGGCGGACGTCAACCAGGTGAACTACAAATACTTGGAGTTAGCCGCCGAATCAAATAAGAAATTTTCAAAGGAGTTTGGCAGAGGGAGGCCTGTTGATGGAATGTATGTCTAACAGCATACCCAGTGTGTCGTTCCTCAAGGCTGCCGAATAGTCCCTTATGGAAATATTTTCGGTTAGTACACGACAGTCTATTATTGTTCCTGAAGCTTCATAGTTGAATCAAGTCTTATATAAATCATTTCATTATGCCAAAGTAAAGTCCGAGAGGACTGGATGATCAGTTCATCATGGTCAACCTGTATAAGAAGTATACATCTCTTAAGGCAATAGTAGGTTTTCAGGTAAAGTGGGTATCAAGGATTGATAACAGGTTGAAGTCCTGGTTGGTTTGCGCGGATGTGGCCGGAAAGGCTCCAGGCTTCAATATCACGCATGATTGAATTGCTAACCCAACATATTAAGCACTGCCTCACGTCACACGAAGACGTTTTTGCTCTTCTGGCTCCAGTCGATGTAGTTGTCGTTTAACCGCTCGTGGTCGCTGCAAAGTCGGTCGACATTTCAAAGTGGAGCCGTGAAAGTCGATGATCAATGCCCGGCCAAGTTCTTCATTCCATAGAATATTGTCACGCCTCAGATCTTCGTGAATGATTCCCAAGGCTTTGATTTCTTTGTGTGATCTGCGAATTTCTTGGCGGAGCCAAGGCGCCAGTTCCATCGATGTTGTACTTTCTCCCCCCAGCCCATCACGAGCATATGACGAATTTCTCCAGCTCCATGAAGAAAATAGATTTTCGCCAGATCGAGAGTACCCAGAAAAACAGGCACAGCAGACCCTTGAACCTTTCGCAGAATTTGGTATACCTGCGCTTCGCGGGAGACTTTTTCCACAGCCCCGACGTGGTTCCCTTTCCGATGACAGTGTAGCCATATACGACGCAGGTAAGTTTAAATGGCGCACCGTATGCCCCGCAATCTCCGAGCGGTATGCAGCGGTCAATGTTTTCGTCCAACTGTGCTTTAAGTAAACGCACCAAATCTCCCAAGCTTATCGGATGTCGAAGATCGTCTTTAGTTCGACGATGGAGCATCACATTTGGACAGAAGTCGTCTAGGACACCGCCTGATTGCAATCCGAGTAAACATCGCTGGGTGCAAAATTGTGTATTGCGATGTCGGGTCTGGTTGCCTTGATTATTTCCGTTATCCTGTTGACGACCTGCTCGTTGGGTAGACGGGGATGATGCAACTTGGCTGAAGCCCCGCTTGCGGCTTGTTGCTTGGTTCGAATCGGAGCCTGATGAGTCTGGCGACTGCGAGCGGTGTGGTACACCTGACGGTGCGCAGCCTGCCTGAGACCTTGTAGACACTCGGCGGGCTGCTGCTGTTGGAGAATCCGGTGGAGACGACGGTAATTCATAAGACGAGCCCGATTCCGGACTCGGATACTCCGGGTTGGTACTGTCTGAGTGGAAAAGGGTCTGCCGCAGTTCTGCTTTGGGAATCTGAGAACGGGTATGGTCAAAGCTGGTCTTCCAAATAGGAATCTCTGATCGCATAGAATTCCGCCATTCCTGGGCACGCGCAGTCGAGGAAAAAGCCATCAAACACAGACACAGTGTCCTCGCAACAGAAGTCTTCCGTAGCTGAGAACTATATTCAACTTCTGGGTTCACTTCGCTGTTAGGGTCACAAAGAAAGTAGTAAAGCGTGCTAGGCTCGTCTCGTGGAACACGGAGTACGACTCGAGCAATCCCGTTTGTCACATAGGAGTACTCGAGTCCTTCCTGGATCATCACATGATACTCCTGGACAAGCGCGGAGCAGACAAGCCGCTCTGCATTGTACCTCAATTTAGCTTCCTGGTTTGTCGGTATTTTGTTTGATCTGACCATCTCCTTCCATAAGTCCATTGGACGGAGCCCTATACGAAGGGTTGCGACAGAAAGCTTGTGTGGCGGCTTATACTCGACAGTCGTGAGGAGCGTGGCACCGTTGCCGTCGACACGATGGATGCAAAACTGATCAGGTCTTGGGCGGTGTACACTTGACGGTTGGCTTGCATCCGCTTCAATAGCTTCATTCTCATTTAGGGAATTCGTATGATTGCTGAATTGGATTCCATCACCGAGGCCAAACTCATCGCGAGCAGCGGGTATTTTGCGCAACTCGGAAATTATATCCTGGACATGCTCTTCCACGGCAAACCGCTCATAGGCCTCGAGTTCTTGCTCGCTGCTTATAGGCGTACGAGAAAATCGTCGACCTAATCCTTCCAACTCATGCAACGATGAGAACAGACGTGGCGCCCCTGCCGGCGTCAGCTGAAGGTAGCTACAGACGGACTCGTAGAGCTCCGACTGTTGTGTTGAAAAGACGTTCCAGTGTTCTAATCGCGTCGGGCAATGTTTCCCGGTGGGAAGGGGTATTTTCCCGGTAGTCGATCGAGATGGTGTCTCAACTCTCAACGGTCGGGAGAGGAGGTTGTGAGAATGGCGCAATAACTCCACGAACCTGGTCGGTCGGGTGCGCTCTTCAGCTCGTTCCCGTCTCTCTTTCTCCTGTCTGCCTTCATCTTCGGCCTGCTTCCGTCTCTCCTCTTCCTCCTTCCGTCTCTCCTCTTCCTCCTTCCGTCTCTCCTCTTCTTGCCTCCGTCCTTCTTCTGCCTGTAGATAAAGAGATTTGTAATCTGGGGAGCTGTTATCGGCCATCGACTGTTGGAAAGGGGAGGCAATAGCTTGAGATTGACAAGTTCCGACGGGGCTGGACACAGGTGCTGAGGTCAGCTGATCACGGTACCCGGCAGAGCTATTTTCCGGTAAATAGTTCCTGCACAAGTGGTGTGTGTTTTAAATCATCTCAGCTCAAAAGTGTACTCCGTATTCCACCCTCCGTACAGAGTACTGTACATACAGTATGTACTGTACGAATTGAGGGCGGAGGTACCCACACGGTTGTCCTTGCAACCAGGCTAAAATAATTTCGGGCCAGAGACCTGGGGGGTGCGAGAGTATTAGAAAAATGCACGGACCTTAGATCTATGTGGAGAGGGTGATGATGTTTAGCCAATCCTATTCAATCAGCCCGATTTTCTACGGAGAACAGTGTTTAAACAATGTTCTCACCACTATGGACGCCCTCATATTTTAAAATTTGAGACACTTGAATTAATTGCTATACCTCGTCACCACTTGCCTGCGGCCTCACTTTTAAACGGAAGTTTGGGTTGCTCTTTCAGCACCTCCTTTTTTCGTCTTAACTTGGTGGAACGCACAACTAAATGCTTTTATTCTTCAGCTTCCTGTTCATTTAATCTGATCAATATAGTACATCAATTATTAATAACCAACGATTGCCGTGACAGTATTCCCTCAAAACTAATATGGCGGTGATGAAGAGTGAAAAAGTTTTGATCGCCATATAATATCTACTCTTCAAGATGATTATTTTGTGTCACAGAAACGAAATCCTCTGACATGAAGACTAAAACTCTATTGTCACCATCATCGCTGCTTATCTTATCGGCGAAGGTTCGCATTGCTGAAAACCGACTGTGCGTACATATTCAACGGAGCAGTATATGCTAGCTAGGGTACTGTATACGACTATTAGATCACCAAAGAGTAGAATGGCCGGAAAAATATATCGTATAGGGCATTGTTGATGGGGAGACACAAAGTCGATGGGGAATAAAAAAAAATGAAGAGTCAACAAGAGGTTTGGGGGAACAGTGGGTGGTGAAACAATGAACTCCATAGAAATATGGTGGTTAAACTTCTCCTACACGTAGAGAGGTAGGGTATGCATCGAATTAGCCAGACAAGACCATTTTCACCAACCCACCTTGGTATCCACAAAAGAGGATGGAAATGTGTAATATATTGTTGTTAGGGAGGAAGAAAATTGATGGTGATGAAAACACAAGAGTCAACAGGGGGAATAGAGTTGAGGGCTGGTGAAACAGCAATTAATTCCCACATATCTCAGTGGACTCAAAAAAGAAAGGGCATGCTCGTTGAACACCATCTTAGAGGGTGTGTATTGAAAATGATTGGCCAACCCCCCCCCCCCCCCCCCCAAAAAAAAACCTGATCCTCCTGAGATCACGTGCAGTTCCTAATACCCTGGCACCCCCAGGTCTCCGGCAGGAACTGGGGACGTTTCCGGGAGATATGTAGCTCCTAGGGCGGACGACGAGCTCCCACCTCCACGTGGTGTCCGCTGGGAACTCTCAGAGAAACAGTTTGGCTGTCTCCGAGTGCCAGGAGGAGCTCAACGACGCGACTATCCCCCTTTCTACGTCGCGCCGACGCGCCGAAAACCGAGCCTCCGAACCTCACGAAACACCAAACATCACAGCCCCAGTACAGCAGAGGGAGTCGTGCCCCCCTCACGTACGCCCCGCGATGGAGAATGGAACTTGAGTCACTCCATTTGTCCTGCCCGACAATCGTTTACGGCGCCGGAGCTCGAAGAGTATGCGATGCGGACGCGAAGCAGAGGACGGATATGACCAACACAACATGGCCACAACCACCAACAGCAAAGAACCCACGCCCAAGAAGACAACCACACTCTATCACAACATCCCGACGCGTCAACATCGACCTCCAACCTCACGAAACACCAAACATTATAGCCCCAGTACGGTAGAGGCAGTTGCGCCCCTCTCACATACGCCTCGACATTGCTCAACAAATGGACATCACAAAAACAACACTACCAACACCACCAACAGCTCAGAACTTTAATTCGGAACATACATATTTTCCAACTTCACAGTTAACCTGTGTCCTAGCAGACGGTTACTCCAAGAGACGCGTCCCGGACGCGTCTTTTGTTGCGAGAACGTCTACACGGCCTCAAGTCAACACAGACCTGGAACACATCAAGGAGCAAGCCACAAACACTTCTACTGCCACACATACGGTAACATCGGCACTCAATGTAGCACACGCCAAACATACGGAACCGACAGCCAAGACCATTACAGGACGGGCCCTCCGGGCAGCCCATCCACGGTGCTCAATTTACCGCAGACGAGTGATTATTGTCAAACAGAAGCAGAGGAGGGCCAGGAAAGGCCTGACAAGTCAAAGATACAGAACAGTTATTAGAACTATCAGTACCGGAGGGTGCAACTGCTGGGAACAGAAGGGGAAAGCACTTCGTGAGAGGAAGAGCTTGATTTCTGGATGCAAGAAGCGGGAACACCTGTATTTATAGTTGTACGCTGCATAGCTGCCGATAATTGGGCGGCTGGGACAGTCTATGAATAAATCAATCAATCAATTAACTTCAGTGTACTCGATACCCTGCAAGCGCGTAGCTTGTTTCTTAAAACATGCGGTGGCTCTCAGGAATATAAAATCTTCCTGGGAGCTTATAGTATCCTCCTAGGAGTAGTAGATGGCGGATCCTAGGAATGGACTGGTTCCTGGGAGCACCGGTCGTCGGCTCCTAGGAATAACCCCTTGTTTCCTAGGAGGAGCCTAGTATCTGATTGATTGATTGATTTATTCATAGACTGTCCCAGCCGCCCAATTATCGGCAGCTATGCAGCGTGTGACTATAAGTACAGGTGTCCCCCACCCTCACATTCAGAAAACAAGCCGTTCCTTGTCCGAATGACTTCTCCGTCCGCTCCAGTAAGTTACATCCCAACTCGTAGTCCTGATGACCGTTCTGTTTCTATGTACCTGTCGGGCCTTTCCTGACCCTCCTCTACTTCTATATACCAAAACGGAGCCTAGTATCTTTTTTTGGGAGAGCACACTGTGGTTTCTAGGGCTACCTAGACATCTCCTAGGAGTACGTGAAGGTCCCAGGAGCAGCAAGTGGGTATAGCGAGAGAGGTGAGATAAGATATTTTTCGCCAATCGGACGCTTAAAAAATGTGTCTATGCCTTTGAAGGCACATCGTTAGATCAGGAGTGCTAAGTCATGGCGTAGAAAAGTCAAACGCCTCGGGTGGTTATAAGTGCGTTTATCCCGGGTGGTCATCAAAACACACAAATTCAACAAGCCCTCGCTTTCCCGGACTCGATCAGCTTCAACGCGGATATGCACATCCCACAGATAGTGCATTCAATTCTGGCTACAGTGTTGCTGTGCATTGGCTTTTGCCGACTCGTGTCGAATCACCGCACTTTTCCCGGCAACGTGCTATACCAACGGCTTGACCTCGCACTGTCAACATTCATGTTTATCCTACTTGCCGTGTCCGTAGGGTTGAACTGGAGTAACACAAATGTGACTGGTCTTTCAAGCCTGATTCCTATGTTGTTGTGTGATTGTTGACATTTCTCGGCAGGAATACACATTTTGACCGGAATGACCAGCATATTGCCGCCTTTACTGGAGGTATGGCACAGCAAGATGCATTGATTTAGTCCGGCTGACCAATGCATGCTAGGGCCTCCGGCTGGACCTTCTTCTGAGTGAACCTCGGATTGCGCCCGATAAACAGTTGCCGCATAAACAAGTCTGCTGCATTGTGCTGATAGCCCTCTCTAGCTCGGGCAAAGCCACGGCCGTCCTGATAGGCACCTATTTTTATCCTCCTTTGCAGCTTATCGTGGTTTTTCTTCTCTTTTTCGATTACCTAGGAATAGCGACTTCTTACTGGTGGCTATCTCGACTGGCACTATCCGGCCATAATGGTCGACTTCAACTCAAAATCATGTCTTTCGGCATTTATGGGCTAGCTACCACCATTTTGTCTATTGCAATTGCGGGGGCTGCACTAGACTGCTGGCTATTGTCGCTTGAGGTATATCCGATGGTCCTGTACATAATTCTCTTGCAGTTTGTTCTGACGTATACAGCTCCAATTATCCATTTCTATCCTTTGGAATTTCGCTCTCATCATTTCTAGGGCTGTACGAGCTCCCCCAGAAACCACATTACCATCAGGGAGCCATTCAGCCTGTCTGACTGACGGCCATCGGCGCTCCTTTTACGGCATGCTGCTAGATATTGCGGATCCTGACGGTTATGACTGGTGGAGACATTTTCCCGCAAAGATCGACCCGTATATCTTTGGCTGCTTCTGGGGAAATAATCAAGAGACAATGATATCAATTCTGTGCCAGTATACTCCTGGATGGACGTTTTGGCAGACGTAGATGCAGCAAAGAATCCAAGGTCAAAAGGACATCAAATGTGGTGCACAATAGAAGAACATTTTCATGTACATCTAGCAGATCAGCCAAACAACAATCACTGAACCTCCTGAAATTCACCTTCCGCTGGGGCAGCCCATTCCCCCGCCGAGCAATTGTCCCAATCGCTAAGCACTCCGGCAATGCCCTCTCGGGCTTTAGCCAGTCCGTGTTCAAAGACGGCTAACTGCGCTTCCTGATAATTATGCCGGTGCTTTAGATACGCGCTTTCCTGGAGCAGCTGGAAATTGGTGATGCGGAGCTGTCGGTTTGCCTCCCCAAGACGTTGACTGTCAACGTGCTTGGAGACACAGGACTCCCACAGCCGTCGGTAGAGTCCGACAAGACGCGCAGCCTGGGCGGCAAATTTCGGGTCATCTTGGTCCAGCCGCTGCAACATCTCGACGAGCGGTTGAAAGGGCTGCGCATTCATGGCATGTTTCTCGCTGTCAACCAGTTGTGACGCAGTTGACTGAGAGTTTATTAGTAGAGATGTCCGCTGAGTTATACCACACTCCTTACCTGCTGCTGTAGACCTTGAGTCGATACACTGGGAATTACTGTCGCCTCATGTTCATGGAGAGATCCTGCCTCGGTAGACTGCGTGCAAGTAGGTTCTTGCTTTTGCTCACCTGTCCACTCTGACTGGTTGCTGCTATTCTCCATGATGGGCCGTGGTGGGACCTAATTGATCTAGCATTCCTGTCAAGGAAGGAGTGGCTATTTTATAGCTGCGACACCAGCGGGACACTGGGTACAAGACAGAGCCCAATGGGAAAGATGAAGCTTGCAGAAGCAGAACAATATCTCGCGGCAGTGTAAAGCGCTATGTATGTCACTCAATTTTACGAGTCCATCTTTTTGATGCAGACGGTCATTTTCCGTATCAAAATAGTGAGGTCAGAATCCTAACTTAATGTAAACGATGTTCAAAACAAGTAGCTGATTCTCCTGGCATCACACCCTGCTCGCTATCATCGCATTGGATTGTGCGGACCATCCTCAAACAGCCCTGAAGACGGCGCTGTGGTGTTGGGGATAGTGGTCTAATACTTGACCGTCATTTATTGACGGCTCTAATGAAAGAGGTACTGGACGATACTGCTAAGGTATGGCTTGAAAGTAAAACGTAAGAATTAGGGCCTCTATCGATGTACATAATATAGCCAAAGTCATCACAATTTTGGGTACCATTAGTTGCGTTTGAAGTCTTTGAGAAGACGTAGAAAATGGGTACAGTATGTGTGTGTGTGTGTGTGTGTGTGATGTCATTTACACTGACCCCTCGCAAAGCGATATGCAGTATACGACAACTGTATATCTGAGTATGTACAGATGGAATGATCCACTTGGTGACAGAATCTTTGAGCCTCGTCACGGCCTCCCGTGGCCCATTGCCGCTCCCATTGTTAGGCTGCCCTCATGGCGCACGACTGCGAAACCGCTGTGACGCCTCGGCAAAGTCCAAAACGGCCTGAACCGTCTTCGCCCTCGAGACGGTGTCTGGTTTACCTTTGTCACCTTCGGTTGAGCCTCCCAGCAGGCTCGACACGCCGCTCAGCGTGCCTCCAATTTTCCTCCTCAATTCTATCCTCAGCTCTCGTAGTCTGAGGCATTCCAATAATACGTGGGCAACTGTCTCCCGTGTTCCACATTCGCATAGGTCGTCATCGCGGAAGCCGAACTTCTTTGCGTAGGTAGATAACCAGTTGTGGCCCGTGCGTAGCTGCGTCAGCAGATAGGCGCGACTCCTTGGCAAGTTGCCGTAGAGCTTTCTCGTGTGCCGCGCCGGTAAGCCGCTGTCTATCTGCCGGAGATGGGCACCCTTGATGCTTGTTTTCCACTCTTGCTCCCATTGGGCATGGATTTTGCTGCGGACCAATGCGGTCTCTCTCGACAGTAGCGGTCGAAAAGGATGGGTTTTACCAGGCTGTGCTGCTTCCTTCGCCAAGCGATCCGCTGCGTCGTTTCCGACGTTCTCGCAATGTCCTGGCACCCATTGGAGGCGGAGCTTGACGTTCGCTGCCTGGACCTCGGAGGCCGCCTGTGTGATTGCGTGGACGATGCGTTGTCCGGATCGGTTACGTGGGTTCTCGATTGCTTGTAGGGCTGATCTGCTGTCGCATAGGATTGTTGCTGTTGACACAGGTCCGTCCTCCCGGTCGGTACGTTGATGGACCAGCATGAACACCATGTCCACCGCGTAGAATATGCCAATGAGCTCTGCCACGTGAACCGACCAGCGGTCCATCGGGCCCACCTGTACCTGGCGAGATTCCAATACCTCTTTGTCACCATTGAGCGTGACAATAGCCGCTCCCAGGTGGCCCTCGCGCCCAGACGCATCCGAGTAAACAACGACCTCGGATGTCTCCCTCGTGGACTCTGCTCTTTCTCTCGCTGTCTCTCGATCGCGCTCGAGTTCGATTTCAAGGAAGGCCTTCGTTCGCCAGGGTGGCAGTGGGCGTGGGTCGATCGTCTCTAGCTCGTTGAGCCTGTCGACGTCCATGGTCTTCATCGCCTCTGCTAAGGGGAAGCGCGCGTACGATCCCACGTTATTTCTACGATTCTGGGCGCGTGACAGTGCGTTCCAGATTGGATGGTCGCGTGGTAGTGTGTGTAATCTCGCTATGGTGCATTGCGCTCGGTGTCGGAGACGGAGGTGCGTGGGGACGACATGGGTCTCCACTTCCAGCGTTGCTGTCGCTACTGTTCGAAACGCCGATAGGACTCGGATCAATACGGTTCTCTGGACAGTGTTCAAGTGGCGGAGATGTGTTTTGTCCCGGAGTGGGTCATGCCAGACCGTTGATGCGTAGTCTAGAGTGGGTGTAACGCATGCTTGGTAGAGCTGTCGCATTTGTTCCGGCCGTAGGTGCCGGAGCCCGTTCAGGGCGATGGCTGTCTTGGTGGCGCGTTTGATGGCCTGCTGGATGTGTTCTTTCCAGCGGAGACCGTGATCGAACACCACTCCCAACAACTTGGCTGTCGGCGATGGTTTGATGTCGGTTCCATTGAAGGTGACCTTCCCGACTGAGTGCTCTCCCTTCTTCCTGGTGAGGTGGATGAGCTCGGTTTTCTCCGATGAGAAACTGGATCCGGTTCGTCGCGCCCATTCCTCGATGCGGGGAAGATCCTCGGACTGAATTCTGGCTAGGTTTTCCTCGGCTGAATAGCCCACGCGCCATCGGAAGTAGTCGTCTATGAAGGCCGATGCGCCTCCGTGGTGGTCGACGGGCTGGTCCACCAAGTCGGCGTTGAATAAAGCGAACAAGATGGGAGAGAGAGGTGATCCTTGCGCCAGGCCCGTGTTCGCCAGGGGTCTGGTTTCGGTTCGGAAGTCGTCGAATCCAATGTTGGCGTGTCGATCGCCCATGAAACTGGCGATCCACTTCCTTGCTGCCCTTGGGATTCCCCTTGCCTGTAACGAGGCATCCAGACTTACCCAGTTCACCCCGTTGAAGGCGCCCTTGAGGTCGAATGCGATCAGTGTCACCACCTTGTGTCTGTACCATGCTTTGTCGATTGCATTAGCGAGTACCAGTAAGGCTTGCTCTGTGGTTCTGCCCGGCCGCCCCCCAAACTGGCAGTTTGGGAGTAAGTCGTGTTTCTCTGCGAGGTAGGATAACCGCCGGGCCACTACTGCCTCCAAGATCTTGCCGAGTGTGTTCAAGAGTGATATCGGTCGATACGCGCCTGGCACTGAGTAATCTGGTTTTCCTGGTTTCCGTAAAACAACAATCTTCGCACTCCGCCATTGTTTGGGGTGGTGTCCTAGAGTGGCACACGTCGTGAAGATGCGAACAATTATGACCTTGAGGTGTACCCATAGGTTTTTCCAAACCAGCATTGGCAGGTTGTCCTCGCCTGGCGCTGTCGTTCCTCTCGTGGACCTCAGTGAGCGTTCAATTTCTATTTCCGTGATCGGGGGCCACGGTAGCTCCAGGAGTGGAGAGGTCGGCGGGTCGGGATCTGGTGTATTCATCGCGGGGAAGAATGCGTCGAGAAATGCTTTCGCTTTGTCTTCATTCCTAGTGATTTCCTCCGAACCCAATTGCAGTGCTGGGATGCAGCCCCATTTTTCCCGGGGTTTCATGTACGTCGCGGCTTTCCAGAGTTTCCCCTCGCCTGCCTCGTCCAAGAATTGTTTCCAGTGTGCAGCTTTCGCTTTTTCGATGGTTCGAGTCCATGCTCGTCGTTTCTCTTGCATAGCCTGAAAGGCGGCCATCGTCTGGGCGTGTTCTCGTCCGAGGTTTGCGCAGTTCGCTTGCCATTTTCGCCGTAGCCGGTTGACTTCTACTTGCTGCACTTTGAGCTCTGGGGTAAACCATCTTTTGGAGTATGGCGTTGGTCGGGTGTCGGGTGTGAATCGGTCGACTGCTTGGGCCGTGACGGACGTGAGTTTCTCCACAATCCTGTCGAGTGTTGGTCGGGTCTTAATCTCTGCCCATGGGCCCATCAGCCTGATGATTTCCTCGCCGATTTTGGTCCAGTCCGCTCGCTCGTAGGCTTTCCTTCCTCGGGTCTTCGGTTTGGTCTGGGGTTGCAGGTTCCATTCCGAGTATGTCGCGCGGTGGTTCGAGCCGTAGTTCTCGTGGTATAGGTGACATTTGATTAGCAAGTCCGGGCGGTCTGTTGCTGTCTGGTCGATGGTCGAGTTTTGTCCCGGGTTGCTGAGGGCCCAGTATGTTGCCGTGCCTCGAGGGAGGCAGCTCTGGAGACGGTGCGTTTGAAAGAAGTCGATAAGGTCGCTGGCGTCTTCGATAAACCTGGGTGCAATGTGGTTGCCGCCCCACATCGGATGGTGTCGATTGAAGTCGCCGGACACAATGATGGCGGTTGACCGTGGCTCATCTTGAGTAGCCGTTGCGATGGAGCTTTGGATTGCAGTAAGCGCAGGCAATCCCGATGCGTCGTTGCCGGTGAAAAGGGGCACCGGCGGTATGTAGACAGAATAGACAAGTATTTGAGAGTTGGCGGTCCAGATCTTGATGGCAGCAACATCTGGGTGGTCGCATGGTATTTGGCGATGAGAGGATGTGGAGACTCTTCTGTTGACGTAGATCAGGCTGCGAAACCGGACAGCATCGAGCTGTGCAGTGGGTCGATATAGTCTCCAGGCGCTATGGTTGACATGTGTGCGATACGTCGTGGTGGAGGGTTCCTGGATCAGAAGGACGTCCAGGTCTTGGCTTTGACGGTCGTTGATCAGTGCTTCCATTCTCGGTCCTGATTTCATCATGTTCAACTGTAGGATGCGGAGATTTCTCTCTAACATCTGGCGGGGCTCGTGGACGCCGGCATTGAGCATTGTCGGTCGCCAGTTGGGTGTTCGCCACTACAGTCCAAGCACCGCGCTCTCACTCCCGGTGGGCAGCGCTCGCGTTCGTGTTGCCCCGCGCAGTGTCCGCATCGCGGCGTTTCCTTGCACGTCCATGCCAGGTGCCCAAAGCGTTGGCATCGATAGCATCTCTTTTTCTTGATATCGCGGCGTTCCACATGGTGGATATAGTGCTCGCTGACAAGGAATCCATTGCGAAGCATGTGTTCTGCCCCTTCGGCTGAGTCGAGCCAGATTCCCAGCGATGCGAACTTTCCCAAGGCCTTGTCCTTGGCCTTCATCCATGCTAGCTCCTCGATACGGAAGCCGTGTTCCGCTAGGTCATTGTCTCCCGTGATTTTCTCTGCAGCTTGGATGGCCCCTGTATCCAGGTCAAATTCCTCAGTAGGGGTGCGGTGTACCACCACCCCGAACCGTGGCTTGACCAGCTTGGTGTTATTGCCTAGGTTTTGTAGCCATTCGGTGTTGTTGCGCGCCGCCTCGGCCGACTCCGTATTTTTGAATCGAATGAGGTAACCGGTTTTTGTGGTCCCGACGCCGGCCACCTGGGCGTCTTGGGTCGCAGTGTCGCTCTGTAGTGCTGCGCGAATGTGGTTGTTGGCGATATTTGTGGGGAGATACCGTCCAAATTCATTACCTCCGTTGTCTTCGTTGTCTCTTGGGTCAACAAATGTTCTCTGGGTGCTGATTCGGACACAGTTTTGCTCTTTCTCGGGTTGCTGGTGATTCCGCGTGGGGGTGGTCGTTCTACCGCTGCTGGCTGCGACTGCGGCCCATGTTTTGGGCGCAGTTACTGCGGGGGCATTTTCGATCTGCGCTCGCAAACCTCTCACTTCCTCGTGGAGCTTCTCGTTCTGTTCCTGGAGCACGTTCTGGTTGTGTTTGATCTCGTGGAGTTCGTTTTGAGTGGCTGTGATGGCTGCCGTCTGGTGTCGGATGACGTCCTTCAGCGTGCCGATCAGTTTCCACACCTCCTTGGTGGTGATTCGACTGGCGGGATCCGATGGGGCAAACGCATCTCTCTTTTGGGTTCTTCTTCTGGTTCCCACGGTGGTACTGGCTTCGAGATCGTCGTCCGTGAAGTTGGCGGTGGTTTCTTGCGCGTTTGTGGGAGGGGGTTCGGGCCCTCCCGGAGGTGGGTCCGCCATCGGTCCGCGGTTAGCTCCCGCTCGGTACACACCACAACAATTTTATATCAGTAGCGTGTCAACCGCCACGTCCTTCACAATTCAGTGCTTTATTTTGCTTTTCGACAACTACAGCAAAATTCGAAATCAGTTTACCCCACGCTCACACACTAATTGTTTCCTGAACCCTAACTTGAAACACCCGAATCTTAATTTAGCTACAACTTCAACTACCCCTGCCTGCCTGTATTGTAACAACTGACTGTGAGAAATGAGTCATTGTATTAGGACCGTAATATTCCATGGAACCTCATAGAAGATCGGATTCGGATTTTTGAATAATCCGCTGGAAGCCCCGAGATCGCCCACCATTCGTTTCATCTTCCACATTGCACACAGCCTTCGCCCACGCTCGTTTTACCTATCATAGAAGGTTGTGTCCGTATTTGGAGAGAGCTAACGCTGGTAGGAATTCGAATGGACTAGCCAGGATCAAACAATGGCTCAGATGGCTCACAGTCAGGTATTGCAGTCATTTTTCAACTTCGCGCAAAGTCAAATGTCGGAGGAAACTAGCTCCAAACCGGGCCAGCTAGGAATTTCATCGGAAAGGAGTACCAACGACCATTAAAAAAGGGCGTACAGGTTGAATTGTAGGGCTTGATAGGCCGCCCCTGTTGGCTGCACTAGTTCGAGTGTCACATCGATCGTCGTGTTCTGATGGCGCGTCGATGTGACTTCCAGTCGATGCTGAGTTGTGATCCATGACCGGATACTCGATTGCTCCATTTGGGACACTCTCGTCGGTAGCATCGCCGCGGTCCACATCAGCAAATATAGATATTGCTGGGCCGGTGTCCATCATGGGAGGTCCTACATTCTGCAGCGTTGGTCTTCTGCCAGAGCTGAGTCGGCTGTGTCCAGAGTGTGCTGTCGGTTTCTGCTCCAGTCCCAGGATCGAATTCTTCCGCGACAGGGTATATAGGACCGTATCACAAAGACCAGACAATGTCATCAGCGACCCAGCGATGCAGAAGTACGTGACGCTGGGACGATGTCCGGTTACATTTTCCATCCGACCAATGGCAAGGGGTAATGTCAAAGCAATATAAATGATTGGGTATAGGACCAGGTAGCAGACGATACGGTTCAAACGGCGGAGGCTGTCAGTGTTGCGTCCTCCTAGCCTAACGCATTCAGTGATTCTGCGTCGGAGTTGGATGAACATGATAATATATAGCAAGACCATGAAGAACTGCGCGGCGAAGATCCAGAAGTAGTGTGTCCACAGACGCAGTGACGGGTATTCATTTGGTATCCAACACTTCTCACGGTGGGGGAGTGAGGTCAGCCATGTACGTTACAGAGTATCAGGCGAAAGAAAGGATAGCTCACCCAGGCGATTGCAGGGAGCCAGACATACCGGCCCACGACCGCGATTGGAATAATGACCATGGCCACGCCGAGCACCCACAGTCCAACTAATAAAATCACAAATGCCCTATGGCCAAGCTGGTAGTTTAGCATGATCTGCAGGAAAGTATGCACGGCAATAGCAAGAACAAACATCCCACTCATGGGATTCCCGATCTGTAACCAAATCCCTTGAAGAAAACAAGAGACATCGTAAGCGTGAAGGGAGTTCGTAGAAATCCATCGCAGACTGATAATGAATCCTAAGCCCTGTAGTAGATCTGCTAATGCCAGATTGTAGACAAGGACGGCGTATTGGTTGTAACGTAAGGGACGTCGATAGTGGCTCCGCCAGGAAATGAAGCGATGTGTGAGGAAAACCAGGAGGGAGGAGGTCGCTATCAAGGAAATGGACGCGAGAGCCGAAACGGCAATCAACCCTCTTCGCTGTAATGAGGGCAAAGGGTCGATGGCAGTCGCTGAGCGAGGCAAGGATGCCGGGTCAAGTTGCGATGCGTTGTTGCGTGACTGGAGTTGTGCGCTTGGACACGGGCCGCTACGGGAGATTAACAGCCTGACAATGCTAAACATGATTACTGTTGGTCCCAGCTTGGAATCAGACAGAGCCATTGGGCCTATCCAAACGAAGAAAGCCCCGGAGACGGCTATTTCAGTATAATGATCATCACGCTTAAATCGCATTCAAAACCGGGTCTCGTTCTGGCGACTTGTCACAGATGCGGAGTGGTGAGCAACTGAATACACGGAGCGATGATCCTCATGGCAGTGTATGAGAGTTTGACATTCGGATCATCCAGTATAGTCGTTGCATCTGCGACGGAGTCGAATCGTCGTCTGGGCGGAATGTCAAATGAACATAAATCCAATCACGTGACTCAACTGTGGGGTGGATGGGTACGATATAGCGTTTGCCTTATAGCCCGTCCCCGCACGCTCCCGTTCTGCCACCGCCCTGCTTACTGCCGTTTTGCTCGGTCCACTCCGTCTCCTCTCTAAGCTTTTTGTACACAGTTCGTGGCCTAATCAGATTCAATTTAAGTCTTGCTTTAGCCTTGCACAATATCGACAAACTCATTTTCTTATAGTGTACCCTAAAGCACGTATGAAGGGCTTTTAAGAGGCCTTAATATCAAATATCTTTAGGGGTATTAGACCTCGGCAAAATGTGTCCATGGACAGGATTTTCGGATTTTGATGTAACTATGGTGAAATACATTTGATAATACTAATAAAAAGGTGTAAAATACGTATATAATACAGTCATGGACCTCTTTAGAGCCCCGATGGGTTTGTGGGCGTGCCCACGCCGAGGGTCTAAGGGCTATAGTGTTAATACTTTTTCGCTTGTCGCAGAAACGAAACTGATTAGTCAGGATGTTCCAACGTAGCGATATAGTAGACGTAAGCTGTATGCATCGTGTTGGGGGCAAATGTAGACCTGGCACTCACCCGCTGTAGCCCTTACCCATGCCGTGGGAGCCCGAGTGGTTTATTTCCGACTTGCTATCCTTTTGTCCAGACGGAATGCTGGATGACCTGCTTGACACCACGCCAGTGAGGCGCAGCTAACAGTGGAAGTATTGAGGCCATCGCCGTTCTAGAGGAAACCTACTAATTCGCCGTTGACACACTACTCCCTTGGGCCGGCAGCTTAAGTTAACCAGTCAACACCACCCAAAATAAACCCTTCGCAAACAAATTCCACCAAAACGGCTGTAAGACCAGATCTATGACCTGTGAGTGCTTCTGCACAGGTCCCACGTCCATTGTCATGTCATTCTCGCACGACATTCTTGATGCTGGCCGTCGGTCGCCTCAGTTACAGGCCCTGGTCTAGACTTCTATCCCTTACCGTTTTCATTCCTCTCTTTCTTCCACATCCGTTTTTCTCTAGGTCCCTCTTATCTTGCCCTCTTCATTTTCTCTCTTCTCACTCTGTCTTTTACATATTGGCTTCTTCTTCTTCTTTGCCAACCAACGCCTTCCACCCAGTGCTTCCACTGCAAATTCCGCTGCAATGTGTGAATAACCGTCTGTGGAGGCCTTCCCATGTCCCCAGGTTGTGACCGTGGCATTCACCTCTCCATCCTGCCCTCCCCATTTTCGCTCCGACCGTCCACGAACAACCCTCCTGCACACCCACCACGCTGAGCTCCCTATCCTTGGAGGATGAGGAGCTGATCCCGGCATCCTACGGTACGGGGCCGGCCGAACGGGAATCCAAAGAGCCGGAGGATGTGCTTCACGACATGCCTCCCGAGGTGCTCACGCAACCGTTTCCACGGACTCTCTCAAATCCGGCGGCGGACGACATCCCCGTAGAGCAGGAGCCATCACGGCATGTGGATTACCTGTCTCATAAGTGGCAGGAAGAAGATATCTGGGCTTCCTGGCGCTACGTGACGGCCCGGAAGACTATCTACAGTGATGGAGTCCGCCTGGAAAACGCGTCCTGGAGAACGTGGGCCAAGGCGAAGAATAATCTCGGTACTACTGCGCCTGAAACGTTGAACTGGTAAGTTCTGAGACTCGTGGTAAAAGGTTCGTGTGACTGATAAGGGACTAGGCTGAAGGACTGCGATGTCACCTGGCTCTACGTGCCATTAAAAAAATCTGGCAACAGTACGACGGCGTTGGCTGTATCCCCGCTCCCGAGTTGCACCGGGACGCCAAGTTCGCACGTATACTATAAACCGATTTTGAAGAAAAAGACCGCATCCGAAACCATCCTGCAGCGGTCGCTGTCGCAGCACACACTTCTGCAGCATGCTAGCGCTATTCTAAAGGCGCAGGAGGCCGAGAAGGGCGGGGTCCGGACATCGCTGAACCGCACCGTCACCGAACTTGACCATTTCCACCGTCGCACGGGCAGCTCGTCGTGTTCGCTCGGAGGCACCCTCACCGCTACGTCCTCGTCCGGCATTGTCTCTCCGAGCGAGCGGCGGCACATCCACTTCAGCAACCATGTGGCGCAGTGTATCGCTGTCGAGGGTAAAGAGGATGATGAGGAAGAGGACGAATGGCTGGCGGCCTTTGAGGATGAGTCGTCCGATGAAGGCGCGGTTATGATGTCCCAGCTGCTAAACAGAGCCTCCATCTGCAACCACAGCACGCAGTATAGTAGCTTTAGTGGCGAACGGAAGAGCATCGCTCCCTTGCCCTCCACTACGCTCAGATATCGCGGAGATGTGCCACAGATGCAGACCGACTCTATCGAGGGCCAATCATCCATCCTCCAGCCGTCATCGATGCCGTCGTCCACGTCCTCGGTAGAGATGCTGCGCCCACCCCAGCGGTCGGCAGATCACATCCTTGACGAAGGGGACGCCGCACTAGGCTTCGACGGCCAGTTTGCTTCGGACGACGACAACCGGTATCAGTCGTGGTTTTCCCCTCATTCCACCAAAACGGGTGGCGATGAGGTTGAGGACGAGGATCGCCGGCTGCGATTGACCGCGTCGGGCATGTCCATGCCATTTGACGAAGGCGAAGCGGCCAGCACCAGCATCTTGGGCCGGGCGTTAGACATGGTGAACATTGCGCGAGATATTGCCTATGTCATATGGAACGTCGGTTGGTGAGGGGCGTGGACGCTTCCAAACTGTGGTAGGTTTCTGCGAATATTTTTGATCGTAGGCTTGCTGTAGTCAGCTTTTCGGCCATCCGAGAGGTTGTGAGTGACCGGCTCTCTATCATATCGAGGATGAGGTGTAGCTTGGATGGAGGGAGTCTCGGGGCCATGTTGCTCGGTGCAACTTGAGACTTGCTCGACAGGAAGGCATGAGGATCCAGAGGGAATAGCACAAAAGGAGGGGCAGGCAGGTAGCAGGCGTATTGGGCTTTCGTGTAAAATACGCTAAGACAAGTTCTGCGAACGTCACATAAAAGACGAGGGTCTATTCTTGGAAGCGGGGGATCTACAGCTAATCCATATTTAGGCTAGCGTGTTTCGAATTGGGGTTCGGGAAACAATTTGTGAGAGAGTATGGGGTAAACTGATTTCGAATTTTGCTGTACAGCAACGCGGCGAATTTCGAGACGACCTGTACCAGTCCCGATCTCGGAGTCCCAGACTGTAATTTGTCGAGATCCTTATTAGACGACCTTCGGGTACGACCTTCGGGAGACTGTACAACTGCTTGCCGACGGAACTCCCGAATTTGCGATTTGTCCAAGAAATGTCGGGACGGGCCGAGACGCGAACCCCTGAACCGCCCGACCGCGACGAACACGAAAAGTCACCGCCACGATTGTCGAGACCGAGACGCACCACCAGACCGCCTAAAAACTATGGCCAAGATCAAGAGATCGACATCCAACAGAGAAACGCGCGCTCCCAGCGGAAGAATGGGGCCCAGGGCAAGCCTATAGCCCGACATGAAGCGGTAACTTTGGACGATGCCTCAACCGAGAGCGACGACCTGGACGTTGCCGACCTGGTGAAAGAGCTTGTGAAACTCAGGAGAGACATCAAACGGCGAGATGGTTTGCATAGAAAAGAGATGCAGAAAGTACAAGAAGAACTGCAGAAAGTCAAGGAAGAATTCAGCGCCGCCCTTGCAGACGTTCGACACGAACTACAGACCCTGACAGATAGACCCCTTACACCGCAACCCCTTTCCGAACCATGCCCCCAGAACGGTCACGATGAGATCCTTCGCGAAATCCAATCCTTACGCATTGCAATCAGTCCTGCAGACCTCACCACGGGATCCCCTTCCTATGCAGATGTTGCCCGCACTCCCCCAACCAGCTACCCGAGCAACATACGGACTCTCTCATCGTCGAACACGACACCGACCACCTTCACCGACACGCTGTATTGCACGATAGACACCTCAAAGATGGTAAACAATGAAAGTGAGAAGATGTCCGCAGGTCCGATCCGGGCGGCGGTTGAAACAGAGATCCGAATGATGGAAAAGCACACGGACTGGCGCTGTCGCGCCGTCACGGTGGATCCGAAAAACACAAACCGGATCAGAATAGCATGTCGCGATGAAGCTGAACACCAGCTAGTCAAGAAAGTGGCGGAAGCAAAGATCGGCGAAGGAGCCCGAGTGCTTCGTGACGAGCTTTACCCGATCAAAGTCGACAGCGTCAACAGGGCCGCAGTTCTGGACGAAAAAGATGATATCCGAGCTGGAGCCACAGCGGCCTTCAGCGAGGAGAACGAAGTCACCGTTGCTAAGATCGCGTGGCTCAGCAGAAAGGAAAGCGCAAAGGCCTACGGGTCGATGGTGGTCTACCTAACCAGAGGCACTGATGCGCGGAGGCTCTTGGCCGACGGGTTCTTCCACGCCGGGGGAGAATCCGGCGTGACTAGCACCTTTGAACATCGCCCACGACCGACGCAATGTTACAATTGTCAGGAGATTGGACATAAAGCATTCCAGTGTAAAAACGTCCAGAAGTGTGCAAGATGCGCCGCGGAGGGCCATCGCCACAGTGACTGCAACCAAACGGTTCTAAAGTGCGTTCCGTGTGGAGGCCCGCATGAATCGTATAGCAAGAACTGCCGGAAGCTCTATCCGTCGCGTCATGAGTAACACCTTCCGTATCATCCAACTGAACGTGAGAAAACAGGGCGCGGTGCATGACAGCTTGATGAATGACGAACAAACCCGAGACGCAGCGGTGTTAGCGATCCAAGAACCCCAAGCGAGGAGAATTCACGGCAGGCTCTTGACGACCCCGATGGGACATCACAAGTGGACGAAAATGGTTCCTTCCGCCTGGAGGGAAGGCAGATGGGCGATCCGAAGCATGCTTTGGGTCAACAAAGATATAGAAGCGGAGCAAGTGGCTATAGAATCCCCGGATCTGACGGCGGCGGTCATCCGACTCCCCGAGCGACTGATTTTTATGGCATCAGTTTACGTCGAAGGGGGAGATGCCTCGGCGTTAGTTAACGCGTGTGATCACCTAAGAAAGGCAATTGCAAAGGTGCGGCGAGACACGGGCGCTGTGGTGGAGGTCATGGTTGTGGGAGACTTTAACCGCCATGACCAACTCTGGGGAGGAGACGAGGTGTCCCTAGGAAGACAGGGCGAAGCGGATCTAATTATTGACCTCATGAACGAGTTTGCTCTCAGCAGCTTACTTAAACGAGGTACAAAGACATGGCACGGTGGTGGATGGAGCGGGGACTGCGAGTCGACCATCGACCTCGTCCTGGCCTCTGATAATTTGACAGACTCAATGATCAAGTGTGCGATATATGGGACAGAGCACGGCTCAGACCACCGTGCCATTGAGACTGTGTTCGATGCACCGTGGTCAGCCCCGAAGCATCAGGAACGACTTCTTCTGAAGAACGCACCATGGAAAGAGATCAATGCCAGAATCGCGAGTGCTCTGACTGCCACTCCGTCGGGAGGCACGGTGCAGCAGAAGACTGACCGACTCATGACGGCGGTCAGCGAGGCGGTGCATGCTTTGACTCCTAAGGCAAAACCGTCACCACACGCGAAACGATGGTGGACAGCCGACTTAACACAGCGGCGCCATATATATACATACTGGCGAAATCATGCTCGCTCGGAGCGTCGGGCAGGACGAAAAGTACCGCACCTGGAAAAGACAGCCCAAAGTGCGGCGAAACAATACCACGATGCCATCCGCAAACAAAAGAAGCAGCACTGGAATGAGTTTCTCGCAGACAACGATAACATCTGGAAAGCCGCTAAATACCTGAAGTCGGGAGAGGACGCGGCATTCGGGAAGCTACCGCAGCTCGTTAGAGCAGACGGGACTACCACCACGGATCATCAAGAGCAAGCAGAAGAGCTGCTGTCTAAGTTCTTTCCCCCTCTGCCCGACGTTATTGACGACGAGGGGACCAGACCACAAAGAGAGCCGGTGGAAATGCCTGCTATCGGCCTGGAGGAGGTAGAACGACAGCTTTTTGCGGCGAAATCATGGAAGGCGCCGGGCGAAGACGGCCTACCGGCGATAGTCTGGAAGATGACGTGGCCCACGGTCAAGCACAGGGTTCTCGACTTATTCCAGGCGTCACTGAAAGAAGGCATGTTGCCGAGACAGTGGAGACATGCGAAGATCATACCGCTCAAAAAGCCGAACAAGGAAAACTACACTATTGCGAAGGCATGGAGGCCAATTTCGCTCCTCGCGACGCTGGGCAAAATATTGGAATCCGTGGTTGCAGAAAGGATCTCGCACGCGGTGGAGACACACGGCTTGCTCCCGACCAGCCATTTCGGGGCCCGAAAGCAACGGTCCGCGGAGCAGGCGCTTGTGCTCCTACAAGAGCAGATCTACACAGCGTGGCCTGGCCGACGGGTGTTGAGTTTGATCAGCTTCGATGTCAAAGGCGCCTACAACGGGGTGTGCAAAGAACGACTGCTCCAGAGAATGAAAGCGCGAGGCATACCAGCTGACCTGATCCGGTGGGTGGAAGCGTTCTGCTCGGAACGAACGGCGACCATCCAAATCAATGGACAAGTGTCGGAGGTCCAGGGACTTCCACAGGCTGGCTTACCTCAGGGCTCGCCTTTGTCCCCGATCCTATTCCTCTTCTTTAATGCAGACCTCGTACAAAGACAGATCGACAGCCAGGGCGGGGCGATGGCGTTCGTGGATGATTTTACGGCATGGGTGACCGGGCCAACCGCCCAGAGCAACCGGGAAGGCATTAAAGCAATTATCAATGAAGCACTCGACTGGGAGAAAAGGAGCGGAGCGACTTTTGAAGCAGACAAAACAGCCATCATACACTTTGCTCCCAAGGCTTACAAATTGGACCAGGGGCCTTTCACTATCAAGGGACAAACCGTTGCGCCCAAGGATTATGTCAAGATCTTGGGCGTCCTCATGGACACGAAACTCAAGTACAAGGAACATATTGCGAGGGCAGCATCTAAGGGCCTGGAAGCCGCGATGGAGCTTCGAAGACTTCGGGTTTTATCCCCAGCGACAGCGCGGCAGCTATTTACATCGACGGTGGCGCCGGTCGTGGACTACGCGTCCAATGTCTGGATGCACGCGTGCAAGGATAAGGCCATAGGGCCGATCAACCGCGTCCAAAGGGTAGGAGCGCAGGCGATTGTAGGAACATTCCTCACAGTTACGACCAGTGTAGCGGAGGCGGAGGCCCACCTTGCCACCGTTCGACACCGTTTCTGGAGACGAGCCGTGAAGATGTGGACGGACATACATACCCTGCCAGAAACCAACCCTCTCCGCAGGAATACAGCACGGATCAAGAAATTCAGAAGATACCATCGTTCGCCGTTGTATCAAGTAGCAGACGCGCTGAAGAACGTTGAGATGGAAACACTGGAAACCATCAACCCGTTCACATTGGCACTATGGGAAGTACGCGTACAGGCTGGCGTTGAAGCAACTCCGCAGTCACCGACCGTACCAGGCGGGTCAATGCAGATCGCAACCAGCAGTTCAGCACGGAACGAGCTAGTCGGGTTTGGGATGGCGATCGAGAGACAGCCACCTCGGTATCGAAAACTGAACCTGAAGACCCTTTCCGTCACATTGGGTGCAAGAACAGAGCAAAATCCGTTCTCTGCGGAGCTAGCAGCGATGGCACATGCGTTGAACATGGCAGTTGGTCTGAAAGACTACAGGATTACGCTGCTCACGAGCAATAAAGCGGCGGCTCTGACACTAAGGAATCCTCGACAACAGTCAGGCCAGGAATTCGTCTGCCACCTGTACAAGTTGATGAGAAAGCTACGGAGAAATGGAAACCAGATCAATATCCGGTGGATCTCAACGAGCGAAGACAATAAACTGCGGGGTCTGGCTAAAGAACAGGCCAGAGCCGCGACACAAGAAGATGCTCTCCCGCAAGAACGCGTCCCGAGAATGAAGTCAACAACACTGAATATCGCACGATCCCAAGCAGTCCCCAGCAATGACCTGCCAGCGAACGTAGGGAGACACGCAAAACGAGTTGATGCAGCACTCCCAGGCAAACACACCCGGCAGCTGTATGACCGATTATCTTGGAAAGAAGCAAGCGTGCTGGCTCAACTCCGAACCGGCATGGCAAGACTCAATGGATATCTCTATCGAATCAACGTAGCAGACACAGACCAGTGTGCATGTGGACAAGCGAGAGAGACCGTGGAGCACTTCCTATTTCGATGTCAAAAATGGACGGCGCACCGGACGGAACTACTACAATGTACCAACACCCACCGAGGAAATATATCCTTCTTCCTAGGAGGAAAGTCGCCTTCCGATGATCAGAAGTGGACGCCGAACTTAGAGGCAGTACGGGCCTCAATACGATTCGCCATCGCCACAGGCCGACTCGAGGCCACCTAACCATACCGACGAACATAAATCACCCCCTTTCGCCGATCTAACCCACCAACCACCTCGTGTTACCAATGGTAGACGCGCTTCAACTGCCGAAAATAGGATGTTGAACACTTGGAGAAGCGCCTTCAAGCCAGCCTACTAACCAAATTACTAACCCACGAGGATCCGCTGCGATACGGACATCTGAGATGACATATATTGCAAGGCTTTTTGTATGGGCTCTGAGGAGACACAGTACTATATATATTATGACATGTATAGTAGATCAGAGATAGTTGCCCTTTCGGCTTAGCCGCCGGGCGTTAATAAATTGTGTGTGTGTACAGGAAGGAAAATCATGGCCTAGCATACGATGAGCTCCGTCAATGAAAGGGAAACCGTGGCCCGGCGTATGACGAGCTCCATCGAGTGAGATGGAAGACAATCTACTGAGTGAATGAATGAAAGGGAGATCGTGGCCCGGCGTGTGACGAGCTCCATCTGGTGAGGGTGAATGAATGGAAAACCGTGGCCCATCCTGTGACGGACTGGATCTGGAGATGCAGGGCTGCTTGGGAAACCGTGGACCGTCGTGTGACGAGCTCCATCTGGTGAGGGTGCATGATCGAAGGGAAATCGTAGCCTGGCGCATGATGGGCTCCTTCTGGAGAGGGAGGACAATAAACTTTGATTACATATACCCATAGCTTCAGCATCAGCGAGACTGGCTATGTGAGAAGTGGGGACATTGGGAACGTGAGGGAGAATTCGTGTAGGGGATGGCCAACCCTGAACGGACGATATCCAACTTCCCTGGAACCATAGTCCGCCTTGGTCATTTTAGGTTTGAGAAAACCATTGCAACAAAGATAACCAGATGCCAACGAGCTTTTCAAACCTTAAGAACATATCCGGGGATTGACGGTGGGAGAAGTCTTCACCGCTTGTACTCTAGTAGCAAAGACCAACGGTTTAAGCACCCTGTTCATTTGTTCAACGTCTCGTCCGCTTATTTCTATCTGTAGATCCATATTAGCCATAGGCCTGGTTATTTTTGATGAACACCTCGCAGAATAAACAATAAATGGTTTATTGCTAAGAATGGGCTTTCCTTGACATTCGATGACTGAAGAACCAGGTCCAGGATGACCAACTTTAGCCCTCTTCCGGATGCCCAAAATATTCAACAGGACGTCACATATTTGGTTTCTGCACGCTTCTCGACTGGGACTTGCCTATGCTATCTTACCCACTTCCGACAACGATTGAAGCTTTACCTTGAGGACAACAATGGTGACATACGACACAGTTAGGCGATTAAATGTAATCCGTGCTTGTAATTTCACACCAAAAGCGAGTGCGCAGCGAAAATGGTAGGGAAAGATGCCGACCGTATGGGATATGCGTTCGTAGAAAGAACTGGGCCTCTTAGGATTTAATGGAAATTCATGATCAGTATACACTTGATTTATTCTGAATTACTGAGACAAAACCAAGTCTATAATATCATTTTGCGCCATACATTGATGGTTGCCCATGATACCATTGGGTTATATTAACGGGAGAAAACGAATAGAAAGACTAGGACCATATCGTAGCTTGGAGAATTTACAGAGTGCTGATCCCCAGGACCACGAAGAGGTGCCTGTCCTTCGCTGGGGGTACGACGCATTAAAGCAAGACACCCGCCACATAAGGCAGCGAAGCCATATCGCAGGGTGTGTACAATACCGTTGTGGAGGACAGAAAGCCTGAACCTGGTCTTGTAGAGTCGGCCGGAGGTAGGTATTTATTCCCAACTATGGCGATCAGCAAGACCAGTTTCGCTAATATTCCCAGCCTCGCATTTTTGACCCCCACTAGTATATTCGAAAATGGCCCACCAACCATCATCTCGCCGACGGCATACACCTCGAGAATATATTATTAATTGATTGTCGGCTAACATGGGCCAGGGAGCGATAGGAAATCTGAGATATTTCCGATGCTAAAGTCCATCTAGGGCCTTGCCAGTATGCTTTCTCGGCTAAGCTGCCATAAAGGGCTGGGTGGTAAAGGAGAATTATGTAAAGCACTCCCGTTATCACCCACATCCAATAAGCGAAGAAAGGTTCAAAAGTTGGCGGACAATTCACTTCAAGAAAAGCTCTCTTCCTCTGGCATTTTGCTCGTCCAGAGCTCACCGGTCAGCTTGTTTTCAATGATGAGCCGAGGTCAAAACACTCTGGTCTTCCCGCAGAATACAACAGCTGGAGAGCGTCCCTGTCATACGCTCAGCCCAGCCTCCAGGCACCATGGACAAAATGCTTCGGACCAACACCTCTCTTCATTGAAACACCAATTCCCCGAAACGGTTCTGGCCTACAATAGCCAACTTAACCAGAGACCATCCGAGCGATATTCACGTTGCCGCAAAAACACGGACTGGTGTTCTCTAACTTTGCACTGTATGTTGAATTTATTTCCTTTTGGAAGCGCCCATTAATTCTAGGTGGGTCGACGGACTGTGACCGTTTTTTGACCTAACAGGGATATTTGAGGGCTACTGCAAGTATCAGAAATGGTGCCGTTTATGCCCCTTGTCGATCCAGCTGTTGAAATTAGCGCCATGTTGTGGAGGGATTTAAAGCCTTTGTTTGTCCTTTTTCTGTACTGTACTTCACGCAGGACAGACTGCCGCTTGGATAACCAGTTTACTTTCTACTACCGAGCCATTCTGAAGGTGATCGCAGGATGCCCAAAGCTACAACATCTTCCCGAAACCCGGCTTCACACGCCCCCAATCGCGTCAGACGGGCTTCTGGCCGCGGGCCATCTTCCCTCCCTGTTGCACAGACTCGGACTGTCGCTCCCGGTGCCTCTCAGTGCACCACCAACGTGCAATCGCGACGGTCACCGGTACGTGGACGAAGCCATCCCTATTGCTATAGATGTATGGCAGGGATACCGGTATTGACTTCTGACCACTAGACCGAACCCAACAGGGATTCGAAGAAAAGACCCATTGAGGAAGATCCCAAAGTAATTCATAAGGGCTGCTACGAGGTCATTGGCAGAGCAGACCGTATCTTGAATGAAGAGCGACAGCGATCTTCAGATACCATACGACAACTCACCGCGGTCAAGGAGCAGCTCTCTGCTGAGAAGCAACAAGCCATTGACGACGCTCGCCAACTCAAGTCGGAGATTCAGCAAGCGAAGCAGGAACTCGAGCTTGCCACCACAAGCTTCCAACACCAGGGGGTGCAGGGCGATGAGCAGCGGTTTGTGCTAGAGGTTCATGCCATGGCTCTGGCCTTGACAAATAAGCTCTGGAGCAGGACGGAGGCACACCGAAATGCCTATATACCTTCCCAGTTACAATTTCCCGATGTCACTCAGACTTCGTGGCCGGACAACGCGGGGCAGCACACCGCGCTGAACAGTCACCCCCTCCCGGCAAATCATCTATCGGGGACCCAAGATGAGCTGGCACAATTCAATACATACTCGTCGATATCCTGAACCATACCGGGGGGAGGCTCGCCGACAAGAGGAAATTGGTGTACCCAGGCAAATTAATTCTACATTTCTAAGCAACCTTGTCCAGCGTTCCTGGATAGGCCTCACAACCAACTTTAGACAACGCGATACCAGATCCAGTCGGGAGACCGGTTGCAAAGGGTATAAAACTAGGCCGCGCAAACATGGCTTTTTTTTTTTTTGGTAGCGTGTGAAATATACGTAGTAAGACCGAAGCAGTAAGAAACAAGGGTGGACAGGAGGCGTAGAGAAGCTACAATGGGCCCGCGCTGTCCGCTGTCGCCATGAGCCCCTCTTATGGCAAAGTGGGACCAGGCTTGCGACCTCAGTGGTAGCCGGATACAGGTCCGACCGCTCGCAGATCTGAACTGTGGAATAAACTTACACCAGCTCGTGCCATTTCTACCATGAAACGACGATCAGGCCTAGGGACGCGCCGTCCCAGCGCCCCAATCCGATAATTTAGATCGACACGTTCTAGGCTTCAAGCGCCCGTGTGGATTGTGGATTACCCTTATATAACCCGCTTCCCCTCGCTCCCACGAGAGAGGGCCTGTCTTTCTCTTGTCAGCATAAACCGGATCTGACAGCAACCACCCACATTGAGGGATTGTGTCATGAGCCGGCAATTGACACTGGAAATGAACTCTGCTCGAGGGAATTCCTTGTTGGCCGTCGGATTAGCGTTGGAATAGTGCCAAAGCCTCAGTCCAGGCGGGGCAGGTAGATTCTCCATATTTTGCGCCACCTACGAGCCTGAAAGTTCATTGGAAGCCGAGAAAAACCACTGTGAAGTGTCCAATGATTGTTTCTGAGGTGATAATTTTCCTACTACTCCTCTCATAAGTCCGGCAATTGCTGGCCCGTCCCACGGCCAAGCCATTTACGGTATTCTTGGCAAATCGTGTTTCATCCCAAATCTAGATCTCGCAAGATGCGACCCTACATGTACCCCAGCATACTTGCATGATTTTGTCATTTCCACGCTATAGCGAATCATATTCTTGCAGAAACTTATCCACGGGCAGACAGGTGATGAAGAGGCAGTATTGCGTGCGGATCTTACATGGCCTTCCTGAACATTCAGTGAGGCAGAACAGTGGTAATCGGGTTCATGTTTTCTAAGGAACTGGTCTGTATAACGGGCATGGATCGCCACTATGGACCTCCTTAGCTCGTGTTGGGGCCATTTAGTGGCTTGTAACATAGCTAGGCCCATTTTATATCACCGGGCTAGATCGAGGACGCGGATCAAACGGCTTGTCCGAGAGCGATGATTTTCCGGCCCCTTCCTTTCTCGCCTGCCGAGGATCCGGGCGCATCTCCGCCAGTTCCCACTTTTTCCGCCACCTGCCTCTTTTACGTCCGCCTTGGAAATTGATATATCAAATCGCTTTTCGTTGGCAAGGGTTCAGCTTGGGGAAGGAAATTAGAGGGTCGTGATCGCAATAGGTGCGTGACTCGGCTCAAGCGAGCTCATGGACTGTGGGGCGCGGCGCTGGGGTAGGGCCAAAGGGTTGTCAGGTTCGAGTGGTCCTCGGCCCATTTGCGGCTCCTAATGTCACCTTAGAAGCTGGCAGTCATCCGAACTTAATGCATGTGCCGATATTCGAACCTCTGTTGTACTAACGGCCAGACCCGTGTATGACTCGCAGGATCCATATCCTAGGCTGAACCTACAGGCTCCTGTCAGTAATACCATCACGCGCGACTGCTGTAGATCAATCGAGGCGCGAATTTTGTTCAAGGTTGGATTATTACGCCTTAACCCGTCGCCAGAGAAATCCTTACCCTCATGCCGATTACCCTCGCGGGACCCCGACGAGAAACGATCCCTCAGCAATCCTTAGCACCGAGTGATCGTGTTTGTGGGCCGGCAACGCTCAACGAGCAATTGGCTCGGCTCAAGTCAGTCCCTTGGATAGTGGACTAGAAAGTCGGACTGGCAGGAGCAGGTGATCACTAAACACTCTGTGCCGCCTTAAGATAAGGCTGGGAGCTTATTGGAAGCCGAGAAATTGCGGCCGCTATGAGACAAGTTTGAGGCCAATAGTGGGCTTTCTTTCTACTATCGCACCTAGTTGGCTGGTAAAACCAACGATTCAAGAATTTTCCTCGACAAATCGGTTGCTGTGTTGATCTTCGGGTGACATCTGTACGCTGGCGAGCACGGGGCACATCGCATTTTGCCGCCGTCTCCACGCTAGAGTGAGACCCTCGCTTTGATAGATGACGGAGATGCCGCGGTTAGCGGGCAAGCAATTGGAATCGACCCACTTCCCTTTTCCGATCATCAAGACAATTGGGTCTCGTCGATACAGACTCCTTCCAAAGAGACGATGGCACAAAGAAGGGAAGAGGAGTGCGCCATATTCATAATGGTACGACAGGGGTCCTGCCCGGCGATACAGGGTAGTAAAACTTTGCTGTCGTGTCTCGGCAATATCGTCTCCTCGCGTAAGGTTAGACAGGCGAGTCCGACCCGTTCGCACCATTTACTTGCCTTCTCGGGGTGTGGACTTGAATGGGTGCGATCACCGTTTGGATCCACCCTGCACGAGCCATGACCCACCTGTGATGGAGAACACGAGTTCGGAGAAATTTGGGCGCTTGGGGGAAACATGGGACGGAACGGAAGTGCGACATCAAAGCCGATAGGGCCCGTCGCGACTGGGGTGTCAATCCTTCTATTTGGAATTACAAGCTTTCCGTGACGCAGCGGTTTCGACCTAGCACAGATATCGGCACCTGGGATTAAGCCCAGTGGTTCCTTCCATTTGGCGATGGGCAATTCCTGGGTCTTACTCGCATCGGCCTTTTAATATGCATTGGTTCAACGCCCTTTGCTATTGTCCGATCAAATTCTGCGGGCTAGTTTTGCCGTCGATCCTCCGTCACCGAAGTGAGATGACGGGGGGAGGGCGGCAGGAACGGGACGTGGAGACCCAACTTAGCGCTGCTGACTGGATTCGCGGGCCACGGGCTGCTTGGACCGAAGCCAAGTTAATCTGGCCGTGCCGTGGTTGGTTTATTTGACCCACATCGCCGATCATCTCAACACCAGCCATGGGATCGTGCCTGACACTGCCGTTGCGCCGGATGACGGTGGTCAACAAAAAGCTCTACCAAACGGCACGCATTAGGTCTGTGCGCCAGAAGCCAACCACCAATTCGTGCCCAGAGGAGGAGAGGAGGGGCCGGAGCTTACCGTCTGTCTATCGCCTGGGGGGTTTTTCCGGGCAGGGATCATCTACATGAGCTGAAAGGGAATCGAAAATCTGGTCTAGATTCGGATCATACTGTACAACTTCCTACGGCCATCCTGCCTTGTAATCTATTACATTCCTTTCGTAGCCTCACGGTACAGTCCCATTTGCCGTGACCCGGCGCGTTTTTTCTCAACCGCAGCGCGTAGCGGCGAGCTAGCTGATGTATCCACGAGAAGTTGTATTCCTATTGCGTTGAGCGCTTACTGCGTACCGCCTTTCTCTCCACAGCTGGCATGCTCTGGGACTTGCATAAGTCATTTATCATTTCTTGCAAGCGGTCGACCTTCGCCTCCAGTGCGCGGATTTTGTGCGACATTGTGGTCATGCTCTGGTGGGTACTGTCGTTGAAAGTGCCTTGCTTTTTCAGCTGATCCTCGTTGTTTCTAGTGTTTTAGGTTAGGACGATGACTTGAGGGGGGGGGGGGGAAACCAGTGCGAGCGATCCGGATGATACCCACTGGACTCGGTCGTCTAAGCTAGGAATTGTCAGTATGAACACCTTAACAGTAGATAAAATCCCAGAAAGACATACTCTCTAATCAAAGTATATGCCACCGGATCTCCGGTGATGTTCGACATAGGATCTTGTGATGGGCCCGGCTCATGGTCGACCACGCTTTCCGTCTCCATCGCCCATGGTTGCTGCTCCTCCTCCTGGTTGTCTTCGTCCATGTCCGCCACATCATTCTCGTCACATAAATTATCACCCGAGGCATGTGACCGATGTTCATCCTCCTGCGGAAGCTCGGGAGAGTTTGTCGAGCTCCTGTCTCCCGTCTTACTAGGCGAGTGTGATACCATCAACATGTGCTGCAGTTCGCCGAGGAGACTAACTGGCTCGCTGCTGGACTGGTCATCTCCTGGATTGACCATCTTGCTAGGGCGACTGGAAAGGTAGGAGTGAAGGAAAGTTGTCAAGCCGTTCTGCTGGAAGGGAGATTGGACTACATTTATATCCAACCAGGAGACGAGGAACCGTACTAAAGTATAATATGGTAACAGAAACAGCCTTGGCTAGCGGTATTAGGGGTCTAGGCCCCTCAGCTTGTGCGAATAGGGAAGATTTCGTTTAGTTGGATACTGTACGGCCCGCTGGGGCCAAGACTGTCATAGCTGAACCCCAATAAATGGGTACAAAGAATTTCTATACTGTGGGTCTGTCTATTCGCCTCGCGATATTCCCCTACTGATCTCCTATATGGTCGGCCTTCAGAAGACTCTCCATTAATCTCGGAAGTCTCAAATACCCGGGGGCCGTGAATGAAGCCATGTCTTGACGTGAACACAAAGAGATGACTGCAGTGTGTGCATTAGCAGCACGTTGAAACCTATACATTTCCTTTCGACCTTTGTATTGCACGAAAAGTTCACCATCTACTGGTTAAAAAAGTTGAGACATGCCCTTGTCCATATTTCCTCGGCCGTCGGAGACTTGATGGTTATATTGCTATTTTTACCAGCTAAGGAGGACTACAGTTGCATAACTGGTGATAAGACTTTTTGAGGGGCGGGCCTTAGTCTAGTAACGTAGCAAGGTTCACCAGGCCCGGAGCAGGTAACATGGGACCGGCCTAAGCTGGGCAAACAATACCCAGTTAAAAGATTCACCGAGACATTGTTGATTCCGCTGGTTTTACCCATAGTTTGCAGGGGTATCCTTGGAGCCTTGAACCGATACCATCACCAGCTAAGCTATAACAGTTACCCACCCATCGGTCATGCCCTCGACAAAATTCTGTCCGTGGCTACATTTCCTACCTGTTTCCCCAATCCCCACAATCCTTTCTCACACAATGCCCAAAGCAGACTATATCCCTTGGAACCCATGGGAGGTAGAAAACCTTCCACGGTGGTTATCCCAGCATAGCATGCTGTCCTGGAAGGCCAAGTCCGAGGCATATTTCAGGCAATATAATCTTCCAAGGACGCCCGAAGGACTGCGGAGCAAGCTCAACCAACTGATTAAACCTCCCAGTAACCCCGACGGGAGACTGCCCACATACCACCGCTCAGCTGCTCGTCGGGCACGCCATCGTCGGCATCGAGAATTGCAAGGCTTTCCTGCCCCCCACTTTGCCTGTCCGGCCGAGAGCTCCCCGCACAAGGACTCGAATCCTCTGGCAGCTAGTGCATGGATCGAGACCGTATGAGCAAGGGCTGCGGCAAGGGCTGCGTGGCCGATGCGAGCAGTCCTCGCCGTCTACTATCCTACAAGCCGACGATATCGCCGCAATGCCACTCAAAGATAGCCGGTTGTCTCTGCCACGTCGAGATTGTCCCAGTGAGATCTATAGTTCGCGCAGACTCGAGGATAAGCTGACAGAAAGCCCTTGTCGCAGGACACAAGCTTTCCAATCCACTATTGCTACGACGAGAGCAACCTCGATTGATGGAACAACTATGGAGAGCAATCCACAGAGTTGCTGATCGCCGGAGAGACTCGGAGAGAAAGAAGGGGCTTGAAGCACATCATGAGATGTAGGGATCCAGGTTTACTATAGCACACTTGCGGGCATTGAAACAGATCATATTCCTATGTACAGTAATTGATTGGGACTTGGTTATCTCATTCAATACGACAATCAACCTCCAACGTACATGCATTAATATATATATATATATATGTATTCTAGAGAGCACATGACGAGAACATGAGATAGATCTAGACTAATATACTCAAGAGCATATCTCTGCTCATCTGATGCCTATTAGAGTGGATCATACCTCTTCCTCTCACCGTCGAGCTGTACGGAGGCTAAAATGTGCAATATAGATCAATAACGCCGCGCAGAGGTTATCAACTTACGATTAGCCTAAGAGCGCAAGGTTCCTTACTCGGACTGATTTTTGTCTACCACAAATGGTGGGATCCCAGTTGCTAAAAAGTAAAGTGAAGCGCGAGGATGGAGAACCTCACAATAGTGCTAGCAGCGAGGGATCCTACTGAATGCGATCCATGATGGGCCCAGACTCAGGGGATAGGCTGGACATGCCGTATTCAGACCACTACAGAAAAGTGTGCTCAAATTCTGTCCCTCGTAGTCTAGGATGGCATAAAGGTAGGGCGACAATCCCGGGGCTTCCGAGCGACAGCAGCTTTCCCTTGAATAGTCAAGTCCAAGCCATTCTCCATTACCCCAATCGAGTACGAGAGCTGCACATCTTTCTCCACCTGGTCCCCATGCCAACCAGGGGTACCTTGGAAGTAGGATGTCAACTTCGACCCTATTCGAAAGAGGACAAGAGATTGGCCAAGTGCCCCAACGCACATATTCTCTACTTAATACCAACCCTCCGCAATTCAAAGCAATCCTTCACTTTGGAGGTTTGACTGGGGTTGGGATTGGCCAAGCGAAGAAGATTGCTGGCCACTTGGCTGCAAAGCACGTCTGCCATCAATTAGGTATTATTGCCGAGAGACATGGCGAGTCTACAACTGCTAGAAACTCTTGATACGCAAATTGAGCACCTTTGCAAATATCCATACCTTGCTTGCACTTACCCGCCTACCAGCCCTAGAGAAGAAGATTAGGCTTTGTTCCCTTTCTAAGAATAGGGACTATATACATTTGTACACGGTAAGGAATACTCTGTTGCTTCCTTGTGCTAAAAAGAAACGATGGCTGCTCGTCTGTAAGATACTCGACAATCAGCCCCATTGGGCAAATGAAAATCCGATGCAACAAGTGGCTGCTTCTCAATTCGAGCCACTTCTTCGCTACACAAGGGGCAGCAAAATTATCTAACAGGTTTCATGTGGATGGTATCTGGAAGCTTTCGGTCGGGGAATGTTACGACATACCACAGCAATATACTGTTTATATTGTCGATTTCACATCCGACATGTTTGAAGAGCACTTTCCCTTGCCATTTTGGGGGTTAGGGACCCGTAGTTTCATAGCATTAGGTGATTCCTGAAATCAATACTAAATTCTGGAGCACCATGCGGGAGGCCACCATGCGGGAGGCCACCATGCGGGAGGCCACCACCTTGCGGGAGGCGCAGTATGGAACCACACCAGACTGTGCAGGGGTAACCCCCATCCCGGTGAAATGAAATGCCCTATGTGATGAAACAGCCGCGAGGTACCTACACGGTCGAGCATCCGTATTCTCTAACCACAAACTAAGTGTTATCTGAGAATAGTGAATACCTCAATTAGGTGACCTTTCGTATTATTGCTCTTGAAAACAAAATAAAATACTTTGTCCCAATGTTAAAGTACAAGGCTTCATGTACTACTAAGAAATCTGCCGTTGACTGCTGGGACGCCAAGATCACCCACCAAGACATCGGAGATGAATACGAAGGACAGTCTCGCGTGATTGGGCCTTTCCGATGGCGGTCGTTATCTTTTCATGCCATTACAACAATGTGAGCTCCGGGAATGTTGACTTGAGCAAAATTCTTGGCAGCCGGGAGGTATAAAGATTACAGATTTGTGAAGTTTAATACACGGATAAATAACAATGGTGAAATGTGATGTATGAAATATACAGCTACCGCTTAATATAGGAACCGTCCCACAGCCCGTTTGTAACTATTACGGAAGGTTACAGTGACACAGCAAAAGTTTCGACAACACCCCTATAGTGGGTCACCTTCACCGCCCTCACCGCCTACTACACGACGCGCTTGTAGGCCTACTATATCTTCTAGTTTTACGCGATTTACCCCTCTATATCGCCCTAAAGTTACTCTTTTTTTATATCTACGGATGGCTCCACGCTCTGAGCTTACCCCGGCACTACGTGAACGTATTTGCGAGCTTTATAGCGCCGCTGGATGGGGCTATAGGCGAATACAGAAGCGATATCCGTGGGTTTCTATCTCTGGTATTCGATATACGATCAAAAAGGACCGTGAACGACTCGGTGGTGTTACAAAACAACGCTCTGGGCGCCCGAGAAAGCTAGACGAAGCTGATCGAGAGCGTTTATTGAATGCTATCGACGAAAATCCGAAGATTACTCGGGAGGATATGCTTGCTGAAGTGTCGCATAAAGTTAAGTCTTTTTAGCTACTATAATAGGGGTTTACTAATAGATTTTTAGGTTAAATATGACTCGATCCGTCGACTATTAAATGCTGAGAATATGCGGAAGTGGCGTTGCTCGTGGAGGCCGTATTTAACTGAAGAAAACGCCCTGAAACGACTTCGATGGGCTTGGAGATATCGCCACTTCACACCTGAAGATTGGGCTCGCGTTTTTTGGTCTGATGAATATACAGTCGAGCGTGGGATTGGTATTCGCCGAGAATGGACTTTTGTACGCCCGAAAGATCAGCCAAAAGCTGGACAATGTCAAGGATTGCCTCAACGCGGGAAGCAAGTAAAGCAGATGTTTTGGGCTTCGTTTTTAGGCTCTGAGCGGCGTACTGGATTGATTCCTCTCTTCGGAGATCCGAGATCTGAACGAAGCGGTGTAAATCGCTTCGTTATCGAGGAGTTATATCGCCGAATCTTGCCTATTTTGATGGCGAACGAGGGTAGCATTTTTCAGCATGATAACGCCCTAACACATACTGCCTACGTTGTTCGAGAAGCTCTAACTGAGATGGAGATCGAGGTTATGGAATGGCCACCTCATTCGCCTGATTTGAACCCAATTGAGAACCTCTGGGCGTTATTAAAGGCCAAAATCTACGAACTTCGACCTGATCTTATTTATATGGGGAATAACGACCAAACAAAGGAGATTCTGGTGGCTACTGCGCAGCAGGCATGGGACCAACTGGAATTGAGGCATCTACAGCATCTATCGGAAACAATGCCCCATCGTGTAGAGGCTATTATCGAGGCTCAAGGCTGGTACACGCCCTACTAGCTATATAGAAGCAAATTCATGGAGGTTTTTGACCGGCAGAATATTATATAATCAAGGGGTGGGGCTGGGGGTGTTGTCGAAACTTTTGCTGCGTCACTGTACCTCTCTAAGCTCGGACCGATCAGGTGACGACCACGGCCGTCGAGGAGAAAAATTTGTGCGTGGCAAGACTAGGCCCGGGTTAGATTGTCAATGCCACTTGTTATCGTGGCTGTTGACCGTAAGCACTCAGTTGGAATCCTCAGGTGCGAATCCGAAGATCAGGACACGTCCAGACTGGCAGCCAAGCACCAAGGCTAACCCGGATTGACCTACAGCCGAACAGATTGGGCGATATGTGGGAGGCAGCCATAGCCAGTTCTGTGAACGCCGTGTGATCCAGAACCTATCAGGGCTGATACCGTAGCCTTGATATTCAGGGCTTTGCGACGGTTGGCTTGCCCTGAGTGATTGGAGTTCTGAAGCAGCAATGTCTGTTGGAGTCGTAGGGCTAGGTGTCGGCAAGTCGTAAAGGGCGACAATTCCAATGTTAGTGTGAAGAGACGAACCGGTGGCGTCAAAAGAAAGATTGTTCACAGCAGAACCGATGCTCAGCATCTGCAGACAGGCCCCGGTGTGCGCATCCCAGATCTTGATCGTCTCGTCGTCTGACCTGGAGGCGACGCGGCTGCTGTCGTGGGAGAACACTACTGCGGTGACCCAATTATCATGGCCCTCCAGCGTCTGCAAGCAGGCCCCAGTGTGCGCATCCCAAGTCTTGATCGTCTCGTCGGACGACCCGGATGCGACGCGGCTGCTGTCGTGGGAGAACACCACTGATCTGACATTACTGTCATGGCCCTCCAGCGTCTGCAGACAGGCCCCGGTGTGCGCATCCCAGATCTTGATCGTCTCGTCGTCTGACCTGGAGGCGACGCGGCTGCTGTCGTGGGAGAACACCACTGAGGTGACCCGGCTGTCATGGCCCTCCAGTGTCTTGAGGCAGGCTCCGGTGTGCGCATCCCAGATCTTGATCGTCCTGTCGTCCGACCCGGACGCAACCCTGCGGCTGTCGTGGGAGGACACCACTGATCTGACCCACTTATCATGGCCCTCCAGTGTCTGCAGACAGGCCCCAGTGTGCGCATCCCAGATCTTGATCGTCCTGTCGTCCGACCCGGACGCCACGCGGCTGCTATCGTGGGAGAACACCACTGAGGTGACCCAATCGTCATGGCCCTCCAGCGTCTGCAGGCAGGCGCCGGTGTGCGCATCCCAGTCATCTCCCATCGCCGGCGCAATTGCGATATTATTAGGCCACTCCTGCTGGAACAGCTGCTTAGTCATACTCTGTCGTGGGCTAAACACCAGCGCCGACCCGTATGCCTGGAGAGGGCTGTTCTCGATTGCGCCTCGATGGTAGCGTATAAATCGGTACGTATCCTGGACCAGATCCTGCAATCCGGCTACTCCTGATCGCCCCTGTAATGACATTAGAACACTTCGCAGCACCAGAGATGAACGCATACCTGTATCAGAGCCCCGAGTTTATGTACCGACATTATCCCATCTGTTACGCTTCGAAGAAGACTCAGTGCCTCGAGCCAGTAGAGACATCGGGTTCGGAGGAATGCGTCGACGGTGCCAGCGTCCTGAAGGGCTTCGTATGATCCAGATTGGTCTAGATGGTCTACCCAGTAAACACAGGAGTAGCGTGCGACTGCGAGCGGATCTGGCTCAGGCGGCTGGGCCTGGTTGATAGGAGTACCTAGGGCGCCCAGACTGTACATATCGCGCCGCAATACCTTGTCCATGACCTGCAGTGATTTTGTGAACATACGGCCGTGAGCAGCCGTAGAACCAGAGGGGAATATGCTCGGACCAGCCTTTTCTATCAGATAGTCCTTGGCGGACTGGTGCACAAAGTAGATTGTCTTGTCGCGAATCGTGAGGAAGGACCCGCTCCTCTTGACAATCGTCTTTATGTTGTTGGCGTTTCCAGCGATCTTGTTGGGGAGTCCGGACACCACCCCCAGCTCCAATAGCTGAAGCGGCCGGTAGGCCAGTGTGGCAGCTGAGAGGACCAGCTGACAGTACTCTCGGCTTCGAGGCGCGGTTTGTTCGATCTGGTCTATCATTCGCGCATATAGATAATCCAGCCCGGTCGGTACATCGTCCACCACCTGCTCCACATCCCAGCTGTCGACATGCTGGAGTTCCTGGACCACGAGAGCCACCCAGAGAAACGTTCCTTCGGCTTTCTTCTGGAGGGTCTGCCGAACATGTTCCAGCAAGGCATCATCGTTCTGTAGAGATTCAAGCTCCGCTATCCTGTCGGAAATGTAAGCCCCAATAGCCACAGACACAGATTCTGCATTCTCCTGTAGTTCCAGGCTTAATATGGATTGCGAGTCATTGAGCCGTGTTCGGTGCTCAACATGGTTCCGGCTGGAAATAATCCATTTGACGTGTGGGAACTCCTTCGTCCCTTGGAGAATAAACTGTAAGAGCTTGTCTTGGTCCTGCACACATTCATCAAGAGCATCAACCACGATGTAGATCTTGTCTGGGCTGGCTTCACGTAAGATATTCAAGAACATAACGCACAGTGCAGCCCATGCTTCTGCATCCCCAAATCGCGGCTCCCCGATTTCTTTGAATTTTTCCCGTATAATGGAGAGTAATGATGGCTTTCTGTCCACAAGCATATAGATCAAACCGCGCAGGACAGCATGAGCGTTACTCAGCTTGGGAACTGTGGCTTGACAGAAGAAGAAAGACAGGAATTTCCTGGCCTGGCGATCTGCTAGTTTCGTGGTAGGGCCAAGTTCATCAATAATACCACACAGTAGCATCGTCTTGCCTTTACCGGGGTCCCCCTTAATCCAAAGAACCTGGCTGTTGTTGTTGTTGCGCCAATGCTGGAACTGAGGATGGCGGAGGATCCAGTCGTAGGATTTCTTGAGGGCGGCTCCCCTCGTCTGATGGATGGTCATTTTGACGTCGCGCGGGTCAGTCACTGCGAAGTAGTCGAAGCAGCGATCTTTGCTTTGTCTGTCTTGGTCTTACAAGCTTTCATGTTAGAATGGGAACCGCCAAGTGGAAACTTGATGTTAGACGTGCCTCCGACATACTGATAGAAGGTGCTTGGATGATACTATGTCAGAACGGCTTTTCAGTCATATCATCGTCGATCTGGGCTTACGCATGTTCCACCTTCCCTTGTACCTGGACATTCCCTCCATTGTTATCGAACTGTTGACTGTTCATTCTGAAGGATGAGTCAGACGATGCTAGCAAGGTCTGCTCTATATTCAGTCAAGCGTGTCTAGCAGTCACACTGTAGTGCGCAATAACCATCAGAGAAATTCGGTGGGTGACAGAATTTGAGTCGTCGTTACAAGACCGATAAGAAAACTGTTTCCTTCTGCCTTGTCCTTGATTAAAAAGCAGGGTCGTCAAGCTGAAAACAACTGCAGATAGCAGGGCTGGCTCTATCGGCCTTGTGTTATGTTGGATCAGGTATTGCCATCTGGCTCCGAAGTTGTAGCTGCTCCAGCGGCAAGCCACGCAGATATCGGGCCGTTGCCTGCACGACGCCCACCAATCACCGCCGCCCGCCTCTACCATCGGGCAATCGAGTGAGGAACAGCGCTAATGCAGCGTGACGGAACGCACTGCGCCGCATCGTATTGCCACGTCGCGTCCCCGTGGGGCAGCCTTTGTGACACGCGGAGAGCACGGACCGCTTTGCAGCCGCAGGTAATGCATCATTCCTGCAATCCCGGCGACTCCGTCTTCAGCACCCATCTATCGCATGTCGGGCCTAATGCACCTACCTGGCATACCTTGTACAAACACATTCTGCAAGCCCTAGTAATTAAGCATACGCAAGATTTACGAAAACTTCCCCTTACTCCACGAATATCAACCTGCTCTCGGCTCTTTGTATATACACGTATGGTCTCACTAACCGCATTGCCCCGCGTCCATAGTTCCTGGGTTGTCCCTCGTGTTTGTTCATCTTTGACAGTCCGATTTCATTTGCTTTCTTCGGGGCTGTGGTCTTTGTACCTCGCTCGAACAATTTGAAGTCTTATTGTGCACATTTGGTGGGATGAAAACTGCAATCAAATTCAGCGACAGGTGCCGATTGAGAGATGGAGATCAGATCCTTTTTTGTATTTGCGCTTCTTACAGGGGCTGAGAGCCGGGTGCCACACTCAAGGGGCTCCCATGCATCTGGCTGAACTAAATCATATTGCCACGTCATAGTATCCCAGAGTTATGGCGACCAATGAAACCGCAAGGTATATTTTTGGACTATATTTGACGTGGACATGATCAATGAATGATTGGATTGGTCGTTTTCCGTCGCAGGATGCAAAACCTGCATCTCCGGTGACTCCGACGCCTACAGCCATCTAGTCTCTTTGATACAAATAAGACCGCATTGCCCCAAGAAGTATGCGCAAGAATCCATCTCGAGCTCCCCCAAGCCTATCATCATCAGCCATTCTATACATTCACACAGACACGCGCAATCCTACCAAGATGACGGGCGCGGAAGTAATTGGTGCGGCATCTGGGCTAGCAGGGCTTTTTACCACGACCATTACCTGGTTTGACTATATCTACGTTGTCAGAAAGGCGGCCCCGCGACTACAGTCCCTGATCGTGAAGCTTGGCAGTGCGCAACTGAGACTCACGCGCTGGGGCCAGGCTGTCGGTCTCACAGGCTCAGATATTGAAGACGAGGAGTCGCTGAAGAGCTCGGGCTCATTCCAGCTCGACGAGGAGCAGGAGAATCAGGCTATACGGACATTTCGGATCTTGGCGACTCTCTTCGAAGAGTCCAAGGAAATCTGTCACAACGAACGCAAAGGAAAGTCCGAGGATGACCCTGGGGTAAAAGAGAATGAAATAAAGCCGTTCAGCCAGGGCGGCTTTAAGTGGAGCGCTATGCACCGTTACCTCCATGAGACAATGCAAAAAATCGTCCACGAGCGCAGAAACAAGATGTCAGTTCCTCGACTCTTCAAGTTCGCCATTTATGACGAGAAGCATCTCGAGAAGCTGGTCAAGGACATCAATGACCACATTGACGCACTGTACCAAATCTACCCTCCGTCTGTGAGCGATCAAGAAGAGGCGGTCGAGGAGGAAATGGATAAACTTCTCAAAGTCATGAAGGAATTGCGCTCTGCATCAGAGCGGGATCCAGTGATGAACACGGCTGTTAAGAATATATTGGAGCAAAGCGTAAGTGGAGGTCGATCTTATTCCCCTATCTTCAATCTACTATCATGTTGTTGACACAAGCAGAATGAAAACATGACCTTCAACACCACGGAGTCTACTGTCCAGAAAATAGGGCAGGATCAGCAAGGTCGCTATGAAATGACAGTCGGATCTGATGCAAGCAAAAGAAGATAATGCTATGTTGGTCAGCTGACTGCAGTTTGAAGCAGTACATAAGTTCATGTATTGAAGACAATCTGACGTTTATACCTGCTAATTGCTTTCTTTCTTCAATAAATACCAGAGAATTCAGCGTTTAGGTTACACTATCTCCACTCGGGCCTAAACTTAACCTTGCTGAACTGGAAATGGGCAGGGACCTAAACTCTGGGCGACTTGAGAGGCCTCGAGATAAAATCGTTACCATACAGAAATCTTCGCGCCGGCCATTCAAAATACCGAGGCACTTCTGTGCGGTAGATTGATGGAAATACAGAATAATTTAAGATTGTTTTAAACTGTCAAGTGAGTCTGTAAATCTAAGACAGAACAATAGTCATTCATATCCCATGCTTGAATCTCTTGCTCGGCCTTGCGCTTTTCCTCCGGTTTCGAAAGCAGTTTGTCCTTGGCTTTAGACCTCTTTTTCTCGCTCGAGCCTTGTTTCGCCACCGCCATGTCACGTTTCTTTTGCGCCTCAACAATATCGTCATAGCTCATCACTTTGGCATGTCCTATGACCGTTTGGCCACTGGATTACCGAGAAGACTTTTCATTGTTCTGCTCAAATAGGATCCGGTTCTCCTCCAGCAATAAGGCGCGCTCCGCGAAGACCTTTTCGGCCGCGCGGTTCAATGTTTCAAGACGATGTTTGCACTCACTGTCTAGACTCCCAGTGCCTTGCTCCATCTCTCTGCGAAGCAAGGTGAAATGATCAGAGGTGGTTGGAGTGTGATCGAGATTGAAGGACACGGTCGGGTTGTGGTCCACAGGGATAGTGATCTGTTCCTCGGGCCGGGACACTTGGAAATCCCGGAGGATGCGAGACGGATCGAATGGGAAGAGGCCACTTCTAGACCAGGCAGATCTTATATTGCGAGGTGTAAATGCCTCCTGTCGGGCGCGATCATAAAGATAGGTAAAGTGTGGCTTGCCGACGTTACCTACCCCGGCCCGACATGCCTGCTCAACCTGTCCCCGGTATGCCGTTTTCAGAGGACTGAAGACACCCACATCGCATGGTTGTAGTTTATGCGATGCATGAGAAGGGAGACGACATAGCATAATGCGGTTAGCAAAGCAGAATTTCATGACCTCTAAAGACTCATGGGTGCCAAAACCGTCGCAGATTAGGAGTCGTGGCCGACCGCCGGCTCGGTCTCGAGTCTGCGGATCGAACAGATGCTTGACCCAGTATAGACTGATGTCGGTGTTCGTATAGCCTGTTTTGGAGCAGGCAAAATGCCACCCGGGGGTGGCGTGAGTGGTCCACGAACTACGATGCGTGGCGGCCGGCCAGATAATGAGAGGATGCAGGAAGCGACCATCGGCGGCGATGCATTCAATCGCCGTGACCAGCGTCCGCTTCACCGTGGTCCCTCGGTACTTTCTCAAATCGTCTTTACTGACGAGCAACTTGAGGGAGTTCAGAACGCTGAGAAGAACCCCCGTCTCGTCCATATTGTACACATTCCCTGGGAGAATAGCCGGATCAGCCAGTTCACGGCCAATGATGGCAAACCAGTGTCGAACTTTATCTTCAATCTGCTGGCCATCTCGCTTCCAATCGATCGCTCGCAGCCGTCGTGCTCTTAACTGCGGGTGCCGTCGATAAAAGCCCCGAGACCAATTCTTTCCCGGAGGTCGGACCTTGAGACTGGGATCTGTAATCTGGAAAATCGAAGAGCGTTGGCGCACAATAATCCCATGACACTTCCAAGGACAATGGTGAGAGCCGCGAAGCCCTCGGTATCTCCAGGAAGCTCTCTTTGTTCCATGAAATTGTTCATCTTCGGGTCGGTGAAGCTCTACTTTTTTCACCGAGTGCTATTTCTGGCACAGCACCAGATAGTTCTGGCTTGCAGAAGCTGGCCAAACTGGGCTCAGGGTATATGGTGATCAAAATTCGAGATAGGCTTACTGAAGATGGTGGGAAGAGTGTTGTGTCATCCTGAGAACAACCGTGATAAAGGAAGACAGACTGGCTTCTTTTTGTCTCAAATGCCACGGGATATAATAGCGGTGTCGAAATGGAGATATCAGGTGATTCTGATCTAGCCAATGGCATGCAGGAAAAATAACTGTGTCTGATTCTAAGAAACTATCCCCAAAAAACACCAATTTAAAGGGAAAAACAATGACTAAGAAGGTACAGTGACAAACATTTAACGTAACCCGTAAGCGAGTGAACCACCCCACCAAAAACCATCAATTTTAAACCAATATATTTCGGCCGAAACGCCATTTAGATACAAAATAAGCTATTCAGTGCGTTTTCCACACTGATTCCGTCGATGCCCTAATTGCCAACACTCAGTGCATCGTGATGGCGCCAGATAAGGTAGTAATTGCGTCGTTTCTAGCTCCTCCGTCGGCTGCTCCGCTGGTTGCTTTTGCTGCTTTTTCTCAACAACCACTGGCTCGTTCGTCTCCCCAGCGATATATCCCCCTCGATACGATAGCTGCTGTGCGGATTTGGCGCGTTTTATCGTTTGTTTGGCGTTTGCATCGCGTAGTAGTTGGTTTTGCAAGAAATATAGCGTTATGCATAGCCATTTCGCAACCCTTCACAATTTGGTCTAACGCTCGCTGGGTAGGGCTAGGAGGGCTTGCGGAACGCCGTTGAAGCAGTGCTTTTACCGACGATACTTGCTTACCCAATTGCTTGGGGTTTTGGGGTCTTCATGGAAAAATCGCTGCTGTTGCTCCCTGAGGGGGGGGGGGGGGGGGGTTGTTTTAAGCCGAATATTACGCGTTTCGATGACCCGATTCGGTTCAAACGGTACTAAACCGGTAGCGGCGAAGCTATTTTTAATTGTGTCCAATTTATAGCAAGCCGCACGTGCATGAGGGAATTCGGCTAGGAAATCCAATTTGGCGATATGGTTTACCCCGGTTCGTATATACCCCTCAACCGATTTGCTATACTCGCGTTTTAAAACACTAAAACAACCAACATCAAGTGGTTGTAATAAGTGTGATGAGTGCGCTGGCATACATAATGGTATAATATCGTAGGATATGGCAATTGAAACTGGCGCGCGGCGTCACGAATAGAGGGAATTTGCTTGGTTTGAATAGCTTCGATAGCTTATAAGAGGCGCCCCTCGTGCTCAGTAGAGTTTTGGCGCGGTTGAGAGCGATTTGGTGGCATGGTGGGCGTTTGAAATAGTGTGGTTGATATCGAGAGGTGATTTTTGGTGGGGTGGTCACTCGCTTACGTATGCAATAATTACCGGAATTTCCTTGGTCCGAGCACCGAATCCACCCATTCCGACAATGAGACTTGCATAAACCCTGCAAGCCTCCCAATTAATCAGTGTCAATGTCTGACCCCGTATCTTCTTTGACATAGTAATTCCGTTGAGTGCTGAGACGATGAATTTCTTCTGCATGCCTGCGAAGATGCATCTCATGGAGCAGGTCTTCGTCACACATGACACCTTCGATCCTGCAAGTGCTTCTCTCGAAAGTGTCGCAGGGTCGACTTATACTCGCTATATTTCTGTGTTCTGCGATGAATGGGAAGTCCGGCGTCACCATAACATTGAAAACATCGCCGGGGCTTCTTGGCCTTCTTAATATAATTTCCGGCTTTCGCGAGAAGAACACCCTGCTGCGAAGGCTCCGGAAAACTGTAACTCTTCTTGGCTGGCTCTGGTACCACGTCGGTCTGTTCTTCGTCGAACCCATCACTTGGTGCTGCTCGTTTACGTCGCCCACGCAACGGGCCACCTTCAAGGAAACAACAGCATCGGGAGATCGCAGCCACAGCGGTGTTCCTTCTTTGCCACTCCGCCTCCAGGGATTGAGAGGTAGGTCATGTGAATAAGTTCTTCAGAAGATCAATCTGCTCTGGTAGCATCTGGTCTTCTACTTGAAGCACCTTCCTCGTCTCTTCGTCTTCAACAGCAGCCCCCGAAAGCTGTCGCCCAATGTCTATTATGGCCTGTTTGCGGTCGAACTCATGGCGGACCTTTCGTCTCAATGCTCTTTCCAACCTACCAAATGTATTGGAGGTTTCGCGTGTCAATTTCTCTAATCGCAATTGCATCGCTGCACTAGGATCGCGTTTGCACTCTTCGGCTTGCTCCCTCATTCGCCGCTCGGCCTCCACATATTCTGGATGTTCGCGAAGGGACGCTCGCTGCTTCGAAGTAAGATGTCGAGGGCGTCTCTTGTCAATCCACCTACTCATGCGGGTGATCGCGCGCTTCAGAGACTTGTTGGATTCACGGCCGTTCATAACACTCTGCATATCCGTGTCGATGTGGCGTGGAAGATAATGATCCAAGAAAGTGCGAGTGTCAGCGTGTTTCATAATCAGATTTTGCTGTGCTTCGCTGACCGCGCTGCTTTCGTTTAACATCTCCCCCCACCTCCATAGCGAAAACGATGGGCAAACATTGACTGAAGGAAGCCGTGGATCTCCCCTAGATTTCTCAGACATCCAGACATAGCGCTCTCGGTCATCCGCATCGGCTGGTTCCATTGGAGAAGCGCACGTCCATTGACTACCTCTGTCTTGCAGAAGACATAATTGTTTTCGACTCTGCGTTTCAAGGAAAGAATTACCGACGGCAAGACAGTCGTAAGGCATCTGCTTTTACAGTAAACAATACATCCATACCATCCATACCATATGTAAAACTGACGAAAGTGCATAAACATAACCACCGCTAAAATGTAGGTCTTTAACGGATTATAGGTCTATAGCTAAAATCCATACCGCATGATAAACGATGAATCGTGGCTGTATGCTATCGCCTTACCTTGAGCCGTGAGAGCAGTCAAAACCTAAAGTTATTGTTCAAGCAGCACTGCTTCCTTACGATAAAACACATGGAATTCCTTGTCGGCCTTTGATTGATGATGGCCACTTTTAACACAGTTCCTCTTTACCGTCAAGGCACCCCAGAAGACAACCATAGGAGACAACCATGTGTGTAGACCCTAGTTACAATAATGAATTTAAGACGGCCCTTAGAAAAGACGAGTCACCAGGTGTGCCAGTATCGTCTCTAGGACAATTGACCTTTCCGTTAACAGGGAATAGGATACGCTGGGTAAGAGCGTCATGGTTTAGATGTATTCGTTCGGGCCGTTGATTTGAATTCTGAGAACCGCAGCAAAAGAAAGTGATAATTCGAGTACTATAATGTGCTGGTGATCTACAGTGGATGGTTAATATGCCGTGCAATCCAGGTGGTGGAAGTCGTGGAAACCGCGGCAGCCTCCTCCGTGCACAGAGCAAGTGGTGCCTGACTAGTGCTAGTCGAGCATGTTAACCGTTTGAAGAGCATTCAATGGTTATTTAATCCCACTTCTTGTACACTCTGTTCTCTTAACCACCCTCTCAACCACCCTCTCATAACCACCCTCTCATAACCACCCTCTCATAACCACCCTCTCATAACCACCCTCTCATAACCACCCTCTCATAACCACCCTCTCATAACCACCCTCTCTTAACCGTCCTCCTAACAAAGGTGGTCATAAGCAGGGTAGTTCCAAAAAACTACCCGGAAAACCTGCACCAACCAGTCAACTAACCGACCGGCCAAATTCAAATGACTATTTGGCAATCATTTCTTGTTGGCATTTGTGTTACATACAGTTCCAATGATGCTCGTTCGTTCGTGATGCGGCTTGTCCTATAACTTATTCACGATAACCAAGGCCTTGGCGGTGGGCCAGAAAATAGTGATTGTGGAGTGGTCAAGCCGGTTTGATTTTGAGAATGCCTGTACATAGTAGCTTATGGCTATGATTTGCCAGTATTCGGGGCGATAGTGCCTCTTCCCCCTCTGGGCAACGTCGTCACCGGCTAGGCAGCATCTCTGAGGTTCCATGTTCCTTTACTAGAAATTCTGCACCATACAGTACACGTACATGCAGGGAGAAATGTACGTTGTGTTCTAAATCTTGCTCATGCTGAATGGAATCTAACTACCTATTCATTTTCTAGAAGAAAATCTCTCATCAGCCCGATCCACCGTACTGTAGACTGACAAACATATCAAGAACCCTATCAGTACACCACCCCACGACTCATTAGTCTTTGAAGAACATGGTGGTGCTTTTGGTGACGGGAGACTTCCAGTGCACTTTCGCCCCGTCGGTTTCTTGCGTTGAGATCAACACCCCCAAATCCGAGTATACGGTCTACCATGTTTAGATCACCGTCACGAGCCGCAACCAACAGATACGTATCCCCATTCTTGTTATTCTGACAGTTGATATCCAGCCGAGTCCGCTCGTTCAAAAAAGCTCGACCACCCGCCATGAACGCGTTTGGATGGCGAGCCAGAGGGGGTCATCTTCGCCTTCGTCGACTGCGTTGATTCGAATTCCTTTCGCTCGTAGTAGAAGATTTACCATCTCATAGGATCCTTGGTATGCTGCAGCTCCGAGAGGGCTCCATCGGTGGTCGCCTATGGTGTTTGGATCCAGCTGCAGATGTGTCGCTGCAAGCATATGGGAGACCAGTGGTAGATTATTCCGGTGCACAGCAAGGTAGAACGCAGTTTTTCGCCATCGTGGATCGTCCTTGCTGCCTAGAAAATTGACATCCAGCCCCTGCTCGTCCAGGAATCGCTTACCAACTTCGTCGTGCCCAAGGTATGAAGACCACCAGAAGGCGGTGTTTCCCGAGTTGTCGAGCGCATTGATGTCGATTCGTGGGTCTTTCAGAAGCAAGTCCACTACTTGGAGTTGATTATTCCGGGCAGCAACGTGCAGCGCCGTGGATCCATGTCGATCTTTGGCCTGGCGATCGACGTCTCGCAGCAGCATTTCGATGCTTTCTTGGAGGAAAGGCGTTTCGTCATTCCAGTTTCGGATATTGACATTCGCGCCCAAGTCCAAAATCATCTCCAGAATATGGGCGTCTTGGAAGCCTCTGTATGTTGACGCTTGGTGGTAGGCTTATAAGGAGTTAGTCGTTATTAAGTGTCTGTTTCCAATATGATGGGGCGTACCGTTTTTCGATGAGAATTCGGGTTGGGGATTTGGGTTTTGATCAGGGTGTAAATGAGAAGAACTCAAGGGGGGTGAATGATAGTAAATAAATAGCCAGACCACCGAGACGGCTTATCTCAAGCGTATGAAATGCTCATCTATCCCTGCGGCTTATAACTGAGTCCCAGAGGCTCGCTAGGAAGCTTGCCTGAATTACCAAGCCTCGTTTAAGAAAAGAGACGATCCTGGGAGTTGCATCCTGCAGCTCCCAGCTCCCGGATACCAGATCCTAGGAGCACGAGTATCCTAGGAGTAGATACGAGTGTTCACAGGAGTAACGTACTTGGTGCTCCTGCGACTCTCACATACTCCTGGGAAATGTCTAGGTGCTCCCAGGAAGACAATCGGTAGTGGTCATCCCGGAAATCAGTACAAGCTCCTAGGATCTACTGCGTGCTTCAGAAAGTACTACCGTGTACAGCATGGTGGTCCTGTGAGCTTTAATTCCGTAGGAACTCTGAGATGCGAGGTATCTTAACCCCAAAGTTTTATTTTAAGCCAAACCATTTATTTGGTCTTACAATTTCTCAGGTTACATAGAACACGCTAATTGCAGACCGTGCTTGCTTATTGATCCTGGTCCTCTCTGTCCCTGTCCCTTTGAATTCCCGACAACTTCCCAATGTACGGAAACAGTATGGGTCCATATCCAGCCATAGAGTAACAAGATCGTACTATATTATACAAATCACAATTGATACGACAATTACGGCCGTGACCGCTTGGAACTGTGGTGGTACTGTGAATTTGTAATTTTTGTTACCATAGTGTGCAAGTTGGGACGCTTGCACTGTAGGAGATTTTTCGACTCCTGAATGATTTCATACATTTGCTTTATCCATGGCGAGAGGGCCGATTTGCAAACCTTCCATCAGCAGAGCCGCCTTGCGAGACCTATTAATGATGTTTTCAAAATATATTGCGCTAGGTGACGAGTGCCCCTCGCTGGAAAATAACATCTAGTCTAGCCCTTGAGGTGAGATTGAATCTATATCTACACAAAGGTCAAAAAGTTCCCAGGGTTTGTCTCGGAGCCGAGTTTTATTTCAAGGGTCAACACTGGGATTTCCGCAACTGGAAAGGAAAGTATGTACAGGTGAATAATCATCGACCAAAGAACAATGGTTTAGCCGCCCATCCGATTAGCCCGTGATCTGGTGCATCGCTGAGAAGGCTTCATGTCCATCCAAACCTGTCGCAGATAAGTCGTATCTATGTCCGCGAAGTGATGCCCAATCTGCCTCGGAGTCAGATTCTGGTCTTTGAGCTCAAGCATCTTTCGTTTTTCTTTTGCATTGAGCTTCTGGCGTGGCTTGCGAGTGCTCAAATCATCTGCATGATGCAGAGGCAGCTGTGATCTTGTCTTGGCTCTGCTGAGGGGTTCGCGAAGACTAGCAACATGGACTTGATCACCATGAGGCGGGTTCCCATCACCGGCGTCCGTCTGTGTAAGAAAACAACTCCCGCGCTTGTCTTCTACCGCAATATCTTGGCCGCTGGGAGGCATAAGTGCGAGAAAATCATTTTTCAAAGCCTTCTTCGCCTCCTCATTTGCTTTGTTGCTAACAAAATCTCCAATGGGATAATTGTCAAGGCTTGGGACGGGAGATGGTGGCTGTATCCCCTCACTAGAGGACTCTTCCTTTGTCTCCCGTTCCGAAGAGAGATTAAGTGAATCCAGCTGCATGGATACTTGATTACAAGACCAGCTTCCATTCTCCTTGGTGAAGTCAAAAGGCTCGAGGAGTCTCGGATCGATGACCTCAAGTCCGGGAGTTGTTGGCCGCGAGCTGAGTGAGGAATTTGCCGCGGAGAAGCAAGATGCAACTGAGCTGCTTCTGCTGCTCGAACCGGACTTGTCACTTGTACTAGAGCAGCAATATTGTTCTGGATACTCTTCGACAAACGAAAGCAAGGTCGGGACGGGGACAAATATTTTGTTTGACAGATAGTGCTCATGTTCATGACGCGGAGGCGGGTAGCAATAAAATCGTATTTTCTTGGGGCGCTCTTCTTCTGGTTCTGCTGCAGAGCTTTGTGCTTCTACCTTGCAGGCGCGTTTTCTCTTTCTTGGTGGTTTTGGATTTTGCCATATGGCTTCCTTTAGCCCGTGCACGTCGTGTAAGTGGTGTCGAAGGTCACGCTCATTGTCGAATGTTCGAGAGCACCCGCACATTTGTTTTTTTGTGGACCACTGGATACCAGCCATGTGCTGTCCCTCAATGTGTTCCCTCAAGTTATCACTCCGCAACCAGTATTGCAACCGGTCTTCCGCAGGAAGATCGAGGTCCCACAAGCAAAAAGGGCAGTAGCCGGGGCGAATGACGGTATGGCGATAGAGGATCACTTCGCAGTGCTGGACTTGCCATGACTGGAGATGGAAATCACAATGGTTCCTCCATTGACTGGACAAAAACCATTCCATGCATTCGTAACAAAATCGCATCCTTGATTCTGATATTTGAAGGTCAAAAGCTTTCTCACGCCGGACACATTCGTGAATGTGGACACTTCGGTCACATTTCCTCAGACTAGACGGTTAGTATTGGCCGCCTCATTACTAAAGCGGGGCACTCACCTTGAAATGTTGATTTGGCAACCTTTTGCAGGACAGAGCCCTTGAATCGGGCTTTCATTTGGGAGGTATACCACGTCAAAATCATGGACACATTGCGTTTGTAGATCTTGGACCAAAAGAAGTTTTTCGTCAAAAGAGAGCTCTTTGGCGCAGGACATAGCTGTTGCAATTCGTGCAACCTCCGGCATAATCAACATTTGAGCGCGCGTGCGAATGTCGTTTTCCAAGGGCATCGGCTCTTTCTTTCCCCGATTGAGAATTTTTTGGTCTCTTTTCTCCTGTACCCACCGATTTTGATATTGTTTGAGCTCAAAAAGGCGATGTCGAACCAGTGCCTTCCTGTATTCCAACTTCCCGTTCTTGAGGGACTTTTCGTCATGGCTTTGTTCAAAGAATTCGATTCGATCCCTCATTTCCACCAGATCTGGTTTATCCAAAATACTTTCTTTGGTTTCTGCTGTCAATTCGCCTGGCAAGCCACGCTCGTAAAACTGGACATAACCTTGAAAGTACTCAATATGGTCTGGTTGGTCTCCCTCGTCGAGAACAGCTGACACTGTATCTATGGAGGAGCAGTGGGCTTGGTAATGCTCCGGAAAGGTGCCTGGTCCCTGGTGTGCCATGATCTGAGAGACAGGTGCAGAACCATGCCTTCCTGTATCAAAATTTTAGTTTTATGACCTCTTCCGAGTGTTTTGCATGGTTGCAGGGGCTTACCTTCAATTTTCTTCCCTAGATTTCGTCGTAGACAATGGATCGTTGCCAGCTCACCAAAGTACCCCGCGGCAGTAAAAATCTGATGTAGGCAAGAACAAAATTTTTGCTTCGTCAGAGGGGTCTCCTGAGGTCCATCAGCCGTGGCATGTCTGAGTTAGGGTGTACAGTACAATTTCATTAACTTCTTTCGTTAGTTTTGGGCCCGCCAAGAATAATGGAGAGTGCGCGAGAACGGTTGAGGTAATGAAACACTACGCATAGACGATACGGTACATTATATGGATTGCCTTTAACGTACTCCACCTGGTATCTGTGAGGGTTCTTGGCTAATTCCTCTTCTTTTTATTTTTTTTATTAAGGCCTGCATTTTTTGTCCAAATTATCAGAATGATGTTTTTCTGAAGCCTTACCAAAGAAAAATATCGAGAGAGGTGCACCGTTTCGTTGAACAGACCAAATAAAAATTTCTCAGGTGTCTAGCGCCGTCCGTTCATGCAACAACCTTCAAATAATACGATTACCTAAACGTTTCACCGTATAACGTGGATCCCGGCGGGTCCGTTATCCCTGCCGGTCCGTCACCCCATCAAAACTTCAGATGTTTTACGTTTTTCAAACATCATTTACCCAACCAAAACACCATTGAATTGACAAATTAAATCTTTTGCGGGCATGTAGAAAATCTATGCCCTTTTCCGCCGCATTTAGAACACGTAATTTGCCGACGTACAGGGGGCAAAACAGGAAGTGTAGGTTCAACCTGGGGTTCTGGAGCAGGTGCAGTATCAGATATATATCTTACACCACCACCTCCCTCACCACCAACATTGGTAGTGAGGTCCAAAACCTCTGTTAAACTACCTTTATTAGGCATTCGCTTCTTCGATTTCTTCCTCTTTTTTGTCTGCTTTCTGTTTCCCTCCCGTAAACGTTTTATTTCATCCCGCATTAAGATGTGCTCGTGAACTAGCTTAACCGACATATTGTAAAACTGTTGAAGATCACGTTTTGTAGGCGAAGAGATCTTATTGGCCGCTGAATTTAGACCAAAATTGAGCCTAGATTTGCGTTTTTCTAGCTGCTTAGTCGTTCGAGGGATGCCGGTAGAGATATTGCTGCCTGATGTTGAACCTTGTGAAACTGGTCGATCTGGTAGAGGCGGAGATTGAAGACGAATATTGAGCTTTGATAACACCCGATCGGGGTCCAGTGGTACTAAACCAGTAGCTGCGAAGGCACTCTGAATGATAGACTCTTTAAATGAGTCATCACGGGCCGCTGGAAAGATATCAAGGAAGTCATCTTTCTCGATAGAATCGATGCCTAATCGGGTATATTCCGCAACCCGCGTTCCATAAGAGCGCTTTAACATAGCAAAACAACCAACATCAAGAGGCTGTAAAAGATGAGAGGCATGCGGAGGCATACAGATTGGTATGATGTTGTTTTCCTGGCAAATCTTGTCGAATGTCGCTGTAAGATGACTGTCGTGGCCATCGAGGACCAAAAGACGATGTTTCCCTCTCGTCTGACTTGTTGTGTGCGGAATGAAGTGTTTTTGGAGCCAATCAACGCCAATTTCATTGCTTGTCCAGCCGTTTGGACTAACGTTAAGAGCCCAATGCTTTGGAAGGTCGTCAAACCATCGTACCATAAAGTGTTTCCCTTTGAAGATAACGTATGGTGGGAGCGCTCGTCCGGAAGCGCAAATTGATTCAATCACAGTCACCCATTCACGATTACCGGCTTGTAAAACGCCCCTCCGACCGGTGTAAAATGACTGTGTAATAACCTTCGTCGTCGCACTGATTCCCATCGCAAACCCCGATTCGTCAAAGTTGTAGATATCATCCGAAGTGATACCATATTGAGCTATCGTTTTTTGGACAAGCTTAAACCACTCAATAATAGTATTTGGGTCTTCCATTAGGGCGCGTTTGTAGTCATATTTGCGAGAGAATCGAGTAGTAAGCTCAGGATGTCGTTTGATGTATTGTGTTGGCCAATTTTTGCCAACGGTCTGGGGGCATTATCTCCGCGGTGTTCAAGTAGTAAATTGGCCATATCTCTCAACATCGCGATTGTAAGCGCAGCGCCTCTCTGATCCATAGATATCAACCAATCCTGAATTGATTCCTCTTCCAGTTGCGTAAATTTATGGCCTGTAGCCCTTGCTTCATAAAGATTAGGAATGCCTTTCATCCGATCTGCAAGAGTTGTGCGGGGGACATCAAAAGAGCGAGCAGCAGCAGCGATCGTGGTAATTCTGCCATTTTGAATAGCTTTAATAGCTAGCAAGATCCTGCCTTCCTGCTCAACTGATTTTTGAGCTTTTTGACTGGGTTTCGGGGGCATGGTAGGCGTTTAAAGATAGGTGGTTGGGAAGGGGCAGAAAATCTGAGGTGAGATGACGGACCGGCAGGGATGACGGACCGGCCGGGATCCACGTTACAGAGGTCCATTTCAAAAGTCCTCGCTCACGCTAAATAGCCCCTAATCCTAATAAAGTCTAGCTGAAATTAATATTGTAATACTATCGTCCTTCCTTATATTCATTACCCCCCTCTAGCTTAATAATCTCTTGAATATGCCTTGGTATACGTTCAATCCAGCTTTGAATAGCTTCCTGAGGCAATATCTTCCAAGCTTCCTGCCATACGCGAATAGCCTCTGCCCTAGTTTTAGGTGCACCCTTTTTAGTAGTATATCGCTTTAGCCAAGGCCACGCAGGCTCAATAGCGTTAAGATCAGGCGAATTACCACACCAAAGAAGCCGCTAAATACTCCATATATCGTATACACGTTGTTGAAAATGGTGGTTATGCGCGGGGGCTTTATCTTCTTGAACAAGAGTATTAGGCCTAATAATATATTAATAAAAGACTTATAACTAGTTATAGAACTAGAACTATACCTTTGAATAGCGCATTCTTTAGCAAAAGGAAAAAGCCTTGGAATAAGGATTTTAGTCTGATAACGATACCAGTCAATACCTCCTTTAGCTTTACTCCGAGAAAGCTTCCCATTCTGCGTATTCCAACGCCAAATAGGCTTTAGTCCAGAAAGCTGCCGAAGATTAAGTCGTCGAAGACCATTCGTAAGCTCCCACTGCTCCTTAAAAATAGGCTCAAGCTCTTCATTTAGCCGTTTAATCGTAATATCGGCTTCGCGTTTCTCTGTTGTAGTTTCAGGAAGCCAGCAATAGCAAGGGCCTTTGCGATCGTATGAAAAACTCCCCCAAAACATAAATTCAGAGCTTCCTTTCCAACGCTCGCGAATACAGCTTCGAATAAAGCGCTCGTCTTTTGTACGCCAGACCCGATAGCCTCCTCGACGATGAAGTAAGACCACAGACGTTTCGTCGGTCCAGATTATATTTTTCCAGTCCTCAAGAGTCCAATTCTGATGCGTAAGACACCATTCAAGCCTCTCTTTCTTCATCTTCTGTGTCAATCCAGGTTTCCTCGTTGGTTTGTCTTTCGTAAACCTAATTTCCGTAGGATCCGCCAAACGGTAATAGTAGAGATATCGATCCCTTCTTGACTTAGCTCCCCAGCAATATCAGCACAGGTTTTTTCGCGTCCGTAACGATCAAAGCGCACTTTCGCAAGGGTCTTATCTTGGGATTCAGTCGATTGCTTCGTAGGGCGGCGGCCAGAGCGAGGGGCATCAGCGAGAATATCGTCAGGTAGGATTAAAGGACGTTCATTTGGATCAAAACCACGTTGGATAGCGCGGGCGTAGATATCGTTGATCGTACGCTTAGGAAGCTTAGTAAGATCTTCGATTTCTCTGGTCGTTTTGCCTGTTGCTTTGAAGCCAATAACCAAGGCGCGTGTAGCAATAGATATAGGCATATTAGAAGATAAAAAAGGGTAGAAAGGGTAGAAAGGATAGGTCGGAAGGAGGAGATATTCAGGAGGTAGGTAGCAGTAGTAGTATATAAAATTCATAGGAATACAACGCTAGTAAAAACGCTAATGCTACTAGTGGAAGCGTGAGCGAGGACTTTTGAAATGGACCTCTGTAGTTAGTTACTAACGTTAGTTATAAGCAGCATTGTGGAATAATATGGCTTGGGAGAGAATTCATATGAATAAAAACGAAAAATTTTGAATAGAGCATGAATGCTAAGCAATTTAATTCTCCGTGTTGGCACTTCAGGACTTAATTCCGTTGGCACGGTTTGCTTTATTATTTTCTTTGATCCTTCCAAGGTGTTTACGTAGATTTTGCTTTTTTTTATGCACGTCTTCATGTACGACCTCGTGCGTTCCTTTCCCTCCCCTCTCGGGGGACTTCACAATGTGCTGGAGCATCTCCGACAACCGCTGTGTCCACTTGTGTCAAGCAGTACTGGCCAAGTTCATCCGCAATTCCCTCGAGCCCTAGTTGCCTATCACCTACTCACCTTGCAGCAACTAGATGACCTGGCGCGCCACTACCATCAGATGCTGCCTCCAACTGTCGAAACCGGCTATTATATAATCACTATGACCCCATGGCTCGGTGCATGGGATGAGGCGGAAATAGGAATTCACACGAGGAGACGACATTTCGGACAATTTATTGGCCTTTGGGGATTTGAAGAGGTGGGAAATAAATTTCAAACTACATTTGTCATTGACGAAAAGCTTTGCAAGTTGCTAGAGTGCCTAGAGAAAGACTTTAACGAAGTTCTGGGGATAAAATAGCACACGCGGCACTGCTACACGATATTCCGAACCAATTTTACCACTACCCTCGTACAGTACGGAATAGTGTGGCCTATTCTAGGGCTTGGATTATGACAGCAAAGAAAAAATTCACTTTTGTTAAAGGAGACAAGGAATGGTAGCTCACATTGAGCATAGGATGTGACGGGAGTATCCGATATCGTATTGTGACGTTAATCCCTTCACTTTGAACTGTGAAACGGTCTCTAAGTTTGCCATGAAAAAGGACTCCTAAGGTATTTAAAAATTAACCTGCCTTATTTGTGTTTAACATTTCAGTTTCCTTGGTTATGTCGTTTAATGCCGGAGGATTGAACATAAGCAAAGCTTTGGAAAAGGGGTAATTTAGACAACATAGACATTGGAATCAGCGGGGAGAAATAAATGCGCACAGAAATAGAGCTTTTGCACTCGGACACCGGTGAGTATTGCCAGTCCGAGAAGTTGCGTCTTCGATGGGCAAACGCGCATGCATGATGACACTCGTCTTGTCGTATGTTTGGTCCGCCAATGGCGAAAGATGGCTTGGTGAGATACAATGACAACAAGATTGTACTTTTTGAAATACTTGCCAACGTGTCCGGTCGAGATGACTGGGGTCGATTGGGGACGGTTTGGAGGATGACGCGTCGCTCCGCCGAGAAAGAAACACGAACATGTGACAGAACATTTTTGTCGGACTCAGCACCGTTGCCTAGGTGAGGTGATTTCCAATAAATGTAGAACTGAGTCTTCATGAACATGTGCATAGCATTACACTAGCTGGAAATGGTGTAGTTGAGGGCATCAACCAATAATGGTTCAGTGTGTGCGTGTATTCCTAATCCAACTGCCGCTGGTCTTACCCTGCTCATCCTCGGATTGATTTATTTTAACTCCGGGCGCAGAATATAAGCCGAAGACCGAGTACTTTTGAACCAGACGATATTGCCGTTCTGTCTTGTTGTTCGGAATGTTGACAAACTTCCCAGGCAATTCAAGGACAACATATTTGAATATGACCTGTGCTAGAATCGATGCTAGGGATATGACTTCCAAACTACGTGCCATTCTTGACGGCTAATCGGAATGCTTTGTGGCTAACGAGCCCTCACCTCTTTCCTTCGTCCGCCTCGTTCTAAGATTCATGTTCTACACAACCTGATTTCGGTGCCATGGTCCCTAGCACGGCAAAAACAAATAACTTCCTTTCGAGGCGGGGAAGGCCGAAAAAGCTTGACCAAAAGCTTATCGACAAAATTATATACACATTCGAGAGTTCAAAATCAAGGTCGTGGGAGCAACTAGCACGTGAATTCGGGATTGGAGATGTTCACTGGCAAACTCTGCGAAACCGTGTTGTCAATGAGGGGTACTGCAAAAGCATGGGATGTCATATGCTGTGGTTGACTATGGAAGCTAGGAACGCACGCCTCAGCTTCGCAACCTCTTACTACGCCTGGCGAAGTGAATGGCGCTCGGTCATTTTCATCAGCCATGCGGAGGTGGAATTGAAAGAAAACCAAGCTAGCAGAGTCCACGTCGATAAAGAACAGAAATACTGTTTCCAGTGTTTACAAAAACGGAAAAGCAAACGTGCAAAGTTGTTTCAATGCTGGGTGATGGTCGGTTTTAATCGAACGCCAAAGCTCGCCTTTGTTCCTGAAAAAGAGACCTCGGGCGTCAAGGAACAGCCTAGCCCTCGACGGATTCATCGTGAACACTCCATACCCCACCAACAGAGTCCGAAACATGTCGTCCTTGACGAAGGTGCAACGACCCCACAATTCTTCGACGGCTCTTACGAAAATGGTGCTGAAATTATCCGACTGCCACCAAATTCTCCAGAACTTAATATTGGGCAAGACGTACTTTCATATTTGAAGAACAAGATTCAAAAACGCACCCATGGAAGCACCGATAACCGAGAGTTCGCTGAGGCTCAAAACATATCGATACGTTGCGTCAACAAATTGGTTGACTCAATGTTCTCAAGAATCGCAACAGTCATTGCAAGGGAAGGCAAGCCTATATAAGGTCTATGGACTATCGGAGTCAACCAACCTTTCATTTCCACCATTTTTTCCTGCACGAACAATTCCTCATGTTTTCCCTTTGATATTAAAGAATACAATTGTCCTACAGCCCTCTGCCGCCTCTTCGTTGATATGACAGCAGTTGCTTCGTGGACAGAGATCTCATGGTGCAGCGCCAAGTGGGGTGAGGAGCTTTTCGATTCGATGAGAGTGCGGAGATCTTGGTGTAGAATTCTGCCCGTTTCTGTGTTTTGTTTTTAGCATTAAGTCGCTAACAGGCCCCGATGTGAGACCATCGACGGTACTCCCACAGAAACCAACTGAGCTATTCTAAAAAGCAGGATGATCTAATCCGCATTTACACGATATATGTATCGTGTTAGGCCACTCGTTGGTCAAGGAACGCGACAGAACAAAGGCGACCCTATAGCTCATACGGGGACTCGATCAAGCCACCGTCCGGGCATGCAGTGAGAAGTCGAATCCCGTCTAACGAGACACCATCCCAAATCGAGGGATCATCCATGCTCGCTGGACAGAATGACAAGCCATTATGGTTATTGCAGACCGAGGGACCCGATCCTTCGCCGCTGCATGGCCCCGACCGGTCCTCCCGCCGCACCACAAACTGCTGCCCCGGGTACCGATCGTCGTGGGAGAAGTCTCCAAATGCGAGAACCTGCAGCGCCGGCAAGCCGCTGGGGCCGAACGCCCATTCGGCAAAAGCCACAAAATCCTCCGCCTCGGACGGGGCCGAGGGAGTATCCATTTCTACCTTCTGCAGGTCGGATTGCCAGGTCATCGAGCAATCGAAATAGTGATCAAAGAAGCTCACGTGGTCGCTTTCGCCGTCGGAATACACCGGAATCTCGGCCACTTCGTCCACTTCGTCCACCTGGTCTGTGGGCGAACAGCCCCCTCGCCTTTTGCGTAGAAGAGCGAGTACCTCGTGTCGGATGTCCCAGTGCATACGCTCGGCACCGCTGAACCGTAGATGCAAGACCTGAAGCGTGGAATTTGCGGCTGCAGGTTGAAGGCACATCCGCTGCGACGGTTAGAACGGGTATCTCCACTTCTTTTCACAAGGGTCTAGGACTTACGGCGGCGGATGGATTCGCACACAGCGCCAGCGTGGTTACCCGGCACAGGTCGACAATAGCCGGTAGATCAGGGATCCAAACTGGCGACACGTCCCGATCATCCTCAAACAGCCCTTCGTTGTCGATCGGCGCGAGCTGGCGCTGATGATAAACCAGGCTCTCGAGTGTTGGTCGGTGGTGTCGGATGGCATCTTCCACTCGGAAGCCCAACTCCGGGAAATTGGATAGCCTCAATCGGAGATGCTGTAGCCCCCGAAAAGAGAACAAAAACTTAACAACCGAAGAAAATTCGTAATCGTCATCGGGCTCGTGAAGCAAAAAATCACAGCACAGTTCAAACTCCCGGAGGTTCAGCGTGATTCGTGACCCAGATAATGAACGCAGGAAGCGAAGCACATTCGGGCAGTCACGCAATGTCAACGCTTGGAGGCTACGAAAGGAGGAGTAATCTTGCAGGTTCTCTGAGAGTGACACTTTGGAAAGCGACAATGTTGAAAGGGGCGGAAAATGAGTGGACTCGTCTTCGTCGCAGGGCCCGGCGCCCGGCCAACGCAATCCCAGGTCGTCCCAGCGCAGGCTCCGGGCGTTGGGAGATAAGACGAATCCGATGGACAGATCATTCAGATGCTTCCAGTTCCGCCGGATGCACTGCCGCAGCGATTCAACCTCGGCCGGATGCTGGATTCCGTCCCACTCCAGTTTAGTCAAACTTGATAATTGAGATAGACTGTCCAGACGATGACATGCGTGGGGACAGGTACCATCGGTGACTAGCGAGAGGCATGTGAGGCGGTTTTGACGCCGGCTTAGGTAGCCTCCTTCGTCCAAAACCCCCGCCGGGATACAAGTGCCCAGGCGCCATCTATCGTTTGTCAGTCTCGATAACGAGCAGGATGGCACGGGATGATACAGACTGAAAAGTACGCAGGCCATCCGGCTTTAACTGCGCAAGAACAACGTGGAGCTGGTCCGCAATGTCGTCCAGGAATTGTTCGTGCGCCCTTGTTTCATCCGCGGCGCCGAGAGTAGACGGGCCTTGGGCCAGTCCTGCCGTGCGGAAGATGTTGTAGTAGGCACAACGGTTAAACCGGGCCAGGTGGATCGGAGCCTGGATATATAGATGTCGCGTGTGTTGAAGAAAGCTGGTGGTCCCTGAATGCCCATGGTGGAGCAGGAAAGAATCGACGTCGAGGACATTCAGCGCCCACTCACTCGCAGCGCGGAACGTCACCGCACGGTAGAGTTGCGGGACCAGCACAGAATATAATCCCGACGATACTCGGCCGAGCGCACGGAGACTGGCAGGTGGCAACTAGTGAGCGGTCAGAACACCTGGATCAGATACGAGGTCATATCCGTACCCAGTCGGCAATCATCGTCAAGACCTCGCACGGCAGAGTGTCTAGCATCATGCCCATACTTCGCCAATTATGAGAGACAGGTATCGAGGTATCAATCCATACGCATAGGGATTAGTTTTATACATATGCGACCGTAGGCCGGCAGGATGGCTAAATAGGGGAACCAAGTCTCCAGTTCGATGAAAGCCAGCGTGGCGGGCATTGTGGCAACAAAACCAGGATAGAATAGGTGGATTGAACGTAAGTAGGTCAACAGACTTTTCAGCGCAAGGTGAAGTACGAGCTATCCGTAGCTGGATCTGTACACAGTCCACGGTCGCATGCAACGGAGACCTGTGCAAATCATGCCGCTGATGAACCACACGGTAGGATCGAAAATCGGACCTGAGGGCTCGGCACGATCCACGGACAAGGCGTGCACGGAGAGCATCGCAAAGAAATAAACCACCGATGCCAGGGAAATATTGTGTTGAGAGAGTAAACTACAAACCATCATTTAGATTTTGAAAACACAGATCAGGCCATTATGAGCGACAGATTTATGGATGACACGTTTAAATAAACATGGATGGGCAAAAGCGGGCAATGCGGGCAATGCGGGCAAAACTGGCGGAAAAGGTGACTTGCTCGGAGGCGGTAAGGAATGGGTACGTTGAACAGCCTAAAAAAGAAAGGTCGAGCGATCCTAGCACCTGCAGTCAATCGTTTGTCAATTTAGAATAAGCCTATAGTGTCTATGATTTCCGGCACCCACACGCTGAATTGAACGGGATGGCAGATTTGGTGCTTAGAGTCGCTCGCCCTACAGAAGTCTCCAGATGCCGAATTAGAACCTTCTCACTGCAAAATTTGGCTCCGAAATCTTTTTATGGGTGAAAGCGATTACCAGTGAAAATCGATACGGTGGGAAGTAGATGTGATGCCAATTCTTGGCACGGTGCATCGATACTCCTGTGTCTGATAAAATAAAATAAAATAAAATAAAAACCGCAGTTCGCAGTCTAGGAAACTGGAAAATGGCTTTGGATAGCTAGGCGTACTTTATAATGGAATGTATCTCCGACATGGCAGTCCATCCGGACTGATTACGAACTCCATCTAACCAAAAGGCGGATCCTATTGGGATGGTCCATTGGTCTGAAGATAGAAAGGCCCGAAACCCAATTCATTGCATCGTGGCCCAAAAGTTAGGTAGAGGGTCAGAGCATCGTTTGCAAAACTCCTCTTGAATAAGTGACCGTACTGTAGACCAAAATCAAGTGCATCGCATAAAGACCGGGTCGCCAGGTGTCGACTATTCCTATTCTCTCCAATGGGCGAAGCAAATAAAAGGTGGCGCCAAGGGAATTGCTTCCGGCGAGCCAGGCAAATTCGAGGGCGAGTGGTGACGGACTGTGAAACGTTTCGGTCAGAGCGTGTATGGTCGGGACCAGAGCCAGCACGCCCAACGAAACACAGTGGTACGGGAACCTGGCACGAACCACCGAGGCGTCCGAGTCTAAAACGAGGAAATCCACCAAATTTCCGACGGCAACAAGAGTGAAGGCGAAAAGGTATCCGAGCTGGACGGAGGGCTGCGTGCGAAACTGCAAAGCCACGGAGGGGATTGTGGCCGTGTAGATCAGGACCAATGTTCCCACAAACTCCAGCTTTTGCCAGTCTGCTGCGTCCTCACCGTGAAATGCGGACAAGGTACGGTAGATGAGACTAGATAGGCAGGCGAGTAGGACGCCCCCGCTGAAGAAGATCACGGACAGGGAATTGATGATCAGTCCGGGAGACGACGGAAAGTGAAAGAGAAGGAAGTGAAGAAGAAAGAGAGAGAAGTAGGCCAGTCCGAATATCTTGATGATTGCGATGACCGCATAGTCGCGAAGATTTTGAGCCTCGGGAGTAGCCATTGCAACCACGTCGTTGAGATTCTGCATTGGCCACGTTTTGGCAACCTCCCGAATTTATATATTTGGGGTTTAGGTAATTGCGACAGGGTGGATTTACAAGATGGTTGAGCTAGAGCCACCAGACCTCCAGCCCTCAGGAAAAGAATGCAACTCGTTCAGCATTTGCACGAGTCTTTTATATGATGAGAGGGATAAGTAAATCGTACCCCCACACGATAAACAGGTTTCGCACAAACCGCAGAATCTAGCGGATGATGACCTGCGCAGATCAAGCACCCTTCACCTGGTCCTGGTAGTATTGACTTTATTCCACTGACCGCGGTTATTGCTGGCGATGCGGGTCCAACAGACTGTATGAGTATAATATCATGTCCTCCGTTTGGGGCAGAATGCATCTTGGGAGTTGTCGAGAACTCCAACATGGACGAAATCGAGGACATCGTGCGGCGGATTGGCCGACAGCAGGGCGAAAATGCGTACTACCGTAGCTGTTACGTTCTTCTCAAACAGCTGCAGGACGCGGTTGGACAAGCCGCCGAAGATTTGCTCCGTTTTCACCAGTCCGGTGCTTTTTTATCTTCCGACGACTTTCATCCCGCCTCCCAAATCGCCGATGACCTGCGCAACGCTATTTACGACTTGATGTGCCAGGAGCGCAAAGCTCAGTTGGCCTGGGAGGAGTTTTGCTAGCCTGATAACCGCTCATATAGTCAGGTACCTTTCTTGAATGGACGTGTGTTGTACTTAATAGAATCCTGGCTGACTGATTCTGCCTGTTGTCTGTACAAAATTGTCTTCCGACCTTCAATCTACTCGTAGAGGTATTGAGTGTTGAGTCCTGGGATAAGGGACAGAACATTTGTGCTTAAGTTACAGATAAGATGGTTATGCATACAGCAGAATCCGTTTGTTACAATAGCCGGCCCATAAGTGATCGTCCTCAAGTACGGAACAGCGGAAATAAGTCGCGGTCCAGCAGTGAGTTAGACTCTTTGAGTTGAATTCTTAGAATGCCACCTTGCAATCTAACCCGAATTGCGCTGCAGACACTGATCATATAAAAGAAAGCTGAAAACCGCTTTCAATGCACCGTGGTTGCCTCTCTTTAGATCGATCATGAATGGGTAGAGAAAAGGCAATGACGGTGCCACGTGTAGTTTCAGCCTATACCGCCTGTGATTTCCCGTGGGGTCGATAAACTCTGCAAGAGTACCCTGAGGTTGAAAACCTGCTAGGGACATTCCCGATAGGACTGCAGACAGACAGAAAAAATTTCGTAGGTGATAAAGTTCCTGGGAATGTCAGTCAAGCGTATTCCCGTGGAGAAAATTACGATACCTTAGCCATTGCCCTCACCTTGCCAATCAGATCTCCAACAGCCGCGACCTCCTCCACATCATAACATAACCGGTCCCATTGAGAACCCAGCGAACGAATATTATCGTCGTGCATGATGACACTGTCGAGGCTGATCTGGCGAAACCCCCTCAGCGCGTCCTCACTTAACTGTCGTGCCATTGCCACAGCCGACTGGTCGTTGATTAAAGAGAGAAAACCTGTGTCGACATTGAATTCTCGCCCTCGAGCCATGTCGGAACCGACTCGATAACGCGCGTACCGAGTTTCAAGTACGGCCAGTCTCTGTAGTATATTTTTGTCTGGCTGTGAGAGGAATGCTTTCAAGGGTTGAGTAATAAGCCCAGCGTCCAAACTCAAGTTCTTGTACTGCCCCTTCCCCTGGAAACATTCGAGAGCATGTGTGAGTGTCGTATACAAAAAGCAATCATTGTGGTGAACTCTCTGTCATCTTTGTTAGTACTGTTATACTGCCAGGTATACAGTAGATGTTGCGGTGCCGAGCTTACCTTCGCCACGATGTCATATTTTTCAGCTTCAATGGGAAAGTCACATAAAAAGCAGAATAGAGAAAAGCTGACTCTGTTATGATATGACTCGAACACAGCAAGGGTTGCTGAGGGTATGCCCATTACAAACTCCACCCAGCTCTCCAGACGGAGCTGTTTGAACAAGCACCAACTGTCTCGGAGAAGTTGCATCACGACATCCCCGGCGTCTTGGTCTCTCGAAAACACTTCCCAATTAACTGGTGTGCCCTCATTTTCGTCGTAGACATGATGTGGTAGGGGGAATTCGAAACCGTGGATCCCATCATCGACGCGGTCATCGTCACGTGTCTGGTCAATGGCCTGATGCTCCAAAGACCAAGGAAAGGCGAAAGTTGACTGCCTGTCGATTGGTGATAGGTATTGATGGGTTGTCATAGCTGATGTTCGACTAAAAGCAGATTAGCGCACAGCCTTTGCCACATTTATCGAAGGAGTATGAGGTTACTCACAATAGATATTGCTGTCAACAGTTGCCAAGTACAAAGCAAAACGTATTCACTATTCACTGCATTGGGACAGTTATGACTTGGGAGTCCAGAACTTTTAAAACCAAATTCTAGTGTCCAAGCTATGTAAGATGTACTACAGGTCTACTGGGTAAGTAGTGTTTAGTTCTTTTCTCTCTTTACTTATTTACAATGCACTTCGACTTGGAATGGTCAATTACGGTTTCATTATGACTCCAGGTAGGAGCGTGTTAGCAAGTGCTGCTGTGCCTACTGTATGGTTATAATAGAAATAACCAAGGAAAATAAATGATGTGCAGAAAAGCGTAGTAGATAATGCCGGGTGTTTAATAATTCTTTCCATAGTCTCACAAGAAAACAGGGCGGCTGGACAAGGTTGTTTAAATAAGATTTACAACTAGAATATGAGGACCTGTGAATTCGACGCCGAAAATGGCTGCTTTTGGCGCCAGAAACGGCCGCCTTTCCACCCGTAATTTTGGAAAACGAGCCGCCGCTTGACCGCCCCCCCTCCCAGCACCCATCTATTTTGCACCCACCCAGCACTCTTAGTCACCCTCCGGCGACGAAGTTGGCGCCCGTTCGACACTTGTTCCTTCCCTGCGATTCCACCTGCCACCAAACGACGCCGAAAATGGCTCCCCTTTGCAGCCCCGTCCATGCGCCCTCTCTTTTCATCTCGTCTCGCCGGGCGCCTATAAGATGGCTCTCCTCCCTCTCCTCTCCCTCAGTGACCCCAAGTCTCTCTTCATCACTAACGCTCACTCCTCAAATCGACTTTGACAACCTTGTTGTCCGTGACTCCGGATCCTCACCTCGGTTATCCATCCTGGCTTTTCTCGATGGCACCTGTGCTCGTTCGGTCGGCTCAGGAGAATGAGCACCAATACTGGACCGACCCCATACTTTGCGAGGAAACTCGAGCCAGACTGGAACATTTTCGTCGTTCTGGATGGCTACCGCCAAACTTCAAGCCAAGGACCTTGCTAGGTATTGCCGTTGTCGAACGCTACTGGCGAAAGTGAGTGTGGTTATTCCCGCAATCAGGCGTCGTGGGCAGGGTCAACTTACGAGAATAGGTATTCCATTCAGTCGAAGGCGGACTATGTGGACTTCCTTCTTTTGGAGGATGAAGCGATCTACATGAACTTTTTCGACTGGATGTTCAGAACATCACGAGAGAAGAGGCTGCAGTCTTACGATGAGTACTGGCGCCGCCTTTGCCAATATTTCGAACTGTTTGCACGTCGCCGTGTCAATGAAAACGTCCATAAACAGATGCGACGAGTACGAGCATTTCTTCCATGCATGCAGAGATTAGGCTAATGGTGGCAATAGTACCTAGACGGTCCCTTCCCGGCTGAGCGCAAGATTGCCCGACGAACGAAGGACAAGAATACACTAGATGTAGATGTCTTCTGTACAATCTACCGTCATCACTGGGTCCATTCGAGGTTTTTTCGTCATGGAAACATGATCGTTCAATTTGCTACAGTACAGCTATGGTCTGCTATTACCGGAACTCGCCCCGGTGTCTTGCTTCCACAAGACACCTCTTTACCCGACAACTCCTCCCTTGGCAAACGCAAACGAACCCACACGTTTGAAAGTGATCTTCCGAAGTATATTTCGTCGAAAGACCTTCCGGATTCCGTCTGCTATCGTGATATTGAACTTTTTTACTTGAAAGATCCTCAAAGCAAACGGGACGTTCTCTGTGCCATCATAGAGTTCCGCAATCTCAAGGGTCGACCGGAAGGCGCCGATGGGTAAGGATGCAACTGTACCTCAAATTTATATTTAATTGACTTGACGCTTATGTTTCTTTTCAGAACCAAGTTTTTCATGCACGGTGACTACCAACTGGCATATTGCCCGATCACTCAGATAATCTCGTTCGCTTTCCGTGATGGGGCTTTTGTCAATACGGAGCTCACACCAGAGCTCATTTGGAGGCTGCGAGTTCCCAAGCACAGTTCATCCCTTCCTCTTCGGTGGAAACCAGAAGTTCTGAATACTCCTATTCTTCGACGCTTTGAGCGCACTCCGTACGGCTACGAACTCGATAAGTCTTTATCGATGACTTATGAATCAAGTCGGCAAGCCCTCAAAGAGTTGGGCCGAGACGCTAAGTTTGAAGACGATATTGGACATTACAACTTTCGCCGTTGGACGGCAAATGAAGTTAATCGTAAGTTGTTGGTGCGCTAAAATGATGAATAGCATACATATCATCCGTGAAGGCTGAGGAAATTTTGTCTTATCGATGTTGACTAACAGCTTTAAGGGAATTTCACCAGCCAAGAACGGCAAAGGGTGCTTGGTCAGTCTGGCGACGCTGTCTTCGAAAAGCATTATCAATCACAATTCATTGGACGCGATCTCCAGCATGTTGTTCTTCTTCGACCGCCTCAGGAGGGCCTTGTACGTTTTGCCGGAAGCATGCTCAGGAAAAGGGATATCAACGCTCCGTCTGAGCTCACCGATACGCACAAGCGTGCTATTTGCCAAAACCCAGCTATTTTGCACCTTAGACGAGAGAAGAGAGAGCTTATGGCGGAGATGCGATCCCTGGCCGGCACTGTTAAAAATGCCCGAATCCCCTTTCCGCACCTCCATCAAAGGCATGAGGATGTCAAAAAAGAAATAGCTAAGCTTCGAAAGAGGTTAGCCACCGACACGCGGGAAACAGCTAGGAAAGATCATTTCCAAAATGCGCCCGTATTAGAAATTGACAAACAGATAAGACAACTCCTCGGTAATTCTGATGAAGCTTCTAATGAAGCATCTGATGATGAAAACTCTGGTGATGAAAGCTGGGAATTGCCAAAACCAGAATATCTTTTTGCTGAACGGGCACGCCTGGTGGAAAACTTTTACGGGCCTGATGCAGAGACCTTTGACGATGACAAGCTTCTTGCTCGACGCATACAGGTTACCAAAGACATGGTTGCACTGCTGCAGCTTTGCGAACCGAACAGACGAGGCAACCGAGTTAATTGGAATATTGACGATGAATATGGTTTGGTTGACCGGCCCGAAGAATCGCCGCTCCCTGAGGAGGACAACATGAAATGCGCAACTGATGTCTGCATCATTTGCTGCGGTCTATCTCGTCAATCATCATCGAGCCTTCCTCCGCACAAGTTTCCTTCAAATCGACTGGATTCGCTTCGTCGCCACTTAATCGATATGCACCTAGTCTATGCACGCGGCGGAATCAGCTGCAATTGGGAGGAGTGTCGCAATGTCCCCCATTTCAGCGAGATCACAGAATTTTTAGCCCATGCTTACACTGCACACTCATACGATGTCAATCTCAAATTGTGTCATCTTCCGCATGTGACACAAACCAACTGCAGCGATATTTCATCCAGAGAAGAATCTTTGGAATCGGAGACTCGTCCAAGAATTGAGACTCCTGCCTCCTCCGTCGAACTCGAGTTGGGAAATATTGATCCACGCCTGTTAGAGGCTCATCCTGCCCCCATTACGAACTCCTTGCCGTATCAGTCAGATACCGAACCTCCAGACTCCTCTAATGGATCTGTACTGAAAAATACTAAGCCCAGCTCAGTCAAAGTTCCGATTAGGCGGTCGACGAGGGGTACTACAAAACTAACAGAGCTCACGCCTGCTCCTGAGCCGAAGTGTAAACCTCAAAATCGGAAGCGTTCATCCCGGAGAAATCTACATGCAAAAGAGCATTCGCCTGGAAAACAACGAGGGAACAAGAAGTTGGCTGGCATGAAAGCTCCCAAAGCGCCCCTACCGCGTCGATCAAAGCGATTGCGGGCTCAATGATTTTGTCTTTTTAGAGTTTTTGAGATTGGAGTACAGTATACTATAAAAACTTTCCTTTCGCAGAAATAGGCAATACGGAAGTATGCATGCGATAGAGAAGACTGGACGATGAGAGATGTACAGTAAATAGGTAAACAAGTAGAAATCAGACGCACTAGCATCAGTAGCGAATCCCCAGTAACGTATCTATCGGTACTGTGTCAATCCGTAAACGTAGGAGACCCCAGATGTCGAACCGAAAGTTTGCAAGGAGAAATGATACGCCAGGATCCAAAGACAAGTCGGCAATAGCAAATAAGGTGGAACTTCCCGTAGGATAGGCTGCAAGGGAAGAAAACTATTTGTGCGGCCTCTTTAAGAACGTAGCGGCATCATGCTACTGGGGCGAAGGAGCTGCCTCCCAGGTTCGATAAGGCGTGGGGAGGATCTATGCAGAACCCACGTCTCCTGGGTACAAAAGGGCCCTAGGATATACGTGGTGGCTCCTAGGGGCTAGTGGCACCGTTCCTAGGAGCCCACGCTGCGGCCCTAGGAACAACGTACAGCACTCCTAGGACCCGTTAGTCCCTAGGAACTAATGGGAGGGGTCCTGGGAACGACGGCCACCGGCCCTAGGAGCTTCAACTATTGTCAAGCATAGGGGAAGAACTTTGGAGACAAGTAATATTTTTAGCTCGTAATATAAAGGGAATAGTTTTGGGGTTGCCTCGCTGCCTCACGTGATCACCACACCGAGCTTACTGAGGGGGCTTCATCCCTCCTGCAACTGCCTGACAGGAGTCAATTGCTCGCCTCTGCTTGTACTGTACCTCGTCATCTCTCACGCAGGCAAGACTCGATTTGGTCCCTCCCACCTTCCCTCTGTACATAGAAACCACTTCAATATACAGACACATTGCCTCCCCAAGGGGAGCGCAGATAGGCCCTATCTGCCGCTAGGATCTAATGCGTTACACATAAGACCGTAGCGACAGGTGACCCGTTACGGCCAAACTATACACACTGTCCCCTTGACTGCGTAGAGGTCATTAATAAAGAGCCTCTAAAATATGATGGACCACGGTTTTCCCTCTTTTCTAGCTATCGCACGCAGTCATTGTTCTCCCGACAGAGCAGTTCGTACGATGGACCACGGATTTTCCTCTTCTCTAGCTATCGCACGCAGTCATTGTTCTTCCGACAGAGCAGTTCGTACGATGGACCACGGTTTTCCCTCTTTTCTAGCTATCGCACGCAGTCATTGTTCTCCCGACAGAGCAGTTCGTACGATGGACCACGGTTTTCCCTCTTTCGGAATTATTATACGGTATCCTCAATCCCGCCAATCATTCAGCTAGTCTATTCTCAGAGAGGCATACCCTCTTCCATATCAGGCTTAGAACAATCTGGGGCTCTGGGAAACAAAGCTCTGTCCCTGGAGGCGAAATTGCTTTCGAATTTCTCTGTATTTGTAAGATACATAGACTATTTTAGAAAGCGGTCATCCAACCAGACCTCGCATTCATTTTCCGGAAGTCAAGTCGAAAGAGTGTAAGGTCAAGCTGAATTCGAAACAGAATACTAGCCCACGAGGACCCGCTATGATATTGGCAGCTGAGATGATAAATGATAAAAGCATGTATGTACTAATGCTGTAGTTAAGGGCTGGCCGCGTAAATAGCCAAGAAAGGGTAGGAGGGGAGGCTAATCAGGTCCTAGGACCTCCACGGTCTTGCGACCCCCAGTGACGTAGAAACTAGGACAACAGGCCTAGGCGGCCAGATGACTGTGGTTTCAAGTGTACTGTGGACCTAAGTCTCGGTTGGACGTACGTCCAAGGCTGTAGGTCCAGCTGGGTTTTCGGTCTGTCGACTGGGGTCCCGGTCCGTAAATCCACAGTCCTTCCACCACGGTTCCTCGACATTGGACTTGCGTCGCCTGGCCAGTGGCTTGCCCGGCCACCGGCCCTCATATTCTGGTCAATGTCCCGCAGGCTGCAGCCCCTAGTCCCAGCCGGCTCACGAGCCCCGCCCATAGGCCAACTAGGCCTGGTGTCTGTCAACTGGCAACTGGATCAGACCGCTGACCAAATGATCTAGCAAACACAAACAAATTAAAACCGCGGCGTACAGTGAGTCCGGACGGTCATGGGCGACTAGGTGACCCTTCGTGGATCGTGCAATTGGCATCCGCTTAGATTCTTCCTGGCTATGTTGCGATTATTTCGGCCCGACAAGGACAAGGGTCCGATTGCTTGCCTAGAAGCCAAGGCACCATTCTGGGTTGAAAAAAAAATCAAGGCTACAGCCTGGGGGCTGCGGACTAATAGGAAATGCACGTGAGAAAGCTCATGGAGACAATGTCCGCCCCTCTAGTAGTCTTTCACCAGGCACACTTTTCGTGGGATTCAGTTTCAAACAGTGCTTCACCACACATCGCTTCAACTTGGTGATAGGGTAAAGCTAAGCCAGAGAAACGATAGGTCCATTGTACAGGTGATAGTATGCAGATCCACCAGGACAATCAGCGTATCAGTACATACTGCAGCAATTAGTTAGTAGCAAAAGGAAATACTCAGAAAAGTGCTGCGGCGAAACATGAGCATTAATGAGGTGTTTACTTTCACCGGCGTTGGTAAGTCCCTTTCGGGACCGGGTAAACATTATTCCGAAGAAGCTGCAGGTTCTACGGCGTCCACATTGAACGAGAGGCCATTAACTCAAGAAGGGATGGGCGAGTACTATGGCTAAAAATGAGTACGAAAAGAGTATATAGTTCAACAGCAGCTCGCCAAGACCCGTTATGTGTTCTTTTTGTAGATTTCAAGCCTGCGTTTGAGCATTCAGGACAGGTCTTGAACGAGTGCAAAAAAGGATTAAACTCACAGCGGTCGCCGATTCATCGCGGTCTCTTTATTGAGGTGGTTTTGCACGTACACAACAGTTTACATAACAATTCATTTCCGAACACAGCAGATAAAAACTTACTCATACAGTAGTGGGGTAATAACGTGAACGTGCTTGCTTTCGGGGGAAATTGGCGCTCCTAGAGCGAGTCAGGAGCTATTGGCAAACACGCATCTCTGGTGAAGGAGTCATAATAGCGCCAACCTCATCTAACGTCGGGTCGGCAATCAACAAGAGAGTCAACACTTAAATTTTACAGCCCGCAAATATATGATATTTGCGTTGATCCCGACCAAATCTTGCAGCGTATTTGAGCAGGATTTACAATTATGCTGTCACTTTCATCGTTGCCGCACCTAGTTGGTGCCTGCAAACAATCACTATTGTCTTTCTTTCAATGATGAACAGAGCATGTACAAAGGCCATTTCCAGTCTAATATTTTCAGCAATACATTTTTTTATGCATTTAATCATTGAGATATCAATTTTTATAAGAACAGTACCCATCTCAGTTTTATCAAGACGAATTCTGACCCCTAGCCACTCAAAAAGCAAGGCTCCAGTTCACAATGGCCGCTGTTAAGTCCGTCTCCTCTATGAGCCCCAGGAGATCGAAGAGACAAAAAAAATGCCGTCGCAAAACAACTCTGATGAAAAAGGCGTCCGAGTACAGCAAGATGTGCGACGCAGATGTATGCGTAGGCATTCGTTTGCGAGAGACGGGTCAGGTACATATTTTGACAGCAGATGATTCGGGTTTTTGGGCTTTCCTCGCCTCACAACTGGTATGCCACGAACTCCGCTCTCCACAGAAGAGGCTGCTAATTTCTTGAAGTGCGCCTACTACCCCAAACCAACTTTTGTAACTGTCCAAGATTTGGATAGGGTCAACAAAGGACTGGCCTTCACCTCCAAGTGATGTTAACAAACATTCCGCCGGGTGATCGCCACATTTAGATTATACCGTCACCTTGACTTCTAGTTTATAATTGCGATCGAGGGAGAGCCGAGCAATGACTCGCAGAAATTATATTAAGCTTTCTAGACTGTCCTCACTCATCCTATACTTTTCACCGAAAGCCGTAATTGCATAAGCGAACAGAAATGCTAGGGGATTCTTCAGAAAAACAAGAAAAAAAATCGAGCATTTGCCAGGCTTCGTGCTGATTGGTTCGCGTCGCGGGGGGTGGGGGGGGGGGGGGGGGGGGGGGTTCCCATAGTTGATGACTTCGAGATCAATCAGGACAGGCAAAAGCCAAACTAATCAATCTTGTCTGAAGCACTAACCTCCCTCAGCCCATCACACCCCACCGAAGATGTATATATACAATGCGCATTTAATGCCTTTCGTGTCCGACGTGCATCTTCATCATATCTCCTGTGCCTTGATTAAGCGATCATTGATCAGTGAACGTAATACTCCAACATGAATCACTCAATGAACGAATCATTCAATGCACGAATTACTCAAGTGTAGCACTGTTGCTAAATTACAACAACAGACATGTCTGGGGAGTTCAGCTAATACCTCGGAACAAACACAAACGGGCTGTCAGAACACCCTGGCCTGAAAGGCAACAAAGGTACCAATAATCTGCAGTACATCAACTGTTATTTGACGGTCATTTAATTTGAATTTCTACTAGTAATAACTGTGATTATTTAGTGGAATCGTTTTGATTTTATTTGGTTTTTGCTTGAAATACTCTGCTTGATCTCGAGCCTCATACTCAAGGAAAAATACTCGGCCTGTAAGACTAGGCTATAGTGTTGCATGTGCTGCCTGACGAGGCAGACAGCGTATACCTATATTCAAGGTTTATGTTTAGATATAGACACCTACAAATCGCTGTACTCTTTTTAGGTCTCCGTCTCTTTACTATCTATTTATCTCCTAATTATTATGGTCCTAAGCTCCCTCACAGCGCCATACAAGTCTCTGTGATCTCTGAATTGCCTCAAATCTCTATAATTATCTTTAAGCTGTTGCGTGTAGTCCTGGTTCTCCCGATAGAACAGTTCTTACGATAGGCCACGGGATTATGCTTCTCCAAAGTGGAGCAAGGAGTAGCTGAGGACCAATCATGTCCAAGTATTTCCAACACCCTGTAAGCGTAATTCTTATCACAAAGCCCCAAAGCACATATGGGGGTCTAGATTAGGACAGAAATGGAGAATTTTGTTCTCCAAGTTGAAATCACCAAGAAAAAGGAAGAATGCAACTTAGAAGAGATCGGGTCTAAATTTATATTAGCGACACGCTATCTACTGCGTCATTTGATATGGAGATGGGTATTCGCTGATTGGGCAATCATTTTGGTATGTCACCGCTTGCCAAAGAAAGATGATTACCAAGCCGAGATATCACCAGATTCGGCCCAAACTAGAAATGATCATCAAACTAGAACTCAGCTTTTCTATATCGCCAACTCCTCTTTGGGTTAAGCGAACCGTTTTAGTCGTTTCAATCTAGATGACAGTACGGAGTATGAGCCTAGCCATCGGGGGAAACATAGCGACAAGTTGGCAAAAGGCAGCCGCCAACTCAGCCCCGCCTGAGCTATTCCATTTTGAGACCCCCAGAACGAGCCTGTCGACAGCAAAGGCCCAAGGGTGTCGCTCATGAGGAGGAGACATATTAAGGGGTACTAAAAGCAGATCGACTCGGACTATTACATCTCCCTAGTGCTAATTTGTGCAGATCACTCTGGCAAAACTCCTGCGGCACTCTTTTGAGGACCAGGAACGGAGCTACCCATTTCCTATTCGTGTTTGTGGGTCTTGTAGAGGTGGGGATGCGTGCGGGAATTAGTGACATGCCAAGAAACAGTGACATACCAGTTTTATCCAACTGGGCCGGAGGCCGCAGACTATTGCGCAATTGATTAGGGATTAATATGAAATTGAAAGGGACTATTTTGGTGAACTTAACGTCAGTCTCCCCAACAGATACAGACTTACTGAGAATTAAACCAAAACTAAATGGAGGAAATCCTTACCCCCAACGACTACTACCCAGACGTCCCTTTTTCCTTTGCGACACTCGAAGACAATGTCATCTTCTGGGGTTTCATCATCCCCGGACGGAGGATATGGCTGGATATGTGTAGCTTCTTGTTTCTCCATCAACTGTTTCACTTGGGGTGCGGTCGCGGTGTGTTTTCTGCCCCAAATTACAAACCCCTGTCCGCGGCAACTCAGCTCACGCTTTCCAACAGTCATACGGCGTGTACCTTTCTTATTACCTCTCAGATAACATCTTCCCTGAGGCTAGTCCTATTGATTTTGCTCTGATTGGGGGGTTGAACTTCTCTATAGCCATGTTGTCAGCCCCTGTTGTTACAATCATCGCGCGAAAGTACAGCACTAAATTACCCATGTTACTTGGATTGGGATTTTTGGCAACGGGATATATCTCTGCGTCTTTCTCAGAAAGAATCTGGCAGCTTTATCTGTCACAGGGGATTTTAGTTGGCTTTGGGGTTGGGTTTATATACATCCCAAGTATTGTGATAGTCTCCCAGTGGTTTGATAAGAAGAGGAGCCTTGCCAATGGTATCAGTGCTGCCGGGTCGGGGATTGGTGGTTTGATAAAGATATCTCATGCTTGGGCTTTGCGATTGACAGCCATTTTAAGCTGCTCTGTCCTGTTCATTGCCACAATGCTAATCCGAAACCGCAATGACGCGATACGACCATCGGAGCGTGGATTTGACATTAAACTCCTACGCCGTCTAGACGTGGTTCTTTTGCTATCGTGGGCATTCATTAGCATGCTTGGTTATATTGCTCTGCTATTTTCGCTTCCAGATTATGCGCGCTCTATGGGACTTTCGGATGCTCAAGCTACGACTATCAACGCAATATTGAACTTGGGAACTGCGGTTGGCCGGCCCCTGATCGGCATTATAAGCGATAAATTTGGCCGCATTGAAGTTGCTGGCCTTTTGACCTGTGCTTGTGGCATTAGTTGTTTTGCCATTTGGCTTCCAGCAATATCATATGGAGTGCTCATCCTCTTCGCTTGCGTTAGTGGGGCTATCTTTGGAGCTTTCTGGGTTGTAAGTTTAGCTTATTCATCTTGATATTAAATTTGGCATCTGACCATTCAATAGACAATTGGGCCTTTATGTGTTGAGGTTACCGGCCTAGAGGAGCTTCAATCAACCCTATCTTTAAGTTGGACTGTTATTGTGCTTCCGACAACATGTAAGCTTTCCAAACGAGAGTATTCGAGCAATCTAAGGCTGATATAAAATAACAGTTTCTGAAGTAATAGCTCTCAAATTACGTCTTTCAGGATCCCACCAATCTTACATATATGTCCAAGTATTCTGTGGTATCTGTTACATTTGCGCTAGTTTGTTTTTATTTCTGCTTTGGTTACGTCAGAAAACTTGAATAAATATGCTAAAAGCTTTCTTCCTCTTTCCTAGATTACTTCTTATACATTACATTATGACGCATCTGAAAGAATAAACAACAAATGACAATTAACACCGCACCCCTCCCCCAGGACAAGGATGTTTCAGTACTTATATTAAATCCTGCTTCTTTCGGACATAGCCGAACAAGAGCTCGCAAGCCTCCAAACAAGAGACAGTGTATTGAGATACGAGATCTGAGGTGCGAAAATCGCAGTCCCTTGCGGGACATCTCAAGGCAGGCAGCTCGGACTTGTTCGAGATCAACGAGTTGTCTGCCAAGTCCTTTTCCGGGCGATATTGTGCGATGCTTGTGGGTATTGATGTGTACAAGAACTGGTCATCAAACAGGAGACTCTCAGACGGATAGGGATCTGATGTCACCATGTTTTCTTCAAGGGATTATTGTTTATAATTATAGGCTTAGAGCCCCGTAGTTCACTCATTACCTACATCCGCGATCAGACGTCCCAGGTGATACGGATTGATCTGTATTCTGGATAATTCCGGTGACATGCCGATATGTTGTTGTTTTGCCGCCAAAGGACCAGAAAATATCTCTTGTATAACGTATTCCCTTCTTTTATTCTCGTCGGAAACTCTGAGATATCTCTATTTTGCCCAGACTGAAGCATCATATCCATCCATATGCTCTGTGTATTCCTCACCAGCAGCGGCCCATCCCTTGACACCCCCATCCAGGAACCAACTTCTAATAGAGAAATCGCCTCGATCTTCTAGGTAATCTGCAAACCAGCCAGCTGCACGTGTTCCCCGCCCCTGAGAGGAGCCTATATCGATAGTCAGCACTCGTAGACATTTAATCGCTTACTTTGTAGACTATACCGCAGTACCACACAACGTCCTTCACCTGAGCTTTGGAGGCCAGAGCGTAGAAGGTCGGCAGAATCACGTACAGACTCTGTGCCGGGAGATTCAGGGATCCTTGGATGGTCCCGCCCTATGATTGTCCGTGCAGCAATTAGTCTTCTATCAAGCGAAAAGAACATCACTATCCACAGAACACCAACCTCAAAGTCTGTTCGGCGTAGATCGACTAGAATGAAATCTCGGCCGGGCTGCTTCTTGCTCTGCAACCATTGCAACAGTTTTTCCCGGGACAGCGATGCGGCAGTGGTTCGCGGAGGCGGATAAGCTGCATACCAGGGGGCCTCTGCTGGTGTTGAAGTATTTAGGTCCGCCATAACTTGTTAGGGGTGGCCTATGATCGCGACGACGGGGACAGAGATATTATCAAGAGAAAGGTTTTAACCGGAGTGCTTCATCTACTTTTACTACCCTTGATCGGCTCTGTGAGACTGATCTGGTCCTGATTCAGCAAGATGGCTTCGATGTCACTGGGCTCACTCTATTGGCTGGCTAGTGGCAGTGACCAAGATTCTTCCGTAGCCCCACCCCACCCGGAGTACTGTATGACCAAACGCCTGGTGTTCACCGACCGTCCATCTTATTGGTGAAGACGGTCCAACCAAGAAGCAGCAGTGACATCTTTTCACGGATCGCTCTATTAATTTTGCAGAGCGAGGGCGAAACGACAAGGGAGAAAAAAAATAATCTTAGGAGTAGACCCTAAACCCAGCCTGGTGATTCTTTGGTACCATCTCTATTTCCCCATTACATACTATCAGAGACCCATCGTCACATGACCCAGGCTGGATCTTTTTGGGGGGATCTGACTCTCTGGAAGCACTACTGGGATGTCCGTTTTCACGACAAAGAGGGCCTTGCTCAGGTAGTCTCATCTTCGATTCTACTCCATTGCGACCGTCTCCGAAGGAAGCTAGCCAGTAGTAGACCTATCTCACCCATTTTGACTCATCATACTCATCCATAAGCTGAGTATAATCCGTACCCGCTGCTGCCCATCCCTTAACACCTCCCTCTAGCACTAGGCTTCTCATTTCTCCATCCTTTCGCTCTTTCAGATATTCTGCAAACCACTTGGTGGCACGCGCACCACGACCTTGAGAAGAGCCTGCTTCTTTCATCAGCTAACCATATCTTTGGCGAGGAAATTACATGATACGGACCGCAATACCACACCACGTTAGCGATCTTGCCTTGCGAGAGGACAGAATACAGAGTCGGGATCGCATGATACAAGCTCTGTACTGGAAGGTTCAGAGAGCCCCGGATCGTTCCTCCCTGCAAATATTATGAGACATGCAGACGGCGGAAGAAGAAATGTGTAAAAACCTCAAAATCGGTACGACGTAGGTCAATTAGAACGAAATCTTTCCCAATTCTCTTGCCCTCTCGATACCACCGAAGAAGCTCAAGCCGAGAAATTGAGCCGGCTACAGTGCTTTGAAGTAGGGTAAGCTGCATGCTCAGGCTCAGAAAGGCACGCGGGTGACATTACGTTGCTTGGATCATTCTTGGTCTTCGCCTGTGGTTGAGGCGTGGAAAATAAGGTAGACTTGACGGGAATCAGCAAGGAGATATCACAAAGTAAATAAAATAATCTGATTAGGAAAAATTCATAGGAGTAAAAAGTTGCCTCCTGGGAAGTCGAAGGGAGACTGTCACTCGTCTGATGTGATTGGTCACCTAGCTCTGTCTGACTAGGGTATGACTACCACTTCCAAGGCTACTTCCAGATGACCGTTTAGGAGCGACACGAACAAGATGCTCGGCTTGTTAGCCATAATTAGCGTTTTTGGTGGTCGTATCGGCAGTCGGCTCGCACCAGGAAATATGCTGAGCAATCGTTCTATAAGATATTATCTCTCTGGTATTGTCTACAGTATATTGTTCTATATCTTTCGTCGAGCTGTAGCGGCACTCATCTTTGCCTCCCTTACTTTCTTCTGCTCCCGCTCGCTAAACCGGTCACCGAAAAGACCGATGTGAGGCCGCATCAAAATCGTATATTTGACAAATTCCTCCATGCAATCCACCAGACGATCTCGGTTGCCACTAGGCATGAGTTGTTGATCTCCCGGTTGACCTTCATCCGGAAACTGTGTATATGCCCTGGGGATCGAGGATTGATTCGGGATAGTAAACATACGCATCCACCGACCCAAGATACGCAAGGAGTTGACGGCATTGAACGATTGAGATCCACCGCACACCTGGGCAATAGCCAGCGTTCGGCCTTGGGTGGGACGGACACTTCCTGTGGTCAAAGGAATCCAATCGATCTGATTCTTGAAGACAGCGGTCTAGCGTTGCGGGGGAAAAGCACCTGTCAGTAATTGTCGCACTGAGTGTTAGGACTATCGTGAGAGTCACTCACTAAATTGCCGTGCTGTTCAGGTGAAACCCAGACATGCCCATCACTCCACAGACTGAGGTCTCGAAGCTCCTGTACTTTAGGATGGTCGGTATCGCTATCGTTCTTCACCGGAAGACCTTCAGGGTCAAAGACGCGTACATCACAGCCGAGTCGGAACAGGATGCGGGAGGCTTCAAATGCCACGAGGCGTGAATATGACCTTTTCCGAAGACTGCCATAAAGTACCAGAACTCTCAGTCTCTCGTTTGTATCCCGTAGGTTATGCTCGGCCATATCTAGAGCCGTGGAAAGCTCTAAATTGTTGACCCAGTCCTTAGTCGCAGTGCCGCTAAGAATGAACGGTCGGTACTTCTGGCGAATATCTGGGTCGTCTTCACTCAGAGTCAATTCCAACGATCGATGATTTGCCTCTGTTAGGCGGATATCTGAAACCACTTGCTGAGGGATAGCGGAATGCATCCTTTTTGAATATATGGGACGCAACAAAAAAGGCCGCAAAGAAATTCCCAGTCGAAAAGTATGGGGCAATCTTTGTATAGATTGGTAAAGCATAGAGTATTTCGATAGTTGGCGAAGGTAAGCGAGAACAAAACCTGAACACAGCCAGAAAAAATTCGGTTTCTACAGATAAAGTGAGTGCATGGAATGAGTATGTCACCAGTGAATAATGATTGGACAAGATATAACAACGTATCCAGTGGGTCTTCGTAGGGTACGCGTATTGTATAATTGGCTGAGGATTGACTGCGATTACTAATAAACATGACTAACATAAATTTCCTCAGAGTCCGTTTAACCTCGGCAATCTCTTTGGACGTTAAGTGTCAAACCGAAACCTCCTAACTTGTAGCCTCGCCGTGGCGTATATACAGTATTACCATTTCCTAACATGAGAATGAAGACTAGGAGCCCCGGAAATATGAAAGAGGTTCATGCGACACCAGCGGCAGCACGAACTCGCGAGAACCAGCGGCGTTCTCGCTCACGGCGCAAAGAGTACGTCCAGCACCTTGAGCAACGATTACGGTCATTCGAAAGGCTTGGCGTAGCGGCGACTCAGGAGGTTCAAATAGCGGGAAGAAAAGTCGCAAGAGAGAATGATCTACTACGTTCCTTGTTGATGCTTCATGGTGTCACTGAAACATCAATTGAAGGATACTTGAAATCGCGAAGACAACCAACAAGCTCTACTCCATCTCAGTGCATGCCAGTAGCGTCTCTAGCATCAGCAAAGCTGCACCTGCCGACGGCCCCAAACCAACCTCCTGGGGATTACCATCATTCTCCGGGAACTCCGCCTCATTGGAATTCGCACAATCCGCCATATCAAGTTTTACCTATTGGGACGAGAAATTCACCGCCAATGTCAGATGCGAAGACCTGCATGGATATTCTCCCTCGTCAGGAATCTAATGCAAATCAAACAGCTGAACTCAACCCTGTCACAGCCGAAAGCATGTCTGAATCACATCACTTTGTTAGTCTTCAGGATACAGGTCAATTCACGTCATGCGTGACTGCAACAAAAATTATCGAGAATATGCAGAATCATTCAGACTTCCGTGACCTCCGATCTGAACTTGGATGCGGCTCGAAATCAACGTGTATGGTGAAGAATATGTCAATTTTCGAAATTCTGGACAAGTAACAGACATCTGGATATTTCACTGGACATATTCTGTGAATGATTCGATCACTATCAAATATGACGCCTTGCAACTTGTCCTGCAATCTTGCGACTCACATATTGCCAGAAGCATGAGCATAGGGGGCATGTTTCCAGACAAGGATGGTGACTCAAAATTGAAAGTACTGTACAAGTTCAATAGGTCCGCTTTATATTGCGACCTTGCTGGTTTATACGAAATCCTTAGTACATCATACAGCACACTCTCGCGTGGCATATATCCTGAGCATAAGCGGCCCCTATGCTACATGCGGCAGGATACAACGTGCGTTATCCCGGTTACCTTTCTTGACAAAATCCCGGGCTAGAAGTGACTTATTTAGATTTCCTGGCATCGATGATGCTTGGTCTGAGCAAAAGACGTATTTTGTAGTATTGCTGATACTTTTCTCTATTATTTCCCTATTATGTACCACAAAAATGATAATATCTTCGAATGTCCTATACTTTAAAGCTGATGTCGGCCTTGAAGTTCATCCTAAGGACTCGATATAGTAATCGTTAGTATGCTAGACCAATGACGTGGCGGTTGGTCATGTCAGTGACTCACTGATTTCGTTGCGTCTCAGTTTCCTCATGTAATGTCATGTGACCCTACCTTCATTCGGTTCCCTGCGTCAATGCCCCGCATGCTCCCTACATACATCACTTCCTCTTTCCGTGAGTTAGGTTAGGCCCTGGATATCACATAACTTCCGTTAGCTTCTAGGTCTTCCATTTACTCGCATCACTTGTGAGTGCAGTTAAACGGAGAAAGGAGTGCCTCCGTGAAGAACACAGCCCCATGGCTCGACCGAAGAAAACGAAGGTCATTCGTTGCCCCGCGCGATCTTCCACATTTTATGTCTTAACGAAATATTTCCTATAGGTCGAAGATCTAGCTCGCATCCGCAACAACCAGCGAAAATGTCGAGAACGCAGGCGAAGGTACATTGCAGAGCTCGAGCAGAAAGTGAAATATTATGAGAAAGAGCGGGTTCAAAGCAGTACAGGACTTCAAACTAAAGCGCGCAAGAACGAAGTTCTGGAAGGATTACATGAACCATCAAGCGTCAGTGAGAATCACCGAAAGCAGAGTCTCACACACGGATTAAAATGTCCTCCTTAGGATTGGGAAGATACTTCGACTCGAACGCAAACTCCTTGGCACATCTATTTTGAGCCTGGAGAATTTCAAGGGGAGGTAAGTGTGTATTCTTAATCGATAGGTCCTTGTCTATGTCTAGGCCCTTTACCGAAAGATAGTACTGAGCTTGCTGACCGCAATTGCAGCTTCTTGGTAGAGAGGCAACACATACGTTCCCCAATTTTGCCGATCCACCTGTGCTGCTTGACCGGTCAAATAGTAGTGAGCTTAACCAAGACTTCGCACCTTGTCAAGCCTTCTTTGATTCTGCTGCACTTATACATGACGCGAGAGTTCATGTGCCAACGCATTTCCCGGCCGCGACCCCGCTCTGCGCTCCTCCAGCTACGACAGGAACTGAGAAAATCATATGCGATAGTTTTCAACCGGCGTCTTCTCTGACACTCTGGCCTGTGTTAACAGACGAGATGGCAAGAGAGGATAGATCTATGCTCTGCTCTATAGCATACAGACTGATTCTGCAATTCAACAAGAGACAATGCGATGACTTGGAGATCGAAATAAAGATAAGTTGCGGTTTCAGACTAGGCCGTACACAATTGGAAGGTTGTAGGGTTGATATTGAGGTTCTTTTTGCTGTTCTTGCTGAGATATCTTCGTAATACACGAACCTGATACGAGACAAACCGATAACCTATGTAGCATAAATATCCAAATTCTCAATTCGTTCAACTCAAAGCTATCTAATTACCAGCGCTGCACCAGCTATGTTGAATAGTTCTACCTTCGTGAGGCCAGAAGACTAGTGCGCGCTTAAATCCAATTTACGGCGTGTTTCAACCATGGGTGTCGGGCTTTACGGCAAAGATTTTGAAAGAGCCTTATGAAAGAGATCCATGCGGGGAGTTGTCAGTGATGTGTCGATACTGGGTTCATTTGTAGATCCACTCACCAGTCCAGATGTTGAAATCCACATCCGGTAGATTGTTTATCTCCCCGCTGGTACTATTGTTCATCGAATCACAGCATGAACTCGAAGGGCCCGGTCCATTGGCTTTCTCATTCTTCCACAATTCCTTGTATATATTGAGATCGGCATTAGTGTCCAGAATCACTGCATCTATAAGCTAGATATCAGTACAGAACTAAATGAAGAAGACCCCCAAAAAAAGCATGGATACCTTGGAACCCTGCTTCTTTCAGATATCTTTCATAATCGGCAACCTGGCTAGCACCAGCTATACAGCCAACATATAAGGAGAGATCTTTCTTGATCTCTATTGGAAGCTCTCGTTTCGCCAGAATGTCGCTAATGGCAACCCTGCCTCCTGGTTTCAGTAGGCGGAACATTTCCTGAAAGACCAGGGTCTTTTCGACTTCCGGCACTAGGTTTACCACACAATTACTGATAATGCAATCAGCGGTGGACGATGGTAACGGTATAGAAGTAATGAACGCTTCGATGAACGATGCATTGGAGGCACCGGCGTTCTCTGCATTCTGGCGTGCTAAATCCAGCATGTCCTGCTAGCTTTAGGCAAGAAGTCAGCTGGGTAGGGAGCGATCCGCGTACCTTGGTCATATCAATTCCAATGGCCTTTCCTTCCATTCCAACCTTCTTTGCGGCTAGTAAAACGTCAATGCCCCCGCCACTACCCAAATCAATCACAACCTCGCCCTATATATGTAAATTAAAACCAGCGCCAAGGAGCGACCGGTGACAGTACTGACCACTCCTATGTTTGCCATTGCTAATGGATTGCCACAGCTGACACCTAAATTCGCGTTCTCTGGAATAGAAAGCAGATCCTCTAGGTCATACCCAAACGCACTTGCGACTTTGCGTTCATGATCTCCCAGTTTATGAGGGCCGTCGGTCTGCCTCGCGACTCCAGCGTAGCGCTCTTGCACACAACGATAGGTATCTTTCGAATTCATTCCGTTGAACTTTCTGGTTCGGCACCCCGGAAAGTCTGTCGGCTAAATGAAGTGTATACAAGAGAATTTTTTTTTCAGGGTCATAATGGGGAGAGACCAAGCTTAAATACATGTTACACGTATTATCAGTATTATCAGGAGCCTGTTGAGCGATGTCACGTGACTCATGTCTATAGCCTCGTTGATGTGGAGACTGGCGGTTCTCAGTTCTACTGATTGGCCGATTGTTCGCGGTATGTCATCGTTTGGGAATGGAATGTCACCGCCAAGCCTATTTGTCATAGATTTATCTTAGTCCCCACTCCCTCACACAATGTTAAGAAAGTAGACGTATGGATGGTACTTACATAGATATTGATTATGGAAGAGTCTAGTCAACTAATTATTTTTTAATCAATCTAGGGGTCATAGCCCCAAGATGGAATGCTAATGCCTAGGAATTGATCGCCCAAACCAATACGTAATACCGAAGCAGCTTCGATTTATCAGTCGCAAGGATTGCAAACGGAAGGACAACTAGCCTAGCGCGTCTCCAAGATTAACTAGATTAGAATGCTCCATATCTCCCTGACTGCTGTATAGCTCATATCACGTCTTGTTCATGCAATGTTGGCTAGTATTGATTATTAATAGTATTACCCATAGTATATGCAGGACTCAAGGCCGTAGCCTCTTCAATATTGATCCGTGAATACCAACAAGTTAGTCACCAATAACAAACGAAAACAAAGGGTCCCGATAGCTCAATTGAGCTGCAGGACGGGAAAATTTCCTTGCTTTTCGTTTTAGTCCTTCCAGCCAACTCGCTTGGCTATAAATTTGACAACATAGACAAGGCCAAGCAGTACCGGAACCTCAATCAATGGCCCGACAGTGGAGGCAAGTGCTTGGTTGCTGTTGGCACCAAATGTTGCGACAGCGACAGCAATCGCAAGCTCAAAATTATTGCTGGCAGCGGTGAAACTTTGAGTGGCAGCCAACTTGTAACCAAACCCTAGCTTGTAGGCCACAAGAAGGGTCACGAAGAAGACAATGATGAAATAAACAATAAGCGGAGCCGCGACTCGGACCACCGATACAATTTGATGAACCACCTGCCGGCCCTGGGATGCGAATAACACCAGGATCGTGAAGAGGAGCCCAATAAGTGACCATGGGCCAGCCCACTTCAGGAAAACCTGGTCGTACCAGCGTGGGCTCGTGATCTTTCGAAGGGTAATACGGGTGATAATTGCAGCACCAAGAGGGATACCAAGGAAAACTGCCACGCTTGTGGCAGCGGTGGAGTAAGATAGTGTAACTTGGCTGCCAGAGTGACTAATGACCTTGATGAAGAAAATGGCCAAGGGAGCGAAGAGCACCATTTGCAACAGTGAGTTAACCGCAACGAGAATAGCGCAATATTCACTGTCGCCTCCAGCGAGACCGGTCCATATAAGAACCTATCGGCAATAAAAGATTAGTCCCGTTTGGGCATCGTAGAGAAAGGGTAATGTACCATTGCAATGCATCGTGCCAACCCAACTAAGATCAAACCTTCTCGAAGCTCTGGTTCATCCGGTAGGAAAGCCCATGCCAACGCGAGCTGGGAAATATAACGTTAGCAAGTTTCACCCCGGGGCAAGTCAAAAAAGTCTCACCATCAAGAAAGGCGCAATAATCCAATTAACAAAGATACTGAATGCAATCTGGGTCCAAATACCACGCTCTCGGAAGACGTGGTGTAAAGATTCGTATCGCACTTTGCAAAGAATGGGATACATCATAACCAGGAGACCGATCGCTTGCAACGTTTAGTTGGAGGCTGTATTATTAAAGATTTTTTGTGTACATACCGATCGGAATAGAAACCCCGACGAATTTTCCCTTTTGAAGGGCGGGTCCCGTATTCTCCACAAAATTTCCCAGTATGATTCCAATTGCCATGGCAAGGAAGATCCATACGGCCAAAAAACGATCCAGCCAGCCAAGCCCTTTAAAGGCCGATTGTTTGGCCATAGACTCCTCGGGTTCGTGTTTTGTTTGTTTTTCGACATCCTCGATCGTGGGATTTGTGGACTGATTATTCAACGTTGCGTTGTGAGATTGCGGTTCGGCCTGCACAGGCAGATTTGCCTGAGGAGTTTCGGTAGCCATCTCTAGCCTCTGCAGATTAAATGCGTAAGATGCTTCACCTGTGAATGGCCTTTGTCGGATAAGGAAAATCTAAATAGAAAGGCAGTGATTGTTCGAAAGTCTGCACTAACGGAGCGGAGTCGTCTCTTAAATATGGTTTCGTCTTAAAAAGAGAATCTACCGCTAGTCCTGATATGGTAAGACTGATACTTCGTGATAACCAATCACAGCGGGCGGATGACAGTCTGCCGGATATGACCAATCATAATCAAGGGGTGACATGGCGGCAAATGCTCTAGGCTTGTGATTTGTCAGTGATGAAAATGCTTGCATTCCTACGAAAAATTTCGACCAATGATAGTGTCGGAGTGACATACAGGTTGCTTATCCAGACGAAAGCACATAGAGATGGCCATGCAAAGTAGTCTTCATTGACAGTTCCAATGCGGCTCGTAAATACATTCAAGCCATCCAGCTGCCAGTGCAGGTGGGTTTTTCTAAGTAAAGAATGCCTGAGATCACTTTCAAATGGCCAGACAATAGTTTTGACTAGGACAATGTAGGCTCTGTCTGAATGCGGTTTCGGCATATGCTGCGACTACGTCTCACCAAATGAATTGTGTGACGGCACTCCTGCGTAAAAGAATGTTCTAGAATGACGAATCAAAATTCTTCCCCTTTTTCAGCCAACACGTGGTGTATAAAATCCAAGAACAGCCACTTTTTCCCTCTTGCTTGTACACAATTGAGGCGTGACCATATCCCCTTTTCTTTCATTCATAATATCCATTGAAGGCACCTACTATTCATACCCACCAAGCTCTGCTATCGTGATAATTTCACCTCACATATTCAACTAGCTACTCGCCAGGACTACTCAACGCATTACTCGAAAGGCATGCCCATCATGGCTAAGCCCAGTGTCTTATTTGTCTGCGTTCATAACGCTGGACGCTCGCAGATGGCCGCCGGCTTCCTCTGTCTTCTAGCGGGTGACGCCATTGAAGTTCGCTCTGCCGGATCGGCCCCAGCCGACTCTATCAATCCCGCCGTCATCGAAGCCATGCGTGAGGAAGGAATCGACCTCAGCAACCAAAACCCCAAGATCCTAACTGCCGACGCGGTGCAAGCCAGCGATTTCGTCATTACTATGGGATGTGGGGATGTTTGCCCCTTCTACCCTGGCAAACGCTATCTCGACTGGCAACTTGATGACCCCGCCGGGCAAGGCTTAGACGCTGTGCGAGCTATTCGTCACGAAATCCGTCATCGTGTTGAGAAACTTATCACTGAACTCCGGTCCCATAGTTCAACTATTTGAGAATGTCGTATATAAGATCTGAGTCTGGTGGTGATATAAAAGTTTTCAGCACGTGTTGAAGATGGTGAATGGTCGCGTGGCTGGCATTTCCATTGTTCTTTACTACGTATGACTTATCCTTCTGGCGGGTATGATATCACTTCTAATATATCACCTTGTGCCTCGCAATTTATTCAACTGAGCTAACAGATTCCTCTTCCACTGAAGTTCCTAAGAGCTGGTCGGACTGTGTGTTGCGTGTAGATTCAGCAAGATAATGTTGTTTTATTTAGCTTATTCCATTATTCAATTAGGGAAATCGTTTGTGTGTATAGGAGCCAGTGCAAGGTCGGCGTATGCATTGGTCGTAATGTAATAGAAAAAAAATACAGTGAGATATACGTATGGCTAATTATCGGTTCCCACACCGGCAAAACATTCGATGAGCAGCGCTACATCGAAGACGCGCGTTGCTAAAAATTGCCTTGTCCGATTATGAATAGCAATTTAAGATGTTCAACGTTTTTTCAGTCAGTTTCGCAAAGTTCGAGAAAGCCTCTCTTTGCATGCTCAGGAGATAAGTGCAATACATATTGTTCTTGCTGAGCAGCCTCACGAACGAGAGGTTCAAAAGGCATTATTGGCTTAGAAGCTTTCACCGAAACTCTCCAGGAGGTGCAATTCTCTGTGTCAACATCATCATAGATTAATTCCCAATGGGTCCGAACATTTGCGGAACCACCAGGTTCGGAGACGAGCATTTGGTTCAGCGTACCAGTGACTTGTGAGTAGTCTAGCCACAGATTGTCGACAGGACCGCGAATACCGTGTGTGGGACTCCAGGTTTCCGAGAAACGAATCTTACCAGAAAACACACCTAGAAAATCTCCCTCGTGCACGGGGATGATGGAACAAACGAGCAAAGAACTACTGTCGTCTTTCGGCAAGAGGAAGGTAAATGAAGACTTATCTCCACCAGACTCTGACACTACTTGGTTGTCGTAGAGTGCGCATACCATATCAGGTGAGAAAGTCTGCAAGCCAATTTCCTTGTAGCTTTCTTCCTCGGTGAGGAAAGCCCATTCATTTCCGGCACAATTCCAACAGGACTCCTGAACTTTCAGCCTCTCAGTAACTTGAGGATTGTCAAGATCAGATACGCGCGCCAGGTCACCTTTCCCGAGCCTGAGAAGCTGCGTTTCTAGCTGTTCGATATGAGGTCTATACTGGGCCTCCCACTTCTTGATTGTATCCACAAGAGAGGTTTTTGATGTTTTGGGATACCCTTTGCAGTAGCTGTCAAATTCTTTGGTGCGGTAATATAAGACTTTTTCGATACCGAGTTCGCGCATTTTGAGAAGGTTTCTCCAAAAGATCCGGCACTGCCGTTGATTTTCTGCACCTAGCCTGTATCCAGCATCTTCCATGAACCTCTTAGTTGCAGCTTTCTCCACCATGGTGAAGCCGTCGGCAGGTCCTTTTGCGGACGGCAAGCTGGAAGGATCGATTAAAGCTGCACCCTTGAGAATGACTTTCCAGAAGATTGTTTCATAATACCGATTCTGCACACCCTTACCCATAGCCAAAGCGTTATCCCTCTGGATGGTGCTGATTGCCTGTTTGTAATCATATTCCGCAACCTCATCGGTGTACTTTCGTATATGATCAGGGTCGGTCCTAGCTGGGCCCACGTAGGCTCGGTGACCGTATCTAGCGACTGCTGAATTGACGATAAAGCATTCAAACAGAATCGAAGCCATAGCTTTCGTTGTGAACGCGGAGTCTGGATGATAGGATGAGGAAGTATCACCCGAGAAATTTGAGGGGTGGATTGCGTTCCCATGGTCGTTAGTAGGCAATGGCTAGATGTCAGAACAACTTAACGTTAGATCAAGCAAGTAGGCCAATCAGATGAGGCAAAGGAGTGCCATACCGGTTGATCAATACTCTGTCTGAGGGCCCGTCTCGATTGTTTCATCAGCAATGCGACCGGGTGATGGTTCGTCAGCACATTTGTCTGAACACTGCTGGGTCTGCTTCTTTTTTTCTTCCTTGGTTCCGCGCCCGCTAGATTTGCATACTCCCTTTTCTGGGCATTTGAAATCCGATTGGATCCACGCATTTTAGCTGGAGAGGCCGGAGGTGTTTGTAAAGCTCGGCCGCTGGTTCTTAATGGGGTGTCGCCTGCGTTATTGCCTTGGTTCGCGAGATGAGCCTGGAGGATTGAGTTCACCGTAAGCACTTGAACTCATAGCTAGGTTAGATGTCCCGCGTACCATCATCGTCGACTTGAGAAATCAAGGAATCAATATAATCCTCATCATGATCTATGCCGGAGGCTGTGAATGCATCCCGGATAGCCTGGGCTAAGCGTTCACGTGTTGTTTCGTCCATGATCCTTAGAGAAAGTGATGCGAACGACGATGTGCCCACCTCTTGCATCTTAAATAAAGCCCCTCCTCCGCTCTGGAACATTCGAGCAGATTGATCGACGAGCTGAGTCCACTTATGTGGGGCTCTTGTCATATGTTGACCAATGAATATAACTAGGGCGTCTCTCTAGCAACGATGGGGTGGATCTAGACCATCTTGACTGGATCTCGAGACTATAGTGTGTGGCCTCCGCGGCTTGGATGAGTGCTGTAGACGACTCAGCAAGAAAAATGGCGCAGTTCGAGTTTTTATCGGTGACTCGCCTCCAGGAGTTGGTCCCGGCCCCCTTTTAAACCTGCATGGTGTGTATTTCACCTTCACCAAACTGCCGATCCGCTCGACAAGAGTTCAAGAAAGAGGTGGAGCTTCTAGGCACGAGAAAGCCCACTCCTGGGTGCTCCTAGGGTTGCCGCGATTCCCAGGATCATGAGACCTGTTCGATCTGGGAATGCGATCTTAGGGCCGTCAAAAGATCCACGGCAAAAGCGCTGCTACACCTAGATGAATCATTAATTCCTGGCTACAGAACTCAATTCATATTCGAGGACTGGTTATGTATAGCAAGGAACCTTGATGTTATCAGAACTTAGACAGATGCAGACTTAACAGGAATCGTGAGGGCCTGAATGTGCATCTCGTCCAACATTAGTGACAAGAATCTTCGGAGACTGAGAATATTCTTAGCTCGTAATATAGAGAATCTGTAGAATTTCACGATAATAATTTTAATGGCATGAAAATATTTATGGATATTAATATTTTAGAATGGAAAAGTCTTACCGCGCTTAATATTTTGAGACAAGAATATCTCTCTCGGGAGAAAATTTTTGGGTGAGAATGTTAGTGACATATTTTTAACCTAAACTTAAATTTATCAGAACAAAATATTCCTGCGTTATATTATTCAGCAGAATATAACATTGTATTCTATACCATTCAGGAGCGAAAAAATTATACCTATCAGAATCTTCTCCATACTGAATATTCTGTTAGTAGAATATTCACTAGTGGGGCGCTCGTCGGCGTTTCGATTGATCGTCGGCGTTTCTTGAATACCCACGATGTAGACGATCCCCCGGAGCCCTTCTTCCCGAAAAGAACCACAGTTCCCGTACCCGCAAGAATTCTCTGGATGGAGACCGTCTCTCGAATTCTCGTTTGCTAAGATGCGCCTGGTTTTCGTATGGGCTGTCAGCGACGATCCCTACAATCTATACCGTTATCTGAATAAATCCTTTCTCAGTGAGGAATACGTCCTTATTTAGCCAATCACAGTTAGCTATCACTTTTCACCATTCAGTCCATTGCTCACCCGGACTAGCTGGTCTATCCTGACTTGCCGCGGAGACCGAGCCACTCCAAAGTGGAGAAAGGAGTAGCATCGAACCAATCATAGAAGAGGGAAGTCGAATGGGAAGAAGCCGATCCTGATCTTTATTGCACTCCATTAAACCAGAGAGCGAAAATTCTCAATTTGCCCAAGGCCCATGAGATACATCCCATTAGTACTTCTACAACTTAAGATAATGAAGTAAATGGTTGTTCAATTTCCTGGCTGAAGCTGCCTCAAATCGTTCTCAATCTGCAACTATTGCAATGAAACCAGTCTCACTTGGGACAGGAAGACCTCTAGACCTAAGCTTGCTAGCCCTTTTAGCTCTTCTCTTCGAAGACAGACTTTCCCAATTTTCATACAGGGTCAAGTCTGAGCATGAAATCCTCGCTATGTGGCCCTGACTAGAAGTTTCTTGTAATTCGGCATTTGGCGTATCTTCGGGCAACAACGAAGTGCGCGGCCAGTCGCCAAGCTCAGCAGACACTCGAGGAACGACCCAAAGTCCGCTATCCGCTTCAGCAGGGCGCCCCCACAGACTAGGTTCGGGCTCTTCAGGGGCAGGCTCAGGCTCTTCGGGAGGATACTCAGTCTCTTCTGGGACAGGCTCAGGCTCTTCGGGGGGGTACTCGGGCTCTTCGGGGGCAGGCTCAGGTTCTTCGGGGGCAGGCTCGGGCTCTTCGGGGGCAGGCTCAGGTTCTTCGGGGAGATACTCAGTATCTTCTGGGACAGGCCCTTGTAGAGGGGTTTCATTTGAGATGATGCCGTTTGGTGCCTTCACTAACGATGTAGCAAAAATCGAATCAGCTTATTAGCATATCGTTAATTTGTTGGAAGTGGTTTACCGCGTTGACCTTTCATAGAAAATATACGAATAGATAGTATCTCGAAAATCAATTTCATCACCGCATTATCAAACTGATGGTCTTGGCCGATGATATCGTAAAATTCGCGTAAACCAAGCCCTGGATCATTAGGCCTTAGTAGTCGCTGCAAGTTTTCTTGAATGTAACCTGGAAGCCAAGTTTCACCAGCAGGGAGGCTTGAAAAAACGTCCCTCATGACCCGCAGTATCTCAATAATAGGAAGCTCGTCATCAAATTGTTGCATCTTTTGCTGAGCAAGGACTTCAAGATCAGTAAGACCCCAAGTCCTTGACGCATGGTAGACTAAAACGCTCCTCTTGTACTCTCTAGCGAGATCTGACGTGCCTCCGCCAAGAGGCGAGCTGACCGTCTCGTAGCCGCCTGTGTATAAGAAGTGTACCACGGTATGCCCAACGTCTTCGTCAACATGAGACAAGATAAAAGTCGATAATCCAAGTCTTGAAGGAGCAAACTTTGGGTAGTTCCGAAGGAAATGAGCGGGAATGCCGTATCGCTTGCTTCCTATAATGAGGGTAACAAGAGGGGATTCGTAGGGCCAGTAAATGCGTCAGAAAATGCTGGTTGTTACTTATTCAAAGAACTCACGATGACGAAGGCCGATGATAGTCAATTTTGGGAGAGATCTCTGGCGTGAGGGGTCGCCCGGGCAGCTCATTGGACTTGCGCTGTTTCGTTTTCTTCTTTGCCATTTTTGGGTCTACTGTAACTTTGCTGGCTATCAAGTGATCCCTGGAGATGTCCCAAGAAGTATATGAAAGATAAAAGGGAGAGAAGGCCTGACTACATCTAATATAGCCGGGAGTGGGGAGAAGCAGGGTAATGCAAGTATGAGTTGTCCTGCAAAGCGGTCGGAACACGTCATCTGTGCAGTGAATGGCAATTTAGTGTCAGTCATTGAAATACAATGAAACAGTAGATGGACTACTCAAGTAACTGCTTTCTCTTCGGTCCTTGGTGTCCATGATATAGATAGTCTATCCGATAAGCTTATATGTGGTGCTGATGATCGCCCGGGCCGTGAACGGAACCGGGCCGACGCGAGACTGTTCCACGTTACTCTGACGCAGGGAAAAAAAAGCGGAGAAACTAGGAACGAGCGGGGTAAATGAGCTGTATATTTCTAGTCGAATAGGGAGCAGGGGAGCTTTATTCGACCAGTTGGCCTCAATGATAAGCCTCCATTGGGATTCTTCCTCAATCATGCCTCCCAACCGCTGTGCGTTCTGTAGCGTACGATCGGAATCCACAAAAAGGATAAGAGAGGAGAAAAGCGCTTAAACGTTGAGTGGCTTGATTTTTCCTGATTAATATGAGCGAAAGACATTTACAATTCATGAAAGAGCAAAGGAGAGCTTCGGCAGTTAATCATTGGCTGATGGCAATTTCGAGAAAGCCTTTTTCGGCATTTTCAGACGACAAGTGCAGTTCATATTGCCCGTGCTGAGCAGCCATGCGAATTAGAGGCTCAAATGGCATGGTTTGTTTGGTGGCTTTAACAGAGACTCGCCACGAAATGTCAGACTGTGTCTCGACGTCGCCGCAGAAAACATCCCAGTGAAGGCACACGTTTGCTTTACCACCAGGTTCAGACACCTCCATCTGGTTCAGTACCCCTGTGACTTGAGAATAGTCAAGCCAAAGTCTCCCGGTGGGTCCAGGAATGCCATGGGTTCCACTAAACTTCTCCGAGAAACGGAGTGCGCCAGCAAATATGCCTAAGAAGTCACCTTTGCAAATAGGTATAATAGAAGATACAAACAAAAAGCCGTCTTCCTCGGGCAAGAGAGTGATGAATACAGACTTATCGGTCTCACCTTCGTACACCAGTTCATCGCTATGTCTCATGCCTAGATTGTCGGCAAAAAGTGACTCTGCGGCGCACTGTTTGAAAGTTTCCTCTTCAGCGACGGAAGCCCACTCATCCGATGCATTATTCCACGAGGTCTCTGGAACCTTCAAGAGCCTTCGCACTTGAGGGTCATTGAGATAGCTCAGTCGTTTCAAATCTCCTCCACTCAGTGATAAGATCCGCGTTTCCAATTGCTCGATATGAGGGAGATACTTCTTCTCCCACTTGAAAATTTTGTTCACTAGTGAGATTTCCGCTGTTCTGGAATAGCTTCTACAAAAGCTGTCGAATTCTTTCGAACGGTAGAGAAGAACTTTGTGAATACCCGCCTCACGCATTTCGTATATATTCTTCCAGAAAATACGATATTGTCGCTGATTCTCGGAGCCCAAGCTTTGCCCGATATCCTCCATAAACTTCCTGGTAGCAGCCTTCTCCGCCATTGAGAATCCATCAACCGGGCCTTTGGCGGGGGGAAGTGTTGCGGGATCGATCAGAGCGGCGCATTTAAGGATTATTGGCCAAAAAATGGTTTCGTTGTAGTTGGTCTGTATTGCTTTGCCAGCGCTGAAAGCAGTGTCCCTTCGAATTGTCTTGATTGCCTTATCATAACTGTATTTGGACAACTCGTCGACATACTCCTGTGTCTTCGCCAGCTTAGTTGTTATCATAGCTGTGCTGGTGTGTTGCCCATACTTCGCTATAGCGAAGTTCGATTTGACGCATTCCATGATTATCGTTGTTATGACCTTCATTTCGTAGGCTGAACCAAAAAATGATGGCAAGGAGCTATCATGGGGTGTCGGCAAACGCTGTGGGTTGGTTTCGTTGGCCTGAGACTAAAAGCTAATCATAAGTCCCTTTATCCTTCTCTTGCGGATTTGAAGCAAAAAGGTCTTACCGTTTGGTGTGTTTGAGGCGACGGAGTTCTCTGGGGAGCATTGTCGCTAGAAATCCCAATTTCATCACTCCTAGATGCTCCGGGTTGCTGATCCATCAACTTCAAGCCATGGCCGCTTTTTCGCTTCTTCCTTTTCCGCTCTCCTGTGCCAGCCGTATCATTGTAAATCGTTCTGCCCTCCGTTGCAGCCTGTTTCATAAGGCGCTCAGACCCACGCTTGCCATGTGGCGGAGTGAAAGGTGTCTCGATTGTCATTCCCTTCAGCTGAGAGACAGATTCAGTCCCGCTGCATCTTCCAGTCCTGAGTTGGGCTTCGCGAACTAGAAAAATTGTCAATGGCCCGGTGAAGCTTAGCACTAGGCGAAGGTTCGCTCACGATGGTTCACAGCATGCGCAGTAAGTGACCTAAGAAGCTCCTCGCTATTTTCAACTCCACAAATGGCGAACAACTCCCTAATCTTCTGGGCTGCCAGGCCCGAGACAGTATCATCCATGGCGGGCGATGAGTGGAGGAGGGAAGTTCGATTTCTTGAAACTTCCTCCAGGCTCCCCTCCAGGACTCACATTTCGAATGTTCTAGCCAGTGACTCCCTTCGAGGGCGGGGACATGAGCCAATCATATCAGCACCAGGGAGTCGCAAAAATAGCACCCTCCAGGCCAAGGTAAGAGTTCACAGAAGTTCGCCTCGGGTGTCGTTTCGGCTACCGCAGGAAAACGAAAATTAGACAAAGGGATACCAATAAGGACCATCTTGCAGGTAAGATAGATCAATTTGAGTCAGGGAATATCCTCAACTTGCAGACAAATGAGGGCGTGGATAATTAGGTGGCATGACTCCGACTGCACAAGTCGCAAATAATGATCTAAGTCGGATAATTCTCCCTTATTTGTGACCTCCCATTTTGTCCAATATCGGTCGGATACTGGTGAAGGGTCGCGATTACCTCGAGTATCGAGGAACACGTTGAAGTGATTGCTGAGGGCGCGTTCAATGAACAATGGAGAGCCCCAGATGAACCAACAGATATGAGTGATCCATCTGCATTGCCGTGTTGCTTGCCTCTGGTTTGATTTTCGAACAGTCAAATTGCGAATGATAAAGGCCGATACGCGTCATGTTGATCGTGTGAAGATGGTGAAGAAGTGAATTGAGCGGCGACCGGTGAAAGAAGAACAGTATTAATCTTGAGCAAAAGTACGGTGTTTAATTACTGCCATTGGTTAAATAGAATGTGGTTACCTTCTCTTCCAGAGCCCCACACGTATCACGTGCGATTCCTAGTACCCCTGGACCCCCACGTTTTGGAGCATGATTGCTGCAGATTGCTGCATGAAAAGGTTTTGGCCTCTCAACAATTGTCTTTAGGCCCTGCCAACCTCTCCCCGCAGCTGTCCCTGATTTCTATATTGGCAAACTCTATGCTTTTGTTGTCATCTCCCCTTCTCGAAATTGCTAGAGCGTCTCTATGGCTACGCTAGTATGGGCGCTACCGGAGATCTTCTATCGCCCTTGGCTTTGTGGAAAAAGCTAGCGTCGATACTCGAAATTGCGTGTTCACATGTAGCACTGGCCGTACTGGGCTTGCACGAGAGGTGATTGAGCCTCGGTGGTAATGCGAACACTCAGGAGCGACCATCTCGACCTTCTGACAAACCGCGCGGTGGAGTTTTTGGAGCACATAGTCAACGTTGAGCATCCAGTAAGCTCGTAGGATCTAAAGATTAAGTGGCGGGTGTGAGGGATGAATGCGTTGCATTATCTCGCTTTTCTGCGATATCGCCTTGGCTTAACTACGGATGTGTTCCCGCGACATTAGAATGCTTCCCCATTTCTGATTAAACGCGTTCTATCACTACTGGAGCTATCTATCGTCTACATTCGAAATTACTGAGGTCTTGGTACACAAGGGGCCCTTTTTGGTGACAAACAGAGGGAAGAATGATATTTGAAGGTTCACGTATTATATTCCCATTGCCTCAAGCTGTGCAATTAGCTGGGGCGATGTAGCATCCACAGGCGATGGCCGCGAAGGACGAGGCGGATACCGAGCTATATCCACTGTATCTTAGTATTTAATTTCTTCAAGGTCTCAAGGTTCTTCCAAGGTTCCGAGGTATAGCACCGTTGGCTCCTAGGCCAAATCAGAATCTATCAAGAAAGGCGCGTTCTTACCTGCATAGATATCATCGACTGTTTGACTTCTTATGATAGCATGTGGGGGTATATAATGAGCAATAAGGTACTCCCTAGCAACACTCGCTTGGGCTGCTTCGGGAATCGACAGCGAAAGTTTATCAACAATCTCCTCAGCACGGAAGATAAAAAGACCGTTAAGAGCTGCCGTATCAATCTGAAGGAGAGTGCAGTTTCTGCTGCCAAAACGGGTATGCCTATCCAGCATCCAATTTTCAGCATGTCTTCTCTGAGAAAAAAGCGAGATGAAAATGCTCTCATAGTCAGTGTCCAAGCTCAAATGCTGCTCTACTGCGTCACCAAACTCTTGGAGAGTATCCTCTTCTTCCTGTTCATCCCCTCCATCATCATACAACGTAACCGTATCAACTGCCTCGAGGCCCTCGTATATGTCATAGGTCGTCATGGAATCCCCATATTGAACTCTGTAGAGACTACCATGGACATCAGCTTGAGAGAGGCAGAATGTATCCATTGCTATATGCCAGTTGATGAGAGACGTACTTCATAACGATTATTTACACGAAAGAGCGCTTACCGAGCAAGTATACTTTGCGGTAATGGAACGAATGGTAGAATGAAGAGAAGTCTTAAGACCAGGCGCCTTGATCACCCTGAAGATCACTCTGAAGGATAGCACCTCAAGCCGAGGAAGATCTCAATATAATTCTTTTACCGCAGGGTTTCCATCAGGTTTGAGGGTACTTAAAGCCCATGCATTGCGGCCCAAACCCGTCCCTCATTCAAAAGCAAACACGCAGTACAAGCGCATGGCAAGCCAATAAGAATAAAAAATTATGAAAGTGCGTAGCAAGAGCATGCATGCAAACAGCGTACGCGACCAACAAATGACTAGCAAACAAGCTGTAAGTACACTAATGGAAGCCCGGGTTCGGGGCTTAGCTGATAAAGAAAAGGATATAAGGAAACAAAGCCGACAACCAACGAGAAGCGAGGAATCGCATTGGGATGGGCGAATCAGAGGCAAGTGAGGGTGCAGGCCAGCTTTTAGCGGCAGCAGCCATGTACCTTACGCGTAGCCGTGGCCGATATAGCCTAGCCCTTCCACTCGTGCCTCGTTTCAGGACATAAAGTTTGAGAACAGGGGTGGTCCCGAGGGCGGAGAAATGGGTGGCAGACCAATTAGAAGAAGACTTCAAAAAGGTGCTGAGCAAAAGTATTCTTCTCCAATGTGGAGCAAGGAGTAGCTGAGGACCAATCACGTCCAAGCACTCGTAGCGCCCTGTGAGCGTTAATTCATATCTGATGCTACCACTGCGCACGAGATAGGACTGTTCGCGGTAGAACTGGCGGGGAATAATGGCGTCTACAAGGAACAAATCCTTTCCTAATATGGGATTTCTAGCTTAGAATAGCTCTTCAAACCTTTTCATGAAACATGCATGCTCTGAAATCAAAAGATATTCCAGCACAATCTCCGCGTATTGAAGCTTTGCTTGCTCTTTAGAATAATTAGTTAGTTACCTCAATGGATATTACATAAACAAAGGGAGAGCAGGATGACTGTGGATTAGGGCTCTCCGGTCTAGCCCGATGACTCGGGACTTAGCGGAAAAGTCTTTGGTGGAATAATTTTTTACAGAGACCTGGGGCATGCGAGGGTATAAGGAAATGCACGGGCCTTCGCTTGTGGTGGAGAAAAATTTGTCAAATAGCCAATCTCTTGAGAGTCATACCATCCACCAATTTCGAGCAATTTACTACAAACGAACATTCAACACTCACGGTTCCACCACCTACCTTCTTCTTGCTAACGTTAAGCGTAGCTTGAATCACCACATCAATGGTGAAAATCCTATAGACGCGACATATCTGTGTATTTTTTCCCCCACCATTTGGCACAGTGTTGCAGTTAAGTAGTTCGTGCATTGAGTAATCCATGCATTGAGGAATCCGTCCATTGAGTAATTCATACCTCGAGTAACTTCCAAACGAAGCCAGGCATAGCAAAGCAGAATGTGGAACTTACCATAGAATAGGTCACAAAAGTGAAAAATCCTTTGGATGGTCTCTTCAAGAACGTAGCGGCATCATACTCCTGGGACAAAGGAGGTCCCTCCCAGGAGCGAAAAGGCACAGTGTCAGGGATATACATGAGGCAGACATGCTAAGCGGAGGACACGGACCCACATAGCTTATTTGGGTTCCCCTGAACGCGAGGAAGCCAAAGAGAGTTGGCTTCCTCGCGCTACGTCTTGTATCTAGAGTCGACTAACGTAATCCACAAGCGAGTCGGCCACACAAGCGAGTCGGCCACCCCACCAAGCATATAGAATTCAAATCGATTTATTTTCACCACAACGCCTTAATATACAAAAAAAACCTAATTATATCGTTTTGGGCACTGTAATCTTCGATGCCCTAATTCGCGGCAGTCGCTACAGCGAGGTGGCGCCCGTGTAGATAGCTGCGAAGCTTGTTGACCAAGGTCTGCTGGGGCAGTCGATTGAGCTTCAGAGGCTTGGTTTGGCGTCGATATTAGCTCACGAGCTTCTTGAACCGATAGGCCTTGCTCTCGAGGTATTTGCCTATTAGATCTAGCCCGTTTTTGCTTCTGTTTCTCATTGGCTGCGCGTAAATCCTTGTTTTCTTGCGCGAGGATCGTAGCGCTATGCATCGAAAGCTGGCAGCCTTTGATAAGCTGGTTTAGTGCTGCGTCAGTTGGGCTTGGTGGGCTGCGAGAGCGTTGCTTTAATAAAGCTTTAATCGACGAAGCCTGGCGCTGTAGCTGTTTTGGATTTTGAGGCGTTTTTGGTGTGAATTGGCTGCTTTGGCTGCCTTGGCTGCTCCCGGGGGTGTTGGTGTACGAAGCTGAATATCTAGCTTCTCGAGGACCCGATCTGGATTATATGGGACTAATCCAGCAGCTGCGAAGCTATTTTGAATAGTTTCAGCTTTATCGAAAGCTTGTGAGCGAGCGTAAGGGTATGCAGCGAGAAAATCGAATTTGTCGATATGATTGATACCGCATCGTATTTGCCTCTCAACCAAGCTGCCGTATGCCTTTTTTAAAGGCGCAAAGCAGCCAATATCAAGAGGCTGCAGAATATGCGATGAATGCGCCGGCATGCAAATTGGTATGATATTCGCATCGCTGCATGCTTCGTCGAATTGAGGCGTCAAATGGCTGCCATGGCCATCAAGAATAAGCAGCCGATATTTGCCTTTCGTACGACTGGCAGTAGCTGGTATAAATACCCTTTTTAGCCAGCGAAGGCTGATTTCATCAGTCGTCCAGCCATTTTGGCTCACTTCGAAGTGCCAATCGGAAGGTAAATCGTCGAACCAGCCTTCAATATAGACCTTGCCTTTGAAGATGATGCATGGTGGCAGCACCTATCCAGATGCGTTTATCGACTCAATTGCTGTAACCCATTCGCGATTCCCAGGTTGTAATACCGATCGCCGACCGTAGTATTTAGACCGAGTAATCACTTTGGCTGTTGAGGTAAGGCCTATTGCGAAGCCAGTCTCATCGAAGTTGTATATATCGTCGCATAGAATACCGTTCTCATCGACTGTCTTTCGAACGCAGTTGAACCACTCATTAATGATTTTTGGGTCTTCATTTTTGGCGCGCCGATAATCATATCGACGAGAGAAACGAGTCTTAATTTCATCATGGCGTTTAATGAAATTATAGACCCAATTCTGGCCGATAGACTGAATGGGGGTAGATCCACGCTTAGCCAATAGAATATTGGCCATTTCTCTCGCACAGCTGCTGGCTGAAGAGCTGCTCCGCGTAAATCCATAGAGAGAATCCATTGAAGAATCGATTCTTCTTCAATTTGGGTCAATTTTTGGCAGTTGGCGCGTGTATCGCATCGATTTAGGTGGCCGGAGATTCGGTCTTGAAGCGTTGAGCGAGGTATTTGGAATCGGCTTGCTGCTTCGCGAATTGAAGGAATTTCTTGCTTCTGAATAGCTTCGATAGCTAATAAGAGCCTACCCTCTTGCTCAATAGATTTTCTAGTATTTTGAGAGCGAATTGGTGGCATGGTAGCTAGTTGAATTAGGAGGTTCGCGAAGATGGCGCGATTTTCGTGGGGGTGGCCGACTCGCTTGTGTGGCCGACTCGCTTGTGGATTACGTTAGTCGACTCTAGATACAAGACGTAGCGCGAGGAAGCAAAAGAGAGATGGCTTCCTCGCGTTCAGGGGAACCCAAATAAGCTATGTGGGTCCGTGTCCTCCGCTTAGCGTGTATACCTCGTGTATATCCCTGACAACTAGTGGGAAGGGTCCTGGGAACGGCGGTCATTCTTATCTTTAAGTATTAATCCAGATAAAATTTCCTCATTTATAATATTGAGGTGCACAAATATTCTCAGGTCATTAACATTATTATCGTGATATTTTGCAGACTCTTCATAATACGAGCTAAAAATATTCCCACTCCAGATGAATCCCCACCCCCCCCCCCCCTCCCCCTATTGGATCACCGGCACTAGTATTCGAACAACAAGAGAGGAACACATTCACAGGCCTAGAATGCAGTTTATTTATGTGTGGGAGAAGACAAAAAGAAATGGCAAAATCCTGACATCCATCCATGGAATGCTTAAAGGTCCCTCTCTTCATTTTGGAGTGGCGCAGTCTCCCTAGCACTTAAGGGGCTGTCCATACTCTCTAGTCTGCCCAGGCTCATTGCTTTGCGCAGACTGTTGGCGCTTTTTCCTCTGAATCTTTCGTTCACATCTACCATGGCAAAGACGGTGCTGCTACATCACCGTAGATAAAGCAATGGTTCCTAGCTACAGTACTAAATGTGTAGTCGAGGGCTGATCGTGTATATAGCCAAGTTTCGTGGTGAAAGCGGATTGAGTTGGCAGGAGGGGGCGGCTTAGCAGGTCCTGGGACCTCCACGGTCTTGCGACCTCCAGTGACATAGAAATTGGGACAACAGGCCTAGGTGGCCAGATGACTATGGTTTCAAGTGTGCTGTGGACCTACGTCTCGGGTGGACGTACGTCCAAGACTCTAGGTCCGGCTGGGTTTTCAGTCTGTCGACTGGGGTCCTGGTCCGTAAATCCACAGTCCTTCCACCACGGTTCCTCAACATTGGACATGCGCCGCCTGGCCAGTGGCTTGTCGGACCACTAGCCCTCATATTCTGGTCAATGTCCCGCAGGCCGCAGCCTCTAGTCCCAGCCGGCTCACGAGCCCCGGCCCATAGGCCAGCTAGGCCTGGTGTCTGTCAACTGGCAACTGGATCAGACCGCTGACCAAATGATCTAGCAAACACAAACAAATTACTTAAACCGCATCCCCGAGTCCGGACAGACATGGGCGACTAGGCGACCCTTCCTTGGGTCATCCACAACTGACACTTCTGCCACAACTAGGTGAGAGCTCTTACTGTACAACCTGAAGGACGTTCCTATGACAATATTGAGAACAATAGAAAAGCGTCACCTTCGTTGAGGTTTTCAGACCTCCCTCGTAAAGCCTC